ATTACTCCATCTCTACTCCTTCGGATGTATCATATTTTCGCAACCTTTGCAACCACATTTATCAATCTCTGAAGTAACTTTGGAAATGATTTCTCACGACCTCACCTGTATATGACGTTTAGTCAACCTAAATGGAAAACTGCTGAAAGATGCCGATATAACATATCTTTATCCTACGATTTTCCCACTTGGTCACTTAACTAGCAAAATGCTACCAACGTACGAAATGATAGAAAATAATACAACGGATATCGAGATGGCAGAAAATAATACAACGGATATCGAGATGGCAGAAAACAATCCAATTGATAGGGTCGTTGAGAGAACCCACCGTCCAAACACTGTAGTAACATTTTTAATGGCAACGTTAACTGTATCATTTTTGGTTGCTCTATTTTTGTACTTTTGGTTAGGAAGTGGGTTAAGTATCCAACTTGCAGCAGGCCTTATGGTATTTTGTCTGATGTTTGCACACGGTTTGTCCCCAGAGGGTGCTTTACATTTAGAATCACTCCCAGAGCTATCATATTTTCCTAGGTGTGTGTTAGCAGGTGTGGCTACCGCTTGTGCTTTCGACATAACCACAATAGCTGTGGTTGCTGTGTCCAATCAACATTAAAACCTGCAAATTTATTCCAATGATATCAATGCCCAGTCAAATTTGATTCAATTGACTCGGGAGCTGCGAAAAGAATGCCATTCAATGTAATTGACGGCTTCAGTCAATGGACATATATCAGTGTTCATTGAAACTTTTTCCTATCCCCTCGTGATCGAAAGTCAATAACATATTCTGGTTAAGTAACCAAGAGGTAGAAAAAAAGAGCAAGAAAACCAAAATCAAAACATTCTGAGATCTTTCACCTCAAATAGCGGTTCCTGGACGCATCCATATGTAGGTGGACAAGGAAATGCGTTAGGTTAATCACTTGCGTGTCCTAATGGGGACAGTGGCATTTCAGTAGTCACAGATTGCCTAATTAGGATGTATGTCTACTACTACTGGTCGCCCGCTATTACGTTAATGGTAATTAAAGAGTATTGCCCGATGTCGTATCATGAGAAATTTTGATGAAAGGCGATTAGAAAGCCGTCCGCCTCATTGCAAGCTGCTGAACTTGGCCATAAGATGAGTGTTGAACCTCATAAAGTGCACTTAGGTCAAGGACAAACTCGCTGATGTGAATATCTTGCATATGTTGGTGATAGTTTGTGGATTCTTTATTGTGTCTTTTGGAATAGTTAGTATGCATATATCTTACATAAGTGGTTCATTCAAGCAGCGAAATCCTCTGTAAGCAGATCAGCTATGCCGTCAATAAGACCATCAATGTCTTCAACGCGGATCCCACAACTTAGACTAATCAATTTTCTGTATTTGTACATCTTCAAATCAGCTCCAGACCGCTCAATACTACTAGCTACTTGTTTCATTAAATGTGCCCGTTTGACTTGGAGTTTGGTCAAGGCAAAAGCATGTTCCCATGCGGCTCCAGCATCCGCTACGTTCTCGTTCGCGTTCTCTGCTTCATTTTCATTTTCAAGAGTCAGCTCTCTTTCTTGAACCAAAGTAGCCAAATTAAATGCTTGGTTCCGTTCAAGAATCTTCATCAAGCTGTTCAGTTTCGATGTCAATTCCTGTGATATGGTTTCGGCTTCTGCTTTCACATATGCAACGCCTTCCTCGGCTGTTTCGGCTTCATTGAGCCCATACTTCTTTAAGATCTCACCAAGAGTAGCCAACAGTTCCTTATTCTGTTCCTTCTTCTCTTGTAAATCTTGTTTCAATTGTTGATGTTCCTTGGTCAATGTATCCAATTCTTTATCATAAGAATCAGATAGTGAATTCAACATCCCTCCAATCATCGCTGATAAATCTGTCATCAGAAGTTTCTTAATATTCAAATCATCGTCCTTACTAATGCTTTTAGCACTGTGAACAGGAACAATATACCCAAACTTATCTAAAGTTGGTGGATTGAACTGTTTACTTTCAATAATTGTCTTACCAATATCTTTAATCTTGCTTTCTTTCTTGTCATCACCGTTTCTTGTGAAATGTGTTTGGCCATTTGTCGTCTTCTTCAATACAGCTAAAGGAGTCGACGCTTTCATAGAAGTGTCGTCCACATACAACTTCTCCGTGTCTTCATCCTTTTCATCCAACAGGTTAAGTTGATCACGAAGTGCTTTGCCGATACCTGAACCGACCCCAGCGCCAATATTGTTTGAAAGTCTAGTCGGTCTTTCTTCCAGGTCTTCATCGTGTTGGATCGTAGTTCGTTGAGTATCAGGAGTTTCTGTAGCTGCATGACGATTCACTTGCAATGGGGTAGCAAGAATGCCACCACCGGCTGTGGCATCAGGAGGAGCCAGTCCGGGTAATGCAGAAGGATGAGGTGGATATGCCAATTGACTTAAATCTGGACCATCAATAACAGAATTGTTGCGATGGTACGATACATTCAGAGGTGGTGTAGGTACAAATGCTGGGGGGATTGATTCTTGTCTTTCTTGTGGATGTGTACCTAATAACGAAGCATTGACATTATTCGGAATGGAATCTGGAGGTACAACAGCAGACATTCTAGAGTTATTCACAGTGGTGTCATCAACCAATGACAAGTGAGCAGTGGATTGGTCATGGTCATTTGTTGAAAGTTGAAGTGGTTGAGCCGCCATTGCATGCAAAGGGTTATTAGGTGTGATATGGTCATGTCTATTCATGGGATGTAGTGGTTGATCAAATCCCTGGGCTAGCCTAAGTCCAGTTACCAACTGTCTAGCAGTTTCACCATGGATGTTTTCAAGATCATCACGAGCGCCATAATCCAATAAATATTGAACAAAATCAATACATTCAGATCTTGCAGCCAAATGAAGACAAGTGTCACCTTTTACATCTTGATGATTCAACACATTCTTAAGTAAATTCACTTGATTTGACATATTCTGGTTGGATAATGTTGTCAACTTGGCGAAAATAACATCCATATAATATGATAATGATTCTAACTTGGTTTTCACCTTGGCAAATTGACACAAGTAATGCAATGGTGTACGTCCATTAATATCAGTGTTAATAAGACAATATTCTAAATCATCTAAAACACGAGGAAAGTTTTTCAACTCATAACAGTTGTTAAAGGAAACGAGCTTTGATAAAGGGTTCAACCCAAAATTATTAACCACAATGGGGTTCGCCCGTTGGGAAAGAAGCAAAGAAACCATGTTAGCATCTCCAATAGAAGCTGCCCAATGTAATGGAGTGTGTCCTTCATCATCAATTGGATCATTTATGTCAAAGTCATATGGTGGATCATATATAAAATATGGAATCTGTCTTGTATCATCACTGAAGAATTGTAAGAGTTGTGCAGAATAGTTGTTTTCGGTGCTGGAGGGTTTTTTGGAAGCACCATTTTGCTGTTGTTGTTGCTGTTGTTGCATTGGATGTAACCCATTAATAGGTCTCATATTCATCAGAGATTGTCTGTTTAGTCGGGAATCAAAATCTCCATTTTTAGGTTGAAACCGTTCATCATTAGACAGTAATGAAGTATCGCTATCCCGAGCATAATTGTTCTTCTCAGACCAGGTGGTTTCTGCAGTTGACTGGGACCCACTAAGCTTAGTATGAGGTGCTTGCTGAGGATATTGTTGCAGATAGTAGGATGCTTGACTCGGTTGTTGAGTATTTTGGTTTTGAGGACGCATGTTAATGTTGGATTGGTAATGCTGTTGTTGCGGAAGCCCATTGCCGTTTCTCTGTTGAGGAAGAGGGTTGGTATACTGCTGCTGTTGTTGTTGTAGTTGATGATGGTTTGGGAATGCTGGAGGGGGGGCATTATGTACTTGACTATGTTGGCTAATATGGTAAGGAAGAGGTTGTCCATTTTGATGAGATACTTGTGGATGAGGTGGTGGTTGTTGTTGAGGAAGTCCCATAGGGCCCGAACCATATTGAAACTGGGAAGGATAAGAGTTCTGCATCGATTGCTGATGAACTTTATTGTTGTTATTAGCATTGCTATTGTTGTTGTTGAAGGAAGAAAATGGGTCAAATGAAGCTGCACCTTGACCTGTGATGCTATCTTCTCTCTTAGTTCTCTTGGAAGGAGTTATAACCACTGAATCGGTCTTTTTCTTCTTAACATATTTCCGTTTAACTGGAGTCCCATCTTTATTTAAAGGTTTTGCCTTACGCAGAAGTTTTAAATTAGGATCCGAAGAATCAAGCCATAACACAGGCATCATATCTTTTGAGCAACCATAAGCAAGAGCCAATTTTTGGGCATTTTCCAAGGGGATCCAAGTTCCCTGAAATCTTCCAAACCCACCCTGAATCTTTTCATGTTCACCGGTTTGAACTCCTCGTTCCAAAATCTTTGTTCTTCTGGCCTTTTGAATGTTGCAGCATTTAAGAATCTGGGTAGCATTCACCCAATCATCTTTCACTCTTCGCATAACAGGGTTCCCTGTTTCTGACTCACATTCATAAACATCGATCTAAATATAAGTTAGTAATGCTTCAACATCAAACGTACACAGATCACATCTCTGTATTATAAAGTGTTGTTGGGACGAGTTCTTTGACTTTGACTATGAAAACGCGTCAATATAGTCACCACTTAATTTAATATACATACGCCTGAATATGTAGCAAGAAACACCGACTGTTCGTCGTTGCTCATGTTCCCAATGTATTTAAGTCTATAATACACGGGGATATACCTCCGCTAGTTTTGATATGGTTCCAAGGTTGGAAAAGGTTCGAAGCTTAAAATACGATTCACCACTGTAGTGATCTTTTTTATAAGGTAAGGTAAGGGATGTATCTTTGTCAATTCCACACACCAGTAAGCGTTTAGAAAATGTTTCCTATGCTGATGTCCACCCACGACAAATAGCTAATCTCCAATAAGATATGCTGAGCTAAAAGTACACGGAATTAGAAGATAAAGGGTAGTTTTAGAAGGAGACTCTTGAACAAAATCTGCTACCTAAAAAACGGTCTTTTCGTTGCTTGGCCGCTTACGTACTTTATTACGTAAGAAAAGAGAAACAGACCACTGCCTAATTGGGACTTTTTTTAACCAACGACACTATTTTGAAGGAGAACTCAAATCATGCAATGCAATCCCAATCATGGCGCTCTCTCTATGCAGATATTCTATAGGCTCTTTTTCAAATGACAGCGTTCACCGTGGGAGACCTCTATAAAACTAATACCTTTCTTCCGGTGTTTTGTCTATTTGCAATATACTATCATAAAATCTCACTATACCCCAACTAGGAAACAGAAGTAGTACAAAGAGGAGTAAATGTGTTTGCTATGTCTGGCTTACGTAATTTATTATATCGGAGATTGTTTCAGATGACGCGTCTCAGACGACACACAGACAAGGTATGGTTCCTAGTCAGATGTCAAGAGCATAACAAGGTTGGGAGGTGCTGATTGTGAAGCCTAACATACACTCTATACGATAAAGGCGTAGCGTATACGTCTGCTATGTTAAATATCAGTTATATAATTAGAAACCCATCAGGTTCTGTGCAGCTTCGCTTCTCCCGGAACCTTAAAGTGAAACATCAGAAGCTTGTATTGTATATTACTGTACTGTATATGCTGTTTCACTGTAGTCTATTACTGTTCTTCTTCGGGATACATCCATGATAACTGTGCGTTGTTGATTGCATGTTTTGTAACATAATTCTGGAACCTTTTAAGCACATGAATCTTGTTCCATACATCACCATTATTATTACCTACTCCTGCATCAACCAATGGCATCCCCAATTGTTCTATAACACATCCACTTGCTAAATTACCACATATACCTGCAATCTTCCAGTCGTAACCACTCATTAGTAGCCCGACAACAAACCCACCACAGTACGCATTACCTCCTCCAGTCACATCAACTACTGCTTGAGTATCTTGAGCATCATGATACGCAGGAAGCATTCCCTTCCAATTAGAAGATGAAACATAGCACCCATGTGCTCCACATCGGATCACCACACCACTTCCCTCCTTCGTCATGTGACTTGTGAATGTAGATGCCAAAGATTCTAAGGCAGTAATGGATTCATTTATATCATTGTTCATGTCGAGACTGATCTCTTCAATGCCCGCTAACAAACAAGCTTCCTTGAGATTGGGAGAGAAAACATCTATGAGTCCTAATACTAATTCCTTCAACAGTTCAATGTTCTCGGGAATGCACACATCAGGAATTGGTTCGTAAATGTACACTGCTTCCCGATTGACTTGCCCAATATCATCGATGAAGTTGCGACATCTCTCTACGCTACAAAGTAAATGATACGACTTGGATCGACATAATCGTTGGTCATCCACCACATCTTCTGGTTCAATTCTCTTCTTATCGGTTTTGTAGTAAAAACCTCGGGTTTCCTGCTTATCGTACACATTCACTCCTCTTGTGGTCCTTCTTGTTTCATCAGTACGATACACCAACCCGCATTTCCAACTCTGCAACTCCTGCTCCACGCTCAGTGGGAAGTCGTATCCTTTATCTATTATGCCACAAATCTGTGGTGCTCGGGAGAAACCCGCAATAATCCGTGCCCCTACAATTGCATATGATCCACCGCCTCCAATCACATTGAGGTCGTCCTCTCGATCCCATTCAATTGGGTACTGGTTATCGTCAATGATAAACATCCCTAGAGAAGTGAAAAGCGGTGTAGAAACCGTCATGGTGTATAATAATAACAGGAATGATTATATTAACGACAGATAACTGAACTTAAATTTCTATCACTATAATGACTTTATGGACTGCATGTAGCTCTACATTTATCTATATAAAACTTCATTAATTCAATCGGCTTCCCCTTCCTTTAAATCTTCATTCTCTTCTTCCATAAAGTAGCCTTGGATGGTCCCGGCTGCAGCAACTGCACCCAATAATATCCAAGACAATTGCACCATGGAGATCTTCTCAGTGTACAGAATTATCCAACCCCAAACCATAGGTCCCACAAACCGCGCTAACGATACTAAACTCAAAGCTGTACCGTTAATAAATGCACTATACTTGGGATTGGAAGCTCTATGTAAGAGAACCATCAAGGAAGGGAATGTCAATGCACTCGCTAAGACCAATAGACCGGATAAGACATAAAGCAGAATTGTGCCTATGGCTTTTGGTTTTTCCCATGGTCCTTCGGGTGAAAGGAAAACCAAGTATGGTAGTACTGGGTATAGTATGGGAGGTAAAATGGTAATAAATCTGTAACTGGTGATCGTAGAAACATGTCTATCCAAATAAGGATATATAAAAATGACTGCTAATACACCAATTATACCTGTGGATGAAAGTAAAGTTCCAATTGAGTTACTCAGGAACCCAAACCCACCTGCTATATGGGTGGGGAAAGTGAGCTCATCTGATTTCAATTCTCCAGCAAGTAAAACTGGAAAAAACTCAGAATAGACAACAGTATGCAATGAACAAATAAAATTAGCAAAAATACACATGATAACGGGATGAGTGAAAACAGTTGAATTGAAGCCTTCCCTTTTATTGTTGCGTTCTCCTTGAATAATAGGAATAACTTCATTTGAAGAATAAGTCCTAACAATCGTTTCAGAGAGTCTTCTGGAAATAATGGGAACTAAGGCATCGATTTCATCATCATCACCGCTCTCTGATTCATTTCCGATTGAAATTGCATTTTCTTCATCGTATCTCAATGGTTCTTCTTCATCAGTGATCAGACCGTAAGCTGGTTCTGAAGATGATGGCACCAAAGGATCAATTGAAGTATCTTCTGGATAAATACCACGTCCTTGAGTTGAAAATGGAAACTCTCTGTGAATAGAGATTTGCCATGAACGTAAAGGAACATCATACCCCAACCGTCTTCGAATTCCATCACCAATTTGAAGTAAAATATCCTTTCTAGTTTTAAATTCAGGATGACTTTCCTCCAAGAATAAAGCACCTAAAATCATACTAGTCCATAAGAAGATAGCAACCACGACATTTGATAAGGCGTACGGATATTTATCCAAGAATTGATTGTAGAAATCATACAATGTAGAATTTGAGGTTAATTCCAAAGTATGGTCAATGCGAGGTTTAGATTTTGGTCTTGTTAGGTATTTGGAGCCTCCTAACATTGGACCAATTACACAACCCAAATTCCACAATAATGATAAGGAAGCGAAAGCTATAGCCTGATGTTTCCTTTGAGTAGCCACTTCTCCAATTGTTGTTCTTAACACTGGGATATTTCCATTTAATGCTCCGAGACATGAACGAGCGACAAGAGCCATATGATAGTTCTGAGAGAACCCAAAAAGTAACATCGATATAGACGTTCCCATTAACCCTGTAAGAAGAATAGGCTTACGACCAATCCGATCACTAAGTCTACCCCATTGAACACAGAAAACAAATTGGAAAAAGGAAAAGGAAGCAGCCAAGTAACCAGAATATGATGATATTTCAGAGTCATCTTTGGTAATACCAAAATCTCGAATCATGAAATATACATAGGGGAACATTGACGTGAATGCGATAGGCTCAGCAAAACGAATCATACTTATAACAATCATCTGCCATATTGGGAACCCTCTCATTTGTTCTCTAAAAGAGACTTTTGCATGATTCCCGTGGGTCATGTTGATAAACCTAAGTAACTGGACGTGATGTTTTGTGAAGATGGTAAATCAGATCTTGACCTTCCTTTCTTGATCTTAGTCTTGATCTTGGCCTTGATCTTATTATGTTGATCTTGAAGTTGAGCTTTTATAACAACGTTTGTACAAAGTAGCAAACTCTAATGAGTCAATTGGTTATTTTCTTTTTTGTATGAGTAACATTGCAAGATACACAACAACGAATGGATGTAAGGGAGTTGATTAGATGTACATGATCTAATCGTGTGTTGCCCATTGTCATGTTTGGTTTGTGTGCCTTTTTTTTTGATGCCACACCTTTTTGACATATAACTGACCACAGTCGTGTAAAGACGAGTCGTATATATATATATATATATACATAAATGTCTACGGAGGATGTTAGATGTATTTGATGATGATTTTTGACTTGTCTTGTAACTGGTAATCTGACTGGTATCCAACTCGTAGTAATAATTGTTGATAGAAGCTATAGGTAAACCAGAAGTGCCTACCCATTCCGTAGATAAAAATAGTTGACGTTACATTGGTAGTGCAAACTATCGTTCCAGTATGACTAATTTGCAATCGTCACGACGTACGTAAAATATAAATATCCTCCCAAACAGACACTGCTTCGTATATCTTTCGGTGTTTCAAATAGCCTACTACTAGTTTGGTGGTAAGACTCGACAGTTCAATTGGTTATAGTATAAGGAAGTCCGTCATTTTGGTGGATGCAACTACTTTAAATGCAAAAACGTCATTATATTGATTTAATTACGGAGAATACTGTGTTGTTACTTACCTCTCTACTTTTATTCATTTCTCTTTGAATTCAACTTGGGCTATCAACTGTTTGAGTATTTGGTTGTAAGAACTGATTAAATGTATTGTCTTTTTGGTCTCAATACTCGTAATACTTTTAATAAAAGTGTGCAAACATTCTCCAAAAAGTGAGTTTCCATATTGTCGGAATCCGTTTAAGACTGATTTTTTTCCAATGAAAACAAGTAATTGACAAAATATCAATTATCCCCTTATATCATACTACTAATGCTCTAGTTGGTGTACTATTGAACTTAAAGGTGGCAGACGGTACCCATGTATAATCACGTGATCATACATTGCTTTTGTAAGCAGCTTTTCAAGGGTTTTTTTTAAAGGCGCCCGCTTAGCACAGTGGTACTGCGTTGCACTCGTATCACGAAAAATGCAAAGATCGGCGGTTCGATTCCGCCAGCGGGCATTTTTTTTATCTTGATAAGAGTCTCTACCGTACTTACTAAACTACAACATCATTATTGAAAATCAACTCTATTGTTCAATTTTTAAATACAACTATCTTATGCATGCCTCGATAATGGAGGTGGAGGCGGTGGTGTAGAATTTTGAGATTGAGTTGCTGAATGGATATCGCGAGCTTTTGATCTGGCCAATTCTTCATTCATATATGCACTTAAGCCATCTGCCTTAATCACCGAATGTTTCTTTCTGCGTGAAGTTCGTAAGATTTCGTTACCTATATCAACAGGCGGGCCAACGGAAGACTTATGAGGAGATTTTGGGGGCCCACCATGGGATTGCAATTCAAGTTCTTTTTGGTGTGCCATGGGGTTAATAGCTTTTGATTCGTCAAATGGCATAGTATCCACAGTTTTCTCATCAGCGATATTATTGTCATCATTGTTTACAAATAAAGTATCTTCATCTAATGGAGCAGGAATATTGTCGAATTTCCCCATAACTTCAGGAATTCTATGTAAGAATCCATAACCAACATCACATCCAAGTATACCTTTATTTTGGCCCCACGATCTTGATAATTCAACTGAAACTGGTCTCAAAATGTCGTAATCATGATTATATACAAAGAGAGTCACAGGTACCGTTTCTTTCTGGGTCTTTGCTTGGTGATAATTGTAGTAACTCAGAATAACTCTGGAGAAAAGAGCTTCTCCACCTCCATTCAATAAACCATTGGAATCTTCAGCAAACGCAGATTCACACCCGATCACATAATCTGAATAGGGTACCAATTGGGCTCTGAAAGCAGGTGAGCCTTGATGGGTCCTTAGTATTCTCCAAACATGTGTGGCAGTACTCACATGTTGACTCTGAACAACAAACCCAATCTGAGCAAAAATATTCTTGTATAATTTGGTGATTGAGTCATCAGGGTTAAAAGGAGCGTTATTGTTGTTATTATTATATTTGAATCCAACAGTATCAATATCATCGTCCACTGCTTTGTATTCTGCTAAAGGTACTTTGACCAACCGTATAGTCCCACCCTTTGCATTCCACACTTCTAAGGTGACCACTTTATCTGTGACAGTGCACTTGGCCAACTCAGTAGCCAATTGGTCAAAATCAATCAGTCCAACTTGTTCCTGAGTATATTGACCCCCACCATAACTAATGCTGCCGTCTTCGCCTATCTTATACAGATGCTGAGATAACGAAGGATAACTCATAGGCAATTCATGATTGTTCACTTTGACAATGTAATCAAACCATGCTTCCAATCCTAATCTAGCACCGATAGAATGTGGAGAAACCTGGACCACCCGAAGGCCATAACCATTGTTGTTCATTTTCAAGGTGTTTTTGAAGTACGAATCATCTCTTCCATCCAAACTTGCACCCGTGGCAGTCTCTACTAATCTTTTAGCAAACGAAAACATAAAGTGTCAGACCGGCTTACCAATTGTGTAAAGGTGTAGTGGTGTTGATGATGTAGTGCTGTTTCTTCGCACTCATTTTTGACCACAGTTTGTACCTGATTTTATTACTCTATCTTGATGTAACACTGGTGCAACATTATGACACTGCTACAATACCTGATCGTAATCAAACCCAATATTCTATTAATACACTATAAAAAAACAAAAGAAACGAAACACTATAACCAAATAAAAACAAGCGCGGTAGCCAAAGGGCGATATGAAGACATGAGGGCATGAGATTCGAAGGAGATGCATAACTTAGAATCCTCCAGTGAAGGCTAAAGCCCAAGTTCTAGACAAGCCATTATCTAAGTAATCATTGGTCCAAGAACTAGAGTTAAAGAAACTATAACTCGTTTCATGGTCAAATAATGCTTGGTTGATCTTTAAGATCCCTTTCCAACTAATATCTGACTTGGAAAAGAAGGTAGAAACTTGAGTATCCCATTCTTCTTGAACAAATGTAGAACCTCTAACCATACCAGATGCTGGAGTAATTGGTAGCATATGAATACCATGAACATATTCTGGATGTTCTGCAGGTGTGCCAAAATATGTGGTATAAGCCATCTTGTTGTCAAAGAGAATACCAGAAACTTTGTTTGGCAACATAACCGATGGAACTACCGTGTTATCATCTGAAAGAAGCATATACATATTCAATGATCTGGCCATAATGGATATCATCAAGTCTCCTCTGGATTCCATTGATTTATCTCCAATCACTCTACCCCACAATTTCATGCCATAAGCAAAATTGTAATCTTCTGATGACGATTCTTCATTTCTACCATCACCAGAAACAAACAATCCACCAGCCCAAGAATGACCATGGAACCAATCAAACATTCTTGAAACGGGGAAGTAAGAATCACTATGCGAAGGGTTGGCAACATCTCTAACCAAAGAGTTCACCCAATCCTTATTGTCTTCGGCCCATGTTCCACCTTGTTGGGCATCCACATACCCAACAACAGCAGCAGCATGAATAAAATAACCATAATGGAAATGGTGATCATTATAGTACCCTGAACCAAAGTCTTCAGTGGGTCCGGCAGTAGAAGTGACACCACCAAATCTTGTGTCATGCATTAAAGGATAATATTGTGCATTGGAAGTGAATGTTGAAAAAGCTTGCTTCATGGCTGCCAAAACAGTAGCACTTGCGTCTTGATCCTTAATAATTTCATTGATAACATATAAAATGTAAGCATATTTGTCAATGACCTTACCAGAGAAGTAGTTTGAATGATAGGAAGCAACAGTAGATTGGATATCTACGTTAATTTCACTGGTAGCTGTTTCCACTAATAAATCCATTTGTTCTTTGGTAAAGACTAAGTTGCTTGAACCTGGGATCCATGGGAGGAATTGGAGATCTGTGTTCAATGTTTCAGCCATGGTAACAGTATTAGTTAAAATAGCCGTCATTCTTCCCTTGGTGGTAGATTCAAGAGTGATATCAGTAAGAGTACCAGAGGACAGCAACGACTCCAAATGGTGAGGAAGAAGGAACACCAATGGAGAATTGTGGGCAGATATACCACGTGTTTGATATTCGAAAGAATATGTTGCTGAAGATCCACCACTTGCATTACCAGTGAGATCAATACTAGTGGTATACAAACCAGCTGACATGTCGTAGTAAGCTTCTTGAGCGGTACTATCAGGTGCAACGGCAGCTTGAAGAATAAGGCCATCGATACTTGTAGATGCAGTCAAGGTGGTGTAAGAAATCGAGAAACCAAAGTCAGATCTCTTCTTAGATGTCAAACTACCTGATGGATCAGTGACATATAATAACCATTCTATACCAGTAGACAATGTTACTCTGTATTTCAAAGTGTTAGAAGTTATGATAGCAGATGAAACTGAGACAACATTAGTGAAACCGTACACTGAATTGATTTCAACGATTAGTGAACCATGGTAAATTGCTGTAACGAAACCCATTCCTTGGACCAATGGAGCTTCGATATAGTCGGTAGGGTTGCATGAAGATTCTGGTGAGATGATCACAGTTGCAGACATATCCAACATATCAACAAGTCCTAAATGATTATTACTGCTGGTTAACGAAGTAGCCGAAAATACCATTTCTGCATTCAAAATTGGGTTGAAGAAATAAGATGGAACTCCTGGATTGTTGGTATCAATTGAACCAAAAACTCTATCATCGATTACCGTATGTTGAACACCTAACCCGTAGTAATTAGTTTGGTCCCACCATACTCCGTAAGGATAAGTCCAAACCATTTGGTCTTGACTTCCAAGGAATAAGTTGACGTAAAATTTATTTGTTTCGTATGGAGTACCTCCGTTATCAACACAAGTAGGAATGTTAACACCAACTTGGCCGGCACCAAAAACAGAATCTGGAGCACTATTGTCAACAGCAGCAAACAAGTCCCCCGAGTAATCATTGTTATAGTTTTCAGCATAAACAGTGAATTCAGAAGGATTAGAAGTAGGTGAACTTGATGAAGGTAATTCACTTGATGATGAAGTTAATTCACTTGATGATGAAGTTAATTCACTTGATGATGAAGTTAATTCACTTGATGATGAAGGAAGGCTTGAAGCTGATACGCTTAAAGATAATGAAGCTGAAATACTTTCTGATGCACTCGAAGAGGCTTCAGAAGAGCTTACTGCTGAATAGTAACTCGAAGCTGCCATACTTGAGTTGTAATAACCTGAGCTGCTCCATTGCGATGAATAACCACTTAGACTGGAATCTGAGAAACGTGTTGAGGTAACCAAGGTTGTGATTGACGATGCAAGCCCTGTAGAAGTGACTTTGTAAGTTGATGAACCACTAGATATGGTATAAGTCTTGGTTGTAACAGCAGTTGATTGGGAAGCAGAAGGTGTAGTTAAATCAGAAGAATGAAAAGATGTGGAACTTGGGAATACACTAAGCGAAGATCCCTCTGAGATGTCATAGCTTGAGGATAAACTTGTTGGCACAGTCGTAGCAGCAGTGGTATTGAAGCTAATGGTGATTGAAGTAGTACCACCTGATTCAGTAGCCCTTGTTACTGGATTTTGTTGTGTTGTATCTAAGCTAACTTCTGAAGTAAACGTTGAAGCAGGTAAGACTGTGGTGGTAGCAGTATAAAGCGTAGAAGTCACAGTTGGGACTGTAGTAAGATCCAAGTATGAAATGACTTCAGCATCTTTGGAAGTAATGATTGGACCAGCTGAAAACGTAGTGTTGAATGAAGACTTATTCCTGGTAGCAACAATAGATGTAGCAGCGATTGAATTTGTAGCAGCGATATTGCTTGTAGATTTGGAATCAACAATTGTTGATTCACTATAAAAACCAGTAGTAGTTTTTATACTGGTAATTTCAGCACTTGTAACATATGTTGTAGGATACGTAGTGGCATAATAAGTCGTGTAACACTTCAGCAGTGAACAGGTTAAAGATGAAGCTGTGGTTGTTGTGGTGTAGCCAACTGTGTAGAATACAGCATTCTTTTCTGTGGTGGTAAATGTTTTTGGAGTCGATATCGTATTAGTGGCACATGATGTAGTAGCAGCAGTAGTCACAATATTATCAGTCACATAAATCGTAGAGGTCAGTTGTGACTGGTCACCAAGGGGTGCATATACAAATTTAATTTCTATTCCTGAGGAGACATCAGAAGGATTTTCAGCTAAGATGTTATCTATCTGTTTAGTAAAGCAAGGGGGGTATACATAATTTGTAACTGTATGGGTGAAAGTTTCATCTGTAGAACTACTCCTGCCTGAGTAGTTTATGTTCGCAGCCAGAACCAATTTTGCGGCAACAAGTGCAAGAACTGGTAGGAAAAACTTCATAATGAAAGTAATGAGTTTATCAAAAACTCTTGTTTAGCTAATAAGGAACGTGGATAAGGAAATGGTAAGAAAGTGGTAAGTAAATGGATAATTTTGGTGAACTACCTATTTGTATATATATACTTATTTATATGTATTTTTTTATATGTATAACTTGTCATAATTAAAACCGTTCTTAGTTTCCTAGCTAGCCACTCGTAACAATGGACAATAAATTTTATAAAACAGGCTTAATAAGATCGCATGCATAATAGTAAACCCACATTCGCGGAACACGAAGGTTACTTACAAACATTACACGCATAGGTAACCTTTTAAATGCAAATGCAAGTAGCAGTAGAGGTGGTGGATATAGATGTAGATAGTGTATTAGTATTGGTGTATGTCCTTGTAACGTACAACTATATGGAAGGACTTTATGATAACTACTTGGTTCAGTTTATTCAACCGCGATTTGGAGTTAATGCTGGTTATGATGACTGCATGCATCTGGCAAACAAACACCTAAGAACAACGTCAAATGGTGCCAACATCTGTAAGTCAAATAAAAATATAGATAGTCACAGAGCATTGTGCTACTATTCTTTTGTCTTCCAACATTTGTGCGTGCAATAAGTATTAGTGTCTGCTTTTAAGTATTCTTACGTATTGTCGTAGCGTTCACCAAGAGGGCATATATTAAGGCTGAAAAATATCTCAAAGTGCGTCATCATAAATAATATTTATCTGCATTCAGATGCATGCAAGATTCCATAACACCACTACAATTATTTCTGGACCAATCGATACGTTTAGCATTCCACTTGTCTTTGGATCTTACGGATCTATCTACTACCAGCATATTATTATATATTACAATTGATACTACACCCGCTCTCTTTTCCTTAGTAATTAATATTAAAGTATTCTTTCGCTTGGGAAAATAAATGTTCTCCATACCATTGTATACAGGCTTTCAAATCCCGGTAGTAGTTTAATTGTTATTATTTAGCCAGCCATGGCGCACATCATGAGTTGGTGTCTGGGTGTCTTAGTTGAAACAGAACAACTTGACGAATTACAGAAGGTTTAACCTTTATGACTATGTAATTTGATGCGTTCAGTTATGATTCATTGTCAGATCTACATACTCTGATCTTAAAAATATACCTCATAGAAGGTTAGTCTTATGGAAGTCATTTGAAGTGAAGCATTTGCCAGAGCTCACACTCATGATATTTAAGGGCATTTAAGTTTTACTATATTAAAGTGAAGCAAGCAACGGTATTGTAGATCTTCATCAATGCTACAATAATAGAGTCCACAAAGAACAATGTCAAGCGTGTTATTATCTGTAAAAATATGACTTTCTAAGCACAAATTATTATCTTTCACGACGGTGGCTGGTTGGTAAAAATGTAACGGAAAAATAACATTCAAGGTAATTGTTGGTTCATCACAATCATGTAGTGATGATTGATGGCGCAATTACACAGATCAAGCTATTGAATGACGACCATGTACAGCGTTTCTTTAGAACCAGCTTTGTAGGATCTGTGCCAGTCCCTATATATCGTCACTTGGACGTGGTTCAAGATGGCGAAAATCAGCATCTGTATGTAATATACTTTGACCAGTAAAGTTGATGGGAGCATGAGACATGATCTGTTCATATATTCGACTACGTATACTCTTGGTAAATGCAGTGCTTATTGCTTTTATCGTTACGTGAGCATATGTGTCCGAGATGGACAAATCAATTCGTTATTTCCTGTAAACTAGGAAGAATATATGATAAAAGTCTTGCACTTTTTGGCTCAGTCAACTTACTACGCAGTAAAGCAGTCAAGACTTCTACTCCAAATTTGGCAATCTTAGAGATTGCACCTGTCAAATTCTTCTTCTATTATGTCAATGCCATTTCCATGTGGAATGTAATTGTATTTCACTTGATCCACTCTGTTTGCAAGCAATCAATGCTTTCGGATATAAGGAAAAATGTGCCTCAAATTCGGAGATCTGTTGCCTATGACGTTTATGGTAGCGTAAAAACATGATTCGCGGCAATAAGGAACATCACTATGCTAAGATTTAACTATACTTACATTGAATAGAATGAATACAAAAAAAACATTTTATTACTCATACCAGAAGAGATAACCTAAATAGTCAAGACATCATCATTTTGTCTTGCTTATAAAATACCTGAAACTACACCTTCGTAGATTTTTTTTCCTAAACAAAAATATTCATAGTCGTAACCGAAATACAGGCTGCGAAACACAGTTAACCTTAATAGAACAAAAAAACATTAACTCGAAAACCAAAGACTTATATAGAAATTAAGCACCTTGAGCAGCTGGTGCCCTGGTAGCCTTAGTCAAAGGAGTTTGAATTGCAGCTCTCAATCTGTATTCAGCAAAGGATCTAAAGGAATTACCAGGGACCTTGGCGAACTTAGTGGCAGGAGGAACCACTTGAGTAGACTTGATCTTGGTGACCAATTGTCTTGACTTGAGAAGTGCTCTGGAGTAGTACATTATTCGGGATTACAGAACGAAGTTGGGATGACTGATTAATTACGAAAAATTTAAATCCAACTCTCTAAACTATGAAGTGTACATCTAAAACTTGAGGTGGATTTGAAGGTCTTTTAAATCAAAAAAAATTAGAAGCTGTGGAGCATTTGCTAAGGAGGGGTTAGCGGGTGAGAAAGAAAAAAAAAGCATGCCATGTGGAACGGTGTAGCGCATACAGTCTTATTAAGATGCTCTTAATGGCGGGAGAAGGTAACCTTGTCATACACAATATTGCGCTACGTAGATGGACAAGCGGCTTAAGTGAAAATTTTTATTCAACAGTGAGGAATCGCTTTGTGCGCATACCGGATTTTCCAATGGGAAGATAACCACCACAATAGGGTGACAATCGCCTACTTAAAAGAAAAGATGAGGGGACTAAAACCATCGGACTTTAAACGCCATTACCCCCATTGAAGGAACCCTTATTCCGCTCAATTTTACATATTCTAGTGGTGCGGGTCAATAATATAGGCACTTTCTCAATATCGGAAGCAGTACAATTTATGCAAACAGCGTTACGTTGCTGTATATCCGTTGGCCCATTGTAGTTACTTTCGGTCATAAGCATGAAGTGATAGAAACTCACGTGTAATTGTTTGAATTTATCTGTCATTGCTTGATATGGCAAGAGGGGTATCCTCTGTGTTGCTTAGATAGTACTATGATTGGTTGGAGATAAACCATTTCGAGATAGCGTAGTCACTTTCCTAATGCAGAAAGCGACGACTCAAGTGCAATGCTATTGATTACTTCAGCATTTGCTAAGTTTTTTTCCGGACATTGAAGTCCGCTAGCAGTGGACACTTTTTCCGCGCGAGTCATTATACAGGAATAGTGGGAAATAATGCGATGGAATTAGTCATTGAGGGGTAGTGTACTTCGGGGCAAAGGATTTATTTGGACCAAAGGTTAATTATTAGGCATCAAGGAAGTAGAATAATGGAATCAAGCCTTACTTACCCCGGGACTTCATGAGCTACATAGTACATCTGTACAAGAAGCAAGAAGCAAGAGTAGGAGCCTAAAAAGGGAAACATTTGATGATCATTTCATCCTCAGTGAAAAGAATATACAAACTGTAAAATTCTCTTATTTATCAAAACATGACTCAAGCATTTGATTTTTTGCCTTGAATGTAGATAATGATACAGAACCGGTCATTGGTCAATTTCTATCGAATCAAAGGTGATTAGCACCTCCGTTTTAGGTTTCTTCCAGTAAGAAAAAACGAGGAACAATAGTTCTCAACGAGTCATGTCCTTCATATTGTTCGGACTTTTCCCAACACAATAACCCCCAAACCAAACGAAATCCATCAACTCCTTTATGGCGATATTAACTAACCAATAAGTACAGGGAGTGGCTTGAATCCTCGGCTGTAATACCTGTCTAAATAGGAGATAAACCCATACAGTGAGTGACATCAATCTTCCAGCAGAATGACTCAAATATGGGACCGGAAGCTTCTATAGAGAGGAAATGCTTAACCGTACTACAATTTAACTTGGTTTAGGCCCTCTGGCGATACAACATACATTATTGAAATTAGAAACCATGAGGCATTTGAGTCCATTCAATTAGTCGTAGTACTTTTTACTCAGCATCAACTGCCCATTCACTCAGCTCCACTCAATTCAATGCAATTCAATTCTGTAGACGCAGCAAGCAATGATAACTGTGTTTTCGACGATTATGTACTTCCATTCTAGTTTATTATCGCTCAATACTACTACTGAACCTTCTCCAGTTATTTGTAAATTGTATGTAATAATTGTTCTCCAAATCACTGACCCCATCATACCATACCGGAATGCTTATAGTGTACAACGGCTGACATGGTTACATAGATCCCAACTCCGAAACAGGCGCTATTGTATAGGATTCCTACCTTTACCATTAAATGTTCCTAGGCCGAGCGGTTGTTTTTTCGGGGGTATAAATATTCGCCCATTCTCCCACCTTTTGGAAAAACCTTAACTCTTGATTCCATTTTCTTCATTAATTAAGTGTAGTGTGGTTAGCTGGAAACCATAGTAGATAATCACACAACTAATTGTCCAGACTTCCTTATAACCAGCCATGAGTAAGGAGGAAAAGATCAATCAAATGAGAAGGGACCTGACAGTTCTTGGTCCCATGAACAAGATCTTAGTGGCCAATAGAGGTGAAATTCCTATTCGGATCTTTAGAACAGCACATGAATTATCAATGCAAACAGTGGCCATCTATTCTCATGAAGATCGTTTGTCAATGCATCGTTTGAAAGCTGATGAATCATATGTTATTGGTAAAAAGGGTCAATTCCTGCCAGTCCAAGCATATTTGCAAATTGATGAAATCATCAACATAGCTAAAAAACATAATGTTAACATGATCCATCCAGGTTATGGTTTCCTTTCTGAAAACTCTGAATTTGCTCGTAAAGTTGAAGAAAATGGAATTGTCTGGATTGGTCCAAATTACAAGACCATTGATAACGTTGGTGACAAGGTTTCAGCAAGAACTTTGGCTCTCCAAAATGATGTGCCAGTTGTCCCAGGTACTCCAGGTCCAATTGATAGTGTGGAAGAAGCCGTTGCCTTTGTTGAACAATATGGTTTCCCCGTAATTATTAAGGCCGCTTTTGGTGGTGGTGGTAGAGGTATGCGTGTTGTCCGTGAAGGTGATGACATTGCCGATGCCTTCACTAGAGCTACATCTGAAGCCAAGACCGCCTTTGGTAATGGTACATGTTTTATTGAACGGTTTTTGGATAGACCAAAGCATATTGAAGTCCAATTATTGGCTGACAACTACGGTAATGTTATCCATTTATTTGAACGTGATTGTTCTGTTCAAAGACGTCATCAAAAAGTTGTTGAAATTGCCCCTGCAAAGAACTTGCCCGTTCACGTAAGAGATGCAATCTTAACTGATGCAGTTAAGTTGGCTCAAGCTGCCAAATACCGCAATGCTGGTACTGCAGAATTCCTTGTTGATGAACAAAACCGTCACTACTTTATTGAAATCAACCCAAGAATTCAAGTTGAACACACTATTACTGAAGAAATTACAGGTGTTGATATTGTTGCTGCCCAAATCCAAATCGCTGCTGGTGCATCGTTGGAACAATTGGGTCTTTTACAAGATAAAATCACGACTAGAGGGTTTGCAATCCAATGTCGTATTACCACAGAAGACCCCGCTCGTAATTTCCAACCAGATACTGGTAAAATTGAGGTTTACAGATCCTCAGGTGGTAACGGTGTTCGTTTAGATGGTGGTAATGGTTTTGCAGGTTCAGTTATTTCCCCCCATTATGATTCTATGTTGGTTAAATGCAGTTGCAGTGGTTCAACTTACGAGATTGCCCGTCGGAAGATGTTAAGATCTTTAATTGAATTTAGAATTAGAGGTGTTCATACAAACATTCCCTTCCTTTTAACACTTTTGACGAACGAAACCTTTATTAAGGGTGAATGCTGGACTACTTTTATAGATGATACCCCTTCATTGTTCCAAATGATCTCTTCTCAAAACAGAGCCACTAAATTGTTGAACTACTTGGGTGATTTAGTTGTCAATGGTTCTTCTATCAAGGGTCAAGCTGGTTTCCCTAAGTTAGATACTGATGCTCAAATCCCTCTTATTCACGATCCTAAGACTGGCGAAGTTATTGACGTGGACAACGCTGCTCCTCCATCTGGTTGGAGACAAGTTCTTCTTAAGGAAGGCCCTGAGGAATTTGCTCGTCAAGTTAGAAAGTTCCAAGGTACTTTGATCACCGATACTACTTGGAGAGATGCGCATCAATCATTGTTGGCCACAAGAGTTAGAACAATTGATTTGTTAAACATTGCTCCAACAACTGCTCACGCTCTTTCTGGTGCCTTCTCCTTAGAATGTTGGGGTGGTGCCACTTTTGATGTTGCTATGCGTTTCCTTTACGAAGATCCATGGCAGCGTTTGCGTCAACTCCGTAAGATTGTTCCAAACATTCCATTCCAAATGCTTTTACGTGGTGCTAACGGTGTTGCATATTCTTCTCTTCCAGACAATGCAATTGACCATTTCGTTGCTCAAGCTAAAGAAACTGGTGTTGATATCTTTAGAGTTTTCGATGCCTTGAATGATTTGGACCAATTGAAAGTTGGAATGGATGCCGTTAAGAAAGCTGGTGGAGTGGTTGAAGCTACCATTTGTTACTCTGGTGACATGTTGACCCCAGGTAAGAAGTACAACTTGGAGTACTATTTGGAAGTAGCTGACAAGATTGTTGCCATGGGAACCCATTTCCTTGGTATTAAGGATATGGCTGGTACTTTGAAGCCTAAGGCAGCAGAATTACTTGTTGGCTCAATTAGAGCTAAATACCCCGACTTGCCTATCCATGTTCACACTCATGACTCCGCAGGTACAGGTGTGGCTTCCATGACTGCAGCTGCTAAGGCAGGTGCTGATGTTGTTGATGCTGCATCCAACTCTATGTCTGGTATGACGTCTCAACCTTCCATCAGTGCTATCTTGGCTTCTTTGGAAGGTGAAGTTTCTACAGGCTTGAACCCTGAATTGGTTAGAGAAGTTGATAACTACTGGGGTGCAATGAGATTGTTATATTCTTGTTTCGAAGCTGACTTGAAGGGTCCTGATCCAGAAGTTTATCAACACGAAATTCCTGGTGGTCAATTGACTAACCTTTTATTCCAAGCCCAACAATTAGGTTTAGGTGCCAAGTGGGTTGCTACTAAAGAAAACTATAAGATTGCAAATCAATTATTAGGTGATATCGTCAAGGTCACACCAACATCAAAGGTTGTTGGAGATTTGGCCCAATTTATGGTCACGAATAACTTGTCAAAGGAAGATGTTGTAAACTTGGCAGGTGAGTTGGACTTCCCAGATTCTGTTTTGGACTTTATGGAAGGTCTTATGGGTACTCCATACGGTGGATTCCCAGAACCTTTACGGACTAAGATGTTGGGTAACAAGAGAGCAAAGTTAACAGAGAGACCTGGGTTGAACTTACCTCCTGTTCAATTCAATGCCATTAAGGAAGAGTTATATTCCAAATATGGTACCAGCATCACTGAAAACGATATTGCATCTTATGTTATGTACCCTAAGGTGTTTGAAGATTTCCGTAAGTTGCTTCACAAGTATGGTGATTTGTCTATCTTGCCAACTAGATTCTTCCTCAAGCCTCCACGGATTGGTGAAGAAATCTCTGTTGACATTGAACAAGGGAAGACTTTGATCATCAAATTGTTGGCAATTGGTGAAATCAACCACACCACTGGTTTCAGAGAAGTATTCTTTGAATTGAATGGTGAAATGCGTTCTGTTAACATTGAAGATAAGACTATCCAAGTTGACGTCAAGTCACATCCAAAGGCTCACTTACCTAACGAAGTTGGTGCTCCAATGGCTGGTGTTATCATTGAAGTTAAGACCAAGGAGAAGCATGATATTCGTAAGGGTGAACCAATTGCTGTTCTTTCAGCTATGAAGATGGAAATGGTGATCAGTGCTCCTTGTGATGGTGTCGTTGGTGAGATTGTCGTTAAGGAAGGTGAACCAGTTGATGCTCTTGATTTGATCACAACTATTTTGTTACCATGAACATAAGTATACTTTCATTTCTTTCTTTCTATTGAGGTTAATTACTTTATTTATATGATAAATTTATTATAATTATTGCGACATATTTAATTGTAAGGTGTAGAATAAAGAGATTATTACCCCCAAACCCGAAGACCGTATACGTCACGTGACCAATTTGTGGTGAGAAATTTGCTCTGAGAAACTGTTCGGAACGGAACAGTACAGTACAAAACAGACTAATCTACGACTTATTAGTATGACCGATAGCATTGCTCAAAGTGGTAACTTAGACTTACCCACGAGATGGGAAGTGGAGCTTGAATTTGTCCAATCACTCGCTAACATTCCGTACCTTTCATATTTGGCACAGAACCACTATCTTAGTGATCCACATTTCATCAACTATCTAGAATACTTGCAATACTGGAGCCAACCCAATTACGCCAAATACATCGTATATCCCAACTGTTTACATGTGCTACAATTGCTTACGAACGAGGAGTTCCGGAGACTGTTGGTGAATCCCGATTTCACCGGTCAGCTTATGAACGACATGGTCAATCGATGGATGGGACAACAGGAGACTCGTAAAGGAGGAGATTTGAAGGAAGGAGACACGCTGGAGAGGGAAGACACACTGGAAAAGAAAAAAGAGGACATTGCCTCTACTACACAAATTTGAGGAATAAACCGTTGGAAATGAAATACGACTATGATGTAATGATTTTACACGATAGCCTTATTTCAAGTTTACGACCAGAGAATGAGGGAATTGATTTTCAAGAAGGCAGCGTTTTGAAGGATGTTTGGAATTTGACGCATAGTTAACGTTCTCACACACATTTACCTGTGGAAGATATTGACTGCATCAAGGTGCCTCTAGATACTAGTAGCAACAAAGCCCCAAAGAGATTCAATATTAATATGCGTATATTTGTATTGAAAGTACATTGCTGCTGACACTGACGATTACTAATAGGTGGGGTTACTCAGTGAGGCAATAGAATTTCGCGACAAGGCTTACAATAATTTTTTATTGCCATAGCCTTGAAACACCATGGGGTAATGGAAAAATAACCGAAATATTATTTCCGGTCAATTAACTAGCTAAAGATCTTATAACGAACTCTGTACAGTATGATTCATGTACTTACATGCGTATGTATTACATATAGATGGGGTACAGATTCTGATATATATATGCATATACATACATATATATGTACATATGTATATGAATACGAATATTCTTGGCATGATGAGCAAAAGAAATATATTCTATATTCATCGTGCTTAGAAAGCTGTTGTTTAAACCATTAGCATCTTCGCCGCATACGCACGACTGCATATATTTTCAAACAACAATAGCGGGGGTAACCTTAAAAGAGGCTTCATCGGGGGCTTTTGACCTAGAAGTCATCACATCGCTGTTAGTTTTAATTCTATAGGACTATGAGTATGGTTCGAAGCACATGCATGGACTCAAAAAACTTGCAATAGAATAAAGGCCTACTGCCAATCAACTTGGTAACACCACAATATTAGCAACTTCCATTGCAAACACATAATTACGAAACCACGAGCAACAAGCAAAGAACACTAATAATAGTAATAGTAGCAACAGTAGTAACAACGGTACCAGGACAATACCACCAATATAGGACTGTTACTGTACCCCCATAGATGTACGGTTACCAGGACCAGTACAATCACTAGGATTACCAATGTCTACATTCCGCTGTACAAGCAAGATGGTCGGCCCCCATAACCCTGCATGGATTCACCGGATAGAAGGCTGTGTGACTAAATGTACTATTTGGCGTATTTTCCACAAAAGGGAACTGCGGAAAGTGTGATCATATAAATATACTACTAATTCTATCGTGCCTTAATTATATATCCATGCTACGTAAATAACGATGTCGGAACAACAAGTGGCATCTAATGACGAAGAGAAACAGTTGACTGAGTCTGAAGTCACTGAACAACACCAAAATCGCACCAAAATTAGTCTTTCCCATATAGCACACAGAGTGTACGCATATTTGCGGAAACCCATAGTACTAGCCATAATCTCTTTATGTCTTGGTACCACACGGACTGCGATATTCTATAGTTTATACAACGAACTCAGGTTCAATAACAGTTACTGTCTTTTGTCTGTATTCCAGAATAGTGTCATCATCTTAGTGCTCGCATCTGAATGGAAATGGCCCGCCATATTCACCGGTACCCCACGTTACAGACGATGGATTAAATTCATGAAGATTATTCTTTGGATCGTCATAGCCATGTCCATAATCCTCAGAATCATATTCTTATCATCCATTAGTAAAACTAATGATGTTGACGATCCCGATTATTTAAAGTCCTTATTTTCTTTTAATACCCCTCCAAATATTGCTTATTTGACCATCACCATTCTTGGAATCATTGTCGACTCGTTTTTATTAACAGTATGGTGGAGTGTAAGTTTGAAGACGTATCATATTGCTTTTGCCTTCATCTCCATGTTCCAATTTTGCACGGGGATCGCCGAAATCCAAATCAATATCAACACCATGAGGGCCGATGTTCACAACAAATTTAATCCTAAATTGTGCAATATGTATGTATACATATATACCTTTTTGATTGTTCAGAGTATCTCGGGGTTCCTTATTGCTGCTATAATCAATGAAGAAAATCGGTTGACGTATATGATTGGTCAACTCGTCTCATATTATTGTATCTATGGGGTTTTAATGGTTTTATTCATGTTCAGTGCTTTAATGGTTACTGCTGCCATTTACAATCAGAACTCAAATGCCCTCCCCTTGAGTAATTCTATTTTGCTCGGGTGTAATGTTGCATGTGCAGTAGGTTTATTGTTTATTGCATGGCATTTCAGACGGAGACTTCCTCCTGCGTTCCAAGTTGAAGAATATGACATATCGAAATTGAGTCCCTTTCAATTGGAAGGGTTTGCCATATTGATGGAAAGGAATTTCAAGTATAACGGAGGAATAAGTGGTAAAGCTGCTATATCCTTAATCAAGAGTTATTTAGCATGTGATTTGCCAGGTATGAGAACTAAATTGATTAGAACATACAACACTAACAAGTCCAATCCAAGTAAGTTATGGGATACTTTGGATGAAGAAGATATTCTTTTTAGAACCAGATCAAGAGTCACCAGTGACTCGGCAACCTATATTGAGAATGACCCCTTTGATGTTCAATCCTACAAACCTTTACTGAAGAACCAATTAAAAAAATTGCAAAAAAAGGATAAAAATAAGAATAAGAAGGAAGCAGCTTCATTAGAGTTATTGGCTGAAAACTCTCAAGAATTCTACGATGTCTTGTGCAATACAGAATCGATTACTTTGTTAACAATCATTGATAAATATGATTTATCACTGTACATTCCTGCCAAATTGGGTGGGAAGGTACTTAATAAGTATTTTGGTGCAGACTCCAAATTACCTTTGTTATGCATCAGATTTGGACTTTTAGGATTCCATTGGCCATTCAGAAGATCTACATTTTATTGTTCACCACCTAAAAAACCCGTTGCTAGGGCCGGGGCGGTGCTTTATGCCTTAAGCAAATGGAACTCTAATTTGCCCAGAAGTGAACGTTGCAGAGTACTTTTGGATCCAACTTTCAAAACTCCTGATACAGAGAAGGTCCTTGCAGTCTCTGGTTGGTATACGGCACCCATACCCAATGGTCACATTATAGATTTGAGACCGTACACCAAAAAGACCCCGGAACAGTACTTTAAACTGGTGAAGTATCGGGTTCAAGTACAACCTTTCAAACAAGATAAGGGAGAAGTCATATATATTGACAACCCACTGGTTGAAGACTGTGATCTTTTGATGGAACGCTGGGGAGATATTTATAAAAGAAGAGAACAAGGTGGACAATCTTCGTATTTAATAAACCCCACTACCAATTTCGTTTATTCCATGGTATCTTTTGAAAGTGGAGAACATAATGCAAATGATGATCGTTCGTTAATGTTCTTGAAAGTTGGTGATGAATATATTGCATCCTGTATAATTTTCAGATTGGGTAAGACCATTACATCAGATATCCAAGGTTTAAATGGTGAAATTTCTAAGAAATATAAGGCATATTTCGTAATGATGCAAGAAGTCATTAAGTTGGCTTTTGCTGAAGGTAAAGAATTTGTTGATTTTGGACCAACTACTGAACAACCTAAAGTTGATATTGGATGTTCAATTGTTCCCTTAGTTGGCTCTTTTGATGCTGGGAATCCTGTAATGAGTTGGATAGTTCAAATAGCCGCAAAACACGTTGACGTGTGATACTAGAGGGTAATAGATATTAATTAATATAATAGAAAATAGTAATAATAGTAGAAGCAATGACGGTAAAACAGTAATACACCATATTCAACATCACGTGCTATATCACGTGACGTAACACGTGATATTGGAATTCACACCAGATCGTTGCGTTTAGCAATTGAGAGACAGAGTGGCAACCAACCGGATAAATGATCTATTGCTTATTTTCTCTCTACAACCATGGACAACCAAGCCATATATGACCGACACATTACTCGGGTAGTAGAGTTGGATCGTTATCTCAAATCAAGATATCATTATGGATTAATACATGCGTTGTTTGCTCTACTGTTTGTGGTGAACTTTATACTTGGAAGACTAATCCATTGGTTCAGCCCTGATGCCGAGGTGTATAGTTTTTATACGGACAAAAGGAACATCATCAACCAGTTGATGGTGAAAAGAGGATGGGGATGGACTACAGTCATCTCAGTAGCTCATTTTGGAGTGAATCATGGTAAAAAACCCCATAAGAGATTAGTACCATTTATCATTAGATACACCATAATGACCATTTGGTGGATTCTTTTTACACAGTGGTGTTTCGGATTACCGCTTATGGATCGTATCTTTGTATGGACTGGTGGTAGATGCCAATTTGATCTTGAAACAGCAGAAGTGTTACCTTTAGCTATCAAACAAACCATTGAGACAGGTGCAAGTCATTCATTGCAGTTAAGTTCTTACCATTGTAAAAGACATAAAGGTCAATGGGTAGGAGGCCATGATCCTTCAGGACATGTATTTTTATTGGTACATTCTTCACTCTTTATGTTTTTCGAGTTTATTCCGTTCCGGGCAGGAGTCAACCAAATCTCTCAATGGTTTGTCATGGGATTGATTGGGCTTTGGTGGTTTATGTTGCTAATGACCAATGTTTATTTCCATTCAATCACTGAAAAAGTAGTGGGACTTTTATTTGGATATTTTGCAGTGGCTTGGGTTTATGTGGTATCTCCTGCCATTGCCCTTCGTTCTATTAAAAGACCACCTTCACGTAAGTTAGACTACAATTGAAGTTTATATAGTACTGCATAAAAGTATATATAATGGGAGCTAATTTATCCTTTTAGGGACGTTACTTGGGAAATAGCACCATTCCCAAATAGGAAGGCACCGTCGAACATGGTCGTCCGGTGGTGTCCAGCGTATGACCATCGCATAAATGTATTTCAATTATATGGCAGTATTTTGGTGATGTTGTGAATTCCATGTTTGTGTCGATGCTAGTTGTTTAAACTGGCAACCTACTTTTAATGTACGTCATTATCATAAACTTCGCTGGCAAGTGCACCCCATAAGCAATTGAAACGACATGCAAATATTGGCTGCGATTTTCTCTAACGCGATTTGAAAAATACGTGCACCAGCAATTTTGCACCCAAACAATCGTGTTTGTACATATCGATTCCATGTAAGTTGTCCGGGTTTCAAGATGAGACAGGGGGGATGATATAAAGCACCTTGGGAATGGACGAGAAGGCTGATACGTGCCACGCCATCGATTCATCGTATTGTGTAGTATCGTTATTGATAATCGGTATGGGACCCTTTGAATGAAGTAGCATTACTCAATTTTTCTTTCTGGCTATCCTTCTCCTTATCTTTCACACCATTAGTCTTTCATTTACTCATCATTAACCGTTAAGAACGGCGGTGCACTCATTCCATTCCATTCATTGAACTAGCTTCTTATTTCTTCCTTCCCTTGTCGTCGTGTTGCTGCAATCTGTTGTTAACATAATTCTTCCACACCATCATCATGATATTCACTGGGAATTCAGTGGGATCAGTGATATTTTCAGTAATAACATATGTTATAATACTACACCATATCCCTAAAGCTGCTGCTTCAGTATATGTGGGGTTCCCCTTCAGTGAACAATTACCCAATGTCGCACGCGTCGACCAATCTTATAGTTTCACCATGGCCAATGTAACTTATAAATCCACTTTAGATGATGGGATCATTTCATACCAAGTTCTGAATGGTCCAAGCTGGCTTCAATTCGACAGTGGATCAAGAACATTCCTGGGAACTCCAACCAATCTGGATTTGGGTTCGTTTGACATCACCTTAACTGGATTTGATTCTCAAAATAATTCTCTCGCAAACAATTATACAATGATTGTTAGTGATCTTCCAGGTATTAAACTTACTAGTGAGGATATTATGTTTTCACAAATCGCTCAATATGGTAAAACAAATGGTCAAAATGGGTTGGTGGTTCAACAAGGGCAACAAGTAAATATTGCTTTTGACCCTTCAATCTTTAAAGACGTTTCTTCCACTAACAATGATGGAGTAGTTGCTTATTATGGTAGATCTGCCGATAGATCTTCACTTCCAAATTGGTTGAAATATAACTCAAATGCCTTATCATTTGTTGGAACTGTTCCTTATGTGGTTAGTGATATTGCCCCATCAACAAGTTATAATTTTGCCTTTATTGCTTCTGATATCAAAGGGTATGCTGCGGCTGTTGGATATTTTGAGTTAATTGTTGGTTTCCATACTTTATCCACATCCCAGAATGAAACTGAAAAAATTAATGGAACTTTGAACATGGAAATCGATTACACCGTTCCTGTTTTAGAACAAGTGTATATTGATAATAACTTGGTGGTCAAAGAAAATATTTCACAAGTTGCCATTAATGATCTTCCTTCCTACGCAACTTTTAATGAATCAGATTATTCATTATCTGGAACATTCCCTAACCTGTCAACAGTTAATAACTTCACAGTAGTGGTTAAAGACGTATATGGTAACAGTGTCGAATTGCCATATCAATTGGAAGCCATGTCTTCATTATTCACCTTGACAACATTGCCTGATCTTAATGCAACCAAGGGAGAATTCTTTAGTCACCAATTGTTGAAGTCCTATTTCACCGATTTCAATAGTACAACAATTACAGTGGACACTAATAACCAATCTTGGTTACAGTACCATTCTTCAAACTTGACTTTGAATGGTAATGTCCCTAATGATTTTGATTCTGCTGATATATCTATTGTTGCAGCCTCTTCATCAGACAACAAGTCCGAAGAAGAAAAGTCCTTCAAGATAAAAGGTGTGTCTAAAACAACATCGACTACTACAAGCTCATCAACATCATCAACATCTTCATCCAAACCCTCATCGACGTCTTCTTCATCTTATTCCTCTGGGACTTCTGTAGGCAAACAAAAGAAGAAAAGTAATCTGGGTTTAATAATTGGCCTTGCTGTTGGTATACCTGTCTTCATACTATTGGTTGCCTTAGCTTTGATTCTATTATGTTGCATCAGAAGAAAACAGCAAAAAACGGATACACAAGACGTGGAGAAATTACCCCCAATGTCTGTGTTACCAGACGATAAGTCCAAACATATGAGAGATCAAGCAGAACAATTGGATGCTTTGAAACAGCTTGAATTGCACAAATCCGGCCTTACTCCAATTATTGGAGCAATGCCCAAGAAAGTTGATGATATTAATTCTGTATCTTCATCTTTAACTCATGTTGATTCTCATGATCAATATTATGATACTTCTGATAAACCATTGATGTCATGGCGGGCCAATGATGACGAAGACTCCAAGAGCATAACCAAAGATGAATCAGTGTTAGTTGCTAACAGCAACAACAACTATAGACAATCAGATGCATCTATGAGCACAGTGAATACTGAAAGGCTATTTTCAGTTCGGTTAATAGATGATCTTAGTGTTCGAGATTCACAAAGATCACTGGTATCTGGAGGTGGCATATCAAGAAACTCTAGTGGTAACTTCCAAAGATTAGATAGTGATGGGAACATTGCTCAAGGTACCAGAGGTGGATCATATTTGGATATAGTTGATGAAGTCACAGAAGAGATTAATACAACTGGTGAAAGTACTTTACCTAATGGGGAGGTATCACATTTCAATACCTCTACACCTCCAATCTTAGATGACGAAAATGATATATTACTGCGTCCTAACGTTGAGATCTTCAATGCTGAAGAACCTAATAATAGCAGAGAACAGTCATCTGTATATCATTCTTTAAGGGAGGATAGCAACCAGACGTTGGATAGCTCCAGCAGTTATAATCTTTTGGGAAAGCTTAATGACCTTCCTCAAGATGAAAGGAACATCAATAATGATGACGATATACTACGGGAAGCGGATGATGAAACAAGTGGTACACCGTCTCCAAGAGGAAATCAACTGCAATCTGATGTCATCAATACTTTCCCCTTCCATTCATCAATTGATAACATCAGTGGGATCCCTATGATTTCACCAATGTCTGAAACTTCTACATTAGGAAAATCTCCACACAGTCTTGGTGGTGATAGTTCTTCCAAATACGTAGGATTCAAATTGAATGGATCCGATCATGGGTTACCATTAGATTCCAATGATAATCCCAAATTAGTAGCATTTACCCGGAAAGCCAGTCTTCGTGACTCATCATATGAGCCAGATCATGCAATAATCGCACAAGGTGAATCAGCTGTCATTCACAATAGTGATAGTGATTGATCCCAATTTCTGTATAACTATAGGCATATCTCTTTAGCATGTATCAATTAATGTAATAATAAGATAAGAATAACATAATGTGATGGGTAATAGGTAAGAATGTGATCAGTAATATTAGTGTATTAATGTGATAGGTATATAAATCTATAAGGTTGACACAAAGGCAGCAGTATCTTGAGCTCTTCTTCTGCCTTCAACATACTCCATCATTTCAGAGAAGGTTTGAGGAATAATGGTACAGAATTCAGGTTGAGCACCATTATAGGATGATTGAGGAACAAAGAAAGAATAGATAAAAGTTCCTGATTCCTTTGTGACTGTGGATTCCAAACTCTTTATAGAAGTATCAACTCTAACTTGAATCAATGTACCAGGTTCATTAAGAAATGTGTTTGGTTTGTCGGAGAGTTTATTTGTTGAAGGTAAATGGAAATCAAATGGCAAATCATTCTCTTCAGAATCATGAATATGCTCAGTATATGAAACAGTGGCTTCACAGAAAAGAATAGATCCAACAGGCACAGGAGCTTTAAAAGTAGTTGAATCTAATGAAACAAATCTTGGACCAGCATTAGCAAAACTAGCAGCTGCACAATATGCCAATTCAAACGAATTTCTTAATAAGTAACCACCAAAAATCATATAAGAATGCCTATTTCTATATTGAGGCTGCATAAAGGAAGTTGATTGAACTTTGGTATCTTTGGTGAAGGCAACACCTTTCTTATTGGATAAATCTACTTCCTTTGAAAACTTCCACATATCATAAACCAATTGGTTTTCTTCTTCAGTTGGTTGAATGATCTTTTGAGTCTTTGCAGCCAACTTCTTCTTTGCATTTCTAGATTCAGCACGACGATAATCTAACCAATCATTTTCTGTCACAGGTAATAATCTGTTGATAGCAAATGATTTATGAGTAATAGGATTACGAGCAACAAATGTAAAGTTAGCAGTGATAAAAACATTTTCATCTGGTAAAGTATCTTGAGTAACTACCTCTGGAAGAACTTCTTCAAATGCATAACCTTTAACAGTGATTTCCATAGATGACTTACCTGTCCAAGTAACACATCCAGCAAGCACAAAATTATAATTACTGATTTCATCCACTTTCTTGTGCATATAGATCCGATCAACAGATGCGGTAACATTAACAGGTTCTGCTGGTGAACAATGTCTATAAGCAATTCTACCGGCCAAAGCATCCAAATCTTGGAATAAATTACCTGCTCTTAATCTACCAAAGGCATTGATGTAGGAATCACATAACCATTGATCATCTTTAAAGGGTAAAGCCAAATATGTGAAGGATTCATTTCTGGTTTTTTCACCAACCTCAGTTGTGATCGGATCAGTATAAGTATAAGAATCAAGCACTTTCCCTTCAGCTAATTGCTTTTCTCTTTCTCTCATAGCTTCAAGCCATGTTGCTTTATTAGGATGATTGAATTGGTCTCTCTTTTCTGCAAGAATAGTAGGTGCAGCATCTGCAGCTTCGGAAGCATCTTGTGAAGATCCGTTATCAGGACGATGAACTGATTTGTATCTGAAACCAGAGACGTTGACTCGGGCCAAATTACGTCCCAAACTGACTCTGGAGCCTCTCAAAGAAAAAGCTAGCATTTTATACCGGTGTAATTTTAGTATTCTTATACGATAAGAAATTACTTGTACGAAAGATAAGGTTATCGATGGATTTATATATTTAGAGAGATGGTGGAGGAGGGGTTGCTAAGTCGGAATTGAAAAGGCAGTTACGAAGACAAACCGAGGGTGCGTTTCCGACCTCCCAACAATGATGGATAAAGCGAAGGGCTGATATATTGACATTAAATCATAACTATAGTTAGCACCACCGCCTCAATACAGGTCTAGATCGGACCAAAAATAATTACTCAACATAAGACGTATCTCGGAGCCGTAATTGAAAGCGGGGAGTTTTTCAAGTAACAAAGCTGTTACTCAACACTTGAGGATAAGATTGGAGTCACAATTCGAGTCCTTCCTAGACAACCGTTTTGAATTTTTGGTCGGAACGAGAATGTTGAAAAATCCATTCTATCCGACTATTGCCGGGGATAACCACCCCGAGGCATCCTGAGATTGTTAACTTTAGATGCTACAATCAATAAAGTGTCTCTGATGAAAGGATACACTCTGGACCCAACCGATTGTAACTTCTCCTCGGCAAGATATTAGTTGGTAGGGGAATCGAATTTAATGTTTTTTTTAGAAGTTTACAAGCATTGTAAAACTGTAAGATGTTATAGCGATCTAAAAGTCTTTAGCCCGCCTATTTGTGTTATTGTTGGTCTACTGTTATCGCAGATTCCTCAATTGGGTAGATGTAACGTATATTGTTGAATACCGGAAAACAAAGAGAAGTTTACGTAATTGAGTGCTACATTGTGATATATTAGTTAATCCGAATGCAATTACATTTTGCAATCTCTGTTAAAACCTTGAACAATCAGAGTTAGACAACCTTATGAAGAATACATCGTTAGAGCTATGAGTAATCTCAACTATAAAGTACCATTAACCATTAACTAGTTCAATCTTCTCCACTTTGAGGTTTGGTCAATAAGTTGAGAACAGATTTGTTTTGCACACCATTACTTTATAAAAACATTATAGATCTATCTTGACAGCGAGACGGGTATATATTCAGGCGCACTATATCTACTGGATTAGTACCACGTATACCACTTTCTATTCTGTCTGCTATTGATATCTGTACAAGTTGGTCTTGCGCTATCTCTCATATTGAATGAACATCCTTCTCAATGTATGTATCTTATAAGCAATAAATCGGCTATGTAACTGCTTATCAAAAATTATCCTCCATCTCATGTATTTCTTTGCGTCATAATGGTTATAGAGACGATGTCAACTACTTGAATAAATACTGGATGCAATATAGGCCCTCATAATCACGTGACTGGAAAAATCCAATAAATACGGACATTATTGTCCGTAGACGGATCGATGAAGACCGCTGAGACTGTTTTTAAAGCGGTTCAAGCACGACACTTAAACCAAAATTGAATTATCAACGCATTGCAAAAGGAACATCTACAAAGTCCCTTAACTCACGCAACAGTGACTTTTACTTTCATTCAAAGACGGGCATTGATAGTGACTGATTGCATTCAGTGATTTTCAGACAAATTTTTCATATCCACAATAAATAACAATGGCTCCTTCTAAGATTGCCCAAACAGCAATGCTTGCCTCAAGAAATTTGAGGAAAGCAGGCCAATATCAGGCCATGAGAATGATGGAACGTAATGCTGCCACTACTGCTGGAACACAAACCATGACTGTCAGAGATGCTTTGAACTCTGCCATGGCTGAAGAATTGGACCATGATGATGATGTGTTTTTAATGGGTGAAGAAGTTGCCAAGTATAATGGTGCTTATAAGATTTCTAGAGGTTTATTGGATAGATTTGGTGAAAGAAGAATCATTGATACCCCAATCACTGAAATGGGTTTCACTGGTTTGGCCGTTGGTGCTGCATTACATGGATTGAAACCAATTGTTGAATTTATGACCTTCAATTTCGCTATGCAATCCATTGATCAAATCATTAACTCAGCCGCAAAGACCTTTTACATGTCTGGTGGTACTCAACCATGTAACATTACTTTCAGAGGTCCAAACGGTGCTGCTGCTGGTGTTGGTGCTCAACACTCTCAATGTTACGCTGCCTGGTACGGTTCTATTCCCGGTTTAAAGGTTCTTTCTCCTTATTCTGCTGAAGATTACAGAGGGTTATTTAAGGCTGCTGTTAGAGACCCTAACCCCGTGATCTTTTTAGAAAATGAAATTGCTTATGGTGAATCTTTTGAAATTTCTGAAGAATCTTTATCACCAGATTTTGTCATCCCAATTGGTAAGGCTAAGATTGAAAAGGAAGGTACTGATCTTACCATTGTTTCCCATTCAAGAAATGTCAAGCATGCACTTGAAGCTGCCGAAGAATTAGAAAAGTCTGGTGTTAAGGCCGAAGTTATTAATTTGAGATCTATTAAGCCTTTGGACGTTCCAACCATCATTGAATCTGTTAAGAAAACCAACCATTTGGTTACTGTTGAAGCTGGTTTCCCAGCTTTCGGTGTTGGATCTGAAATCTGTGCTCAAATAATGGAATCTGAAGCCTTTGACTATTTGGATGCTCCAGTTGAAAGATGTACTGGTTGTGAAGTTCCAACTCCTTACGCTAAGGAATTAGAAGATTTTGCTTTCCCTGATAAGGAAATTGTTCTTAGAGCTTCAAGAAAGGTTTTGGGTATGTAAAGAAGTTGTATATCCTATTAGATCTGTTGTTTCTATCAAGATTTCCTAAGTTAAACGGAGTAAATATTGGACACACCAAAATTGTTATTACATGCGTTCAACTCCCAATTGTTCATAGACAAAAGAAACTTTACGGGCATTCGACATGAAACATGGCTCTCAAGGGTCATTGGGCAATATGCATTTGACTCAATACAATCTTTAAAACATATATATTATTACATATATATATATATATTTGTAAAGAAAACTGTAATTAAAATGTTATACTTCTATATATTTCATCCTCGGAATACCCTCGTACATACCTCGGAAGTACTGCAAATATCTCAACACCCCGGATATACACCAGCGCAGTAACTACTTGAGTCTATAAGCGACACGTTAACAATCACGCCAAGAGAGGTCTAAAGGTGGATCTGGAACTTGTTGGTGGTTTGTTCGTTCGTCATTTTGATAGACCAAAGCTTTTATATAGAACGTGATGAAGCGTAATCATATAGACTCGAATCAGAGCAATAACTTTGTTAGGTTTGACGAAGAGAATGACGGTCTAATACCAATAGCCAATAGTGAAAAGACATCCACAACCATCAAGTTACAACCTCAAGATAGACCAGCCTTTTTTATGTTGGTTATACTATACATGCTTCAAGGTGTACCTGTAGGGTTGGCGTTTGGGTCTATTCCCTTCCTTTTGAAGGCTAAGCTATCATATTCACAGGTTGGAGTATTTAGTCTTGCAGCATATCCTTATAGTTTAAAGTTACTTTGGTCACCGATTGTTGATGCCCTATACTCGCCTAAGATAGGACGTAGGAAATCATGGATTATCCCCATTCAAACCATTTCAGGGTTAACGTTGATTTATTTGGGGTCATTTATTGATTCGATACTTGAAAACCCTCAAGATCATTTGTCAACTATAACTGGATGTTTCTTCATGTTGGTGTTTTTCTGTGCCACTCAAGATATTGCTGTTGATGGTTGGGCATTGACATGCCTTTCAAAGGACTCATTGAGTTATGCATCCACGGCTCAAACGATTGGGATGAATACGGGTTACTTTTCAAGTTTCACCATCTTTCTTGCCCTTAGTTCACCTGATTTCGTTAATAAATACATCAGATCAGCGGCTAATGCTAAACCAGAACCATTGATCACTTTGGGAAGTTATTTGTTCATTTGGGGTTGGATGTTTCTTTTCGTCACTTTCCTTGTGTTCTTTGTTCCAGAACAACCAAGTCATTTACAAACCTTGTCAGCTCCATTTACCACTGAAAAACAACTTTATAATCATCCCAAATCCACATGGGAAGAGTTAAAGAATGTTTACGTTGCAATGTACCATGTTTTGAAGTTACGGAACGTTCAGATGTTGATTTTAATCCTCTTGATTGCCAAATTTGGGTTCCAGGTCAATGAAGCAGCCACAAACTTAAAGCTAATTGAAAAGGGGCTATCAAAGGAAGACTTATCAATTTCAGTGTTGATCAATTTCCCATTTGAAATGTTTATTGGTTATTATGCTGGTACCTGGGCTCAAGGCAAATCACCTTTGAAACCCTGGATTTATGGATTTGCTGGTAGATTATTGGTGGCCCTGGCCGCTCAAGTTCTTGTGTATTGTTTCCCGTCAGATGGAGTAGTAACCCCAACGTATTTTGCAGCCATCATCTTACATCATTTGTTGTTATCGTTTGTGCTGACGGTACAGTTTGTTTCCTTGTGTGCCTTCTTTAACACCATTGCTGATCCAGTCATTGGAGGTACGTATATGACCACTTTAAATACCGTGTCCAATTTCGGGGGTACATGGCCGAGATTCTTTATTTTTGTTTTGATTGATAAGTTCACCGATGCGGTTTGTCTGACCGGAAGTGTTGTTCTCAATGAGATCGATAAGGAAACCTGTGTCAAAGCTGGAGGCCATGTTAATGTGTTCCGAGATGGATACTATTACGCCAATTTCATCTGTGTTGCTTGTGGAGCCATCATATTAATATGGGTAAGAAAGAAGGCTATTTATCTCCAAAGTTTACCTCCCAGTGCATGGAGAATGAAGGGACAAGACTGATATGATTTATGACGTGACATGACATGACATGACATTGTATTATATTATATATTTATTCTATGTACATCTAGCTGGTGTTACCCAGTGTTCCAGCCGTTGAATGATAAAACTCGTCGTTCAAGAAATCCGAAGGAGAAAAGGGGATTTTAGTTTCATCCTTCATCTTTCTTGATAGTGATGAATAGTTGCCAACAATGGAAGGAATAATCGATGTTGCCAAATGAGACGACGTCACTGAATTTGAAACTATATTATTAGTAATACTATTATTATTAATAATAATATTACCATTATTATTGGTGCTTGCTGAATGATGATTCTTCAAACTACTTCCAGGGATATTATAGTAGTCGTTTTCGTTGTTCATGGAGGAACTGGACATCGAACTGGCCAACATATTAAATGCATTTGAGATGATATTGGAGTGCGAACTAACATTAATAGAACGTGCCAATGATGCGGAGCCACTAATGTAATGAGAAGGAGGATTCAATTGAGGTGATGCATTCACATAATTCTTATAGCTCTGAGTAAATTGATTGACCAACTTTGTAGACTCATCATTATTATTATTTGGTGAAGATGTATGTGGATTCTTGTATATATTGGTGTACCAATCTGGTTTCTGAAACGTTTCTAGACTCTTTTCATGCGTATGCTTTGACCTCCGTTTCAGGGGGTGGTCTCCACCCATGTATTCTCCAATTTGATCATTCTCATCGTCGTATAACGTCGAGTAATAGTCGTCAGTGTACGGGAACTTACTAAGCCGTCTATTGGATGATGATGATGGAGAATCTTGAGGCGTTCGATGGACCAAATATGATTGGTTCCGAGGATGACTGGTCACAAGTTGATTATTATTACTATTATTGGGACTGATACCTTGTTGAAATTGAGGATGATGGTGGAATTGATGATTTTGCTGTTGTTGTTGATGATGCAACTGATGATTATCTTGAAGATATTGCTGTTGTTGTCGTTGTTGGTGATGTTGATGATAGTGATGTGAATTATGAAGAGAAGTGGGACTCGAATAGTACCATACTTGCATCAAAATAACAATGTCAAAAGTTACAGTTCCAGCACTGCCGATGATAAACGGAAGTCGAACAAGTACCTCTTTATTGTACAAGGTTGGGTCCACCAACTTAAGAACATATAAATCCGTAACCACTGAGGTGGCATAGAAAGTGTTCCCCAACATTGCAAAGAGAAACAAATACATCAGTATCCCTTTGGTGGACTTGTTACAAAAGTTTCTGTATATCTGGGGACATCGGGATGACACGTAAAGACATGTACAACACCACGCAGATAGCGATCCAATGTTTTCCTTTGTAAAAGTTATGGCCCCTAAAGCTGTGGCAAAGGTGTGGAGTGCTAAAATAAATCTATCCCAGGGTGAATCTGGTGATGGTGCTGTTGGGGTAGTGGGTTTATGTACCGGGAACCCATGAACCGGTTTAGTTAAGCTTTTTGCCATGAACGAAGTACCTAATAACTTCTTGATAAGACTACCACCAGTGAGATCAGCTCTTCTGTTATCTAGTCTTAGTCTTGGAGATGAAGATACCCTATGGGGTGCTCTAGTATTCTCTATGGGGAACGGTGAATTCTGTTCTACTTCAGACAGTCTTTCACGATCATGATGATGATGATGCTGATGACGATCACCACCAACTTCAACTTGTTCTTCACCACCATCAGTTTCAGTTTCAGTGTATTCAAATCTGTTTCTTCGAGGAAGAGAATGAGCCCTTACGGTTCCCACAGATTTGGTGGGTCGAAGCATATCTGGACTTTGTAATAAGTTATGATGATGTCCTTGAGGTTGCAGGGGGAATACCTTCGTGTAGTACCAATATTGAATTCCAAGGATGAGATCAATAAAGCAATAATATGCTGCTAAACAAACCTGGAACGGAAGAGCCCGAGTGAGAATACATCCCACCAAATTAGTCACATCACCAAGCACCCAAATGAGAAGAAACAGCAACAGGACACCTGCTACTGATTGGTTCAAATGATTCTCTATAATTTGAGGAAGTTGAGCAAAGAGCCATATTGAAAGTGAAAGTATTCCTGATATTCGAGAAATGGTTTGGTAATGTATTAAGGTTGATTCTAATGGAGTATCTAATTGGAACAACGACGAGATCATGTCTATCGACGGAACTGCCATTCTTTGTCAAACAAAAGTACTGACTTACTCACTCAGTCACAATCACAGTCACACCACTTTTCACGCACTAAGTGACACCTGACACCTCTTATCAACTCCTACCTACTACCTTCAAAAGTTCTCTGATTTGATCTCAATGACGATTCTCGTTAATTGGGTTCAAAGGATTATATTTAGGTGCATGAAATGATATTGACGGAGACAAAGGAAGGAAGGATGACCTCAAAAGGAAAATAACCTATATATCCAAACACAAACCAAATACGTTAATGTTGTATATGTTTTGGTGATGACCTTTGTAGAAAGAGATCAAAAAAGTCGTTCTGCCAAGTTCATACTAAGTTGGTGACTGGCCTTTAGATTAGGCAAGTGAACCAATGCGACCTGCTTCATACAGGATCGTGGTTGTTGGTCATCATTCAGTGATGTTAAAATTAGAAACTGTCTACATCATTATTATGTCATATGCTACATCAGTACTATACTGTTTAATGTTCATACTGTAGTTATTTGTAATTATTCTATGTAGGGAGCTCTGTTAACGTGTTAAATGACTAAACTAAACCAAAGTCAAACCACGTATGATCTCATGGTAGCGCGCATTGTTGTTATGTGCGTGCGTGTGTGCTCGCTCAGATCGCAGTGAGTTACTCTAATCGTTAATTCCTAGTTGAGAACGGTATGATACCCTTCTCCTTACATACTCTTGTTCATCAATAAGGGGTGCTTGTGCTTAATGCAATGCAAAACGTAATTATACATTTCATACATACATACACATGTACATACTTTAAAAACCTGTAAGGTCACAGTAATTGTCTGAAGTAGGAGTAGATACAGCATTTGAATGATTACCACCATGTGATTTCACCAGTGATTTTCTACGAGCCCATACCTTGGAGTCATTCAAATGTAAAGTGAATTTGGATTCTGTGCCTCCATTACTGATAATGCTTGATGAACGAGTTTGGTCACTTGCAGATTGATGTAAATCCAAAAAATCATCAACTTCACCACCAGAACCAATCTCTGAATGCGGCCCAACTATATGGAGATAATCTTCTTCTGAACGAGGGGTACCACCTTTTGAAGACCCAGAAACAATTCCATAATTAACATCAGACAATTCGGTTAAATGATCTCTTGTTTCATCAACACTAGTTTGCCTGTCACTTTCAGAATCTAATTCTGTCAGATCATCAAATGAATCATCATCATCATCTTGATCTTGATCTTGGTCCTCATCAGGATCAAAATCAAATACATTCTTGAATGTTAAGTGGGAAATTTCAGGCATAGGGGTTTTAGGGAGTTCTCCATTAACCCCCCTATGATGTAACGGTGCTCCAACAGTCAATTTTAATGTTGCACTATGGGGATTGATTTTCTTCAGTTTCATCATTGCTGGATTACTGAAAACCTTCTTGATGGCTTCTGCTGCTGCAGGACTCTTATTGTGAAGATTCCGTACAGATTCATCAAATTTATATTGTATGGGTGGTGCATGGTTTGTTTGTCCTGCAAATTCAACATGCCGTATGGTACTTTCTGTTGTATCCTCCATTTGAAAGTAATCATTGGTGCAAACTAATTCTAAACTCATTTGTTTCATCCAAGGATGCATCCAAATTTCCAGAATGGTTATACGATCTTCAGGATTAATTACCAACATACGATTAATTAAATCCTTCGCTTGATCACTAATTTCATCCCACCAAGGACTAAGAAATGCATACTCTCCTTTAATGATCTTTTGAGTTAAAATATCATTGTCTTCATCATAAAATGGTGGGAACCCACAAAGAATAGTGTACAATAAACAACCAAGAGACCAGATATCAACTGCCTTCAGGTAATAGTTCTTCTTACTTACCAAATTCAGAAACCGTTTGTTCTTGTCGGTTGTTTGTTTTGACTTTTTATCTTCATGTGAATTACAAGTAATAACTTCCGGAGCTGTATAACCTGCTGTTCCACAAGGAGTTTTCAAATCTGTAAGAGTTTCATGTTTCAATTGTTTCGCAAGACCAAAATCAGCTAATTTAACCACCCCAATTGTACCTCCTCCTATCCCTGGTTGGAACATGCCTTCATCGACTTTGGAAATATCATCGCTTCTACGAAGATATTGAGAAGGGTTATGACGAGGAATATGAGGAATCTTTTCAAACAAAAGATTTTCTGGTTTAATATCTCGATGAACTATATTCTTGACATTATGCAAATGATCTAAAGCTGACAATATTTGGGCAAACACATGACGAGATAAGTCTTCCAGGAAATAAGTATATTCGATGATCTTGTTGAAGATTTCACCTCCTTTACAGTTCTCAAGAACCAAGTATAAATACTGATCAGTAGAATAATGATGAAGAAGTTTAAGGATATTTGGATGATTCAGTAACTTTTTCATTAAGGTAATTTCATTCTTGCAGTTAGCAAATTGTTTTGCCAGAAGCTTTGATTTATCGATAACTTTGATAGCCACTTGAGACTTATCCCTCAAGTCTATAGCTCTGTATACTAGGGAAAAGGCCCCTTCACCCAACAAGGAGTCGATCATGTAGTATGAGGGAAGGTCTCTGGAGATAAGCAGTACATCTGAGCCCATTTGGTGTAGAGTGAAAGTAGCTGCTGAAGATGGATGTGTATCTATAGAAGTGTGAGTGTCTGAACATGGGTTAGTGTCTGAACATGGGTTAGTGTCTTCGTGACTTAAAGAGAAGGTGTTATTACTATTATTCTTATCATTGATGGTGGGAGTTGGTGTGAGTATTTGAGAAGGTGCATTAGTCTTTGTGTTGTCAGTAGACTCTGAGACTCTCTTCTTTCTATCGTGAAGAAGTAAGCTCTTGAATTCCTAAAATTATGGTGTTAGCGTATGATACGAGATATGGTTAAAATATCATAATCATCAATAGTTATTATGATACATACTCTCAAGATGGTCATTTTTAGATGGTTGTCATCAAATTCGAAATAGATGGATTTCTTAGTGTACCATTAAATAGATTATTAATGCCCATATATATAAATAAATAAATCGTATCTATGTATGTACGTACCATGTACAATAAGTTTTTCATGCGTTGATGCATTCGAATGGGGTTGGCGGTAAACCATACGTCAGTGGAGTACAGTGGTCCCTACACAAAGCCTGCATGTGAGTGCTTGCACAAACAAAACAAAAGACAACAAATTAGTAGGGAAGAATCTAAAGTGGGAACTAGCATATGTGGGTTTACAAAGTATACAATAACAAAAGAGTTATGAGAGGAGAGAATGAACGTGATAGTTTTATTTCTTGTTATTAAGGTCTACATACACTATACACTTTGAATTGAAGATATGTTTCTTTTAGTAGTAAGGTATTGGTACTCGAATTAGTAGGAGCAGGCTATAATTACCAAAAGGGAGGAATGACCCCACTCATTTGTTAGCGTAGGGCCTTAAATGTATCTGCAGTACTTACGTACATGTCTTTTTGCAAAATCAACGATGTAAATGCACATGTCCCTGGTACCTCGTTCCTGGATACAACGCCAAGTTGACTGCCGAATCGGGAGAATGTTATGTTTTTGTTCCATCTATGTAATGGAACGATAATATAGAGAGGTTGTATGCCTGAAGAGTCAACATAACCCTATGCTATCTTTTCAAATTGGTTTAGTTACTTTCTATCATGGGTTAAACTCATAACATATATGTACTACTTTTACGAGCCACCGTGACCACCCATATTTTACGTTTTGGAGTATATTGAGTGTTGTGCGCTGAAGAGTACAACAGATAGCGCAGTACTGTAGTGGGAATGCACAGAAGTACTTTTTTTTAGTGAAAGTTAATATGTACTCTCACGTAATTCAGCATAATAGGCTGATATACACGAAGGTCATCGAGCCTTATATAAGCAAAGTATTGAAGGTATTTCTCCGCATTGATTAATATCTAGCGTTATGGAATATCATGGTAATAATAGCCCACTAGCTACCACCCTCATCGTCTCGTTATCTCGTACGGCTTTCAAAAGCAACAGAAGGTGCGGAGTAAGATCTATATGTGAAATCCATACAGATGTTTCAAGCTATTTGAAGAACAAGGTGTAAACTTGCCATTACTAAGACTTATTTTTCGCTTGCTCGCCTGTTCACAGACAACACCAAATCTGTAATCCATTTTTGTACAATAAGAGGAAGCAAAGTGAAAACTTACTATTGCTATCGTAGGATCTGGTGAAATGTTTGATGGTGGCAATTGGTAGGTACTACAACGTGTGGGAATACAGAATTATCATGGGTGTATGGTTTTAATTTCAACATTCCCACCCAAGAAATTTGACTAGTGCATTTCATATTTGCCTCTTCCCCATGGTCTCACGTACCTTTCCTCATCCACAAAATGCACATACAGTGTCAATGGTATGCAACGTCTGTTGAATGAAACAATCATAGTAAGCTATCGTTATTGTGCCACATGAACCTTCATACTAAATGTAATGTAAGCACAGATGAGATAGTGATCATTCCTACCACCTTTTTTTTTTGCTACTGCGTGAAACCCTTTCTACTGTGCAACAGCTTACTCTATCATTCAGCGATAGAACAATAGCAATAAGGGTGCTGAAAAATATTCTCCTTGAGATCGTAGTAGGTTCACGTGCCAACAAAAACCTTCACGACGGACTTGAGAATAGTCCCATCTGCGTAGAAATTACTACAAGAGGGGTACAGGTACAAAGAATGACTAACACAACAGACATAAGCAAAGTATAAACGTAACATGACAAACCAATAACAGTAACCAGCTACTACTAGTACTACTACTAGTACTACTTCTACAACAGCAACAACAACAACAACATAAAGTCGTTCGGTCAATTCAATGCAAGCGAGAAGATTATATTGCTCATGGAATAAAAGACCCTTTGGCTTCAAACCCAAGTACGTGTGGAAGACAAGGACGTCGTAAAGTGCAAACGATTTGTAGTAGTATAAGTAAAACATGAAACGTAACATTTACCCCCGTTACATATCACTTCTACCCCGCCACCACGTTGAAAGTTCGTCGTTGGTGTTGGGTCAGGCATCCCCTTCTAGCTATTGAAGTTCGAGTAATATCATATAGTAATCTCATTGAGCAGTACATACAGCTGTAATTGTTTTGAAAGACAAACATAGATACACACGGAAACAACAAACAACTTGATGTGTATATGATTGGATTGTAACGCCACTTACCACGGCTGACTCTATATATTATCTTTGCTTAGACACATACTCACGAGACTAGCAATATTACCACTTGGCCACCGGTTATGATGATGGGTGATGATGAGGGGTAGAAGGGGTTTGAGGGAAGTGCACCGATTTCAATGCTTAATTACAGGATCCAGATCTGGAAAAACGTTCTACCTTTCCTTAGTTACGAGCAAAAAATATAGCAACGGTTTGGAGATTAAAATCAAAGCAATGTAACAAAAACTTTCAGTTTTCTTAGATCTCATGCCACTTTTCGTATCATATATCTTGAATAGAATGAGGTAGTTGTAGTAAGAGGTTTAGTTGGTAAAAATGAGCAAAATCGTGGGTGTGAGCAAAAGCGTACAGCTTATTATCAAACTTTGTCACGTGAAACATCACGTGATGGGATGGAAATGTGAGCGATGAGCCTCTGAAAAACCCCATTGAATTATCTGCAAAAAGACCGTAAGTCACTACATCTTCACAGTGTATAAAGCTATAGTGTGACCGAACAATGGCTTCCAAAAAGAATGACTTCCGATCGCCCAATGTTGATACCGAAGCAATAGACAAGTTGAACCAGATAAACGAATCATCTGACTTGCATGATACAGTTGAGTTCATCAAGAGTGCCAACTTGGCTAAACTTCTTAACACCTGGTCGTATTGTAATTCCGTTAATGATCATGCTGGTTTCATCAAGATCACCAAGAGTTTGGCCAAGTTTACACACAAGTTATTGGATGACTATAAGACTCAAGAAGATCATCTGGCATTATTGATGGAAGCTAAACCACTTGTGGTTGAATGGTATAAGAGTATTTTGCATAACCACATGAAGATTATTTACCGATGTTTAACAAATAACAGAAACCAAACCACATTACCGATTTTGCATATGTTGGAGAATATTGTTGAATTCCATCCCTCTACACTAGTTACTGAGTTTATCAATGCCTTTGATTTCAATATCCCAGTGTTACCCAAGTTATTAGTACCTGGAAGAGATCAATATATCAGAAGTCAATTTATAAGATTTTGGATTAAGTTGAATACCCTTGCACCATATCACATCAGAAAGGACATTCTTATAAACAATTATAAGATTGCTAATAATTTGATCAAACATATTGCAGAAGACCCTGTGGATTTGTTAACCCAATGGTTTGAGTTTCTAACTAAAATGGTCCTTATGGAGCCAAGCTTTAAGAAATCAACCAAATGCAAAATTATAAACGATAATACAATGTTTAAAATTCAATCTTTAATTGATTTGCATGTCGAAGAATCTCAATTCAGATCCATTTTCGATAACTTTGTTACCACTTTAACCACTGATTTCAAGTTCGGCGTTTGTTTTATTAGCAACCCTGTAAGAAAGGAAGATGCGGCTACCAATGGTGGTGTGCCAATTACAGCTTATGGAAAAAGCTTCCGGATACACAATAAGCTTTTATTTTCATTCCTTAAATCATTGAAGCCTTCGGAATCAAATCTTCAGTTAAATGTCGCTATAGAAACCTTGAAATACAATCAAGAACTAATTATTCCATACATGTATTGGATTATCCAATCAGGTGGTGGTTTCCATGAACCTAATCTTTCCAGTTGGTGGATTGGCCATACCTTGTTCTACTCTCAGATATTAACTCTTCCTATCCCAAAGATCTTCCATGAAGATCAACTAGTCATAACCAGCAACAGGTTAGTGGTGGATATGATCAGCTTACCTCCTATAAGCAGAGCTGCGTTGACCCACTGTCTTGATGACAAGCAACCTCCATTGGTCAGACAACTTGCTGTTCAGCTTATCATTTTAACTTTAAAGAGACTTTCAAAGTTCTTGCCGTACACCGAGAACAAACAAGAACTTACAAACTTGGTGTTCCAAAGACTTCCTGATTTGGCCAATATCATTCTGATCTGGCAAAATCAAGTCGAAGATAATATAAACGATGTCTTGAAATTATCATGTTCTACTGCAGCTAACCTTTATGAGTTGGCAATTCCTACCAACAATAATGCCTTGATCAAATTATGTAACAGTGAGATCCAGAAAGTCGTTGGCTTGTCTCAATTATCAGGTTGGGATTTGGTCAATCTTGATAATTGTTTATCGATTCAATTCCATCAAGCAGATCAATCTCAACTTAGATGGTACAGTTCTACTGCTAATTCGCATTCGTTGTTCACCAACCTTTTGAAGTTAGCAGCAACTGCAACTGGTACAACTTCTAATGAAAAGTTCATCAATTTGATTTCCACTTTGGTGGAATATAAAGCAGATATCCTATTCAACCAGCAAACGTTATGTTCTGTTGTGACAGCACTTTTCAGGTCCTTTGAAGAAGAACCAATCCCCAATGAAATTGCAAAATTGCTCGATGAACTGGTTGGAAGAAGTATCAAAACCCCATATAAATACACAGATCTTTCCCATGCAAAGTACAACGATGTTTCTATGTTTGTGGTGGTGCTCATGGAGCAAGTAAAGTTTGTTCAGAGTGATATTTCCCTTTGGTTGGGTAAATTCCTCCGTTCATTAATCATCATTGGTGAGTCAGAAGAAGGAATCACCAAATTAATTGATGACTATTTAAGTCCATTAGATTTCCTACAGATCGACGCCATTAAATCATACACTAGTTTCACTCCCAAACCATGTTCAGAGACCCCTGACTTTGTTGAGTATGTGTTGAACGACACCAAGTTAACCCAAGTCTCAAAGAAGATCATCACTTCTGATTATGAGTTATGTGCTTTATTACTCCGGTTGAAACTTCTTCTTAACGATCATCACGAAGCCCCAAAAGATGAGTTGATAATCGAATTGGGTATAAAAATAGGGCAGTACTTGAGTGCAAGTGTCAGTGGAAATAAGAAGTTGAAACAGTTTATTCTTAGTACTAACTTTTGGAAGCTTTTCTTTCCAGAGAGCCAGGAGGAAGCCTCTAATGCCAAATTGTTAATGAGCCATTTAATGAATGAAGTATATATTCAGCTAGGGGAGGGTGACCTTAGAGTGAATTCTGAATTATGTTCATTCATGTTCTCCAAGTGGTTGCACCTTGCTAGTGCTGCAGAAGCAGATACAAACGATTATACCAAACTTTTGGGACAATTCGATTGGATGTTCACTCTGGAACAGGTGCTTGAGTTATTAGCAAAGATAAACAATCAATACTTGAGAGCTTGCTTATTGCGTCATGCATTGAAACACAAACTAATGATCCCAAGTAGCTTATTCATTAATGTCTTGGAGAATTGTGGTGATGGTAACCTTGAAGCCTTTGAGCAAGCGTTAGAATCGAGAATAATCCTATTGAAGGATAACCAAGAATTAAAGTCTTTGATCGAGTCAGTGATAAACAGTAAGCAAAGTTTTTTGAAGAGTATCTGCATCGGATTCCCTGAGGCAATTGAGTTGTTAGTTGAAGTACCAACTTCACCAGCTACCCAGTTTCTTATTGCAGAGGCTATAGCCACCAAGAAAGTGGTTACCCCACGTACTTCGTGTTACATGGAAGATATAGCTTCTAAGGCAATTCAGTTATACGAACAGGATTCCATCAACTTGAAGCAATTACTTGAGGTTGTCAGCTATAACGAGACCACCAGAGCTGTGTTGTCGGTTGATACTGTGTTCAATACTTATATTGACAAGATTGGATATAAATACTGCTTTACCCCGGAGTTTGCCCAGTTCATATCACTTAAAAACTGCAACGACAACGATTCCCAGGTTCGGACTTGGAAACATAAGTGTATGCTTTATATCACAAAGAAGTTTGCTGAAAGCGAAACGCTACTGGAATCTTTCGACCGGTTCTTATTGGCTATTAGATGTCAATTGAACGATATATGGGACATTGTCCCCACAAACATCTTGAACACCCAATTGGAGGTCATTTTGCGTCATAGTAAATGGGTCCAGAATGAACATTACTTGCGGTATGTGTTTGATATTATTTCCAGTACTACATCAAAGAAGCAAATTGATTTTGTCAAGCTGCTTCAGATCTTTGTCAACAACGAAGCCAACGGATTGAATGACTTACCTCTGGAGTCAAATTTCGAATGCAGGTTTGTATCCGCTGATATTATAGGGAAATTATTCAGGTACGATGATTCCAAGAACGCAACAGAGCTTCTTCAAGAGAATTTACTTTTAAAGTATTTGGGTTCCGTTCGGTACGAAGATTTGGTGCTTAAAGAGATTCTCAAGAAGATTGAGAGCAAATTGAGTAGAAGTTGGATGATTATGGTTTCCAATTGGGAGTTTTCTGAGCTTTTGTCATCTTCTGATTTGGAACTAGTAACCATGGAGAGACTCCTACAAAAGATATCTACTTCTGGTGCTACTGCTGGTGCCGGTGGCTCGTATGTGGTCAACTTGAACAAGAACTTTGTTATCAACACCATTAATTATGGTAAATTTGATAAGAACTTGGCTGTCCCTGAAATCAATGAGATTCAAGTGTCACATTCTTATGATACAACTGTCTATGACCGGGAGTTTCTTTTGATGTTGATCTTGAATAATGAAGAGTTGGTGAGAATAGAGGATGATAATGCTTTGAAGTTTGATGTGGGTAAATTGATAGACTCTGGGATCTTACAATTCATTGTCACTTGTCTCTCTGACCCTTCAGTCAAGACCATAGCCATTTCTATATTAAGCGGTGTGTTAAGGTCTTTAACCGAGGCAGAAGATAAGCACAAGAATAATATAATCCAGGTTTACGTTGCCAATATTTTAAACACTGTCAAAAAGAACCAATTTGAATTGTTGGCTCCAGTGGCAGTCTTTGCTTATGCCAGTCTTATACCCATCCTAGCCAACCCAGCTCATTTCTTATATGAGAAGAGCTTCCGGTACGTTCTTTCCAATCCAACATTGAAGGCCAGTAATGGAATAGCTTTATTCCATTCCATAAGCACGGCATCCACAAATGACTCGGAGCTTAGTGAAAACGACGAGAGTTACTACCGCCAACTCACTTGGCTCTTACAGATTTTGAATACGGGGACTTCTACTACAACAGATGTCTCCCTTGTTCAGAAAACAGGTGTACTAGAATGGGCACTCAATGTTCTCACCAACAATGAGTACATTCAGTCCAACATAATTGCCGAGGCATTGAAGCTATTAGCAACCTTGCAATCCATAGATTACGCTGGAGACTTACTAGTTACCAGATTTGCAATAACTACCAGCTTAAACCAGTTGGTATCCAATACCAATCTCCGCATACAATTGACCACTAACGAAAGAGAGTTGGCTTCGTTGCATCAAATCAAACTCAACGTGGACCAATTAATTGCCAGGTTTGCGCTTATAACCAAAAACTCCCATCGTCTTAGTCATTGGGCTTCTAAAGACTTACCCCATGCATTAAAGAGAATCCATACTGAAGCTAATTAGGCGTCCATATCGATTATATAAGCACCCCTGTATATAATACACAGTAGTTGTATGGAAAAAGTGAAACAGTAGAAACCTCGTTGGGTTCCTACTGTTTAAGACAACGTATATATAGTGTGTAGATAGCACAATATGAGTGTATGTAGGATGTGGAACTACACGTTGAGCTACAAGTGAACGGTTGTGGTACTAACAGAGTCTAGCTTGGGAAGTTGACACACTATTCCATTGATTTGGTGTTGATCTCGGTGATCCTTGCTGGGGTCCATAGAAACACAGGGTTGACATTTGATACTAGCCATTTCAATTCTGTAGATTTCCGTCGGTGGTTTGGAAACTACTTGGCGTTTGGAGAAAAGTGCTACGATTATACCGTGAAGCTCTTGAAGATGACGGGGTATTTCAAGCAGAATAATTTGGTGTTTGATTACGTCAAGAGGAATGCCAATGAAATCTTGAAGGAACAAACAGGGAGAGATATTGCTGACTTTAATCCTCATCAAGATTGAAGGGATTATTAATATATTGCTATTGCTGAAATTATTCTTTCATATACATATATATATTGGATTTATATGTTGGTTGTATACAAGGAAAGTTACGTGCTAGTCTCTATTAAGAATATATAACCTACTCTTGGTAGCGCCCGTCAAAACCCAAAAACCGTTTGTTAATATCTTACGGGATCCTTGTTGATGTCTACTTCTATTCCCTTCTAACAGTATGTATTTACGTCCTTTGTTATAACGTTGCATCACTCCATGAATGCATTGGATCAGTCTAAGGATACATGAAATAACAGACTTATTTATATAAATATACTGTATTGAGATGCATGGAGGAAGAAAGCAAATGCCTCACTCTTCACTCTTGAAAAACCTTTACAGACAGCCACTAACAATCTGACGTGTAGAATATGACTATTAAGTTTGTAGCTCGGTTCAAGGATGCTATTGAAGCTGAAATGCGACTGGATATTGCGCTTGCCAATGATTATCTCAAGGCATATTCACCGAAGCAGTTGGCCAGAATGGGTCTAGCAATAATTAACTTGGTGGTGACAAACCTTCGTACTGGTCTTGGAGGTAAGAATATCTTGGAGTTAGAGTGTGATCCTTCCCTAGGAACGGAATTGGCAGTGGGGAGCTTTAAAGTTGGTGATATTGTTCGAATCGATCGAATGAAGGGCACCGACAAGTTGGCCAAGGGGAAGAGAAGCAAACATTCAGCTACTGATAAAGATAAAGATAACGGTGATAGAAGTGATACTGATGATTTGGATGGTGTTGTTGTGCGGATCTCCATGAAGGGTATCACTGTTAGTGTAGATGAAGATACCAATGATATCAAAGTCATGAACATGTACAACAATACAGACAGCTCTAAGAAGATATGGATAGTGAAGCTAGCGAATTCCATCACCTATAAGAGAATGAACTCCACATTGCAGAAATTAGATGATCTCTGTGATAAGAAGAATGCTCTTACACTGATTCTTTTGAAAGAGTATGTCTATAAACCAATTGATAAGGGTCCTTCTGTTCCTGATTTGATATACTTCAATTCAACTTTGAACCCATCACAAAGGAGTGCAATCCAGTTTGCTATCAGCAATATTATTAGCATTATCCATGGACCACCTGGAACTGGGAAAACTTACACCATCATAGAATTAATTAAACAGTTAACATTGAACCGAAACGAAAGAGTCTTGGTGTGTGGACCTTCTAATATTAGTGTTGACACTATTCTTGAACGACTTTCAGATTCGTATACCAATCTGTTGGATTTAATTAGAATAGGACATCCAGCCAGGTTGTTAAGCTTAAAGCATTCACTTGAAGTTGCTGCACAATTATCGGGAAAAGAGATCATTGCTGACATTAAGAACGATATTGATTCCACCATAAGGAAAAGTAAAAAGACCAAGCAATATCTGGAACGGAAGCTTTTATGGAAGGAGATCAAAGATTTAAGGAAAGAGTTGAGACAGAGAGAGAAGAAAGTCATTAATGATCTTATTTCAGCAAGTAAAGTTGTATGTTGTACATTACATGGAGCTGGAAGTTACGATTTAAGAACTCCATTGGCTGGTAATTTATTTGATACCATCATCATTGATGAAGTTTCTCAATCTCTTGAACCTCAATGTTGGATTCCTATCATAGCAAATCTTGGAGCCAAAAGATTGGTAATAGCTGGTGATAATATGCAATTACCCCCAACAGTGAAAAGCAGTAAAGACTCAAACGATTTAGGAACCCTTGGTGTGACATTATTTGATCGGTTGGTTCAGGAAGCTAATGGGAATGAATTCAAAAGAATCTTGAATGTTCAATATCGTATGAATGACTACATTATGCAGTTTGCTTCTCATGAACTATACAATGGGGTGCTTCAAAGTTCACCATCTGTTAAGGAAATAAGTGTTAAGGACTTGATTAAGAAACAGACAATTCTGTACGATGATAATGATGATGCCATAGATTTAGATTTCATTACCTCTCCTTGTATTTGGTACGATACTCAGGGCGGAGAGTTTCCTGAGAAGATTGAAGACTTATTGGGATCAACATCGACGAATGTGCTTGTGGATAGTGGGTCTAAGTTCAATGAGATGGAAGCCTTGGTTGTCCAAAACCATGTGAAACAATTAATATCTATTGGAGTTGAACCAGAATGCATTGGTATCATAAGTCCATATTCTGCTCAAGTAATGCATATCAAGCAAACCATGGGGAAGGAATTAGAAGGTAAGATAGAGATAGCATCAGTAGATGGGTTCCAAGGACGAGAAAAGGAAATAATCATACTTTCACTTGTTCGTTCTAATGGCGACTACGAAGTTGGGTTTTTGAAGGATAAGCGACGGTTGAATGTTGCTATGACTCGAGCAAAGAGACAATTGTGTGTTGTTGGGGATATGGAAATGCTTGAAAGGAGTGGGGTTGAATATTTGAAGCATTGGATGGAATTTGTTGAACAAACATACGAAATTATGTATCCTGATCCTGGGGACTTGTTAGCAGGTGTAACTTCCCAATTAGAGGTTAGCTAAAGGAGATGTTCAGTTAACTACTACTTGATTTGGTCATGGCAGGAGTCATAAGCATGATTTCTTTATACCCAGCCAAGCATTATTCATTAGGGTATATGCGACAATTAAGCATTGTAGTGATTCTAAGATGAGCTAACTAGTGCTAATGATGTCATTGTAGTGTTTTATAAAGTGTTTCAGACTTTGATTACTGGACAGGTGGGGTGTAAACTGAAACAGATAGAATATTCAATGGTTTTTGATGGAAAAGAATCCAATTCATTCAAAAGTATATCAAGTTAACACATAAAGACGAAACTAGATTTGAGTCATACTAGTAGCTTTACATAGAAATACATGAATTAACCATTAATAGTTAACAGCTGTAAAAGTGATAGTCTCCATAATTGATCACCATAGCCCTAGTTCAAAGGTCACAGGTTTAGGATCTCGATATCAATAGATTGTTTCATCCAGTCACCCCTTCGCTATGATGGGTTACAGCCTGACTAATTCAGATCGTTGTACTGTGTACACGTCCGTGGTTGAAGCGACATGCCTCCTGGTATTCAGAGGATCAAGTCCGATTCATGACTTTTCGCAGCCAGTTGGAGGGAGCGATATTGTTAGAGACGAGGCCCTATTGTTCCAGAAGGGTACATGAACTAAATATATGGTCTAGAGCGAAAAGATAGAATGTAAGCGCACTATGTAAATACACTCCATGGTGAATGGACCTGATACAATCAAGGGAGTTAAGAATGTTGCTGAAATATGTTGAAAAGAAACGAAATTCGAAATCAAAGTTTAACAGAGCATGTGACGTCACGGACAAACGACTCTGTTTAGCAGACCATGGTTGCTTGCGGTTAATTAACATCGGGATGTTTCAATCGATCGCATCATTACGAATATCACCATATAATTACTCACATACCAAATGACATGCAGTGTATAGACCATTTAAGTGAGAACGCATTTTGTAGATTGTTCTGGCCCGTCAATGAGTGGGGAACAAACTGTTTCAGGCATTGTTTCAAATACTTGAACTCAAACAAGATAATTTTTCAGAGAGAACTCGCACCACTACTACGACAGAACTACATTAATGGTGCCATGAACGTGAATCTTCTTATAGAGCTCTGCAATACTAGCAACCAGTACCCATTTATGTACGTTCTACTGATTAAGGTATGGTTAAGGGACGCTTCTTCCTTTAATGATATTTGTTTACTTTTACCATCCAGTTACCGCTTTAGTTCCTTGGCTTCTTCATCAAACTGCCCCAAAAATCGGCACTACCATTGACGTTACATTGACTATGCTAGCTATTCCATGCAGAGATACACGAATTTTCAGTAACAATTGACTTCACAAAGCACATTTTGCGTGTTTCAACCGCCGCCAAACTAGGAGAATGGTTGCAACAAAAGAGTATTTTGGATTCGTGGTGTCTAAATCCAAAGGAGTTTAAATTGCAAAATGCACTCTGATACCGTTAAAACATTTCCCGATGAAATTCTTGCTGCATGCCTCTCTCCAAGGAATATAAATGTAGTTGTAGTTGCCGATATTGTTGATAACTTTTGTAAATGATTCAAGCTCTTCATTAGTTTGTTAATCTAAGCAGTCAAAGTTTCAACCCTTATAAAAAGTTATATCCAACTTTAGTCGTTCCTTACACCTTGAAACCTCGTCGCTCCTTACAAGAACAGCCTAACCCAGCTTAACACACGCCCACTCCTTACTACTATTATTATTTGATACCCAAAAAAACATGAAGGTCACTTCTTTACTTGCTCTTGGAGCTATTTCTACCGTGGCTCAAGCTAAGACTTACTATGAAACGGTCACCTTCGTCTCTACCATCTTTGCCGATGTCACCTTCACTACTACTGCTTCTCCCAAGTACGTCACCGAAGGCGGACACCACAAACATGCTGGTCACTTTAGTGATGCAGATTTCGAGTTCCCAAAAGATGGTTCTGATACCACAATTATTATTGATAACCATAATGGTGTTGCTGAAGCCAGTCCATCCTCTGCTGCTGCTGAAGCCGCAGCTTCTGTTGAGGCTACAGTTTCAGTTGAAGCTGATTCAAACACTAAATCTGCTCCCAGAATGTCTACCTCTCTTGCTTATTCCTTTGCTACCACTATTGAAAATGATTACGAAGCCACTGCTTCTGTCAAGGCTCCTGCTCCTTCCTCATCTAAAGATTCAGAATCCACTGTTTCTGCTGCTGCTCCAACTCAAGCCTCCACTAAAGATTCATCAACTGGTAACAGTGACATCTATTCTGCAATCAGCAACAGTCCTGGCTTGAATGAAACTTTTGCTAAGATCATTTTGGATTACCATAATGATGTTAGAAGAATTCACCAGGCTCCAGAAATGGCTTGGAATAAAACTCTTTGGGAATACGCTCAAAAGCATGCTGATGCTTATGTCTGTGGTTCTGGATTGAAACATACTGGTGGTCCATTTGGTGAAAACTTACTTGCTGGTGGTTCAGACCCAACTGTGGCTGCTCCCTCTTGGTACTCTGAAGAAAAGGACTGGGTTTATGGTGTCAATGGTACTCAATACAGTCACTTTTCACAAATGGTTTGGTTCGACACTGATCAACTTGGTTGTGCCTACAAGTACTGTTCAGACCGTGAAAAGCTTTACCCTGGTTACTACGTTATCTGTAACTACTACAAGTTTGGTAACGTGATGAAAACCCAAGCTAAACAAGTTCTTCCTCCTATTAAGTCTTTGGAATACTTGGCTCTGACTTCTTACAATTAAGCCAAGTAACTAACGCTATGTCTTCTTTTTTATGTTTTTTACCTGTTGTTCGCTTTATACGTTACCATTCGTATAACTTACTTTTACGAAATTGGATTACTGGAATTGTTATATCGGATTTTTGAACATTAACTGTAGAATGTACTGTGTAGATTATACCGTATATCTATCTCAATACGACAATGGTGATACAAATTACTTTGAGCCGTCTTTGCGAACCGGTTTCTGACTCCGAACCATTCTATACCAAATGGGACATACATGCGTAGCATAGAGCAATGCATTAGATTCCAATTAAGCTATATCTCAACTGAGCCCGAAACAGATACAATCGTCAGCAGCCCAACCTGTATCTTGTACTACTGATAGCATTTAGGCCTACTCTTTTTCTCTATCGAAAGTCGTGCACCAACCACAAATGTATCATTAGCTTTGAGTTGGAATGACACTATTGTGATATGTAACCAAATGACTAACACCATAGGTTGACTTGACCAACGTCTTTTCAATTGATACACGTCATATTAAGTACTACTGATTAGGGTACCCTACCGAGGTATCTGAAACACCCCCGACTATGGCTGAACTGGAAGAAGCTGCTGGTGGTGAAGCAGCAGCGTTGATAAAAGAAGAAGCGGTGTTATCTGAGCTAGAAGGTGATTTGGGGGGATCTGCTCCCAGACAAAGAGTGAAGCGAACTTCTTTAGCGTGTATCCGATGTCGTACGAGACATATCAAATGTCCAGGAGGAAATCCTTGTAAGAAGTGCCAGATGGCACAGACCAAATGTGAATACATTGAAGCTGATAGAAAGATTGTAGTATCCATGAAATATCTTAGTAAGTTGCATGACGATATAGCCAGGTTGAAGAAAGACAATGCGACATTAAGGAATAACTTGAAGAAGGAAGCAGATCTGAACAAATTATCAAACACTGCTGCTGATAAAGATATACTTGGTGGTGGCTCACGTCCATCATTGGTTCGAGATTCAAGTGTCTCACTGCTTCACAGGGGAGATTCCACTTCTTTAGATTCAAGTGCATCTAATGGTTCAGGCTATGATTCTGGCAGATCTCCCAATGCGTTTACGAATAATCTTCGATATTATCCCCAAACTTATTATCAGGGTAACCAACAACTGCATTCGCAAGTTCTGCATCCGCATGCTCTGCAACTGCAACTGCAATATTCTCAAGTTAAGGATGAAATGGCTCAGGAAGTAATACAACCATCACTAGATAAACATGGGAGACTCATACAATCAAGAACAGGAGAGAAATTGTATGCTGGATCTTCATCTATGACACTTTTTGGGTTAGAAATCCAAAATATGGTTCTGCAATCATCATTGTCTTCTCCTACTACATCCCCAATAGAATCAAACAATATGATTACTACTAATAATAATAAGATGTCTCCTTCGTCAATTCAACAGATGATATCTCAACAACAATCCATACCATTGAATAAACTGGTGAAATCAGAGTCACAGTCTTCAACGAACCGTGGAAGTAAACGTGAAACTGAAATATTGGAAAAGGAAGGCAATGCCTATAAGATCACATTGGCTAAAACAAATACTAGACCAGGTCTACTGATTAATTTCACCCTTCCATCATATTCGTATGCAATGTTATTGGTGGATACATTTATCAACTACAACGATGGTTGCTTCTATTTCTTCAATGAAGGACTCGTGAAAAGGTTTCTTATGAATCTTTATAGTGGGAAGTCACATGAGAATAAGAAGATATTAAAACGTAATCATACTAATGTGGCTAGAAATGAAGGGAATGCCGATATCGATGAAAATACCATTAAAAAGGATGCAGATGATGATACCATTTTAGAAACCATTTGGTTCTGTAAGATCCTACTTATATTTGCAATTGGAGAGATGTATTTAGGTACAGAGTCGGATATTCATATTAAAAAGCTGAAGATAATTGATAAATTGGCATATGCTTCCACCAAGAACAAATCAAACACTACCAACAAAGATCCTCAGTTTATATCCAATATGGACATGATGACAGAAAATGAAGAGACCATTAAAGAGAAGAAGAATACTTTACCTGGATCTGGGTTCTTCTTCCAAGCATCAGAATTATTTACAGGATTGTTTGCATCTGGAGCTATTGATAATTCCACCAAAGATGGAGGTATTGAAGCCATGCTTCTTTATGCATTTTATTTACAAGTGGCCGATTGTACTATTGCATCATATTTTTATTTTGGACTAGCACTTCGTTCTACGTTAATTTTAGGGTGGCATGTGGACTCCGAAAAGGATAATTTGAACCGATTTGAATTGGAGCATAGAAGAAGAATTTGGTGGACTGTTTATATGTATGAAAGAATGTTACTGTCTAAAGCTGGGTTGCCATTAAGTTTTGCAGATGATAGTGTTTCAACAGAATTACCCGTTGATTTTGATATGAGTCTTGATGATTGTCCAAGAGATGACAATGATATAAGAGGATTCTATATTTTCCCATCTGCTGAATACATTAATAATTGTGTTACCATCACTCAGATTAATGCTATTATTTTATCTTCATTATATACCAAACAACCCACGGTTAATATTTTACCAGTTGTTTCTGATTTGGTTCATAAGTTGATGCAATGGAAGAACGCTTTACCTCCATTTCTAAAAGTGGATTATTTACAAGAGAATTTGAAAGTATCTCGATTAATTGTTAATTTAATGACTGAATATTTCCAAGGTATGAATTTAGCAGTTCGGCCACTTTTATTCCATTTTGCTACCAAAAAATTGAAAGATTTACAAACTTCAATGGCCCTGAACAAATACGTTGACCTCACAAAATATTCCAAAAATGTTTTAACTTTACTAAATGCTTCATTTCAAGCTTCAATTAATACCATCAAATCGATTTGGGCTTTGGTACCTGAAAATATGGTGGCATTATTTGGTTGGATGGATAGAGAATATCTTTTCACATCAGCATCGACACTAATCTTATTTAACACTTCTTTTGGAGTCCACGAAGCAACAAAGGAACATTTAGACCATGCATTAATTATATTTACCCGGATGAAGGAGCTTGGGAATTATCCGGCTGCCTTACGAAGAGCTCAATTGTTGAAGCTTATTAGAGTTTTGGACTTCAACGGAGTAATGAGTGATTTACTCCAGAAGCATGATGACGAAGAGGAAGAAGGAGAATACAGTGAGCAAGTAACTGGTGAAAGATCTAATATGATAAATAACCCATTAATTGATACTGCCAGAGAATTTGAAGATCTTAATCCCATAAACCATCCGTTGAGATCACGTGACCGTGATCATGGCCGGGATCAAACTCTACCTCCAGCTGATAATTCTTCAACGATGACAACGACAACAGTAAGGAACGATAAGGAGAAGTTTAGTTTTATTGATTTCGAAAAGAGTGTCCCTGAAGATTACTATACTCAAGCTACTGGTCCCACAACATTTAATTTTGATGATAATGGTGATATGGTTGTAGATGGAACTGGAGACGACATTTATAATAGTGATTTGGCAGGGATCGAAGGGGTCATGTACTTGGATGATGAACAGAAATTATGGCATGATATTACCACTGAAGCTGTATGGTTAAATACCAATAATCCTACGCAACCCCCGTCACGTGACTTGAGCCATACGGATTTCTTTAAGAATTCTTTTAATCCAAGAGAAAAATACCCGAGTTTATTGAAGTCTCGAAATCAAAGTCCGCTCAATGAAACCGGGCCGGGGACAGGGCCGGTCACGGGGTCGGTCACGGGCACCAAAAGCTCATCCCAAGAAGACAACCAACAGTATCAAAACATCTACGAGGGATTGATGGACAGTCTTAGTAATAATACCGGGTATCATCCGGTACACAATGGGTTCAGTCACAATGTAACTGCTGGAGGTTACAGCGACATAATTAACCAAGAGTTCCAAGATATGATGGAAGGTTAACTTAAGTATTAGTATTTATTAATTGTACAACTATTTTACATCATCTCTGCTTAATCCATCATACCACCATTGGTCATCATCATGTCGTTCATAAGCAGCATGGTATTAACAGAACTATCACCATACGAGGACGTCATTCCTCCGGAGATATCCATACCTTCGTTAGGGTTAAAGTTCAGAAACCCCCCCATGGCTAATCCTCCCAATGTGTCGTCGGTGTTACCACCAAAGCCGTCGTTGTTTGGAGTCATGGAGCTGGCTTGTTGGAGGATTTGTTGTGGCAGCATGGTGGATATTGGGGTATTTTGGGCCGAAGAAATCGATCTTCTGGTGGCCATTGGCTGCTGCTGCTGGTTGATATGTTTGAAAGATTGGGAGCCATTATTATTATTATTATTATTATTATTGTTAGTGCTATTGGTATTACTTGGGTTGAAGCTGGGGTTCAGTACCATGGGCAGTTGTTGTTGAGATTGCTTGGGTGGGATATAACTGGGTGTATTCTTGTACAAGGGAGAGTTGGTCATTATTGGAGTATGCTGTTGACTGAATTGACCACTCATTTGTCGTTGAACAGTAGAAGGCATCTGACTGGTTATCTGAGGAGAACTTATATTATTATTATTACTACTACTTGTAGGGGGAATTTGTTGTTGATGATGCTGTTGCTGTTGATTAGCTCTTCCCGTAAGCGAAGGAGGAGGCGAATGCTGTTGAAGGGGAATTTGGTTCGCTTGTGGTTGATTCATATCTTGTTGAGCTCTTTTCCATTGCAGTAACCTCATCTTCAAGTACTGAACGGCCTCAGGATACAACTCTTGTAGTTTTTGATAAAGCTGATTCAATTCAGGCATATCTGGAGGCGGAGATAAGATCACCGGGAATGATGCCTTATTATTCGTACTGGTAGTAGAAGAGCTTGAAGATGCCGTCGCAATGTCATCATGATATTTCTCATAGATAAATGTTAACACCAGAAGATTGCAATGGAGTCGTTTGGTGCAGTTTTGATACAGCTCGATCACTTGCTGTCTCAGTCGGGGCTCAAGGGTATTCAAGATCCCTTGGTTATTGTATACTTTCAATGCCTTCTTCATGAGTTGGGTGTTGATAAGTAAGAGACACTTGACTCGTTCTCTTTCTAATGCTATGGTTGGCGGTGGTGGCGGCGTGGCACCGTTGATCGGACCACCGGGGATTCTCCCGTTAGGGGCTTGAACTTGAGCCATAATGAATGAACCTGGGGATAACTATGTTGTGATGATAGGGACTTTGTTTTTTTGTCACTGATAATTTTTGGTCGGGATTTTGTATTCGCACGGCACGACATAATTGAGAATGTCGTCCGAATGTCGTCAGTGGGGGTAATAAATATATAGTTGTATACATATATATATTCATATATACATTCACATATACATTCACATATGACTACACACAGTCATATGCAAAAAACTTGTCTTTATCTTTTTAGCACACTATTTACTGCTATGATTGGCGTAATTTATCTGTGCGGCTGCCTTCGTGAATGTCCGAAATCCCCACCCCTCCCCCACTAGGCGCATAAGTTGCGTGGGGGTGCAAGTCCAGCCGACCTGCATTCTAGTTTTGGTATACCAGTAAACTTTTGCAGCAATTAATGAATAGCACCAATTTGATTATGATATTTATTATATACAAGACTATGCACAGGTTCACCCGATAACCAAATTCATTCTATCCTTGTTCATTCTTCTCATACCTCCCAAGTCCATATCAAAGGTGCCTTGTCCCAGGGTAAGTTTCCGCAACTTACTTAAATAGCCAATCATCTCTTTCAATGGCACCTCCGCATGGATAATCTTATTTCCGCCTCTATTGGCTCCATCAATGGCGGACTTCATGGTGAAATCTGGAGGTACATAAATGGTCTGAGCTAATTCGGTGGCCCAGGTATTATCCAAATCAGTAGCATCATCTTCAATAGACGTAATAGTAGCATTACATCTGTGGGATAAATCATGGACTGTCTCTCCCATATAATTCGATGGAACATGGACTCGAACATTCATAATTGGTTCCAGAAGACAGAATTCACCTTCTGAGATCTTGGAAACACTGGTACGTACAGACCTTCTGCTTATATCCAATAAGACGGACAAACCACCTTCACTGGTATCAACGGGGAAAGTCCACAGTTTAATACGAATAACCATAGAATGGAAGGGGAACCCATATAAAGGACCCCCTTGTTGAAGTCCTATAAGACACCCTTGAACTATTGATTCTTGGAGTTGTTCAAGTGTATGGGCCGATTTCCATCTTCTATCGGAGATCGCCGAGTGCATGGAGATTGGTGTCGCGGTAGGTTCAAATACCAAGACATTGTTATCAGGTAGAATGTAAGCACCTTCTTCTTCTGCAAACATTGAATCTTCAGCTCTTCCTTCGAATGACTCCAACGAAATCGAGACGGAAATACTACTGTCCTCATTCTCTTCTAAATGAGCCCCCAGAAGTGGTTTGGTCTTTGTTGCGGTTTCCATGTAACTGACAACAACATCTCTTAACCTAACCTTTGCTTTCATATCACGGACCAACCGATCTTGAACTATATCTAAATGTAATTCTCCCATGCCTCCTAGAATGGTTTGGCCCAATTCGTTATCGACTTGAACCTTGAGTGAAGGGTCTTCTCTCATTAATTGGGCAATACATTCATTCATATACCGCTCATCACCAGCAGTCAAAGGCTCTATTGCTGCATTGAACAATGGTGCAGGTATAGGGATGGGTAATAGCTTAAGAGCACTTTCAGTAGGACCAAAATGCTTAGATTCAGTCGAATGTCCAACTAAAGTGTCTCCTGTGATGATGGAGTTATCGGTACCCAGAATCACCCCAATATTGCCCAGTCCTATGAACTTAACTGGTTCTGGCTGATCACCATGCATCATGTATAACTTATTAATGGGAATTTTGGACCCTGATCTGGTATTTAGAATCATACTATTGGCATTAATACGACCACTGTAAACCCTAAAGAACGTCATTACCCCCCGAGTTTCATGAGTAATCACTTTGAATGCCAATGCAAGTGTAAGGTTAGAATTATTGTTGACAACAACACCTTTTTTAGGATCAAGTTTCACCAATACTTGAGCATTTGTCGATTTAGATGAACCATTGGTATCTGCAGCAGATACTTTGATGTTCTTCTTCTTATTTTTTTTGGAAAGCTTGTATAGTCCTCCACTAGAAGTAGTAACTTCAGGTAGACTCACTTCCAATGGTGAAGGAAGATAACTCACCACACCATCCATTAATGGTTGAACTCCTATATTACGGAAGGAGGCACCACAAAAGACCGGAGTCACTTGATTAGTCAACGTCAAAGATTTGATTGAATTGATTAAAACATTCACAGGAACTTTCATATAATCAGCATCGTTATCAAAAAATGATTCAATGACAGTTTCATCGAATTCTCCTAAAGTTTCTACCATTGATTCTCTGGTCTTCAGAACCATTTCATAAATATCAGGATAAAGTTCACCATTAGATTCCAAATCAACAAGCTCAATTTCTTTACCTGAACTGTCCAATTTTTCACTCCATTTCAATATCTTTTTATGAATAACATCAACAACTCCACAGAACTTTGGCTCTTCTTCACCTTCAATCAGAGCGAAATACGGGATATTACAAAGAACAACTCGGGTTTGAAGCTTCAGAACAATCTCCTTAACCGTTCGAGAAAACCCAGCTCCTTCTCGATCCATTTTATTAATGAAGGCTATTCTAGGTATCCCTAAAGCAGAAGCTTGTTTCCAAACCTTTTCAGTTTGAGTCTCCACACCAGCTACACCATCGAGAATAGTAACGGCTCCATCTAACACTCTCAATGATCTAATAACTTCCATAGTAAAGTCCGCATGTCCTGGAGTATCCAACACATTGATCTTATGTCCGTTCCAAGGTAAAGTGATAGCAGCCAGTTGAATGGTGATTCCTCTTTCTCGTTCTGCGGTCAAATAGTCTGTTACTGTATCCCCTTCATCAACGTTTCCTATTCTAGCAGTTCTACCACTATAGAAGAGCATTCTCTCGGTAGTGGTCGTTTTCCCAGCATCGATATGTGCAATGATCCCAATGTTTCTAGTTTTAGTCGGAGGCACTGAGTTGAGTGCTTGAGAGGGAGGCACAGCGTAGAAGCGAACGACGGAGTGGATACCGGAGTAGAGACTCCATCGTTTCCGAAAGGGTGTACATCGCAACACAGGTGTCATGATTAATGCTGCCTTCCGTACCCTTGCTGTAGGCCGTTAAAGAGACTAGTGTTACTGTTGATCTCATAATTTTTCGGTATACTCTTTAGGGCTAGATCACGTGCGAGACGGAGTCAATGAGTGTAAGGATAAAAAGCAGGGACGTTAGGAGGTAACAAGAAGTCTGTCGTAATGGCGATCTTGTAAAGTGATGAAACTTAACAGCGATAAAGCAACATATATGCCATCTTCTTCAGTTGCGATCTCAGTTCTGGACAATGACTACCAAGTCTTATTGACATTATCATAGACGAGATAGTGACAAATTCTGCCGTTTTTGGACAGCCGATGGATGGCAGCTGGTAACGAAGAACACAAAACAGCCCTGTACCCACGGCTTTTGGCAATCATATATAACAATATATAACCCATCTACCAAATAAAGATGATTTGTAATCGAATAGTAGTAAGTAATAGGGTAGCCGTAAGTGTAGCCGTAAGTAGCCGCATTGGTACGGCACGGCACGATCTATCTGTAGATGATGACATGCCTCCACAAAACACGGGCAGGAGGGTCTTTCCCGGATAGGCTGGTACGTGCGTGGTGGCCATTGGACTTTAACTTTTACACCACATAAGCCAATGAGATAGCAGTAGTACATATGAGGGTATCGAAGTCCCCCACTCAGATTATTTACGGAAATCACATCCGAACCCCGTCGGGAAAAATGATCGAGACTCCGGTATAATTATATGAGTCAGCAACTTTGAGAGGTCCAATTATATAAGAGCATAATGATATCGGCATAACCACATAGCAGTCATAACAGACAAAAGACACACACAACTCAGTCACAGCACAGTCTAAGCATTCACCGACACAACACAGCATAACTCTCATACAAAGCATAACTCATTCACATTATGACGCAATCTGAAGAAGACGTTGGAACAGACATGAGTCAAACAGATAATGAAAAGTCTGATCCTGAGACTGCTAAAGCGGCTGAACAGGCGGAAAAAGCTGAACGGACTCAACCGACTGAACATTATGATGACCCTGATTTAGACAAAGGATATGCATGGGTTATATGTATTGCTATATTCATATTGAACTTCAATACATGGGGGATGAATAGTGGTTTTGCCGTTTATTTATCTGATTATATCAACAATAATGTTTACCCCGGTACCTCCAAAGAACAATATAGTTTTATAGGGGGGATATCGTTTGGGGTTGGGTTAGCATTAACACCAGTGATCAATTACATCTATGGAATCATTGGGGTTAAAACAACAGTTATCATGGGCAACTGTATGCAATTTGCTGGGTTATTTCTTGCATCTTTCACCACCAAATATTGGCAATTGGTATTAACTCAGGGGCTACTTAATTCTTTTGGGTTGGCATTCATTGCCTTACCTGCTATAACGTTATTACCTCAATATTTCAAAAAGAAGAGAACCATGGCCGCTGGGTTAGCTACGGCCGGAGCCGGGGCCGGAGGCATTGTCTACAATTTGGGTATGCAAAAGATCTTACAAGTGAAATCCGTTCATTGGGCTCTAAGAGCTCAATGTATAATTGCCTTTGGATTAATTTGGATTTCTATCTTCCTAATCAGATCAAGAGCTCAACATCATAAGATTGTGTTTACCGCATATGATCCTCAAGTCATAAGGAGTCCAGGGTTTTATATGTTGACCTCGTATATTGTTTTTTGCATGTTTGCCTATACCATATTACTTTATACCATGGTGAATTTCACTACTTCCTTAGGTTACTCTGGATATCAAGGGTCTATAGCTTCAGCATTAGTGGCTGCCGGTTCTGTTATTGGAAGACCATTTACAGGAGTCATAGGTGATCGTGGTGGTCCTATTACCGTGGCTGCTATAGTCTATGCAATATGCGCCATATTTACCTTTTCCATGTGGATACCTGCCAGAAACCTTGCCACGGTGTATGTATTCTCTGTTATCATTGGAGGATTAATGGGGTGTGTTTACACCAGCATTGGTGCTATATGTGCCCGATTATCGGGTTTAAAAAAGATGAATGTCACCTTCTCTATGGTCTGGGTGTTTATGGGATTAGCAGGGATATTTTCCCCCGTTATTGGATTGAAGCTTAAACAAGGATCCGGAGGTTATGTTGACCCCACGCAATACTTGCATTGTCAAATCTTTGTGGGGTTTTCATTTGTTGGATGCTCATTGAGTGCATTCCTATTAAGAGGGTACATTATTGCTAGAGATAAAGTCCATGATGATAGTGATACCATGGTCGATTTGGATGGTGATGTTCTTCATCTTGGAACAGACATGAAGTCTGTTTTAAAGGGGGTTTTTCAATTAAGATCAAAGAGAATTGTTTAGGAGGCATATATATAGAGCATAATAATATAACACAGTACTAATTCGTGTCTTACAGTGTTACTGCTGTCATGTAGAGTCATCTAGTTAGCTGTGTACATAGTCACATGGTATCACTACTATCATAGCCATGTACATATATGTACAGTATCATACACTGCAGTATACCCTATCCTACAATGCTGTATGTTCTACGGTTAGCTGACACTACATCCTTAAGCCTTCATCACTAATGTCTCTTATTATCGCGACATTTAAAAATTATAAACACTTCTCTCTTCTTAATCACCATATGCTTCCCCTGACATCAATATGACAGATCAGGTTGACGTTGAAACTGATCCGGCGATCAAACGAATAAAGCTTGATCCCGAGTCACATGAGGCACAAACCTTAGAACAAATCTTTGGTACAACAGATCCCATCAAATCGGAACTGGCCAATGATAAACTTGTATCACCACTCGATGAACCAATGGAACTGAATTCTATCGGCGACCAAATAGATGCCATGACTGCTTCCACCAATACTGTATCAATCACTGCCACTAATCATACACCAATTACAGCCACCAATAATCCACCAATACCTTTAGATAATGACTCCGTATCTTTACTTAAAGCACAAAACCCTAATAGTATCAACACCCTGATACCAACAACACATACCGGTATCACCAACAACAACAACAACAATTTTCAAACTGACGATTCAAAAGGTTACCAAACCAAAAATACTATTCCTCCAACTAATGGAGTATCCAATGTTACTCCTTCAACAAATGGAGTATCCAATGTTACTCCTTCAACAAATGGAGTATCCAATGTTACTCCTCCAACTAATGGAATATCCAATGTTACTTCTCCAACTAATGGACTATCCCATCTGGCTCCTTCAACTAGTGCACTTTCCAATCCCATCCTTCCACCTTCCAATATCAACAGTAATAATACCATGTTCAATAGTAATAATGACAATAATAATAATAATAGTAATAATAATAATAACACAATTTCTTCTTTCCCTACCACCACACCTGGAGGCTTCCCCCCTTTGCCAACTACGCTTCCAACCACATCATCAATTCCGCACGGATTCACAACCACCCAATTGCATAATAATAATCGAGATACCAAAAGCCTATCTCAAGCCCCCCCTCGTGTTAATTCAACCCCTTTATCCTCCACTGCTCCTCCTACTCCCAAAATAAGTCGTCTAGTTATCTTGTACGACACACCAAAATATCAACATATGAAAACACAAATAGAAGATTTCAAATTGTTCCCACATACTTCACTTAAAGTAGTGTTACTTAGTGATTTGGATCTGCTCCAGAAAGATCCTTACGATTGGTTGAACTTGTGCATAGAATATAATGATGAATTTAGTGGGAATTTGAAGAAAATATCAGAATTCATTGATACCAATAAAGAATACATTAAAAGTTTTAAAGAAATTGGGTATCATTTCCAATTTGATTCTCGAAAGAAATGGCCAGATGATTATACTGAATTTGATAAAGATGAGTATTCTTCGTTTATTAATATTTTGAAGTCTACAGTTGCTGATAAAGTAGTTCATTGTTCCATAATCAACAAGTTTGAAATCAATACCATATATTTAACCAATAAGGATGATTTGGAGAAACTAGGACATGAAATCCAATCGGATATTGATTCCTGGAAGAATTTACGGTTATTTGATTATGGAGATAATTGTATCCGGTTTTTCCCCGGAGTTAAGTTTCCTGATACTTTAGAATTAATGAATATTGGAGGTGGATATGCTTTGGAAACTTTAGCCGGATTTAAAATGCCACCAAAGCTAAAAGTGCTAATTGCATCCCATGGTTCGATAACCAATATTGATAATATTCAATTCCCTTCGACCTTAGAAACGTTAGAATTGGTGGAGAATAAATTATATTTTATAAATCATGTGGAATTCCCCATGAAATTAGAGAAATTAGACTTATCCAACAATAGAATTGATAATTTAAGAGGAATAGAATTCCCCAAAAATTTGAAACAATTATCATTATCAATGAATCCAATAGATTCAATCAAAGGAATTAAATTCCCCAACCATCTAGAATATTTGGATATTTCATGTGTTCCTAATGAATCAATGACCGGGGTTAAGTTTCCGGATTCACTTGTGGCTTTAAATTTACAAGAATCCATGATAACTACCCGAGGTTTAAAACTTCCACCATTTTTAAAGGAAGTCAATTTGGGGGATAATGGAGTCAATAGTATTAATCCTTTGAAATTGCCTGATTCAATCGAAAAACTTTGGTTGACTAATAATAATATTAAGACTCTTAATAAAGTTCAGTTCCCACGAACATTAAAGGAATTATATTTGGGGAATAATATGATAACCACTTTAAAAAATGTTTTATTCCCCAAGACTTTACAATTACTTGATATGGAAATGGATCCAGAATTTGATGAACATGATAAGCATTTAACTACTTTGAAAGATGTTGTTTTCCCCATTAATCTCAAACATTTGAATTTAGGATATCATTCCATCAAATCGGTTGAATCTATTGAGTTTCCTTATCATCTTGAGACACTAAGTCTTCGATATAATGAATTAAAAGTGTTTCGAAATAACAAGTTCGGACCTTACCTAAAGAAACTCGATCTAAGTGGGAACCAAGATTTGATTTCATTGGATCATATTTTATTACCGGATGCATTAGTTGATTTGAGAGTTCCTAATCAGTTAGTTGATAAATTACCTGGGTATATTATCGAACGAGCCAATTCCAAAAAATTGGTTATTACTAAATCAAGTCCATATTAGTGAGCACCAATGATTAATTGTTGGTGGTCATTAAAGATTGGGGGTCAAAGTACATTAAAAAAATATACTAAAGCTATCTAATACACAGTTAAGAAGAGAAATGGTATTCCTTTAATCTTCATCATCATCTTCTTCGTCAGATTCCTTTTCTTCAGCTTCCTTTCTTTCCAATAAAGCTTGCAATTCAGCATCTTCTGTGGCGGTCACAGCCTTTGGAGCCATAGTGATTTTACAATTCCCACCATCCTTTTCGATTGAAGTGGTGATTTTTTCAATAGCCTTTTCCAATAAAGCAATCCCTTGTTTCTTATCCAAAGATTGTGCGGACAACACATACAAAGGAGCAGCCACCAATTTGGCCTTGACTTGAATATGTTCAGTGGATTCTTCTTCAGCAGATCTTAAGGCTCTCTTGATAGCATCGATCCCTTCATAGGAGAAACATGAAACTTCAACATCAGCTCTAATCTTAATGGCTTGAGGAGTTAATCTTCTACTGATGTATAATTTCAATTCATCTAAAACATCGGAGGATGGAGGAACAATGTCATCAAATATAGAAGGATCAGTAATTGATAACTTAAATGCATCGTAAGAATGACCATATTTCCGGGATAAAGGCCAACCAATCGTCTTATATAATTCCTCTAAAGAGACATTAAACTTCTCAGCACAATGTCTCAAGATTGAATGAACAGCTTTGGACTTATTATATCTTTCATCACATTTAACAATATCTTCAGCACTGACTCTTCTCTTTGATAAATCAATGTACCCCTTTTCTTTATCGACTCTTAATACCACCGCCACTTCATTTTTACCAACACGAATTAACTTTTGAATGGAACGAATACGCCTTCTGGATAATTCTGATAATAATACCATCCCTTCAATGTTATCGTACTCTAATAACTTAACATATGCTCCCATCTCAGCAATCTCTTGCACGTTAACCATAACCACCTCATCGACTTCGGGGTACTTGTTTTCGTAGTATCTAAAGTTGGATGAACTCATGGTGGTATACTTCCGTTTATCAGATAATGTAGTGGGATCAAACAGTACTTTATTTTATAATCTTTGCCTCATGAGAAGATTTTTCAGACATTTTTTTCACTTTGAGGTCTACGCAATCTGGAAAGCAAGTGATTACGTAAGCACGCGACTTAAAGTTAGACTTCCTAAAAGAGCAGTCAGACGGCAAGATGCTCAGAGTGGTTGTATGAATATACCTATATATTCTTTTTGCATCCATTAGATTTATACGTTGATTTCCTTGTTCCTTCAATATTGAATATGCCGATAGAAAGTAGATTAGCCGCTGAAAGTATTATCTCAACCAATGATAATCATGATCGTTCTAGAGCCTTGTATGACTTAGAGAATGCCCATTTTTGTATTGACGCCAGATATAAAGTAGACAAGGTATTAGGCAAAGGATCCTATGGAACAGTGTGTTCAGCGGTAGACACCAAATCAACCAATAAGGTGGCGATCAAAAAAGTGTCCAATATCTTTGATAAGGAAGTGCTATTGAAACGGGCTGTCAGAGAGTTAAAGCTTATGGTTCATTTCCGAGGCCATAGAAATATAGTCAACCTTAAAGATCTTGATATTATTTATGATAAGCCCTATGATGGCTTATATTGTTATCAGGACTTAGTGGAGAATGACTTGACTCATGTTATATTTTCTGGGATCCAATTCAGTGAGTTCCATATTCTGAGTTTCATCTATCAAATCTTGTGCGGGTTAAAGTATATCCATTCGGCTGATGTTATTCATAGAGACTTGAAACCTGGGAACATACTTGTTACTAACAAGGGACAACTTCAAATATGTGATTTTGGATTGGCTAGAGGTATCAATAGTAAATATACTGGGTTCAATTCTCCTCCAATTACAAACTATGTGGCTACCAGATGGTACCGTGCACCTGAGCTTATACTTAGTAAGAGTGAGTATACCAAGGCTGTTGATTTATGGGCTGTGGGGTGTATTTTAGGAGAGTTATACGGTCGGAAACCCATGTTTATGGGTAACAATCAACTTCATCAAATTACAGAGATTTCAAAGATCTTGGGTAATCCAACTTTGGAAGTTATAAGAAAGTATAATTGGAAGTTATATTCCCCTGGTGCTGCAGCACTAGCTGGTGGGAAAGACGCAGAAGTTACCAAGAAGAGTCAATATAGCATAAATACAGTGGCTCCAAGATTACAATATCCTGGGATTGCTTTACTGAAACTCTATCCATATGCTTGTGAAAAGGCATTAGGGATGCTTCAAAGTTTACTCTATTGGGATCCAGACTCCAGACTTAATGTTGAACAAGCCCTCAGCCATTCGTTTTTGGCTGAGATACGATCACCCGAGAACGAACCAGTACACCCAACCGCATTTGATTTTAGTTTTGAAGAGGACAAGAACCACTACTTGAGAATCCTTCAGCAAGATGTTGAACGATTCCGAGAGGAAAAACGGACTTACAGTTTAAGGAGACCTGAAAGCAGTAACAGTGAAGGGGAACGAAATCTCAGTCACAGTCACAACCATAATCATAATTTCAGTACAATGCCACATAATAAAGCGTCTGACACCACTATCAATGAGCCCCACAAACACCACCATTTAGTGGTTAGAACTTTCCAAGCATGAAACCGAGTCTCTGGCATTACGTGTATCTGTGGAGATAAAAGTCTGGTTTTGTGAAGAGTTTATAGATTGCGGGGGGGTCGGAGTAATGACGCAGAAAGCGTAGGTATTGTTCAGGTCTATTTAGTTCCAGTAGTTGTCTAATTCCGGAAGTTTTGAAACAAGTTACAATAGAGTGACAATTTCAGCTGACACCGAGGTCTAATTCAGTTCTACATGGTCAAAGTATTTAAGTAAGGGGTAATGGCAGGAAGAAGTCACTCAGAGTCAGGCAGAGCCAGCATCAATTGACACAAATACAGTCAATCTCAACCCCAACATGACCAAGCCGGAATTGGAAATTGTCCGCATTCACGTCGTTGCTGACGGTGAAGTTGTCCTTGATGATCCAGAGATCAAACACGTTAAGGTGCCAGAGGGAGCAGTGGTCCAAACGACAATCTACTTCAAGTTGAAGGGAGGTCCAGTCAAAGGTTTGAAGAACAAAAAGGGTAATGCCAAAGGTGGAGTTACCATTAGAACCACTGAATTTGTTCTCGGAGATTATGATGATGATGACGAAGAGAAGGTACACGAAGCGAAGTTCCCGGAGGAAACAGCACCCAGTGGATTCCTTTTACGGGGAAAATATACTTCTACATCCTCGTATTATGTTGGGGATGAACTTATTCATGAAACCGTCTATACTACCGAGATTGTTAGAAAGTAAAGTAGCATGGTACAAAATAGAATAAAGGCGGTTATTCGCGGATATAAGCGGACGTAAATTGTAGTATGTCCTTCGTTTTGCGAAACTTAAGGAGTAATTCAAATTCAAACTCAAACTCAAACTCACTACTACTTGTCTCTTCTTTTGCCACCTACTCGTAAGATGACTATCAGACCTGCAACCCACGCAGGTACATGGTATACTTCGAGTAGCCATAAGCTTATGGCCCAATTGAAGACTCTATTTGAACAGACTCTGGTTCGTCCTACCACTGGAAATCGGGTACTTCTAGGACCTCACGCTGGGTACACCTATTCGGGTGAACGGTTAGCAGAGACATTTGCTGTATGGGATACCACCAAGGTCAAACGGATCTTCTTATTGGGACCATCTCATCATGTTTATTTCAATAATAAGGTATTGGTATCCAAATACGATGGATATGAAACTCCTATGGGGGTCTTGCCTGTAGATACCGAGACTGTAAAGACCCTAATCAACAAGGTATCTTCACTGGGAAGACATATCTTCAAATATATGAGTGAAGAGGTTGATGATGATGAACATCTGTTTGAGATGCATGCACCCTTCATCTATTATAGTAGCAAAGAGTTGCCTCAAGGGATACCCAAGATTATTCCTATTTTGATCAGTGGGATGGATGATAAGTTGAATTTGGAGTTGGCCACTGCCTTAGCACCGTATTTGGAAGCTGAAGAGAATCATTTCATTATCAGTTCGGATTTTTGTCATTGGGGTTCAAGATTTGGGTACACCAAGTACTTACACAAGGAGCCAAAGAAGAGTGACGATATTATTCCTTCAGAGTTAAGCTCTCTAAGTAACGTACATGCCTCCTATGACAAGTATGGATCAAGTTCAAAGTCAAAAACAATGCCAATACATACATCGATCGAGCTTCTTGATAGAACAGGAATGAATGTGGCTCTGACGGGATCTTATATCAAATGGAAACGGTACATTGACGTCACGGGGAACACCATATGCGGACAACTGCCAATTGGTGTTATACTTCGAATGTTAGAAGTGGGAGATGTAGACCTGACATTTGAATGGATTGGATACTCTCAAAGTAATTCAGTCACAAGACCGTCTGAAAGCAGTGTTTCTTATGCTTCTGGATACATCACAATAGAGTGAGTAAAAGCAATTAGACTAGATAATTAATAATGTTAGTATGATATCAAAGACGGCCTTGCGGATGATCGGCTTTAAAATTTTGGTCGAACCTGCATATAACTCCATGGTTATTTCAAATTGGAACCGATCCATGAAAATAATAATTGCTATTAAACATGCATCTTTATCAACATTAACGGTTAGAAGAGTTGTATTCCATATTGCTTTTACTTATCATCGATTCAAATTATTAGTCGTCCATTTATCCGAAGAAAGCACAAACAATTGAGCTATCACCTTTACGTCCTTTTGTCCGACGATACCCAAATGAATGAGGCACAGTTCTTCAACAAGATCAAAGCTTCAGAGCTTCAAGTTGAACTTGAACAAGCATTCAAGAAATCCAAAACAACGACTAAAGTTGCCGTAGTAATGAAGAAAATAGTGGCCAATATCATTCTAAATAATCTGGAAATGGTCCGGTTAATGCCGGAAGTCGTTGGACTTCTATCAATGGATTCATTTGAAATTCGTAAGAAATGTTTGCAATATTTGAATGCTTATGCCATGATGGACCCTAAGCTGTCATCTGAAGCCATCCCTATGTTAAGACGGTTTCTTGAAGAGAAACTGAGTCCTGGACTCATCATCATAACCCTCAGAACAGTCTCCAGTATTGGAAATCCTGATTATGTTAAATTGGCTATTAGTAGCATCCCTAGACTCTTAAGAAACCAAGATCCAATGATTAGAAAAGCTGCAGTTTTGGCAGTGGGGAAAGTTTACCAATTCGATCTGAAAAGTGTTACCCGGGAGAATTTGATTGACCAATTGAATCTGTTGCTCCATGATGATAATAATTTTGTGGTGGCCACAGCTTTGGCAGTGTTGGGGTTTATCACTGAACAAAACAATTCTTTGGCATTGCAAGTTGATAAGGAACATGCCTTCAAATTGGTGGAGCTCCTTCCCAAATCGAATGAATGGTGTCAGATCTATATTTTGAATTCTTTGATGCTGTTTGTTCCACAAACCCATAGAGAAGCATTGACTTTGATTGAAGCCACGATCCCATCGTTACAACATGAGAATTCATCAGTGGTTTTAAACTCTCTTAAAGTCATTGTTTATTTGAGTAATTATGTTCTGGATATCACCAATGTTGTTCCTGGTTGGAGCAAGAAATTAGGCACATCTTTAGTGGCATTACTTTCCAATCCTCCCGAAATTCAATTCTTGGTGCTTCGAAATGCCATTCTTTTATTACTTTCTAAACGGAACTTGGTATCTCTTGATGTTGAACAATTATTCTGTCATTATGATGATCCTGTTTATGTCAAAGATACAAAATTGGAGATCATGTACTTGTTGGCCAATGAAAGTAATATCTCTGTTGTATTACCAGAATTGGAAGAATATGCATTGGATATTGATATTCAAATGGCTAGGAAAGCTATAAGAGCTTTTGGGAATTTGGCAGTCAAATTAGAAAATGCTGCTGATCATTGTATGTCAGTTATGGCCTCTTTAATTACCAATGGAGTTGATTACATCGTTCAGGAATCTGCAATTGTGGTTAAGAACGTGGTCAGAAAGTATCCGGGGAAATTTGACTATGTAGTTCAAGAGCTCTTGCAACATTATGATTTGATTGAAGAAAGTGATGCCAAAATTTCAATGGTATGGATTATAGGCCAATATTGTTCAATCATTGATAATGTCGACGTTGTGTTTAATCATTATGCCAAATCCTTCTTGGACGAACCAGTAGAAGTCCAGCTAGCAATTGTCACCGCAGTGGTTAAATATTATCTCATAATTCCTTCCAAGGGAGAACAGGTGATGATTCAAGTGTTGAAATGGGCCACTGAAGACTCAGGAAATCCAGATTTAAGAGATCGTGCCTATATATATTGGAGATTAGTGTCTTCAACTTCAACAACTGGTGGTGGAGGAGGGCAGTCCACAGCATTCCAAGAATTGACAAAGAGTATTGTCTTACATAATAATCCACCCATAAACTCCACCAATGATAATATCGACCCGAATATTTTGCAAGAGTTGGAATTGAATATCGGAACATTAGCATCCATCTATTTGAAACCAGTTACGTTTGTGTTCCGATTATCGAAAAGAAAGACATTAACTTCAAGTCCAGCACTTCAAAAGAGAAGTCCTAAATTGATTGATCCTGGTGATCATCATCAACGGCCAACACTTACCCCACCACCAGTACCTTTCAAAGCAGATCGACAAAGATTGACTGTACCAACATTGGAATCTAAAAGAACAAACTCAACTGGTGAAATTCCTTATCTCCCAAGAACAAAGTCATATGAATCTGCCAGTAGTGGAGAAGTTAAAAAGGAAAGTTTGACTAGAAGACTTACCAGGAAGGCGTCACTACTTTCTCGAAGTAATAGCCACAAGAAGTTTTGATAATTGCGGTATCATATTGTTTCCTTTTTTATTATTGAAGTATCCAACTCAACATCTTCCTCTTCTTGCTTGACTTCATTGTCATCTTCCTTTTCATCTTCTTGTTTGATCTGAACTTCATTCGGGATCCTTCTGGTTTGAACAATTTGTACATCCGTTGCAAACTTGATTGGTGCAGCAACTGGTGCTACTGTTTCAACTTCAATTGAAGGCATATTTTCTTCTGGCCCATCAGGTAAACCCTCAGCAACCAGAAGTATATCTAACCCTAGGAAAGCTGCCAAAATGATGATAGCTGCTGGTTTGGACATCACCGCATTACTTTCCTTACAGAAGCTTGCACAAACACATAAAGGACACCCCCAAACACATTCACAGTCAACCACTCGGTTGTAAGTGGCATAAAGAATATGGTCAATTTGTTTAAACACGTTTGCTGATATTCCTGACCCATCAATACCTCCTTTTGCATCGTAAAAGATCAATCTTGCTGGCCTTATTCTTGTTGTTTGTCTCTTTGCAAATTCTTTCTCAGGAGCTTTACATTCAGTTATCAATTCTGCTTCTCCAACACTTGAAGTTGCCCCAGAAAACTTTGCATTGGGATTAGTGGTTGCTCCACCACTAACAAATATTGGAAGCATGTTCATAAGGGCATGTTGAGCCGCATGAATACCTCCAGCAGGTGATAAACTCTTTTTGGTGATAGCATCGAGAGCAGAGGAAGGAATATCTAACCAGAATCCCTTGGAATCAACTATGAATGGAGGATTATTAACTTCTTCGGCTTCAAGGATTTCACCTCTTCTATTGACTTTGAAATACCCAAACACTATTGTTCTAGACCGAACAAGACCAAAATAAGCAGGAATATCACTTGGAAGTGGAAGATCTATGGGATGTAATGGCTTAATAAGCTGAGTTTCTTGTGGATCAACATCAGTAAAGTCTCTTTGTTGAGTGATCCAATCAACATCAACTCTTTTCACTTTTGCATATTTCCCTTCAGCATTAAACTCTTCAACCAAATAGGGTAACCCTTGATGAAGGAAAATGGCTCCCTTATAAATTGAGAAGCTGGTTCTTGAGGCTTCAATTTCTTCAATGACAATGTTCCTATTGTTGGTAAGATCAACCACTGCATAAGTATCTTCTTCCACTGCTCTGATAGTCACCTTTGTATGAGGATCAGGTAAATATTTTGGCAGCGTTCTATAATAGCCTTTGTTATCTTTAATTAAATTCTTCAACACTATTTGTGAATAGTTATTCTCTTTAATCAGATCATCATGATCACTTGTCTCTCTCACAAAATATTTCATATCTTCCATTATGTTTAAAGGTATCTCATAGGCTGCACATTGTAAATGAGCTTCCATAATAGAATCAGTAGAGCCACCATTGATAAGAGATGTGACACACAAATCTTCATAAGTTGAACGATCAACCAACTCATCTGGATTTGTCATGTAATGTTGATCAGTGGCATTTGAACCTCCAACAAATATGGCCAAACTTCCTTTAGAATCTTTAGCTCTTCCTGCTCTACCAAATTGTTGATGTAAATTCAGTTTCAGAAATGGGAATTGAGAAGTAATAACCACATCTAAATCAGCCAAATCTATACCTAATTCTAAAGCATTAGTAGCAATGATTGCTTTTAAATCACCATTAAACATTTTCCTTTCAATGATTCTACGATCAGATTTACTATAACCTCCACGATAAGCCATAATATCATTATTATCCACCTTTATTGGACCAAACTTGTTTTGTTCCTTTAAGAGGGACTTGACTTCCTTCATTAAAAGTTCACAAATCTTCCGGATTGTACAAAAGACAATCACCTTTATGTTAGGAACATTGGTTAACAATTGTAACAAGATTTTAGCCAGTTCTGTAGTAGCACTTTCTCTAGGAATAAAGGGACTAGCAGTATAATTATTAGTGGAAGTAGTAGCTGATTGTTCTGTAGCAGCAGTTTTCCCCAACTTATTCATTAACGGAGGCGGTCTCCAAATCACAAGACGTCTTTCAGAACATGGACTACCATCTTCAAAGATATGAACCACTGCTTCAGTTGGAGGGATCCCACAGACAGTTTTGAAATGTTCAACTGAATCATTGATGGTTGCTGAACATGAAATGCATTGGATATCAACATTACCAAGTGAATCACAGATCCTTCTTAACCGGGACATGACTAAACCAACATGGACTCCAAATGTTCCCTTGTAGACATGTAATTCGTCCATAATCACATACTTTAGGCTTTTGAGGAAATGTTCCCAGCTTGAATGGTCATCCAAAGTATCATGGTGGGCCAAGATAGATGCATGAATTGAGTCAGGGTTTGTAAAGAGAATATCCGCATGAGAACGTATGCCTCTTCTTAAAGAACTTGGTGTGTCACCGTCATAAGTATCGATGATAATCTTTCGTTTGTTATTCAATGGTAATTTATCTATCAAATCTTGGAGATGACGTTTTTGATCTTGAGCCAATGCCTTGGTGGGGAAGATAAATAGTGCAGTGGAATGTCTACCTTTCAATCCGGAGTCAATATCCCATAAGATATCATTAAGCACTGGGATTTGATAGATAAGTGATTTACCTGAGCTGGTAGAAGTGGTGACAATCACATGTTTCAAGTTTTCACTAATTAAAGCATCAATAGCTTGAGCCTGATGAGTATATAGATCCTTTTCAAGATCTATTTTCTTTAGTGAGTCAAGACCCAATTGGAGATCGGGATGAATGAATTCCAAATTGATAGTGTTTGTTTTAGCAGCTCTAGGTGGATTTAGTACCTTAGTAGTTACTATTTGGTCTTTGTAAAATGGTTTTTGATGCAATGCTTTGAGCATCATATCAATTGTAGGGTACTGCTTGGCATCTGTTGATGATGATGATGATGATGATGATGACGTTGATGTGACCAAGTTTTCTATTGGATCAACAAAGACTTGGGGCACAGGAAGTACAGCTAAAGTCTTTAGTTTGTCCATAGGGATATTGTTAGCGACTTCGTCATCAGAGTACTGATCTAGCCAGGTATTTATACATTTTAGAAACTTGTCGTTTCTAGAGGCAATGATCCCTTGGATTTGTTTTGTTGTAAGGTTCTGAAGCTTTAATTCCTTCAGCAGTAAGAAGAATAAGTCATCTCCTCTTCCAACGTTGTTAGGCTTACGTCGCTTGAACATTGTGCTTGCAATGCTATTGATTCTGGCATCTCTAAAGTCAAAGATCAAGATTTGATCACTGTTATTGCCACCACCATTTTTCAAGTCGTCTATGGACTCAGATTCTTTATGTTGATGGTAGCCAGTCTTCCAATTGAAGTCTACCTTCTCCACAAACAGGAGATGGAGTTGATTCTCGTCAACATAGTCGTAGAACACGTCACCTTCAGGTAGCAATGCTTTTATGATGGCCAAATCCACTGGGTGTAGATCATCTTGGGGCAGATAGAATTTGGCTATTACGTCGTAGGAAGGGATAGTTGATGAACTATGAGTCAGTAGGAACGTGAGCCGGGTATTGAGGATATAGAACAAGCGGAACAACCGTTTGAACTCAGGTGGAAGTTTATCCATGATGAAGAAGGGTGTCGGCCTTTCGCAGTAAAGGGCCGTGCTAGTAAAGTAGCACAACAAGTCGAGCAACTACTACACTTACTAGTTAGTGTACTTCTGTACTACTACTACTACTACTACAACTACTACTAATACTACTACTACTACTACTACTATTACTACTAATACTACTACTACCTGCTACTACTACCTGCTACAACTACCTGCTACCACTAGCCATTTGAGGTACTATTAGTATTTGTGGCACTTCTGATACCTCAACCATTGTGGCTACTACTGTTACCTGTAAGACTGTCACATGTGTTTCTGTTCCCTACATCACTGCTGTTCCTAGTATTATTCATTACCGATCACCACACTTAAACTAAACCGGTGTAATCTCCATTGACCATGTGGTTTGATCATTTGATCATAAGATAACCGGCGATTGTTGCCTGATTTAAGCTGTACTATGACGGACAGAACCACCCAGTACACTACCACACGTTTATACTTGCGACTACTGTTACATTCTACGACCCCATGTGGATTAATTCTGGGGTAGATGAGTAATGAGTGGGGCTTGCTGTCACTACTGCACTTATTATATACATCCTCAAGGAGCAACATAGCCTCATATAAAGGTCAGTACATCGTACGTTCATAAGCTATGTTATAATTAGTGTTGTTGTAAGTACTTATCATCACTGTTGCTATCACTGCCACTACTAACTACTACTGCTACTCACTACGACTACTACTAACATTTCCTGCTATCATTATGTTTGACAAGTTAAAGATCAAATCAAAGGCCAATTCTGTTGCCAGCAGCAGTGCACCATTGACTCCAGGTAAACCTTCTCGTGAAGATATCTATAGAAATCGTCAAAACTATGGAGTTAATTTAGGGGGGTGTTTTGTCTTGGAGAAATGGCTATTCCATTCAATATTCCCTGAAGGAGCCAACTGTGAAGCTGAAGCCGTTGCCAAATTGGTCGAGGAAAATGGTGAAGATGAAGCCAGAACAAGATTGGAAACCCATTGGACAAACTTCATGAGTGATGATGATTGGCAATGGTTGGAAGATCATGGTGTCAACTCGGTACGGATCCCCATTGGATACTGGGAGATTGATGGAGGTAGATTCACCAAACACACCAAGTTTGAACCATTTGGTCATCGGGTTTATGCCAATGCTTGGAGCATATTCAAGAAACTGTTTGTGGAAAAAGCTGGTGAACATGGAATCTCTGTGTTGGTTGATTTACATGGCCTTCCAGGAGGTGCCAATGGATCAGATCATAGTGGGGAACACGGTGGCGATGGTAAGGCAGAATTCTGGCATTCTTCAGAGTTACAACTTTTGATTTGTGAAGGTCTTAAGTTTATAGTTAAGGATTTATTGGACTATGAAAACATTTGTGGGATTCAAATTGTTAATGAAAGTGAATTTGCTGATAACCCCAAGCATCAAAAGGTTTATTATGGAGCAGCCATTAATCTGATTCGAGAAATCGATGGGAATATTCCAATTATAATTTCTGATGGTTGGTGGCCAAACCAATGGGCTGAATGGGTTCAAGAGCTTCAAAATCATAATAATATTTTGGGTGTGGTTATTGACCATCACGTGTATAGATGTTTCTCTGATTCTGATAAGAATAAGAGTCCTCAACAAATTATTGATCAATTACCAGCGGATGTTTTAACCAATATTTCCAAGAATGGCCATGGAGTGGATTTCATGGTGGGGGAATGGTCTTGTGTTTTGGATCAAAGTACTTGGGATAAAGCTGAAGGTGGTGCCAACCATAAAAGAGATGAATTGGTCATTGAATATGGCAATCGGCAGTTAAACCAGTTTATGGAAAGAGCTTCTTATGGTAGTTACTTTTGGACTTTTAAATTTGAATCAGGTAATGGTGGAGAATGGGATTTAAAGACCATGACTGATAAGGGGGCCATTAAGAGTCCTTTACCCAATCGGGGGGTCCAAGTTCCAGATGGTAATAGTTATGAAAGAGCAAAGGAAGATGCCAATAACCAACAGAAACAGTCGGTTGATAAAAATTATGATTGGAATCGGTTCAATGATGGGTTTACTATGGCTTGGAAAGATAGCGAAGAATTTCTTCGGTTTAATGGATCTTTAATTGGTAGAATTGAAGCTACAAAGGAAGAAAGATTAAGAGAAAATTCAACTGAAAGGGGTACTCCTAAACGTCCTGATGAATTTGAATCTGGTTATTTGGCTGGCTTATTTCAATTCAGATCAATAGTATAATTAGCATATAGCTTAAATGTATCGCTTAACTATTTAGCGTCAGTGTATGTCCGGGTGTCACGATGTCCGGGTGTTGCGGTACTATATAAACAAATTCAAAAAAATGAATATATGTAATAATATTAATAATGAGTTCAATTGATAAACCCCCTCTTTTCACATGATTAACATTCGATCTAAGGGAGACCTAGATAAAATAGCAACACGGCTAACGAATGACCTTCAAGTCATCGCTCAACATCTGCTTACTCGCTTTGCCGGGTTCGAAGCGAGTCTCTTAGAGATCTTTAGATATGAGCGAGAGAAACACCTAAGACTTCATTATTGCGACTATGAGATGGCGTATGTGTGCTATTTAGTTGCTTTCCGTTTGAGACAGTTGTTCCACGAAGACAGTTTGAGCTCCCAAGGGGTTGATTTGAAAAAGTATGTCAATTCGTCGTTGATTGCCAATAAGGAAGCGTTCAAAGAGATCACCGAGCAGTTACAAAGTCATCATGAAGACGATAATGACGAAGAAGTCGATGCATTGATGGCACGATTCAATAGTTTGAAAAGAGGAAGTAACGGAGTCTCCAAAACTGGAGTATCATCCTCAGCTTTGCCCTTGCAAAAGTATCCCGATATGATTTCTAATCAGGAACTACACCAAATCATGACCAACGACCCTAGTAGTGTTCTATTGATAGACTTTAGAGTGACTAAAGAGTTTGAAGTTGCTCATATCAATTTCCCAAACATAGTCAATATCCATCCAGCAGATTTAACATCATTGTATGACCTGAAGGGAGCCAGCAACGTTACTGATGGAGATCTTGAAGAAAAGTTGAAGAAGCATATACCCCCGGATCAGTATGATCGATTTAACGAACGACAGAAATATGAACTCATTGTACTTTATAATCAAAACTTTGGGTATAAAGGTGTTTCAATGGATGGTGATAAATTTGAATTGTTGAAACACCTGCTTTTAGATGAATCCATTGATGCCATACCAGCAAATAGTCCCTTTAAAAGGTTGATTGATTTGCTTTGCTTTAGAAACAAATACATAAGTTCCAGATTAAAGAACTTTCCTTGTATATTATTGGGTGGGTTGGATAATTGGAAGCAACAATATGGTCCCAATTCAGTATCAAAAGTTGATCGAATTGCTCCTCTGTTACAAACAAAACCGTCTCTTGCTACATCTTCTTCAAGATTCAACTCATTACCCCGCAATGGTTCAAGTCCAGGCTACTTAACAAGTTTAGATGATTATTTAATCTCAGCTAGAATAGGTGAAGCATACCCGAAACAGTCCACTTTGGTAACAGTTTCTTCTACTAATGGGTCTTCATTGTATAAGCATCCAAGAATATACTCTACTCCAGAAATGACTCAACAACAACAACAACAACAACAACAACAACAACAACAACAACAACAACAACAACAACAACAACAACAACAACAACAACAACAACAACAACAACAACAACAACAACAACAACATCAGCAGCAACAACAACAAATCCCAAAGCAGAAAGTCATTGTCTCTTCTACATCTTCAAGTTCATCATCAGCGTTGACAACCAAGTCTTCAGAACCGACTTCATTAGATTCCACTTCCTTTCTTGTTCAATACTCCACAGGACTTACGAATTTAGGCAACTCATGTTATATGAATTGCATTCTTCAATGTCTTGGAGCTACTCCACAACTTACAAGTTTCTTCTTTTCAGAATTGTCCCCCAAAACTTCACTACCAATTACCGGCAATACCAAATCATCGTATCGAGACCATATTAATGTTCATAACAAATTGGGAACCAAGGGAATTCTTACCACTAGTTTTGTAAAGTTACTTGGAGAAATGTTTCAAAAGAATGGTAAGTCTTTCACTCCAATGGAATTCAAAAAGATTATGGGATCCTTATCTCCGGGAAGACAATTTGCAACATTTGATCAACAAGATTGTATTGAATTTTTGACATTTTTATTAGACTCTTTACATGAAGATTTGAATCAAGCATTACTTTCTTCTCCGGAGGAAAGGAAACAAATCATGGAACTTCCACCTGAACAAGAGAAAATAAGAGAATCTATACCAATTAGATTGGCATCTACAATTGAATGGGAAAGGTATTTGAAATTAAATATCTCCATTATTGTTGATTATTTTGAAGGTCAATTCTTATCCCAATTGAAATGCCTAGAGTGTGGGAACACTTCAACTACTTACAATTCTTTTTCAATTCTTTCACTTCCTATTCCTCAAAAGCTTTCTAAAACAGATATCCTTCTGTTACAAGATTGTCTTGAAGAGTTTACTACCACAGAGCTTTTAGATGATGATAATCAATGGCACTGTTCTGCTTGTAAAAAGTTTGTTAGGTCAACAAAAAAGCTAACAATTACCAGGTTACCTCAAATATTGATTATTCACTTTAAAAGGTTTAAATTACTGTCTAATGGATATTTCAATAAACTTGATACCTTTATCAAGTACCCTGTGGGAGAGACCCTAGACTTGACCAAGTATTGGCCAAGTGCTGGGACTCCTGTGAGTGTCAATGATGTCTCCATCACGAAGGAACAAGAGCAAGAATATTTATCTACTTTCCCCGTACGAAATCAAAGGCCACCCTTCAGATACAAATTGTACGGTGTGGCCAATCATTACGGTAACTTGACCACGGGACATTACACTTCATATGTCTACAAAAGAGGCAAGGGGTGGTGTTATTTTGATGATGCAAAGGTAACGGAGAAATGTAAAGAGTCAACGGTGATGAATAAGAATGCATATTGTTTATTCTATCAAAGAATATAAAACAGACGATTTTTATAGGGCTACTATTCCATCATCAGATTCAGGAGAAGATTCCTTTGGACTTGATTCAATGATTCGAAGTGCTGGATGACTGGCAGCTACACCATGACCAAAGCCAGCCCATAACCAAGAAGGTTTGTCCTGAGGATCCATATGAATATCCCCCGAGAACCCTTCAACAAAACTTCTATCGTTGACAGTAATGTTTGTGGTGAAATCTATAAACTCGTTAAAGATGGTGATACTACTCCAGAATTGAAGTTTCCTAAGACATGCTACCACCAAGCTAGTGATCTGACCTCCGTTAACACAATGCAAATAGAGTGGAGCATATTTGGCATGGATAATGTAATCCAAGATTTGTAGGACATCTTGATAGCCAATAGGAACGGCTCTTTTCTTCCCCTTACCTCCCAGACCTACTTCGAAATGAACTAGTTGGACATTATATGATTCACAAAACTCATATAGTATGGGATCAGATTCTGGTGATATGGGCTCCGGAGTCAACGACACTATGGTTCGGAGTTGAAGGGTTCTTAAAAACGGAACATTAACATCTCGAGGGTAAGCTCCTCGATACAAATTATCTTGAACAGTACTGAAATGCAACGGAGGTGTTAGGGGTTCAGGGATAGATAAGTTCATGACACTAGTATACAGTCCTTGTTATGAATAGTTGCATCTATATTGGTATAATGTGTGTCATTGATAAGCATAAGTTGATTTGAGTTTTGATGCAACAGCTTTAAAATTTCAGTGTAGAATCCAATTTGACCCGGAAACGACTCCGAAGTTGACTCGGGGAAGAAAACGGATATAACAACTACTACTAGAGTTTTCTTTTCTTATATATTATTATTAATTACATTAAAGATTAAATACTCAACCATTAAGAGTACTTCATATATATATATATATGTAAAGAGTGTCACTCACACCAATTAACCTAATTTGGCTTGCTTACAGTCTTCAACATTTGTAGCTAAAGCTTCCTCTAATGTCATTCTTGGTGGACGACCAGGAATCTTTGAACCCCCAGCAATACCACTACTGAATTTCAAATAAATTAATTCTCCAACTTCATTAATCTTCTCCAAAATATAATCCAAATCTTCCTTTGTCAAGGCGGCACTAACACATAATCTTGCACGAGCACTTATTATTGGTGTAGCAGGATATGAAACAATCACAACTGCAATACCCATATCATAAAGCATCCGTGAAAGTGCTGGCATTTTAGCAGGTAAGAATAATAATAATGGAACCACTGGTGAATCATCAGCTCCGTAAACAATGAATCCCAATTTCTTCAATCCTAATCTGAGATAACGGGAATTAAATGCAATTCTTTGTAATCTTTCTTCACCTTCCCCAGGGTTTAATTCACCTCTAATAACTCTTAAAGATGAAATAATTTGAGCTAAAACTGGTGGTGGAACACTTTCAGTATAATTATTAGAAATATAATTAATCCGAAGCTTATCAATAATTTTTTTATCACCGGCAAAATAACCTCCAGTTGCACCGAATGATTTAGTCAATGTACCCATTAATAAATCAATACGATTAGGATCTATGCTGAAATAATCACAAACACCTTTCCCAGACGGACCCAATGCACCAATTGAATGAGCTTCATCAACAAACAAATAAGATTTATACTTCTCCTTTAATTCAACCAATTTAGGTAAATTACACAAGTTACCTTCCATTGAATAAAGACCTTCAACTGCAATGATGATCTTTTTCCAAGGACGATGAGTTTTAGGTTGACCTTGAGCAATTTGATTCCGAAGTAACTTTTCCAAATCTTTCATATCATTGTGTTTGAAAACTTTAACCACTGCGCCTGTTAAACGAATACCGAAACGAATAGAAGCATGATTCAATTCATCGGAAATAACCAATGTTTTAGAATCTGCCAATGAAGAGAATAAATTAGCATTAGTACCATAACCTTGAGAAACAATAATGGCATCTTCCTTCCCAACGAAATCTGCAATAACTCTTTCGCATTCCAAGTGTAAGTCAGAAGTACCACTATGAGCTCTTGGTGAACATACAGAAGTACCATAATCATCCACAGATTTCAAAGCAGCATCAGTACAAACTCCATGGGATTGAGCAAATCCCAAATAATTATAAGACGATAAATTAAGACATTCATTGGAAGTACCATCATAAACAAACCCTCCACGAATAGCCTTTCGATTGAAACAATTGATATAACGACCAGGAACTCCATGGATTGGTCTAGCAAAACAATCATCAATTCGAGTTTTCAATCTTCTAACATAGAAAGATTCAAAAGCTGTATACCATGGAGCGTAACCGTTTGATTCCACCAAGAATTCATAATCTTTAGGACGAAACACTTTACCGAAGAAATCTCGAATGTTCCCAACAATAATCAATATTAGATAACTGATATAAGTAGCAATATATATCGCCATAGGAGGTTCATCATCAATAGGTGTTGGCAAGGGTTCACCTACAGGATGTTTTGACGTGTACAAATATTCCTTCAGTGTAAGCTTTCCATATTCATGATCAGCTATGACTGAATCAGGTCGATTATCGACTGGAGCATTGGGGATAGAGGTTAATGTAAATGACATTACAATTCAACAGAAACGAATGTATAAATATACTTAATAAATAAATGAATGAACGAATGAATGGTCTATTCTTATTCTTATGTTATTGATAGTAGAAATGTATATCCCCTGCCAATAACAACAAAACACGCGTGAAAGATCAACTAAACACGCAAGAAGAAACCAATCAAGAACTCCGGGACAAAAAGGTAAGATATCAACGCACACACACAAACACTATAATTACCTGGTCCAATAGCCAATATCAATATTTAGTAGTATTAGTAAGAATAGAAGGATAAGAAAGGTGTAAAAGGCGCAAAATTTTATGTTTAGTTATATAAAATTCGAACCTCCTATTTTTTTTCGCGCGCTACCATAAAATTCCGGTAAAGTTGAGATTATGGAAACAAAAGTCACGTGACACTGCTATGCTTTATTCAGTATAAACTCGATGACTGAAAATTATAAATTGTAGCTATTAGCTTAGATATAACATTTACTGTCTTTAGTTTCATGATTTAATGATAGTAGGGCCTTTGTTTGTTTTCGTAAGTTATACAAGTAATGTTTTTTTTTTCATGTGCATCAATATGTTATTACCGTACTTGCCATTTCCCCGTACTTGCCATTTCCCCGTACTTAATCCTAGTTTTCACCATTCACTAACCCCTTCACAATTTGATTATTTTGGATTGAAGCCTTCTAATTCTGTTGATATCGTTGTAATTTGATATTACATGTATGTATAGTACTATTATGCCCCTAATTCAAGTTTATACTTAAGTAAATCATATACTCGGTACCTACAGACTGGCACTTCCGAGGGTGGCACCACAATGGTAACAAACTGGGTGCAACGAATAATCGACTAAGGTTAAAGAAGTAAGGTGTAACAGAGATGAATGATGTCATACGGAACGTGGTTGCATGGAAAGGTGTCATTCTCTATGTATACTTGTAATAGTTGTAGTGTCTTTGATCATCACCAACCAAATGAAGCACATAATCCAGCTTAACAAGTTCCCAATCTAGATGTCCTATGCTTAACACAGTTGTGGAATGCATCTGATGATTAACAATATCATGACACCTTTCCATTACGGATTCTTCATCCATACAACTGAACGCTTCATCTAATATAAGTAATTGGGGGTTCTTTACTATGGCTCTAAGGAAGAGAGCCAACTTCTGATCTGTTATTGATAATTGACAGAAGGGTGTATCTTTAGACTTTTCAAGTCTATCATTGAACTGTTGTAATATTGATAAACCAAAATGTCCTAGCTGGTTTTCTTTCCCTGTAAACATGAAATTGGAGTTACCCACATCCTTAACTAGTCCTGAAAGAATCACTTGCCACATGGTTTTGCCAGGAGGAACCAAAGCATGCAACTCTGGTGATGATAATCCAAGGTTATTATTCACATCAAAGAAGTTAACTCCAGTACCAGATTTTCTAAGTTTACCATTAACACTAAGAACAGACTTCCAAGATTGAGGATGGTCTGCTGTTATTAGCAGGAGAATGGTTGTTTTACCAGTACCATTATCACCAAGTATTCTCCATCTACTACCAGGTTGAACTATCCAGTTAAAATCAAGTAGTACGGGCAACCCACGGTATACGACAGATGCATTATCAAATTGGATATGTGGTGGAACATTGATTTTGGCAGACATTGTATCCTTTAAAGCAGTCGGTACCATATTCTCCTTCTTATTATGCTGATGTCTTAGAACAGTACGACCTGTGGAGTGGCTCTGAAATTTACTTGGATCAACGACAGAGAGTCCTTCATCATCAACATATCCCACTTTGTCTATCCAATTTGGGATATCGTCTTGTACTCTTAACCCCAACACAATCCCAATTTGAAGCTCTGAAGCCACCCGTTTAAGAGATTCAGACACCATGGCTGTAGCGCCCGGATCTAGTCCAAGAAAGGGGTCGTCTATAACGAGCAATTCCGGTCGGGTGATCAACAGTTTAGCAATTCTTGCTCGGCGCATTTGTCCATTACTCAACAGGTTAATCCATTTATTAGATAAATGGTTCAAGTTAAGTAAAGAAAACAAATAGGCTTCAAACTGGGGATTCACAACAACATTATTATTATTGTAGTTATAGGCTCCAGTGACATAATTATGAACCGAGTTCACATCGTCAGCCATTTCAAGTTTTCCTTTGAAGGCAAACGTCTCGTACCTTGCCAGCAAATAAGTTTTATCGAGACCTGATTGTTCTCTAAAGTTTAGCAATTGGACTCTATCATTAAACCCACTGTGTTTCTCTTTCAAGAAGGGATAAGTTCGGGCTAACGGGGGTGATGTGATGTATTTCCCACCTATGCATTGGAGGAATTGAGTCTTTTTAGGCCCGGTTATAGCCCAAAACGACGAGTGGTCTTGATCATCTTGATCGTTAGGCTTGAACACTGAAAATTCTTCTATAGGAGCTTTAAAGACCTGTGGAGTGGTGGTTCTAGTATCAGCTCGGAACGTTGCGTTTTGGAATCGAACCAAGCACTGGTATAAACGGGAGCTTGACTTCATGAGAAAGGATAGACCATCTCTATATATACTATCATCACCAGACTGTATACGTCTATGTAGGACCTATAAATTGGGGTATCACGACTTACCCAATCAAACACGCAATCATACTTATATTTGTATCGAATCCGTACACATACATACCTACATACTTACATACTTACATACTTAAATACTCACGTATATATATAAGTATCCTTACATATATAATCGGATATACTTGGATATAGGAAATATTAATATGGAGTTTGTTGAACCTGAGACTAAACAGTCTGCCCCTGAAGCCCCTTTGGCCCCACAAGATATCGAAACCAACAGAAAGACAGAACAAGCCGTAGAGAAATTGGAAGATGAAATCGATAAGGCTTATAGTGCAGTGGAGACTCAATTCCAAGGATGGTGGAATCAAACTCAAAGCAAATTACATCTTGAAGAACATAAGCAAGAGATCTTGGATCATTTATCCAAGGCCAAAGCCAATATCTCCAACAATAGAGCCAGTGTTAGTGACTCGCTTAATGCCATTGAAGTCAAGTTGAAGAATCTTAATCTTAGTGTACCTGAGAATGTTAAGAGTCAATTTGAGACTTTGAATGCCAATGTCAAACAAGTTAAACCTTTAGAAGCTCTTGAAGCAGTTAAATTAGATGATGTTAAAAAGACTGCCAATTCTGCTTTGGATGCCTTGGATTCTCAATTGGAAAAGGTCGAGAATGTTGCTGGGGCTGTTGCCAGTTCATTCTTCAGCTACTTTTCTAATATTGTTAGTGTTCAACCTGAACAGGAGCCTGCTGCTGCTGCAGCTAGCACTAGTACCGTCAAAGTACCTGAATTAGAAGTTATGGAAGACGCAAAGCTTTCATTTGTAAAGGATAAGAATTATGGCACTTCCAGACTTGATAATGACTTATACAACCTACACACTAACCAAGAAATATATGTAGGAGAATTGAATTTAGTCGAACAAGCGGAAGTTGGAAAGTTTGATGTTGATTCAAAGACGGAAGATATCAGCCAGTTATTGGCAAAGTACCCCACAACTTTGGACCGATTAATGAACAGCTTGGTGCCTGTGAAGGTTGCGTACAATGTGTTTTGGTACAGATATTTCATCGAGGAGAAGAAGATAAAAGATGCCGATAAGAAGAGACAAGAATTGCTTGAGAAGCCAAGCGCAGGTGCTGTTGATGGAGAAGAAGATGATGAAGATGACTTTATGTGGGATGATGATGAGGAAGAGGATGAAGAGAAGAAGAAATAATGTAATGAATATAACACATAGTAATCGGACGTAGACATAGTATACTCGTAGTCTCATAGTGTACCATAATCTCATCGTATACTCATAGTCTCATAGTATACTCATAGTCTCATTATATACCAAGTCTCCTAGTGTACCAAGTCATGGTGTACCTTAGTGTACCATTGATATAGTTATAGTGTACCAAAGTCTCAAAGTCTCATAGTGCTATACACAATTGCGCAAATGAACATTTCAGTTAACAATCCATTCATCCTTAATCCGTTAATCATCCTGGTCGTAAGCAATAGTGTTACTTATTCACGTTCTTATACGTTTCCATCCGCCCGTACATCCTTTAATATTTACCACCCTATTGTATAATTCCTGAATCGAAGTACCGTTTGTACGATGAACTACAATCAGGCCTTCCTGATTTTTGGAGCGGGTCCTTCGGTTCCTCTGCTATCTCCAGTTGCTCCTGGACCCAAAAAGCTTACTTCCATGCCACATTCCTTCTCTACTAAACAAGCACAAACTCCTCCTACCCCTGCTGTGCAACTTCCACCTTCTGGTAAAGCCAAAGTGCATCCGAAAATCAACTTGGGGGGAATCAACACCAGCAGTCTGCTACAGAATAACGGACCGTTTTCTCCAAGCATATTCACCCTGAAACGAGTATGGGTGAAAAGACCCAGTGGAACTCCTACCACAGTACAAGTCCATCAGAATGATATAGTGGATGACTTGAAACAAGAAGTTGTTAATAAGTTTCCCACATCTTTGGGGAGATGTTGTGATGCAGCCGATATAATATTGAAAATGGACGTTTCAAAACTGAAGCAGCAACAGCAACAGCAACAGCAACAACAACAACAACAACAACTGCTGCTGCTGCTTAATCTCCTGCAATCTCAAGAGTATTCTTCCTCTAGCCGAGTCCCTCCGAGTCAACCTCAATGTGTCATTCTAGAACCTGACCAAAACGTTTGGTCGTTCATAGATCTGTACTTCCCTTCAGGAATGACCCCAAGTGATTCTTTAATCATCGAAACGCCTCCATTTAGTGATCCCATGGGATCACCTCCTGCCCAATCACAAATACAGTATCAGCCACCTCCTTCGTTTCAACAACAGCAGCAATATCATCTGCTTAACAGATCACTGAATGGAGGCGTTTCAAGAATGGTTAGTCCTGATTTGAACTTTTCTCCATTGAATTCCCAGTATACGCCATTTTCAGAGAACTTCAACTTTAATGGCCCCAGATCTTTAACCATCCCACAGCAAACCCAACAACAACAACAACAACTGCATTTGCAACCAATACAGCAACTGCTGCAACTGCATCCCTTGCAAACGAACCAACCTAATTCCAGAACAAACAATATTCTTATTAATAATTCGTACCAAACACGGGCATGTTCAGCCGAACCAAACTACCCTCCATTGCTGTCGAAAGATCGCTCAGTATCTCCTATAGCTCGCACAACAGCTGCAAGTGCTAATAGACATCCCATCAACTACAATACTCCCCAATCACCTTCTACAGGGTCACAAGCAGTGTTACTTTTGCCAAAGAATTATGCTTTGGGTGGTGTTGGTTCTAGTAATTCTAAAGTTACATCTGTCTCCAGTCCTGAGATGAGTGATTCTGCCAGTGGTGGGAATAATATTGTAGAATCACCGGATAACGAAGGTAGTGGACGACACGATGGAGATACTAATGGTGCTGGTGCAAATGGAAAGTCGTCACATGTATTTGAAAAGACTGATTCTAAAACAGCTACTCCAGAATTACCCATGGATTCAGATTCAAGTAATCATTTCAAGGACAGGATTACTCCAAGTCGTAGTACTAGTGAAAGTAAGAAGAAGGTGCCATCTTCTAAGAAGTCCTCTGTATCTGATTCTGGTCAAAAGAAATCCAAACAGACCAACAGTGGTAGCCATGATACTACCAATGGAAACGCCACCACTAATAACCACGGTAAATTATCCGATAGTCCGTCTAAAGCCGTGGCTACAACGACTACAGATAAGGTTTTACCCTCTATTTCAGTTTTAGTAGTGGAAGATAATGCCATTAACCAAGCTATTTTGGGAGCGTTCTTACGGAAACACAAGATTCAATACAAGATAGCCAAAAATGGACAAGAAGCTGTTGATAAATGGAAAGAAGGAGGATTCCATTTAGTGTTGATGGATATTCAATTACCTGTGAAATCGGGAATTGACGCTACCAAAGAGATACGACATATGGAAAGAGTCAACAATATTGGAGTGTTTGCAGAAACAGCAGATCAAGAACAAGCAGATACTCCAGCAGATGCCACTAAACTTGATTTGAAAGTTTTCAAGGCTCCTGTTATCATTGTTGCCCTAACAGCGTCTTCCAATTCTTCTGTAGATCGAAAGAATGCCTTGATGGCAGGCTGCAACGATTACTTGACGAAGCCAGTGAATTTAGTTTGGCTTCAGAACAAAATTACTGAATGGGGATGTATGCAAGCTTTAATTGACTTTGATGGATGGAAAGATAAACGAATTCACAAGGTTTAAACAACTATTACTGCAATATATTGCAAGTTGATTGAAATAAGATAAACCACTGCTTATCTTAATCAATCGAGCTATAATATGAAATGTTTCCTGAAATAATAATAGAACATATAATACTTACTTTGGTGCACTGGTTATTTTGGTACATGTCACGTGACTCATTTTTAAAATGGTTAAAAGCAAATTTTCAGTGAGGATAAATGATTTCTTCTACCACAACATCGACATTATTGACATCAACGTCGCTCGTTAAGATCATACATCCTTTTGACCGAAATGAGTGAGAAATCAGAACAATACGAAGCTCCAAAGGATCCTAATTCAGCGTTACAAGAGAACCCTGGTTCCGAAGGTACAGACTTTGTCCCCACTGTGCTTCCCTTAGAAATCATTGACCGGGCTATTGGGAAACAGGTACACGTGATCTTAACAAGTGAAAAGGAATTCAAAGGTACTCTTGTTGGATTCGATGACTTTGTTAACATGGTGTTGGAGAATGTGGAAGAAGTTGGTGATAGCTCAGGAGAACGCCGTGAACGGATGCTTTTGAACGGAGGTCACGTGGCTATGATTGTCCCCAGCTAAAAGTTGTGAACATCATGCTTGTACATTAGATAATAATAATAATAATAATAATAATAGCAATAATAATACTTTATGGAATTACATTCAACGTAAATACCCCCAAAGAATAGGTCATATTGGAGTGTATACAGGTTATGGTAGCGCCACAGTAAGCTATCAGGTTGATGGTAAAGCAGACTATCATATCATTTTATAAACAACACTATTCTTCTTAAAGCATGAAGCTTACTATTTCCGTTAGTGATGGTCAATTGATTAATGTTGATGTTTCTGAAAGTTTGACGTTAGGTGATTTGAAGGCTTACATTCAGGCAGAAACTGAACTTGAACCCCAACACCAGAAGTTGACAGTTGATGGCAAATTATTGACCAGTGAAACACAAACACTTAGTGAACTGGGATTGAAGGATGATGATTTGTTAGTTCTTGATGTGGGATCGATATCAACAAATGAGCCTGTGCCTGCTGCTGCTACTCATCCTCCTCCTCAATCAACAGGAGGCTCTGATAGATTTAATTTAACTAGCGAACAAGCAGAGAAGTTTAGAACAGAATTGTTAGGGAATGAAGTACTTGTGAAGTCACTTAAACGATTTAGACCCAATATCACCGAACTTCTTGCCAATCCTGCTGCATTTCTGGAATATGCTACCACGAATCTTAGAAATGATATGAAAGTAGAAGCAATGGCGATTGAAATGAACCCTGAAGATCCAGAAAATCAAGCACGGATTCTTCAAAGTATTAGACAAGAGCAAATTGATCGTAATTATCAATTGGCTCATGATATTACACCAGAAGCTTTCACTAGAATCAACATGTTGTATGTTAAAATGATTGTTAACGGACATGAATTAAATGCATTCATTGACACAGGAGCAGCAGTTTCTATTATATCTCCCAAAGTGGCTGAATCCGTGGGGATATCTCATTTAATAGATAAAAGGTTCCATGGTGAAGCTGTGGGAGTGGGGAGACTGAAAATTGAAGGTAAAATCCATAGTGTTCCTATACGTTTCCCCAATTCCGATATAGCTTTACCAGCATCATTTTCAGTGATCGATGGTCTGATGGATTTTCTTATTGGGTTAGATTTGATGAGAAGACATAAATGTATAATTGATTTAGAACGTCACATTATGGTCACTGGAGGAAGTATTGAAGTACCTTTTCTCTCCGATGTTGAAGTTGAAAAGATAGTTGGAGACCAACTTGGGTTTAAAGATTTACTGGATACTATACCCAAAGCCACTACGTCCAAAGCCACTACTGATTCCGTTGCTAAACCTATGACTGCTTCAGCTTCAAGTAGTCAAACATCCAGCGCAAGATCAAGTGCATTTCCTGAAAAAGATATAAAAATCTTAGTGGATTTGGGCTTCACTCGTTCAGATGCAATAAGAGCTTTACATCAATGCAACGGTAATGTGGACGTTGCAGCATCATTATTGTTCCAATAAAGTTATTTCTTAAAGTCGCCATTGGTCCAAAGAACTTTAATAGAATGGCATCGTTCTACGTCCAATTATGATTCTACTTTTGCAAACAATATTATTATTTGCTTTATTTTCACACTCTTCTAAGATATGGTTGGCTAATAAGTTCAAAGCCTGAAGTGTATATTTGTGGACTCTTAATGATAGTATCAACGATAAATTGATCAACTAAACTAGAACGGTATGATAGCTATCGATATGTATTGCTTAGTATGTGTGGCTTAAGTAGAACAATTTCCATGAGTGGATTTAGTGCGGACATTAGACCCCTTATATCCACTGTGGCTGAAAAATGCATATATTAAAGTCTATTTCTATAATTAACTAAAACAATCCTTCAAAGAATCCTCTGTAGTGGAATGAAGCACCCACCTTATCAATTTCATCAATATCACTTTGTTCAAGTTCGAAATTGACTACATCCAAGGCATCAATCAACCGTTGACGTTGAGATGAAGTAGTCACAGGTAAAATTCCCTTCTGATAAGTGTACCGTAATAAGATTTGGGCGTCAGTTTTAGAATACTTTGAGCTTAACACAGGTAATAGCTCTTGTAATGGGTGAGTAAGAAATTCTTCTTTCCCTTCATCATTCTTCTTCTTTAATCTAAAGAGCGGAGTTAAGGGTCCATAAGCTTCAATCAATATATTATGCTTAGCAGCAAACTCATGGATCCCAACACTTTGACTTTGTAAGTAAGGATGGAACTCAATCTGATCAACGATTGGATAATATTCAGGATTATGGTCCACGGCAGCGAAAGTTTCTTCTAAATGTTTCACACCATAATTAGAAACACCCAAGTATCTAATGAGTCCTTCCTTCTTCAAATCCACAAGTTCCTTCCAAGCAGATCCCAAGCTGTACCCAAACGAATTGGGGCTCTCAGCATTGAAAAAGGGATGGTGGATCATCACCAAATCAATGTATGATGTCCCTAAATCCTTCAATGCCTTTCTAAAGAACTCCTTAGGCCCATTGGAAAGAGCTGGAAACTTACTGTGACCAGGGGAGTACTTGGTAGTGATAAACAAGTCCTCTCTCTTCTTATCAGTTTGAGCCAAAGCAGCTCCTACTTCGGGCTGGGTAGTGTAGAACTCAGCAGTATCAATATGGTTGAATCCACTTTCAATTGCAAGCAAGATCAAGTCAACCAAGTTCTGATCAATGGTACCCTGATGGTCTTCACCTCTGCCTTTCTTCAACCATTGCCATTTGGTTCCGGTACCGGTACCGAATGTGATGGGGATTCCAGACTTGGTGGTGAGGGATTGGGTCAACTGCACAGGATAACTCATAGTATGGATTGAGTGAGAAGTTACTGGCTAAAGTGAATGGTTTGTGCTGATTAACGGGGATTGGAGTGGCTTTTATATAAGATAAGCTTCGTTCCTGTATATAGTAGTTCACTTTCCGAACACCGGATAGGCGGCGGAGATATCAAACTAAATCCACCCTTTAATCGATAACCTTGGTGATTTTAATATTTGTATATTATGTAGAAATAATACTATTTTTATAATTATTAATATAGAATAGCATATCCTTGTTTCCAGCTTCCCCTTTCATAAAAAATGACATTATATATTTCATGTCATGAATCACTTTTATCAAAATTAAAGCCCCTCCTGTTCTTCTTCCTCCACAGTCTTACGTTTCTTCAACACTAATGGTTTGCCAGTAACACGGAAATAAATATCCTTGACGTCATCAGTTGCTGATTCAAAATGAGAGGATGCATCATAACTCTTACTAATAAACACATTATCGGTGGTTCCATCATTGATAGGCTCGTACAAATCAGCTATCCCCATAAGAGTATCCAATCTTGGACCCAATAACTTGAAAGCAGGTTCCAACTCAACATGAGGTTGGTCAGTCTCAATAATCGTTGATACAATGGCCAAGTAGTAACCTTTAGGAACAACACAATGAACATCAGAAAGGACAGCAATATAGATATCATGTTTCCGACGGACTTGGTTTTGGGGTATAATGATTTGCAATGAATCCAAATCATTGGTGTTAGGAACTGGATGGTCTAAAATACACATGGCTCTAATGACTCTTTTCCCAGTCTTCTTAACCTTATCAGGAAAGTAAGTTGGATCAGCAATAACAATTGGAGCCTTTGCAATACCTTCTTTGGTTTTGACACCAGCAAATTTCCCATCTTCATTATATAATACTTCTTCCACTGGAGTATCCAACATATAAGTACCACCATAAATAGCTGATAATCTAGCAAACCCTTGAGGCAATTCACCCAAACCATACAATGGATATAAATAAGGAGACTTACCATATTTAGCAACAGATTGACAGTATAATAATATTCTTTCATATGTTGGTCTTGCAGGTTCATTCAAATAATCATCTGTAGGCCATAAAGCCATAGCATGACCAATAAAATCTCTAGTACCATTTTGTAAGCCATAATAATCATAAATATCACTCATGGTGTTCTTATCCAAATCATAACCATAATGAGTTTTGATGTCATCTTCCTTATAACCGGCAATGAATTGTAAAAATTGACGCATTCTATTCTTTTCCATTAATCCCAATAACTTGGAACTCCATGCATCCGAAGCAGTGGTAGGAACTTTATGGACACTACCACTACGATAAACATATGATCCACTAATTTGTTTGAATTCAATGTACCGAGTAACATCAGTATGGACCAAAATGTTAGTCAATTCACCATCACTCATTAAAAATTTAGGGATCAAATCAACACACCAATCACGATCTCTACCTTTTAAAAACAGTGGTTTTTGAGTCAGAGGCTTGAATTTCTCATATAATTGACTCAAATTCAATGAAGCCGACTCTCCCCCATAAAAGTCTTGACGATCAATGTGAAGCACCTTCTTTCCATCTACGGATAAAACTCCGGAAAGAATGCACTCGGTTAAACCGGTACCCAATACAATAACGTCATAGTTCTCATCCATGATTGCTAATACCAATTGATACTGTTAACAATTGGTTGAAAATAAAGAAGGAGGGTTCTCCTTCAATAGTTTATATGTTGTGTTCGTTCCCCATTTTTCCCCAATATATTGGGTCTGGCACGACCTGGGGCGGATGGTCCGGGTAACTCTAAGTGATGTGAAATATACAATAAACTTACTATGTGATTCTGTAATTAGTTAACATTTATGATGATACTTTTCAAATAACTATGTGAAATCCTTCTTTCCCTTTGGCTAGGCCTTTCTTTATAATTTCAGTTATCTCTTTGGGATCATTGGTTATCTTTGTAAAGTTCTCATAGCCAGTGTCTGTGACCAAAAGATCGTCTTCAATACGAACTCCTCCAACATACCAATACTTGTCTAGAACTGGACGATCGATGTACTTATTCTTTGAAGGGTCATTCAAGACATCTTCCAACAAGAAAGGCAGGAAATATACCCCTGGCTCATCAGTTAATGTCATACCTGCTTGTAAAGGTCTTCTTAATCTCAAATACTGTAACAATGGGTCTGGATCCGAATAGTTGGGGTTTCCACCTACATCATGAGTATCCATACCTAATAAATGGCCCAACCCATGAGGGAAAAACCGAGCAGACATTTTGGCATCAAACAATTCTTGTACACTATATTCTTTTTTGAAGATACCCAAATTTAAAAATTCTTCTATCATCACTCTATGGGCAGTAAGATGGATTTCTTCCCAACTGGCACCCGGCTTAATCATCTCTTTGGTAACGTTTTGCATACGTAAAACGATATTGTAAATGGCCAAATGTTCTTCTTTCCAATCACCATTGATAGGGAAACATCTTGTGACATCACTGGCATAGTTTTCCCATTCAGCACCAGCATCTATTAAGATTGAGTGCTTTTCAGCAGTAATAGGTTGGTCATTTTTAACATAATGCAATGTAGAACAAGAGGTTCCACTACAACAAATAGGATCATATGCTTGAGCCTTTGAACCTTGCCTCAAGGCATGATAAGTAAACTCTGCATGGATGTGAGTTTCTTCTGTTTCAATAGGGATAGCACTCATGACTGCTAGATGACAATTATCGGTGATTCTTGCAGCATGTCTCATTAATTCGAGCTCATATTGATCTTTTATTAATCTTGATTCGTCCAAGGCGTAAAAGAAATCATCACCTCCAAGAGTCAAATGAGGCGAAAACAGCTTGTTGAAGTCATTAATATCTGTAGTTAATACAGACACCTTTCCAGCCACCAACAGACTCAAATCCAGCTCTAAATCATGACCAAATTTAACTTCATCCACGTCATATTTAGCGTAAGCCTCATCAATACTTGTGGGCAATCCACTCCACATTATATCTTCCTTATCAACATCAGGCAAATAGAGTACTAACTTATCTGAGTCACCATAGTAAAGCACATGAGACCCCGGAATGTTACATCCACTGAGGTAAAAGAAATATCTGTTTTGTCTAAATGGTTTTGTCTGATCACAGTATGGAATTAGCACTTCGGCTTCTCCTGCTATGTAAAAGGCAAATTCAGATTTGTCCTTTGAGGTCTTCTCCACATAATGCCCGAGAACACGAGAAGCATGTTCTTTAGAAGGGTATTTCCTTCCCTTTAAGGATTCGAGTTGACTCATTGGGAAGTTAATGAATGAGTGAATGGAAGAAAACAGAAATCAGTAGGTAAAATTATTTAATATAATTTTATTACTCTATATATTGTACCCCACGGCAATGGGAACTGAACCCGCTTAGAGGAATGGCTCTGATATCAATCACGTGATCGACCACATGATCAGACTTTACTCTCACTCTGGCTAGTCGATTACAATCATCAGAATCTATCTTGACGATAAAACAGTAAGAGAACAAGTAATAATCTCAACAGATAATCAATATGAAGGAAGTGTAGTCACATTATTTGAATCAATAACAGTCAGATACGAAGACTGTATTGTTACATATGCTAATGAAATACCATAATAAAGTCTGGGTTACCCGGACTCAAGAGCATTTATGCGCTACCAAGTCCTCGATTATAGTTCACTCGCCACCTAAACTATTAACTATGGATGTACAAATCAACCAAATACAAGACACCAATTAACCTTTAAATTACAATGGAAAGATTACAAAGACTACTTGGATCGGGAGGAGCAATGAACGCTGGTCTTGGCGATGTTCCTCCAACACAAGGAGATGGGCCATCCATTGATAATGCTGAAACTGTTTACATTTCATCATTAGCCTTACTTAAGATGTTGAAACATGGAAGAGCTGGTGTTCCTATGGAAGTTATGGGGTTAATGTTGGGAGAATTTGTTGATGATTTTACTATTCATGTTATTGATGTTTTCGCTATGCCTCAAAGTGGTACTGGGGTTTCTGTTGAAGCCGTTGATGATGTTTTCCAAGCTAAAATGATGGATATGTTAAGACAAACAGGTCGTGATCAAATGGTTGTAGGATGGTATCACTCACATCCTGGGTTTGGATGTTGGTTATCATCTGTTGATGTTAATACTCAACATTCGTTTGAGCAATTGAACAAACGTGCTGTTGCAGTGGTTATTGATCCTATACAAAGTGTTAGAGGTAAGGTTGTTATTGATGCCTTTAGAACCATTGATACCACAACTCTTATGTTGGGACAAGAACCTAGACAAACCACATCCAATGTTGGTCATTTGAATAAACCTCCGTTACAAGCGTTAATGCACGGATTGAATAGAGTGTACTATTCATTGAATATTGATTATCACAAGACTTCAAATGAAACAAACATGTTACTTAATTTGCATAAGAAGAATTGGCAATCTGGGTTGAAAATGGTGGATTACAATCATCAAGAACACGAGAACTTGGGAGATGCACAGAAGATGGTTAAGATTGCTGAGCAATATAATACTAGAATCAAGGAAGAAAGAGAATTGACTCCAGAACAGTTGAAAACAAGGTATGTTGGTAAACAAGATCCTAAGAAGCATTTGTTGGATACTGCTGATAAGTTGATTGAAGAGAATATTACACTGTTATTAACGGGTAATGTCAATGCCTTGGCCATTCAATAGAGAAAAGTTTATGACATAGTACTACTTAATGTATTTTAATATATTGTAATACGTAATGTAGGGTAATACTTAATATATACTTTAATGTGTATAAGAGCATTCGCATACAAATTGTCGCGATGATTATCAACACTTTCTTCAAGCCATGGAAGGTCTAGAACAGCCTAGAAAACGACAAAGGAAGGCTCTAGACGGGTCTACACGTTCAAATGAAGGTGTAAATAAACCATATCCGAGTTCAGAGCCTGACTCCGACTCTGACTCTGAACTACCGCAGTATCTACAACCACTCCAAGACCACAAGACTTCTACTGCTTCTGACAACTTCTACTTGGATACAATTGATAGAACCGTTCTAGACTTTGACTTCAGTAAGGAATGCAGTGTTTCCTTATCTAAAACAAACGTCTATGCTTGTTTGGTGTGTGGCAAGTATTTCCAAGGACGTTCAGTAACATCACCAGCATTCAATCATGCCATCAACCAGCATCATCATGTATATCTCAATCTCAAAACTGAAGGCTTCTATATCTTACCGGATAACTACAAGTTGACGGACCCTGAAACCCTTAGGAAATTGGATGACATCATTGCAGTCCTTAATCCCACTTACAAGCTTGAAGAAATAGATACTATTCCCCAACAAGCGCTTGACTTGAAACGAATACCTTATGATGTTGGATACGTTGGGCTTAATAATGTTTCTAGTTCTAGTGATTATGCTAATGTTGTTATCCAATTGATGTGTCACATTGATCCCATAAGACGGTTCTATATGGCTTTGAATTATAGTGATGATGGGCACTCGTATTCACCTTTAAATGCTGAGTTTGGTTTATTGATGAGGAAACTATGGTCCAACAAGCTATACAAGCCTCATGTGTCACCCCACGAATTACTAAAATTGATCTCTGTCAAACAACAACAGTCTCCTAAAGGAGTTCTTGTGTGGCTATTGAATCACTTGCACATGGGTCTAGTCAAGGCTATAGACACCAATAAGAAGCAGAAGAAGAGTTCTATCATCAGCAAGTCTGTCCAGGGTTCAATCAAGATCACCAGGATCGCAGTGGAGTCTAAGGATATCAATGGGAAGACGCAGTTTATCACCAAAGACTCTGGAACAGTGCATTCAAAGACCAAGTTCTGGTTGTTGACGGTGAAACCTCCCACGAGTCCACTCTTCTCTCTGGGGTTAAAAGTACCCGAGGTTTCCTTAGAGACGTTACTTGAAAAGTATAATGGAGTTTGTCAAACCCACGTCAACGAAACCGAAGTACACCAGTACAAACTTACAGGTCACCTTCCGCCGTATATGATAATTCACATTGATAGGAACCTTGAAGGCGGTGGCGATATATCACCAACTGTTGTCAAGTATCCTCGAGTACTTGATATGAGTCCATATGGTGACTCCCGTGCTAACTACGCACTAGTGGCCAACATAGTGTTCAAGATCAACCCTGAAACCAAGACGAGATCATGGATGATCCACTTGCAAAAGACTTCTACAGAATGGGTCACCATTCAAGATCTACAAGTTCGAAAGTGTGAACCGGAATTGATGTTTTTAGATACCAGCTATCTTCAACTATGGAAGAGAATTGATGTAACCGTGAATAATAATAAATGAACGTCATAAGGCATGAGAAGAGTAACAGTAGTGACATCTGCAGTAGGATCTGCAGTAGGATCTGCGGCAACAGCAGCTTAATACGAAAGAATAATCTTTCTAGCATCAACAAGATCATCAGATTCATGAAACACTTGACCAATACGTGTTTCACTCAATAATGTATCAAAGATAACAATATAACTAGCAAGCTTCAACTTTAGTATAGGATGTTCAACAACACTTTGAACTAGTATGGGTAACTTCTTTTGTATACGTTCAACTTCCGTAAGGTAGTAATTCTTCAAGAGTTTCCTATTTGATCTGGACCAAAAGTCCCCCGTAGAGGTCTTTAATTGGTTGAACAAGTGCGCATGTCTGATTCTAAATCCAGACCAATGAGTCATGTCTTGAAATAGTTTAGAGAGTTCCATATCACTGCCAATCATATCGGAGAACGTTTGGTTCCAGTACGATTGAACCTGAAGGTTCTCGTGCTCCGTTAACATACAAAGAACCCACATGTCATATAGTCTTTCGTCAAGGAACTGGTTCAAGTAGAGTCCTTTAATGTCCTTATCGAAATATTTATTAGACAAGATTTGATTGACCATAGTCCCCGTACGAATGATTCTGGACCCTGTATCTTCAATAAGAATAGGTAGTTCATTGTCGGGAGAGGCCACATATGATAACGTCAACATTGCATGATCAGAATGTGCACCATTGGTAGGGCTGGTGCTGGTGTTGGTTGGAAGTTTAAGTCCATTGCGGAAACAAAGTATTAACGCTTGGGAAAGTGACACTGGATCAGTTGGTATATATCTGCCTTCGAATTCAATGACATTATGAATTCCAAGGGTAAATTTTTCATCGTTGTTCAAGTCTTTGGTTTCAGATGTTTGAGTGAAATAATACTTGCGCTGTTCTAGTTGGGCTGATTTACCTGGGGTAGCTGATGAAACTGGCATTTGCTCGACTAACGGGAATGCTTCGAAAACTTTCTTCACGGGTTCGGGAACAGCAACCATGATTTATATAGTAGTAATATGAGTATTAGAGAACAGTTGAAAGTAGTATAATGATACTATATATTCTATTTCTCTAATGCATGTCATCGTTTAACAACAAACCCTCGGATGCACCCAGAAATAGAAATTTGCGAGGTGACGTGCGGTAGCGAAGAGAACGAAACCCACCGGAAAAATGGATTCTCATAACTGTATTTACATGTATAGAAGAATAACCTGATAGCCACTTAAAACACACTGGAAGGTGCACAAATTAACACACGACATTTCGGATTTGTCACTATTTTTGATATGGTTTGATTATGAACCCTCAAGTAACATTTAAGCTTTGATAATGAATCGCTTGGAATTATTATTAATTTTACTGGCGCTGCTCTCCCCTGCGGAGCCGGGGTTAAGTGAACGATCTCCGTGCAGAACACTATTCTCTTACTGTGCTACGATACGAAAGAAGCGATAAATGTCCGTAATGGCATTACTTACAATGTACATAATAACAACTACGTGATATCATAAAAGATCTGAATAGATTGAAGTAGATTATGTACCAAGTAAAACAACCCTATATATGGTAGAATAACTTAAGACATAGTAACTCTGCGATCATGTTGCATTATATTATATATTATTATTATGTTACACTCAATCAATCATCTTCACGAACCAAATCTATGGCCATATCATACCATTCAGATCCACTAAAATTACATTGACTTATTCCCAAGTTAACAAACCCAATCTTGGAATAAAACTTAATTAGTTCGGCATGAACAATGATAACAATTTGATCACCTAAATCTTGATTTGATAATTTTTGAACATAATCATGTAACATCAAAGTACCCAAATTCTTACCCTTCCATGAAGGTGATATGCAAACCGAATGAACACCAATAGTTCTTGACAGTTCGTGATGACCAGTGAGCTCGTTGTCTTTTCTAGGCAATTCCATGGATTCATTGGTGATCCTCGATCCATTAATCTTCGTCGCAAGTACATGCCCAATCAATGTTTCCTTAATAACAGATGTCTTACCTGGTATATCTTTGTGATCATCATCGGAATCTTCTTCATATTCCGAAACTTCCTTTCTTTGTTTATCAGCGATTTCTGGTAAATTGATCTCCTTATATTTAGGGATGTATTCCCGAATAAAGAGTCCGGAACATAATTCAGGACACACGGTTAAACGGTACTTGATGGTTTCAGGAGAGCATCTTTCTCCCTCGGGAAACAGAGCTTTCTCTAAGAGCAATGACTGGTCGACATCTTCAACCGTTAATGGTCTAATACATAAATTAGGTGGGAAGTCAGACATGACAATACTCCTTCTCGCTCGATTTTCTCTTGTAACCTTCAGAGATATATAATTATATACATACAATTATTGCCAATTAAAAGTGTGTGGCGAGTATTATTATTTGTTCAAAGTAATAGAATTCACAATAAAAGGAAGCAGCAAAAATACCAACACTACTGACAATATTGGATCCCTTTGATATAATTGAAACAAACGCCTCAGACACCAAAAAAATCTGTTTCAAAAAGTAACCTGCTGAAACTGGGGCAAAGCACTAACAGAAAATCTTTTGTACTATATGTATATATATGATTGGGTTTGATTTATCACCAAGTGACTTTTAGCCTTTTTAGCTTTTTTCGTTGGAGGAATTTTTTAATTGTATGGTAGCGCTTTGGTGATTTTGATTGTTCATCTTATTGTTCTTGGTGCTAAACACAGCTAACAAAGGAGAGGAGTTGTACCGTGCTAAACATATTGGGTATCTACGATAATGCTAAAACCAACTTCATCACATGAGTGTTGTATGAGTAATACTAGTTCTTTAAGTGTTGAAGTGTCTTCTATGATTTACATCCACTGATTATTGAACTTTATTCATCAACTACATTCAATTATGGCGTATTATAGTCAGTACCATTACCAACTCATTACTAAGTCACGAATGTGTTTACATTAAGTTCTTTCGTGAGTGGTTTCTATTGCTTTATATCTCTTCTGGAATTAAATCAATAGTCATGTTAACTCTTCCTCCCTCCAATTGCTCACTCTCATCAAGTTGAACGTACCCTATTTTGGCGTAGAAATTGACCATATCCAAATCACACACTAAAACAATTTGGTCTCCCAAATCTTGGTTCGATAACTTTTGTATATAGTCGTGTAACATCAATGTTCCTAGGTTTCTTCTTTTCCATTCTGAAGAAACACATACTGAATGAATCCCAATGATTCGTGATCGTTCGTCGTGGCCCGCTTGCGATTTTCCCTCGACTAGCAATTCAGTCGAATCCGCAGGAATTTTTGAACCCCGGATTTTGGTCGCAAGTACGTGGCCCACTAACGTTTCCCTAACAACAGATGACTTCCCTGGCTCATCGGGCTGAATGGCAGCATGATGTACATGATCATGGTGTTCTTTATTGATTCTCTCGGCAACTTCTGGCAAATTCACTTGATTGAACTCAGGAATGTATTCTCTAAGAAAGAGTCCACAACATAATTCGGGAGCTACTGTAAGTCGATACCTGAGGATTTCCTTCGAAGCGCATCGGTCTTCAGGTAACACTGCTGCCTCCAATTCCTCGACCTGGATGAGATCGCTTATAGTCAATGGACGTATACACAAGTTGGCAGGGAAATCCATGTTTGTAGGTAAACAAGGGGTTTTGATACCCAGATTTATGTTTGGCCAAGTTAATGTACTTTTGCTAATGGGCAGCGCAGGTACATTAAGGCAAAGCGAGTTATCCAATGTGGAAGGGGCGAGAAGTTGTTATGCGATTGACGCCAATTCCTCGTGGCAATTTCACGTCAAAGTCATACTTGATGCCACGACTAATACAACGAGCTATACGTAATAGTAACTATAATGAATTACATTAGCATCGCTACTCTCGACCCTGTTCATAAGCTCAACACATAAACCCTGTAAAAACTGTACACTACATTCCAATTACTTACGTATAATAAAACGTCAATATATTCCATAACCGTAATTATACATCAGCCATTTACTCTAAAACATCGTTAGATACAACAACCGAGGTATCTGAGTTTAGCAACGTTTGACCTACCTGCCATAAATGTACAATGTTATCTTCAGCAACAGATGCTAAGGTCCATTCATTAAATGGGCACCAACTCAAGTCCATAACAGGACCTGTGTGACCAGCATGCATCATGAAAAGCTCCGGACATCCATCTTCAGCGTCCTCTTGCTGTTGTTCTTCCCCGATTTTAAATAGATCCCAGATCATTACTCTACGATCTTGACTCCCCAGGGCCAAAACACCATCTTTATGCAGCAGAAACTCAAGACAGGTTATCAGGTCAGAATGTCCCATCATGGTGTGAACGTGACGATCAAGATGACGTAAATCTACCAAGGAAATGTTTGAGTTGGCATTACCCAAAGCCATCAAGTTCTTAGCAAATGGGGAAAACAGTAAAGTATTAACACCTTTAGAATCTTCGTTTAAAAGCTTTGATACAGGGTTTTCAGATGAGACACGTATATCAAAGAGACACACGTATTTATCGTCAGAAGCCGTACCAAATGTATGTTGAGTATGCCATTGAACATCATTGACAATATCCAGATGAAAAGAATTCTGGAAAACCTTCTTCTGTGAATCTATGTCTGTTAAAACAACAGTCTTGTCATCTGATGCACTTAATAAGTAACCCTTTTGATGTGGATTCCACGATAATCCGTAACCATTTTCAGTGTGAAACTTGAAAGCAGTTTTCAGTGGCCCTGCTTCTTCATTTAAATCATAAATATCAACCTGACCATCTCCATTGATTGTAGCTACAGAATTGGGATCTTGGGGCATGTACCTTGCTCTATTAATCTCCAGTGGGTTCTCATATTTTCGAATTACCTTGATTCTTGTATTAACATTAGCACCACCAGCAACTCCCCCTGAAGGAATAGTGGTCAGTGCGAGCTTCAAATAGTCAGTCTCCTGACCAGAAGTGTTGGTTCCAAGAAGCAATTTGCAATTATAGGCACCGCTATCACCCTCTGTGGTATAATCAGGGAGCCATTGGACTGTCAATGAGGGCCATTTCAATGCAGTTTCACTAACGAACTCATACATGTATCGACAATTCTTCCTCCATAGTTCGTATTCTTCTTTTATAGATAATTCGCCATTGGCGTTGTCTGCTCCTTCTGTATCGGACATTGTCTTAGCGTTTACCTAGAAGGAAAGATGGTGGTGGTACTAAATTAAACGGTGGTTTCATTTTCAGTCGCGCGTTTTCTTAAATTATGGTAGTAAATCAAGTTCTCCACGGTGTAAAGTTCAGCACGACATATAAAGGCTAATGAAAACTCGATTGGCCTGGGGCATGGTATAAAATATTGACTAAAACGATTTACTTACTTACAGAATATGAACATTATGCTCCATCAATAATTTACAGGGTACTTTATACACCACATTGTTAGCTTGGTGGCAACACTCGCTTTGCAACCCTACACTGATCAAATGTTCGAATAGCTATAGCTGATAAATAATTATAATAATGATGTTCTATGATTCTCCAGTCTTCATCATGTTCAGCTCATAGTAATCTATGGCCTTCAATGCATCACTGATATGAAGAAAGTAAGGTGTTTCAACAGATTCAGTCAAATTGTTAAGCTCTTCATCAACATCTGAAAACTCAATCTGAAGTCTATCGATTCTAGAAAAGTACTCAAGTTTGATGAGCATATCAACCAATAAGTCGAAAATCCCCGTGTTCAAAAGTCGACTGCGCAATCGAATATTTGGGTGAACACGAACAAAGAAACATATAATCCCACGATCAATGTATCCATTGATTAAACCTTTAAGTATTTGTGCTGCTGAAGAGTCAAATTCAATCATCCCTTGTAAATCAAATATAACATACTTGGTCATGTCTTCGCCACGCATTCTTTGATGTCCGGGATGTGTATGTGCTGACCCGTAGAGTTCTAGACGTTTTAAACGAGATCTTAAATCACTGGTATTCATGAATGTTAGAGGTTCGGGTATCTTGACAATTAAACACCCTTGTATTTCCTCTATGGCTTGAGTATTAAGTGTAGTGAAATTCAGATCAATAAACATATTCAATTGGTTCATATCGTCTAAATTATCATCATCAAACAATGTTCGGGTAAATGAAGGTATATCTGCATTGACAAATGAATTAGTGCCCGGTTGTCTTCCCAAAATTTGTATTCGAGATTCAGCACCATGTTTGATCACTCTAATCAACAGATACACTAATCCCACACTTATTCCTGCTTCCATTGAAAAGACAAGAGTTGCTGTAACAGTGACAAAAAAAGTAACCAATTCGTTGTATCCACGAGCACGATAATGGAAAAGTACTTCACCGGGTGCTTCCTCTATTAACAGTAGTCCAATAATGGCTGTAACAACACTAAGCATACATATTGGAACGTAAAATAAGTATGATAAAAGATATTTGACCGTTAAAAGCGTACAAATACCCATAATTGCTCCCAGCATGGTCGTTTTTGCTGAGATAGCATTGATTTTAGACCGGCCGTAACCTCCAAAAGCTGGTAAAGCACCAAAGAGACTTCCAACAATATTAATAGATCCCAAAGCTACAAGCTCTCTGTTGGAAGAAATGGGTAAATCATACGCTGTTCCAAGTGACTTAGATGCTGTAGTACTTTCAAAGAACCCAAGCATAGCACATAAGAAGCCAGAAGTTGATAATTGCTTCATAAGTACCAAAATCCGTTTGTTGAATGGAGAATAAATGTCAATAGAACCAGTGGGAATACTTCCAATGATATCAATGTCACGTTCATTCCAAGCATACTTATGACAAAGAATGGTTGCTGTTCCAACAACCACCATAATCTCTGGAAAATAAATCGCAAATTTAAGAAGCCGTTTATTACTCTTTGCAAAGACCTTCTTAGAGTATCTTGATACCATAGCAGCCACGAATCCAATAATGCTTATTTTGAACGATAAAAAATTCATTTTATGGTAGTAATGGAATAAGAAGTAAAGCTTATCCAATGGAGAATGAATATCCATTTTCAGAGGATCGTCACTTATTTCCTTCATCAATGCAGTAAGTCCCAACATAGAAACTGAAGAGTTGATGATCATAACAAATCCAACCCCACAGATGAAACCTTTAAGTAATGAAGCACTTAAAACGTTATCTAAGAATCCAAATCTTCCAAGACCAAATCCGAGTAAACTTGCACCACTAACAAATGTTATGGCCACGACATATTCTACTGGATCTAAATTATGTTTTTGAGCATGATGCAATAGCGGCTCCACTGCTTGGCCTACTATCAACAGAATGGGTGCTTCTGGACCCACAATCATTTGTGGTACACTTCCAAAAAATAGATAAATCAAGGGACTGATACCAAGGGAAAGCAAGCCACATTTAACAGGAACTTTGGCTAATGACGTCGCATATGAAAGACATAAGGGAAGTTGGAATACTATAAGGGTAAGACCACCAATCAAATCACCAATGAAATAATTAAGACAATACTTGTGGACCCAAGAAAGAAATGGGAGATAATAAGGAATGATTTCTCTCCACAGTAAACTTTCAATGTCAGGTGATGTTTGTATGGTATAAGTAGATGAATATAGAGGATCATTGAATATTTGAAGGTTGTTTGATTGTGAACCATAACTAGATGCATGGCTCATCTCTGTGTCTATAAGCTTTCCAAATCTAGCCAAATTTGAAGCTTCATTCCTCCCATTAACTCCTCGGGGACCATCACCAGTGGTGGTGCTGGCGGCATTGTCAATAGAATTAAAGTTATAATTAATAGAATCAAATTCATCTCCATTCCTGTGGAAAAGCTCATTTGCCAACGGGGACCTTAAAGACGGATAATGACCTTGGTATGCTGGAGAGATCATAGGTCTTAAAGGGTTTGCGTCTTGCTGTCCGTGATCTATTAGTTTCAGGTTTTCGTTCGCTCTGGGAATACTTGACAGCTTTTTAGGCGTAGGTGTAGGAGGTGGAGATACCGTATTACTATTATCACCAGAAGCGTTACTTCTAGTTGGTGAAAGAGTATTTACTACTCCAACTCCAGTTGACCCCCCAACACCACGATTAACCTTATTTTGAGAAACAACCCTTACATTACTACTTGAATGTGCCAGTAAAGGAGGGGGGCTATTAACTCGGTTCTTTCGGCCTTGGCTTTCATCAGATCCAGATCCAGATGATCCACCAGACGCTTCAGTACGGATCGAATTGTTCGAATGACGCAGACTTGAATCGTTTGTTTTATTTTTGCTCATTCCCTACTCATTCCATTGAAATCCCGTATTGCTTTTAGATGATGATGATGATGATGATGCTGAGGTTGAGGATGATGCAAAGTTATAAAACTATAAAGTAAATCGTTGTAACTTTAGACCCTTATGAGCTTATGTATGGCGCTACCATTTGTAGATTCATAAAAATTGTGCTGACATTTACGCCCACTGTAGACCTTTGCATATCTGGGGTCCTACATTGTGGGATATCATTACACGTGTGTAACCTCAAAACGGCAGATATCAACGAGCACCATCACTTGGATTATCACGTGATTTTTTATCTTCCAGTTAGTTCTTAAGGTGATGGGTTGCGTACACTACTTTACTCTCTTAACCATAATCAGGAAGGTGCAAGCTATCTACATATACATGAATATGTATATGGATTCATCCTTTTTATGAGAGATGTACAAGGGAATCAATATTTAACATTTCATCATGAGCGCATCTTTGGTGGTATTAAAATTGGGCGAAAATTATTGATAATATAGACATGATGCTGCAATTCAGTCGCTGCTAAATGCAACTTTCTTTAACATATGCAAAATCATATGGTCACGTGACAGAAAGTAAATGAATATTCTTTCACGTGATATATCACGTGCTTAATTGTATCTCACCATTATTGAAAATTTTCAATTCCGGTAGCGGCCTGTGTTAGTAGAGTTAAACGGTTTACGCAACATCACTAAGCTTGTTAAGGTTGTTGACTTACATTAGATCTGATTGGTATTACCATAATGCTCCGTTCATCTGTTGTAAAGAGATTTTTTTCTCGCTCAGCTCCTCGTTTGGATACTTTGATCTTGATAGAAGCAGCAGGTGGGAAGATCTCACCAGCTTCACTTTCTACAATTAGTGCTGCTTCTAAGATCGGCCAACCCATAACTGCCCTCGTGGCCGGAACACAGGGTGCTCAAGTAGCTGAAGATGCTGCAGGAATTGGCGGAGTTTCTAAAGTTCTTGTGGCTAAAGATTCAAAGTATGATCATTATTTGGCAGAAGAATTAGCTCCTTTAATCAAAGATGTTGTAGGATCTGGTTATAGTCATTTATTTGTTGCAGCATCTGCTGTAGGTAAATCATTATTGCCTCGTGTTGGTGCTCTTTTAGATGTTCAACCTGTTTCAGATGTGATTTCTGTAGAATCAGAAAATACCTTTAAAAGACCTATTTATGCTGGCAATGCCATTGCTACTGTTAAAGCACTTGACTCTACCATTTTGGCATCCATTAGAGCTTCTGCATTCACTCCAGCTGTTATGGGTTCTTCTACTGCTGCACCTGTTGAAGAATTCACCGGTGCTACTACCGAATCTGGAAACCGTACCCAATTTGTTTCTGAAGAATTAGTTACTTCTGAAAGACCAGAATTAGCAGCTGCTACAAGAGTTATCGCCGGTGGTAGAGGTCTTAAAGATAAAGAAACTTTTAACAAATTGCTTGAACCTCTTGCTTCTAAGTTAAATGCTGCAGTCGGTGCTTCCAGAGCTGCTGTGGATGCTGGTTTCTGTGACAACTCATTACAAGTAGGTCAAACTGGAAAGATAGTTGCTCCAGAATTATATATTGCGGTTGGTATCTCCGGTGCCATTCAACATTTGGCGGGAATGAAGGATTCAAAGACCATAGTGGCCATCAATAAGGACCCTGATGCTGCTATCTTTAATGTTGCAGACATTGGGTTGGTGGGTGACTTGAATGAAGTTATTCCTGAATTAACCAGCAAATTATAAGCTGAGATTGCGTTCAAGTCAAATATAAATATAAGGTTACAACTTTAATAAATTACCAATTCAGGAAAGAACAATCGATGGTCATTTAAATGTTATTATTTTTTTTGTTATATTTATTTGTACTACTATTTCTTATGTACGTTTTGTACTGTGTTTCTTGCTTGATATAGTGATACTGCTCTGCTTATCCTCCTCGGTATAAATCTAAAGCGAATCATCAAAAGTCGTGCACAAATACCAGAATTTGGGGTAAGCCGATAATAAAGGAAACGTTACCAAATACGGTTTCACGTCAAGTAATTGGCGCCACTTGTTTTCTCTTACATCAGCAGCATGTCATTACCATCACCAGATCTTGCTGAGACGGAGGCTGAAGAGCTGGTATCTCGGGTATCCGGATCGTCATCCAGCTCTTTCGTGCCAATTGATGATAAGGAAGATGCTATTCAAGTTATTAACGAGGACAAGCAATTCAATGGGGATCTCTTATCATATGTTACAGCAACACTGTTAAATGTTGATAAGGATTACCATATTATTTCTGTGTTTGGATCTCAATCAACAGGGAAGTCTACGTTGTTGAATCGTTTATTTAATACCAATTTTGATGTTATGGATGAAACTCAGAGAAGACTGCAAACCACTCGTGGGATATGGATGGCTCATTCACCTTTAGTGAACCATACTTTTAATTCTAAGGAAAAAAAGGAAGGTATTCGTAACAAGAATATTTTTGTGATGGATGTTGAAGGTACTGATGGTCGTGAGAGAGGTGAAGATCAAGATTTTGAACGTAAAGCGGCGCTTTTCGCTTTAGCTACTACTGAAATCTTAATCATCAATATTTGGGAAACGCAAGTTGGTTTGTATCAGGGGGCTAATATGGGATTATTAAAGACTGTTTTTGAAGTCAATTTAAAGCTTTTTGGTAAAGCAAAATCAGATACTACAAGTTCTTCCACTTCTCCTGTTACAAAGAAAATTAGTGACCATAAGGTTTTACTTTTATTTGTAATTAGAGATCATTTAGGTGTTACACCAAAGGAAGCTTTAGCAGAAACTATTACGGATGATTTATTAAAAATGTGGGACTCTTTAACAAAACCGTCAGAGCTATCACATTTTAAGTTCAATGACTTTTTTGATATTGATTTCCATACTATTGGCCATAAAATGTTGCAACCAGAGAAGTTTGAACAAGATGTTAAGCTCTTGGGTGATAGATTAGTTAATCCAAGTGATACCTTGTTTAACCCTAATTATCATCATGGAGTGCCTGTTGATGGATGGGCTTTATATGCTGAAAACTGTTGGGATCAAATTGATAATAATAAGGATTTAGATTTGCCTACCCAACAAATCTTAGTTGCCCAATTCAAATGCGAAGAGTTTTCAAAGAAGTCTTTGGATTCATTTATTACCAAATACACTGAGTATGAGCCTATTGGTCTTGTAGCAGATGATTATGAAGAAATTGGTAGATGCTTGATTGATTTGAAGAATGATACATTAGAAGAGTATGACAATTTGGCATCTCTGTATAACGAATCCATATATGAACAGAAGAGAACAGAATTGAGTACTCAGATCAATGCCAAGGTTGCTAACTTATTTAATTCACACGCAGATAAGTTAAGAGCAAATTCCGCGGAAGCTTTCAAAAAGGAATTGATAGCACTTAAAGGTCGTAATTTTAATAAGGAAGGATTAAAGATACGTGACGATCACAGATTGAAATATTTGCAAAAGTTAAGTCTATTATCTATTGGTGGAGAGATTTCAACAGATTCCAACTTTGCTAAACTTGACGAAACGTTGAGTAGTATTTTCATAACTCAACAAAAGGCAGAATTGAGAGGAGTAATTCTGAAGGGGTTGAAGAAGCTTTCAACTGGTTTAACCAAGGAAATCCAAGCACAAGTTGGTTCACCTGCCTCCACATCTTGGGACGATATTTTGGCCAAATTTAAGTGTTTGACTAACGAAATCATTAGCAAGTATGAAACCGATGATGCTAAAGGAGTTTATGATTTTGGGTTGGGAACCACTGGAGAAGAGAATGCCAAGGCTATAGATGAATTCAAATTCAAGTCATGGATTACATTTGATGAAGTGAGTCACAAATTGCTCACCAAGGATTCGATTTTGGCATTATTGAAGGAAAGATTTGAAGATAAGTTTAGATATGATGCTAATGGAGTTCCTAGATTGTATGAGAACACTGCTGAATTGGAGGTCAATTTTCAAGATTCCAAAGTGTATGCCATGAAGGTTATTAAGATCTTTGGGTTTGCAAAACTTTCGGATGAAACTGAAATTGTACCCGATTATTCAATTTATGACATTAAATTAAGAAACACTTATTTTGGTATTAACACCATTGACGACGACGATGATGAAGATGAAGACAATGAAGATGAAGGTAGACGGACATGTTTTGCCGAAGTGATTTCAGAAAAGGACAAGGCTATTATACTTTCCAAGTTCAAAAAGGAGATAGATGCCCGCTTCATTGAAACCAAAAAATCCATTATTCAAAACGTTACTCAAATTCCGTATTATATCTATTTGATTATAATGGTTTTAGGGTGGAACGAATTCATGGCAATACTCCGCAATCCACTTTTGACCACACTTATTTTGGTGTTTGGTGGAGGGTTATATGTGTTGTATCGGTTGGGACAATTGAACCAAGTGATTTATGTAACAAAGCACTTTAGCAATGAGGCGTTGAGTCTTGCCAAGGAACAGTTACGGCGGGTTCTTATTGAAGACTACGATGTGCACGGACGGAATCTTGACGGAATTGGGGGCCAAAAGAATAGTGGGGTGGATTCGGAGAATGTTGTGGAGTCAATCGAGATGCAAGACCTATAAATCTTATTTGTTGCAGTTACAATAGTGACGGTGTGCATGCAAGGTGCATATTTTATTATTGATTCATATATAGTTTTTTGTTTAGTGATAAGAAATAAGTTTATGCACTGTATACTTGTTGATGCCGTGGGTGAGAGTGGGTGTCGTGTGAACTTTATATAAAGTATGGTGCTTTCATTCTTATGTTCAGTTAGAAAAGGTTCACATCTTTTAGGTGGGGGTGGGGGTGTGTTGATCATAAATAGGGGCCCAATAAAGAGTATAATATAGTTTGTAGTTTGTTCGTTTTATATTGGTCTTAGTTTGAAGTCCGACATCTTCAGCATGAAGGAAGCAATCATTCAATCTTTGTTGGGCAATGTCAACGAAGACCACATAGGTCAAGTTGCCTTGAAGCTTCAAAATGAGTTGACCCAAGCCGTAGCAAAGGAATCTTCCTTATCCATGTTGGCCAATCATCATATCGAGCCTCTGGGTCTGGAACAAGGTGACTACGTGGTGGTGGATGTAGGTGGTTCGACTCTCAGAGTAAGCATAGTACTGTTGAACACTAGCAGTAATGGTAGGACTGGATTTGAGGTTCTAATCAATCAGGCTTGGGCTGTTAGAGACAGTTGTAAGAAGATGGACAAGGGATTCTTTCAATGGGTTGGACAAAAGCTTAATGAGGTTTTGGATAAACCAGAAGCCAAACGGTTGTTGGAAGCACGCGTCGATAAAGGTATCGATTTGGGACTTTCATGGTCTTTCCCCTTGGATCAAACCCATTACAATCGAGGTCGGATCCTCCATGTTGGTAAAGGCTTTGAAGTAGGGTCAGATGTTGAAGGTAAAGACTTGAATGAAATTCTTACAGGTATTATGAAGGAAGACCATAACATCAACATAAATGTTGATTGTATTATTAACGATTCTCTTGCAGTTTATGCTGCATCAGGGTTTCTTCACCCTTCTACTGTTTTAGGATGTGTTTTGGGTACTGGACTCAACATTTGTGTTCCATTGAAGACTGCTCTGTATCCTGAGTCCAAGTCCATGGGCCAGGGCCACCACTATAGTTTGTTCAACTCTGAGGCTTCTTTGTTTGGGTCTTCATTCATAGAGCCCTATGTTTCTCAAGTGTTGGACCCACATATTGATGATAGGTTTGGCAGAATTGGTGAGTTGACCTTTGAGCTGTTCATGGATCGAGATGTGGATGGACGGATTTTCCAACCTTTGGAATTGCTTACATCTGGTAGATATTTACAAGAGTTAACAAGGTTAGCCATAGTTCAATTGCATTCTCAAGGTCAATTATTGACTAACATTGAAGATATGACAAATTTGGAAGATCCTTCTCAACGGTATGAAGGGTTCCCTGGAGCTTTGGTATGTTTCATTAATGAGAACGATGATATCGAAGTCATAAGGGAACAATTGGTTCAAGTTTTTGGATGGGAAAAAACCAGTATATCAGTTTCAGATGTTACCACCATCAAAGAGATAGTTGATTCCATCATAAAAAGAGGTGCATTTGTTGTAGCTGTGGTAGTGGTGGCTTTTGTTGGGTTACTTTATGATAATGATAATCTCAGAGGTTCACAAGTTTTAACTATGGGATACGTTGGACTGGTGCTTCATCATTACAACAAGTACCGTCTGTTAATCTTAAAACATGTTAATGACAACGTCGCTCATTATGGAGTAAGTGTTAAGTTTGAGTACATTGAAAATAGTACTTTGATTGGTACAGCTGTAAGTGCTGCTTATTTCAAGAACATAAAGAAATAAGTAAAACGTTTATATTTATTTAGTAACTAAACTATACATAATTCTCTATAACTTTGATTGAGAATGAGCACTCAAGTCACTTACAAGTAAAACATTAGAATGATCTGCTAAATAAGTAGAAGGTACTTGTGAGTTATTTTTTGAGGAAAGAGTCCAAGAAAGAGCCTTTTGCTTATTCTTACCAAAAACAAGAATGATAATCTCCTCTGAATTGTCCAAGATGGTTGAAATACCAACAGATAATGCTTTGGTTGGAACTTTACTCTTGTCGTTATCAAAGAATCTGGCATTGGCTTCAATGGTTGAAGGTACCAAATCAACAACTCTAGTACGACTTTCTCTTGTAGAACCAGCTTCATTAAATGCTAAATGACCTTCAGGACCAACACCTCCAAGAAATAAGTTAATACGACCATATTTGCTTATTTTGGCTTCATAGGCAGCACATTCGGCTTCGGGGTCTTTGGCCAACCCATTTAAAATGTTGATATTTTCTCTTGGAATATCGACATGATTGAACAACTTATCAAACATAAAGTAATGATAACTACGAGAATCTTGAGGAGGAAGACCCAAATATTCATCCATATTGAAAGTTACCACGTTCTTAAAGGAGACCTTGCCTGCTTTGTACAATTGAACCAATTCAGCATAGACCCCTTCAGGTGAAGAGCCAGTAGGAAGCCCTAAAACAAATGGTTTGGACGTTGAAGCTTGAAAGTCATTAATACGTTGCACTACGACTTGAGCCACGAATTTCAGTGCTTGTTCTTTAGTAGTGAAGATAGCTTGTTGCATGGTGGTAGTACAGCGAGAAAGATCAAAGATCAAAGTACAAAGATCTGTGGCAATTAAACGTCTAAGCTGTTTCTAACACAGTACTTATATCTTTGGGTTATAACCACCACAATCTACACCTACAACCTACAACTAACTTTAAATCTTGAATGCCGTATAATACACTCATCCCCCATCATTCCCATATCTTACTTTGCTAGCCCAACTCCATAATACGGTACGTGCACGCCTTGTAAGGTTGTGAATAAGTGCGGAGGCTTTGTACATATAGATCTTAACAGTAAGGCTCTATTGTTTAATACATACATTCATACATTTTCGGAGCCCAGTTCAGCCAGGAGGGGGGGTCTCACCTCAAGAATATTCTTAAAAGGTCAGAAATATACCACCACCATCGCCCTTAACGCAAGTATGCATACCGTATGTTATATGCCTCGGAATTAGAAGTGAGAATGAAAGACTGATGGGGAGTTTAAATTTCGTCATAGTCGCATTGAAAGTAGCAATAAACTACGGATTTTTTCTCCAGTACTATCGTAACGGAATGTTTATATAGACTATTAACTTCGTATACCACAACCATATACATCCATAGTCTAGCTATTCCTCATTGTATATTCATCTCGGATTCAGTGCTCCACTTTAATCCCCACTCACTAGTTGTATACAGCTCTTTCTCCTTACACCAATGTAGCTTATCAAACACCCATTGAAGCCCCCACCCTACGGCATGACATAACGTTTAAGGTTACGGAAAAATACCGAAAGGAAACTCTTATTCGTATTCCCACACGTTGCAAGCGTCTCATAATGTTCAGAAACATATAAAAGTTTCCCGTTGCATAATTACTCCCACCTATACGGTTGTATGTTCTTTAGTATTTAGCAATTTAATTGAGTTGCAAGATGGTTACTAGATTCTACAACGGTGCGCTCTGCGATAAGGGAGTTCTTAAGGAAAACACCACGTTATATGTGGATGAAACCACTGGAGTCATTCTTGACGGTTCCAAAATCAATGTGAATAATGTTGATAAGCATATTGATCTTCAAGGTAATGTTCTTGCCCCTGGGTTTCTTGATATTCAAAATAATGGTGTCTACGGATTTAACTTTGCCATTATGGAAGGTAGTGAACGCCAATTTACGGACGACTACCAAAAGGCTATGACAAGATATATGAGTACAGGCGTTACTGGAGTATGTCCAACTGTGATATCTGCAGACAAAACCACGTATCAGAAGGTTCTCCCCCATCTAGGTGCCACTAGACTGTCATCTCAATGTGATTCTTTGGGTGTTCATTGTGAAGGTCCATTCATCTCTCTTAATAAAAAAGGATGTCATAACCCAAAGCATCTAATTGAAGATGCGACCAAAGTCACTCTTGCTGATGTTTATGGTAATGACCCAAAGGAAATCAAAGTGGTGACAGTTGCTCCAGAAATCCCGGGTATCTTTGATCAAATTCCTCTCATGTGCCAAAAGGGTTGGATTGTCAGTGTAGGTCATACTACAGCTTCATATCAACAAGCTAGTTGTGCTGTGGAGAAGGGTGCTACTCTCATTACTCATTTATACAATGCTATGCCTGCACCTCATCATCGAAAGGCTGGTGTTGTTGGTACCATTACTTTGGCTGGAGATAAGGGAAGCCCTACCCCGTATTTTGGAATGATTGCTGATGGTATTCATATTGATAAGACTATGGTTGCAATGGCATATCGTGCTGCACCCGGCAAGTGTATACTTGTTACCGACACAATGCACTTGTATGGTCTACCTGATGGAGTATATAACTGGGATGGCCAAGTTCTTCGTAAGAAAGGAGCTGTTGTTTTAGTAGATGGAACTGAAACTTTAGCAGGCTCTGCTACGGATTTACCATCATGTTTACGGAATTTGATGGAGTGGGCCGATCTTAGTTTGGCTGAAGCGGTTGCATGTGTCACCAATCATCCAGCAAATGTTTTGGATCTAGAAAAGAAGAAAGGGTATCTTGACCCTGGTTGTGATGCTGATTTGGTGGTATTAAATCGGTCTGGTTACGTTCAAAAAGTGTTCAAACTTGGGAACCCTGTAACCGGGTCTAAGGCAAGTAAATTGTAATTAGATACTTAGAGTATACATCAATATAAATTAATATTGGTAAGAACCTCAATGCCATACCTGGTAGTACTTTAGATGGCAGTTATGGCTTCCCCACGAAATACAGTGCTCCCATCAATACCCCACTAGTGGTACCGTTAATGTCAAAGCCATCCTATGATTTCTATTAGTAATGGCTATACTAGTTTCCAGGCTACTGTATGGTATAACCTTAACTTTTTAATCTGATTGGCTACTAAGCCGAGCAATTTAGTGTATGTCAAATGGGGTGTGCAAGATTTATCTCATTCTAGGTGCGGGAATTGAAATCATATATCCAGGGATCACCAAATTTAACAGTTACAATCACCACTCTTTGGTGTTCTTTACTACTACAGAACAGAATAACCTAGCATAGAAGAACAAGGCGGTTTATATATTCATTGACTCTTTGAGTTACTCCCACCTATTCTTGAATTTAGTTAATAGGATAGTTAGTTTATATTGATTATCTCTGTTACTCACAGTCACGCCATCCCTTAAGCTTCTATTAAAGTTAAGTTTATCTCTCGATTCTATCTATTCATTTATATTTGTTATGATTCTATGTTTCTCCCGTCGTTGTGTGGGCTTAAGGGGGTTCACTCGGCAATTAGCTACTGCTGCCCCCAACAACGGCACTTGCGAAGATGTTCATCATCTGAATTTCAACTTACCTCCGTGGCCTAAAGGTAAAGACCCCACACCATATGAAATATTCCACATTGAAGAATCAGAAAAGAAATTATCAACGCTTGAGTTCAACAAACTAATCAAAACTCGGTACATGAAATACGTCAAAGTATACCACCCTGATGTATGCAAACATAGTGAGATCCTAGATAGGAAAACAGGAAACAGTTTTAGCTTAGAAAGGAAGAGACAACGTTTCGATATGGTTGTCAACGCTTATGATGTTTTGAAAGATCCTAAACGTCGTTTGGCTTACATAAGGTATGATGAAGCACTGTGGCAGAACTATGATCCCAAGAAGCATGAAGGTACATTCAATGCATATCGTCAGGCTAATGCCCATAGACGTCAATATGGATTCAGTCATGATGAAACCTTCTGGCATGCAGCTACATGGGAGGATTATTATCGAATGAAACACGGGAGAGCACCTCCCAGTATGGAAGAGTTGGAGAAAAATAAATGGAAGATCTTGTGGGGTGTATTAGCAATTATGACTTTAACAGGTACAGTCCAAACCATGTGGGCATTAGATCGTGCTAATGATTACATCAGAACTTTGAATCTTAAACATAGTCTTGCTTCGGAACAATATGAACTTGCCAAGGACAACTACGGTGAAGGTGATGGTCAGCTAGATAGGGTAAAACGTTTCTTAGTTAACAGAAGAGCAAACTTTGATGATCCACAGTTTCTTGAGGCTAGGGAAACTGGTGATAATGAATTGTTAACTACTTATGCTCGAAAACGGGTAACCAAATGGTCTGATCAGGAAGATGTTTGATCTTAAAGGCTGTTACAATCATATTATGATCTTTTATATAGCTACTGCGTTCAGTTCACAAATATCTTATCGAATCTGAAAACAATCAAGCTATTCTTTATCATTAAATTGTGCTCTACGTGCGGGTAACCCTTGACCCCCACTTTTCCGATTGTGAAAAATTCCTTCGGAGATCTTCAACAGAACTCAGAAGGTATGAAGGATACTCAATATAGAAGGATACCTATCTACATCCATTTGCACAACTTGCTTTATAGATCTTAATATTAATCACAAAATGGATTTCATGAAACCGGAAACAGTTCTTGATTTGAATAATATTCGTCAGGCATTAGTTCGGATGGAGGATACGATTGTGTTCAACTTGATTGAAAGAAGTCAATTTTACCTGTCTCCACTGGTTTATAAGTCCAACTACGTCAGGATACCTGATTTTGATGGCTCCTTTTTGCAATGGACCTTATTACAACAGGAACGTATTCATAGTCAAGTTAGAAGATACGAAGCTCCTGATGAAGAGCCATTCAATCCAACTAAATTGTTACCTAGTTTATTACCTCCAGTGAATTATCCTAAAATTCTTGCTAACTACTCTAAGGAAGTCAATGTTAACGAAGAAATCTACCAATTCTATGTGGAAAACATTGTACCCAAGATCAGTTGTAAAGAAGGAGATCAATTGGAAAATTTGGGATCTGTTGCTGTGAGTGATATCGAATGCTTACAAAGCATTTCTAGACGGATTCACTTTGGTAAGTTTGTGGCCGAAGCCAAGTTCCAACTGGATAAGCAACTCTATACCAAATTGATCAAGGAAAAGGATATAGAAAGTATAGAGAAAAGCATTACCAACTCTGCAGTTGAACAGAAAATTTTAGAACGGTTGGTGGATAAATCAAGAAGTTATGGTACCGATCCTCTGATGAGATACAGTCAGAATCCTCAAAGTAAAGTTGATCCTGAGATCATTGTCAAGCTATACAAGGAGTTCATTATCCCTGTTACCAAGAAAGTAGAAGTTGAGTATTTATTAAGAAGATTGGAGGATACACAATAGAGTCACACTACCAGACGGTATCCAGTATATACTTAAATGTTACAATAAAGAAATATTAATGAAATGTGATGTTTGCATACAAAGTTTGTCTAGAACATGTCTTGTAGTTGTACGTTATGGGAGAAATAAGAGAAGTTGCCAAACACAGAATCTTACATACAATTCTGGTGGTACTGTCTAGAAGACTTTTTGTCATAATCCTCCACAATCTAGTTAAAATAAGTCGCAGTCCGATGTGTCGATTCAGTTCACGACATTTTTTATTTGAAGAACATACCATTCATAATAGTACAGCTATAGCACTTATTGTTTCTTGTTGAGTCACCACCACCCATAAATAATAACCTTGAGCTTCTATTATCAACTATAAACTGTCACGAATACTGCTTAGTATTCCATCTATACACAATCTGAAATCTATACGCAACAATCTCCAACCCTGAACAAAGCCGTGCTTATTCCGATATACTATTACAACGTTGACAATAAACACGTCAGTTCCCCTAATAAGTTTTTAACAGGCTGCAAAATTGTATATGTCGTAGCTTCAATAATATTCTCGCTGACGTAATTGTGCGAGGTACCCAAAGAACGTGCCCGCGCCCCACGCCCATTGTCAAGTCTAAATTTGCAGCCATTAAGTGTGAAAACAACGTGGGTTACCAACAAAATAGTGGGCCACCCCTCCACAAACAAACAACAACACCGTGGAGAATACATGCTATCGCACGAGCGCATACAATAGTGAATGTGATAAATGCCATGCTTCTTTTTGATTGGAGGAACCGGGTCCATGGATCAAGTGGTTGACGCGACAATGCAATACACTCCAGCACGAGGGTAATGGAAATTAATATTATGCTGAGAATATATAAATACTCATACCAAGTGCCGTATTGATAATCTAAAGCGTTGCAAATATAGTTTGAAAGTGCTGAGCTGAGGTTAAGGATAACTGAAAGAGTACATATATATATAGCATGTACTGGCTAGTATTGATACCTATAGCCGTTGCTGGTGTTGCCATCTTATGGAAAGAGATCCACTCCGTCTTTGTCTTTTGTTGGGCTTGCTTCATTAGACCTTTGTTTGCAAAAGTTCAAACCAAACCAACCCATCAACAAGATGCCCTTGAACACTTTTATAAGTCTCAAGCTCATGTTTATGATAAAACTCGTACTGTTCTTCTCAAAGGTCGTGAAGAATGTCTCCGTTTAGCTGTCTCGCATTTACCTCAAGATAAAGTGGGAGGTAATCTTGTGTGGATAGATGTTGGTGGTGGAACTGGTTCCAATATTGAATATATGGATCACATTCTTCTGGTACCTGAAAACTTTAAGGCTGTATATTTGGTGGATTTATCTCCATCCCTTTGTGCTGTGGCCAAACAAAGGTTTGCTAACCGTAAAGGTTGGGAAAACAAGGTTCATGTTCTTGTGGCTGATGCATGTAACTTCTCCATAGAATATTCAAAAGCTGATTTGATCACTTTTTCTTACTCTCTTTCTATGATTCCTACTTTCAATGCTGCTATTGATAATGCTGTTTCCAAGTTGGATACAAACGGTATTATTGCTTGTGTTGATTTTGGTATTCAAAGTTCTGATACTGTTATTGGCAGAATCAATACCCTTGGTGGGCTTAAGAATAGAGAAAGCTCTTGGATCTTGCGTAACTTTTGGAGAATTTGGTTTGAAGCTGATAAAGTCTATTTGGATTCTGCTAGACGTAACTATCTCGAGTACAAGTTTGGTACCATCAAGTCTTTGAACACTCACAATACTAAATTGGGTAAAATCCCCTATTATATCTGGATTGGTTGTGACAAGAGTAAATCTGAACTGATTTTACATCGTTTGAATTGTTTGGCTACTGAATCACCTTATTTAGCACCTTCAGATTCAAATGATATTGCTTCCATAGTCGATAACTCCCTTGTTCCAATTTCAAAAGGCCATGAAGCTGCTTTGATAAACTTCCTGAAGAATTTACCTTACCCCTCAATATACTATCAACGTGAAATCTGGAGAGTTTACTTTGACGAACTCAATCCTCATTACCAACAATTCAAGAACCAATACATTTATGCATTCACCTGGGAAGACCCTCGTGAAGATCACAAGATTCTTAAGTTTAACTCTAATGATACTGTCTTGGCTATTACCTCGGCCGGGGATAATATTTTACACTATGCTTCCTTACCTAACCCACCAAAGAGAATCCATGCAGTTGACTTGAACCCTGCTCAAAATCATTTACTTGAATTAAAGTTGGCAAGTTTCAGATGCTTGTCTCAAGAACAAATCTGGCAATTGTTTGGTGAAGGCAAGTGTGATGACTTTCAGCACATTTTAATTGATAAACTTTCTCCACACATGTCTTCAAATGCCTTCCAATTCTGGATGGAAAAGGGTCATAAAACCTTCGTCAAGCAAGGACTCTATGATACTGGTTCTACTAGATGGGCATTGCGTTTGACAAGATGGGTATTCAAAGCCTTTGGTGTCAGCAAATATGTGGATGAACTCTGCCAATGTACATCCATTCAAGAACAAAAACATATTTGGAAAACCAAATTGAAGCCAGCTTTGTTCAACCCCGTGGTCTCCCTGTTTCTTGTCGGTAACCCCCTTTTCCTCTGGAAGGCATTAGGGGTCCCAGCAAACCAAGCGGCCATGATGGGTGACTCAGTTTTGAGATATGTGGTTGACACTTTAGATCCACTTATTGAAAGATCGTTGATTTCATCTGATAACTACTTCTACTACTTATGTTTACAAGGTCGTTATACTCGTGACAACTGCCCTGATTACTTGAGTTCAAAGGGTTACAAATACTTGACAGGAAGGGCAACCAATAATAACCACTCTACTGGAGAACTTAGCTCACCCATTGATAATATCAGATTACACACAGATTTTCTTAACGATGTCTTTGCTCGTCTCCTGTCGAACTCTTTAACAATCGCTATCATCATGGACCATATGGATTGGTTTGACCCTAACGGACTGGATGCCCATAAGGAGATTTCTGCATTGAAGCAAGCTCTTGCTGACAATGGACGTGTTCTTTTAAGATCAGCTGCTCAATATCCTTGGTACATTAAAACATTTGAATCATTGGGTTTCAGTTGTGAACCCGCTGCTATCAGAAAAAGTGGGAAATCTATTGATAGAATTAACATGTATGCTTCCACTTGGGTATGTACCAAGAAGCCTATTTCTCCACTGTCTCTGACATGCCCAAGTCCTAGTTCTACAACTACTGGCCCTTCTCGTCGGAGAATGAGTAGTTTGAAGATTTAATTGGAATGCTTGAAGATATGTGACCAAAAATTAACAAAAATGAATGCTCGATATGGTGAAATCGACTGGCCCCTCATTTCTACATAATTAGTGACTCTGTACTGTATTAGTGAATATATATACTTATAGTTTTTGGTTCTTTCTTGATTTAAGTGGTTCAAAGTGTGGCATCTGATCAGGCCTTATGAGCGGTCGATAAATTACCGAATCTGGCTAAAACGAAAAATTACTAATACATTCAACTTAAACAGTGGTATGAACCACATAGCACGATAATATTCCTATCTGCTTCCTTATATTGCAAAACATGTCGTCGTTTGAAATAGTTTTTGCCGTTCCTATGGAATGCCAATCATGTGTTGAATCAGTTACCGATGCCCTCAAACCCATTTCTGGACTTGAATCTGTTGACGTTCAACTTGATTCCAATTTAGTGGTAACTAAGGGTACTACATCACCATCAGATATTGTCCGAGCTATTCAAAATACTGGTAGAGATGCTATAATTCGTGGTACAGGTAAGCCTAATTCCGCAGCAGTGTGTATCCTTGAATCATTTGATCCGAAGGATTCAGCTATGCCTGTTAAGGGATTGGCTCGTATAGTTAGTGTCAATGAAAAGGAATGTGTTATAGATTTAACTGTGAATGGATTACCAAAGGGGACATATTATCCATCAGTCCGTCAACTGGGTAATTTATCCAGAGGTGCATTATCTACAGGGGGTTTATATTGTCAATTACAACCTGTTGAAGTAACTCAACCATCTGATATTTCTACCACGATCAATTCCATAGGATCTGCTATTCATAGAGGACTCTCAAGTATTGGACTTTGTTCTGGACAAAGTTTCCTTCATGCTCCTATGAATATATCGGATATCATTGGCCGGAGTGTTATCTTGTCTTCTAAACCCAATACTGTTACGGAGGACTCGCTTTGTGGGGTCATTGCCAGAAGTGCTGGTGCATGGGAAAACGATAAACAAGTGTGTAGTTGTACAGGCAAGACTGTGTGGCAAGAACGTACTGATGCTGTGAACAAAGGTATCACTGCCTAAATAATAGTAATATTAAGTACTAACTGTAGTAATAGTATACTTACAGTAATTATGAATACTAATAGTGTTGTTTAAGATTGTATTATTTCTAATGATTCCAATTACAGAAGTTTCCATCAACGTATTATCAAGCAACATTATCCTTAGCTGTATACAATTTCGGTAACTGTTCCCGACCCATTGGTGTCAGTTAATTCATTCCGTAGTGCTTGCAACGTTTGGTGGTGTACAGTGGCTCAAAAAACTTTTACGTAAGCAAAAACTTGTATAGGAAAATCCTCAAGCCAATATGGTATCTGCTTTCCTACCTATAACCCAGTCTAAGTATAACGTTTACAGCTATCTTGTTTTGGTGGTGCTGCTCCCCATAAGAGTGATCAGGTGAAAGAAGACCCATATCGGTTATATTGTTGTTGATAATCAGATTTCAATACTGCTGCTTATTCTTCAAGAATTAGACGTATCGTATTCCACGATAACTTGCTCTTCAACAGCATGTCAAGTGTTTTAAGACTATATTTAAACGATCGAATAGACTCAATCAAAGCAAAGAGAACGCTAACACTAAATGAGTACTTGAAAAGCCATCATAGTGTTTCCCTCAACGAAATAATCGACGAGATCCATAGCTTTTTGACGGAAGCCACAGAAGTAGATTTACCTGAATCACCTTATTTTATAGAGAAGTTGGTCCTTCAAAGTAATAGCATTAAAGAGTTGCCGTCCAATTTCGTTAAAATAGCTCGAAATTTAACATATTTGGACCTTCATGATAACCAATTAACCTCCTTGTGGGGGTTATCAGAATCTTGTCCCCAGTTGGAGATCTTGGACTTGTCTTCAAACAACTTTGAAGTGTTTCCTAATGAAATTCTACTGTTATCTTCATTACGAGTGCTTTCGCTTGAGAATAACCACTTGAAATATTTGCCACCTTCTGTTAGTGAGTTAACCCATTTGCATCTCTTAGAATTGGAAGGAAATCCCTTGGAATTGCCACCCATAGAAATGATTCAGGAAATTCTGGCTCTGGGATCAGATTCCGACTTGATACACAATTTAAAAGCATATTTTGTGGCAAATGCATCAGTAATCACTGCTAAGATCGAGGATCAACAATCTGATGGTGTAGGCAAGACGCTAGACCTGACCACAGTTGGTACAACTACTACTAGTACCACTGCTTCAACTAGTGCTAGTATCAGTCCTAGTAACACTGCTTCAACTATATCATCGTCTACTACTGCTTTACCTGCAATAGCGACATCCTGCGGTTCTACTAAGTCTAGACCTCTGATGTTGCGTTCTAAAAGTGTATCCGATAAATCAAGAGTTTCCGTAAACGCGTCATCAAAAGCTTCCAGAAGAATGGGTTTGGTGTTGAAACAACCATTACCTGACGATAGTAATGATCTTGGCTCCTCAACCTCGATTCAAAACGCTAGCTTTTACTTTGATGATTCCGATAATGATTTAAAACCCATGGCATTATCAGCTTCTGCTGCTGAATTAACTTTCAATGTTAACAACAACCCTCCAAACCAACCCGTTGGAACGATTACCCCATCATCAAATATAACTGCTGGACCCCCCATCGTTTCTAATTCTACTAACGGATCTCCTTCGTCTTCATTTACTGCATTGCCTCATTCAGGATCCTCCACGAGTTTAACTGTTCCAAATCTAAGTCGCCCAAACAGTAGAAATAGAACAAGATCAAACACATTAAGGGATATAGAACGAATTCTTGACAAACAAGAAATAACAGATATCGAACAAAAATCTGGTGCTTATTTTCGACGTCTATCCACATTACAAGAACTGCCTCAAGACGAACTGATGATGCATTCCTCAAACTATCAGAATTCTAATAATTTATCATCAATGTCATCATTTAGTGGACCTAGTACTATTTCATCAGCACAGATATCAATGAACGTATCCCCTGCAACTTCAGTATCACACACCTCAACGAATGTTGCTCCTTCTATCAATGGAGGAGCTATTGCTGCATCCCACACAACACCCCTAAACCATTCTTCAAGACAACATAGTCTAAGCCATCAAGTTAAAATCTATAAAGAACTGCACCCACCAAGTATAGCAGCAACTGCGTTAAGCGCAAACAGTGGATCTTCAGCTGTTTCCCAAGATAGTTCACCTCTTGTTGTGGCCAAAGGAGGACCCACATTTGAAATTTCACCAATCAAAAACCAATTTACAAGTGCTCAAAATGGTGGCAATACTAATGGAGCTAAGAAGATACGTGATCCCAGTTTGACCCTTAGAGTTTCTAGAAAGATATTGTTCTCTTTCATGGAGTTACAGACAAGTATCCGTCGATTCACAGGATTTTGTGTTGACAAGAAACTTACTATGAAGATGGTACAATTTTTATATTCCAACAAATCTATTATGGAAACTTTAGTCGAAAGTTTGGAACAAATGGAAGACCAGGGTAATAATCTTGATCAAGTTCTTCAATCTTTACAATCTTCAATAACTCAATTTAAGCAAATAATGGAACTTTTGGGTGATAATCTTCCTAGTTTTATCATGAAGACTGATGTGTGCTTTATTCGACTGTTATATTTGTCTCTTTATGGGACCTTCAATGAATTATACAATGGATATCGTGCGCTCGTTCCACATCACAAGCCACCTGTCTTTAACTTGTCTAACCAATATCAACTGTCTTCAGTTTCCACATCATTTTCGCTTGACCCCAAACAGAAAGCTCCAGTTTCGGAGTCAGAAGATGTTGATGAAAGGTTGTATAGAGCCCTTGAGAATTCGATTAACATAGCACAAGTGGTATTTGAAGATTTAACCAAGGCACTTCGTACAAACCCTTTACCATCTCCCCCAGTTACCGGTGGAAGTATTTCCGAAGGTACAATTAGTACTCCTGGTACCGGGTCCACTAATGGTACCAAGACGAGAGAGTTGGCTTCAGTTTGTCAGACATCTATGGATATAACCAAACGGTTAAAGGCTAACTTGGCCACAATCCGGAATAATCCAACATCTAGCACCAAACGGCCATTTTGGGACGATGTCAATTTATTCTTGAAGTCAATTATTCAATTTTTTTCATCTGTCAAACCAATAATGAAAGAAGGTTCTGCATTTTATGAGATTCGTCCATCTATGGCTGTTCTTACCAAGCATACTAAGGATGTGACTGTCTTACTTGAAGTTTCTAGCTACAAGACCATGTTATTAGAGACAACCAATGTTGGTGGTGTGACACCTTCTACGGGACAAGGGCCAATTCCCTTAAATACAGTTCATTCACAAGTCAATCTCACCACTAATTCACATCCTTTGCAGCAAAGTTATCCGTCGGGAGTCAATCTTCTGCAATATGGAGGGAATAATTCTTCTGCAGCATCACGAACACCATTAGTTTCAGGAATGCAATCGATGCTGCTACTGCTGCAATTAAGTTCCGAGCCTATTGTATCTCCTGGATTCACTAGTCCCGATAGTGGTACCAATATTCCAGGAAGCAACTCCACACAATGATAATATGGAGCCGTAGTTGAAAGTATTTTATCCGATATATTAGACTAACTTGTTAGCTATCCTATATAGAAAATGCATTTAATTATAACCCCATAATAAACCCCAAAATTATATTAAAAAGAAATAGAAAAAGAAAGAAAATCGAGAACCAAAATTTAATGTTACCAAGGGCTTTAAACACAGTTTAAAAGCTTAAAGTTGTATGATATTCTTTATCAATTGGAGTTTCTTCTGATTCTTCATGTGAGCTTGATTGGTCCAAGACGTGGCTAAACCAACTTTTGGCGTTCTCGAAAAAAATGGCGCTACCGTTATCAAAGCTTAATATATTTGTTGGTGTAGAATGTGACTGTTGCATCTTATTGATGTCATCGATGTTGAATTGAAGTAAATCAGTAGAAATGATCTTGAGCCTCTTATCCACTAAAATAGCATTATAACCATAATCAAAATGTATATTGTTAAACAAGAGGTTTTCCAATTCGTTGCAATCATAATTAGCGACGTCAAACCTTCCCCATTTGGAAGCAGTGTTCTCTTCGACATAAAATGGTGAGATTTGATTGAATGTTTGACTCGACAGCATAATTGATATCATAATGAAATGCCAATAAGGAATATATGATTTGAACCAGTTGTTTAACTAATGAGATCTCTAATATACTATCTGCATAAATGGGGGTTTAATCGTTGCATTTATATACCAACTTTTAAAATCATGTCCGAGCTAATGATAAAACTCCCCCAATTCCGATAGCCCGAGGGGCATTGTTTAAATTGGTCCATCGGATGATCCCCGATTGCAAAATCTAAATGGAACAATAGGGCATTTAAAAAAGTCTATTGTTCTCATCTGCTGGCGTTTATTTTCCTTATTATCTAAATGAATTTAGGTTTGCATGCATGTCTCCTTATGTAGTATCCCCTTTCTTTGCATAGATATTTTAAGGTTTGAAAGTCCGATGCGCACCTACTTATTCTTTGGGAGCCGGAGCAACGATTGAAAGCTGCCGGACAATAGAACGCGGAGCATGCAATGGAAGGAATCTGAGAAATTAAGGCGAGCATTACAATGCAGTCTTTGTTTAGTTTTAATGGTGACTTGTGCCTATTCATACCCTTTAAAGTATAGTTTTTGTTCACACGCTGAATTTCAGTTTTGTAGTGTGATTGTTGCCTACTTCCAATCACTTCTTTACACTTGAGTTACAATCACAAGTATTATAGCAAAGTGATATGCCTACAATTAAACTCTCGACAACTTGAGATTTAGTTTTCATTGTTGTATTGGAATCTTAAAGGCCAAAAACCTTATCGAAGCAAAATTCTTCCACGTCGTAAGCTTAATAACCTTAATTATAACAAATAGCTTCGGCACATGAAGCTTACATGCTATTTACGCCCTAAACATCTTATCATATTCAAAGCCAAAAAGTATGTTGTTCTCCACCTGTTAGCAAGCATGTGTTCCTCCTTATCCACTGGGCCAACTTATACTTGACAAGGCTACACACAGTACGATTTACATTCTCTGTTTCATTTCATAGCTATACTTAGCCCACTCGTTGCTTTCGTTAATACCTTAATGTAGTATGCACGATGGTTACAACAGTTTCCTATTTAGGAAATGGTCCGAATACCTCTTCCTAATCAGGGTTCAAGTTTCCTCTGCAATACACCCACTTCGGACATGTACAGAAGCACTTGGATTGATCAACAAATATACTAACTTAAATGTTACATAAGCTATAAGTACCAGCTCGGATAGGACCAATCTCCAAATACATTCATCACAGTCAAGGTTCATATAATTTATAGATAGCATAACAAAATGAATGTTCGTAAAACATATACATATTGTACACTAAAGTGCAGCAATAATGGCTCTTTGCTATGGCGGCGCGCTTTAATGATGCCACTCAAGTTTAGAAGGTCCCAGCACTATTCTATTACACTTCGATGTCATCCTCGGGGCAATCAACATCCACATCCATCTTATTAGTGTAATCTCCACCTCCAACTGTAAATCATTGATACCATGGAATAATGTGCGTTTGTGTGTGTTACTCGAGCATCGCCTTATATTCGGAAAAGTGTTCCCCTCATACTCACAACGCTTCATTATTGTTACCCGCCTACCACTTACGCCCTAAAACGGGCCCCGGAAGAATAGAGTTCCGTCATTTCACTACAAATGAGTTTCCTCTTTTAGAAACAGCTCAGTTACACCGGTTATCTCCACCTCAGTTCATATTGCCATATCCTAATGCTATCCTCCTACGCAAACCGGAGCGCGGAAATTGCCCCTTAGTTTACTTTTATATGCAGGGTCTTGATCAAAAGTTTTCATCTCATCAAGTACCACCATACGATAAGGATGAACTAACTCAAGCACTTTCCTTGTTGTAGAAATTACAGACATTTACAGATCATGACTATTGAACTTGAAGAGCCGCCATTGACACGTGATAATCTCCAAGTCTATAAAGACTTATTTGCTGGTACCATTGGTGGGATCTCTCAAGTTCTTGTTGGTCAGCCGTTCGATACTGTGAAGGTCCGGTTACAATCTGCACCTGAGGGAACTTATTCAGGAGCATTAGATGTTATCAAGCAATTAATAAAGAATGAAGGTTTTCGTGGTTTTTATAAGGGAACTTTGACTCCTTTGGTAGGAGTTGGTGCTTGTGTTTCTGTTCAATTTTCAGTCAATGAATTCATGAAACGTCATTATGATGATAAGTTGAATGGTAAGCCTTTAAGTTTGGGTCAATTTTTCAATTGTGGTGCTGTGGCAGGTTTTGCTAACGGGTGTTTGGCTTCTCCTATTGAACATATTCGTATTCGTTTGCAAACACAAACTGGTAATCAAAAACTATTTAATGGTCCGCTTGATTGTGCTAAAAAATTATACCAAACTAATGGATTGGTCCATGGTATTTATAGAGGATTGAGTCCTACATTGATTAGAGAGTCTATTGGATTGGGTATTTATTTCGCTACGTATGAAGCATTGATTAAAAGAGAATTATCATCGCATACCAACTTGATCCGGAAAGATATTCCGGGTTGGAAATTATGTCTCTTTGGGGGTTTATCCGGTTATACTTTATGGATAGCTATTTATCCAGTGGATGTGATCAAATCAAAATTACAAACTGATTCCTTAACTCTGCCAAAGTATAAATCTTCTCTTGATGTTATAAAGGATATTACCAAAAGTTCTGGTATAAAGGGGTTTTATAGAGGGTTCATTCCAACCATATTGAGAGCTGCACCAGCCAATGGTGCTACTTTTGCTGCCTTTGAAATCACAATGAGACTCATAAGCTGATTAATCCGACTTATTAATATTATTATTATTATAGTTATTGTACACTAGTCTTACATAAGCCTAATAGATCTACCTATCTCTTGCTCATTATCATCATTCTCCTTTGTCGTGTCGTTGTGGGTTGTAGTCAGATATGTAGCCAACATTCTCAGGAGCAGAGTCAAAAACTTCCATATGATTTGTGGTGGTGGCTTCGTGCATTCCTTCATAATCTTCCGGACTCAAAACTCGGATAAACTCAACATAATCAGAAATAAATTCACCATTGAATTCATATTCATCTGTTCCCATCAATTCCAATTCTTCTTCGTCATCCGGTGAATTTAAACCCTCTTCTTCCTTTGGATTCTTAGTTCCACTCAATTCTTGTCTCAATCGGGCATTGAAGTTCTTATCTAATCGTAAGTGCAATCCAGGAATGACGTCAATAACATATAGTAGCACGCTACTCATAATAAGAACATAGATACTAGTGACAGTACAACCTAATATCTGATATGCAAATTGAATCCAATGGTGGGCAATCCACCCTCCTTTGGATTTATAGTTGGCTTCTGCTAGTAACCCTGTCAATAAGGATCCTGCCCAACCACAACATAAATGAATAGCTGCAAGATCAAAAACATCGTCCAATCCAAATACGTATTTCAATCGTGTTGCAACATTCCCTACTACTGCTCCTACAACACCATAAACAAATGATTTCCAAAGTGAGGTAGGTGATACAACATATCCACCACCAGGAGTAAAGCATACTAAGCCTGCCATAGCACCTGAACAAAATGAAACCATAGATAGCTTTCTTGTTGGTCCAAGCAGGAGTAACAGCTCCTTGTATCTTCTGCAATCTAAACCAGTATTACGGGAAACAACTGATAATAGTTGTAGTTGAGAAGTATGAGTTTCGAGTGATCTTCGACTACCTTCCATAGAAAGTGACCTCCTCTTACGGAGCACTGTACAATCTCCGGAACCAGATCTTATTCGATTTATTAGAGGGAAAGATCCAGAAGGGGTCTCCTGAGTTGGTTGAGGTGATCGTAACTCATTCTGGTCTTCAAGAGGAATTGCTGAATAATAATAATCAATAGCCAGCCATACCAAACCACCCACACATGATGTTAAAACAGTCGATATAAAGATTAGGATACTGGAAATTGAGAAGGTGAATTCACATCCAGCTATAAATCCACACCAACCAAACACTATGAAAACAGTTCCAATAACAATGTAACCAATATTATATGGCTTGTAATTGTACAATATTTTTGGATTCCGATGACCTAAAATATAAGAGTAAGCAACTCCCGTAAACCCGCACACAATGTGAATACAATTACCTCCAGCAAAGTCTAATACTGGGAACTTGTTGTATTCGACAGAAAGCCAGCCATTCCTATTCCAGAACCAGTATGTAACAGGGTTGTAGATTATCACCAGCCAACATAAGAAAAACACAAACATTGGGAAAATACGTCCTCTTTCTGCAATAGCAGCAGGGAAGGTAAGCGTGACGCAGATGATCTTCATCCAGGCATTGAACAAAAAGTGTGCAACAGTGTACGTTTCACCTCTCAGAGTAGTAAATATAAGTTGGTTTGGATCACGGATCTGACGAAGAACAGCAAAGTCCAAGTTCCCAATAAATCTATTTGAGGAACTGGAATAGCAAAGAGAGTAACCCCAAATGAACCATTCAATAAATGTAAAGCATATCAAGTAAAGCGGCGTTGCTATCATTGTGAGTGAAGATCTTCTCTGTAGCAAACCCGCATAAAATAACATAATGCCTAAGACCACAAACACTAATAATCCGCAGCATAATAGAATATAGAGCGTATCAACCGCAAGAACAACATCTTCTTTTGCAAGCAGTGATGCCATTGCTGTCGCCCGAGTCTCTCGTGGATCCTTTTCTTCTTACAATTTAGTAGGTACCCCGGTATCGACGCCGCAGTTTCGTCAGTATATCTGTATGTCAAGTATGCGTAAACGAAATGATGGTACTTTTTTAACCCAAACTGCATCTGCTCATCTTCTTTTCCTATTAGAGATCTCCGCAGTCTGCTTAACATTAGCGCAAGCACGACTTTGGTGATTACGATCTCTATCAGGTTCCTCAACTTTTATGCCAACAATACTCGTTGTAGCAGAATTCACATGTCTTTGGTATCGTGTAATTAAAATTGTAGTTATCGTTGAGCCCAAAGCGTATTCTATCAAATTCTCGCTTCATAAATGCACAGTTCAAGCACACAGCATACAATGTGGAGTTCATGTTTGTGGCAAGATTGAATCCGTTGTTCATGGCTCTGTATATCTCGGTCTTATTGTATTGAAGTTGAAACGTTGAATAATTGGTAGGAAAGGAAAGGTGCGAATTTGCGTTGTAGATGATAAGCGGAGGAAGGTAACCTGCTGATGATAAGGATGTGAACGAAGAATTCGCAATGAAGGTACTCATTACTGGGTAATCTCTTTGCATATCACAACCGAAGAAGAGAGCATGATTGTTTAATCCGTTTTCTATTAGCTCTTCTTCCGAGGGAACAAAGGGAAATACTGCTCGCCGTAGGTCGTTGCTTTTATTCTCAGGTAAGGAGAACCATGGTATCACATAACTGCTATTTGCACTATGGTATCTTCTCTGAGATTGGTTTAGAGTGGTTCCATTGGGATACCCATTCCAATCTGCCGTCATATCGTAAGCAAGTATCACATCCACTGGCCTCTCTGGTACAAGGAATGGTTGGAATGGAATGTTTTGTCCGTCATCGCCTCCGTCAATAAGAAACATATCTCTATTCTGGGTGAGCAGCAAGTCTCTGTTATCTTTTGCACCTTTATGGAACCCATAAAAGGGATTTGGTGATATCACGGCTTGGCCCAAATGGAACTCAGGGTTCTTCAAATGGACTAGATCTGGTCCTAATCCTATAAGCTTAAGGGAGGCCTCTACAGCAGCTAATGATTTGAGGGCTGAGTTGGAAAGAAACTGGTACAACACTAATAGCACTCTGTTGAAAAGTGACGACGAGGTGGCCATAACAAAACTGGCTGTATCGTATCCCAGAATACACATTGAAGTGTTTGCAAGCTCCGTAGGGATAGCAGAAGTGCCATTGTAAAACGGAGTACCCAAGTACTTAACGGGAACAAAAGCCTTAAGATAAGAGTCCCATGACCCGAACTCATAGGGAGTGAACTCCATGAGAAATGAATTGTAGCAGTTGGAAGAAGTAAGATTGGTGCTGATAGATGCCACTATAGGGAATGGCTGTTGATGGCGTAGAAAGGAAGGGTTGTTTGTTGCCATGGAAAGGGAAATACCTGGGTTCTGTTTATCTGCTGCAAACACATTGTATGATAGGGCTCTTCCCCAATAATCAGTAAGAGAGATGTAATAGCCTGCTTGTCTTTTAGCCTTCACTTCAGAATGCAATCGTTCATAGTAAGCAAATAGACCGCTGGCTACCTTACTTGTTGAATTATTTGGTGATGATGAAGGCTTGGTAATAAACGCTACTGCAGTTGAGTTCCCCTTCTTCTTCTGGCCAATCATTGATTGAACAAGGTTATCAAAAAATCCACCCTTAGAGTAAATCATGTCAGCTATATGTCTTTTGTGGATGCTCTTTGTCATTTTCTGTTCAAACAACAATCCTGATAGCCATGACATCCACAACATATCGTTGGATCCTTTGGGACTCTGCTTTGCATCAGCATATAGTTTTTGTTGGACCTGTGACGGATCGAGCTCCAGGATCCCCTGTAGAAGAGTCTGGTCGATATTCCATACTGATTCATTAGTATCTTGCATTTTCCATAGAGGGGTGTTATCGTTGATGAAATTACTAACCACAAGCCAAGATCCCCCACTAATACCTCCAATGTATGAGAGTGCCTGGTACAACCCTTGTACGCGGAAACCGAGACTCGATTCGTTGGAATTTGATGGACTTCTATTATCGAATGCTGATAGGATACCTGCACCAAGAAGCATTGATCTATAACCACCTCCAGATATAGCCAACGCAAGGGAGATCCCCTGTGTTCGCGATAACTTGAACTGATCAAAGTCAAAGTGAGGGATCTTATTATCCTCAAACAATTGTCGGATATGAGCCTTTGTTACCTTAGATCGAGATTCTATATACTTCTGTTCGTCGACACTAAGACCCTTTATAGTCTTAGTATAAGCTGTGTTGAATGTTTTGCTGTTTTATAGTGTTGATTGTACTTACAATTGCCTCTCTTACAAGCTCTTCCGATGAACAGTGAACTGGGAACGGCGCATACAGTCTAGTAGTAGTATTAATCAGAGAACAGACGACACCAGATACGATGACGAACCACAAATAGAGAAGGAGATTGGAAATAGTCGTCATGTTCTACAGGGTAAATAAAAGTGTAGTCGATATACTTTTTTCCCTTCCTTTGGCTGCAAATAAAATTAGTATGTGGGTCGCAAAATATATAGCGAACAATTATATAAAATTACAGAACAGTTATATTTTAACGTAGTGTATTTAATCTATAACATACGAGGAGTTTTAAACAAAAGTAAAAACCTACATAGAATTAAGTATATATGGAAGCTTAAATAACAACAAAAATGAATGGAAAAATTAACCAGGAATGGAATCAAATACAAAAACTCTAAAATCAAGAACCCGTTTAAAGATATAATCGTTGTGTTTTATTACACCTCCAACTTTCTTCGACTTTTTATTCTCTAAGTGCCGACCCGAAATGCTTAATCTTCATCAGAAGAAACATAAGCATCACCCAATTCCTTCTTCTTCTTCATTCTTTCCTTCTTCTTCTTTCTCAACTCAGCAGAAGACAACTTAGACTTCTTCTTACCAGCGGCAATCTTGTTACCCATGGCATCAAACTTGTCTTCTTCGTCTTCCTTCTTTTCCAATCTTGGACCAGAACCTTGACCTTGGACCCAGTTGTGACCAGATGGGGTCATCTTACCGTCCAAAACAGCCCAGACTTCTTCAGTCAAATCCTTGGTGAATTCAGCAGAGTGAGTAATGATAACAATACCACCTTCGAAAGTCTTCAAAGCCTTAGACAAAGCTCCCAAAGAATCTCTATCCAAATAGTTAGTAGGCTCATCCAAGACAATCAAATGAGGTCTTTGCCAGGTACAAGCAGCCAAGACCAACTTAACCTTTTGACCACCAGACAAACCTCTGATACGAGAGTGAGAAACCAATTCAGGGTCCAAACCCAACATGTTACAGTGCTCTTCGATTTCCTTTCTGGTTAATGGTCTAAATTGACCGGAAGCCAAAGCTTCCTTCATATCAACTTCAGCAACCATCTTACTGTGGGTTTCAACCAATTCACCTCTTGGTAACCAAGTGTTGTCCATAGACATCATAGGAACCCATCTTTCATTCTTCATACCAACATTGTCACCCAACAACCAGGAGATTTCATATTCGTAAGAGTTCTTGAACTTTCTTCTGGCGTGGATACCAGCAATTCTTCTTTCAGAACCTTCAATCTTGAAGATCTTGTTCATTCCCTTTTCATCATCTTCGTTGATTTGTCTGTTGGCTCTGTCCATGGTTTCTCTATCTTCACCAGTTTGGAATCTCCATTGAATATATTCAGATGGAGTCTTGTCCAAATGATTATCAATATGAGCAAAAGCATGTTGCTTAATGTAAGCGATACGACAGTTTTCGTGAACGTAAACTTCACCCTCAGTTGGCAACAATTCACCGGTCAAGACGTTAATCAAGGTAGACTTACCAGCACCGTTAGGACCGATAACAGCAATTCTAGATGAAAGAGAAACTTGGAAGTTAATTCCAGAAATTTGAGGCTTGCTGGTACCAGGGTATTGGAAAGTCATGTTAGAAACCTTAACAATAGCCTTTTGCTTAGTCTTGACACCTTCCAAGAAACCTGGTTCAGGGAAGCTAAATGAAACTTCAGAGGCTCCCAATTCGTAGTAAGATTGAGCAGAAGGACACTTCTTGACGAATTCAGACAAGTTACCCTTGTACTTTCTTAACTTGAAACCTTCGTAGTGGATAATGTATTGAACAACATTGTCCAAGAAACCGGAATCGTGAGAAACGATGATGGAAGTGATGCCACAAGTGTTCAAGTAGTTAACCAACCAAGCAACGTTAACAGTATCCAAATGGTTAGTAGGTTCATCCAACAACAAGATATCAGCATTCTTCAAGACAGCTCTGGCCAAAGCCAACTTCATCTTCCAACCACCAGACAAGGAGGAGATTGGCATTTGAATCATTTCGTCGGAGAAGGAGAATTCAGTCAACTTTTCAATGACAGCTTCCTTGGTCAAACCAACTTCACCATCTTGGATGACGAAATCAACCAAAGAGGTTTCAGCGTGAGTACCGTCAATGTCGTGTTCGACGTAGACAGTCTTACATTCTTCTTGGGTTGGGAAACCTTCGACTTGACCATTAGCAATAGCTCTCATCAAGGTAGACTTACCAGCACCGTTAGGACCACACAAACCATATCTTCTGTTTCTCTTTAATCTGAATTGGGTCTTGTTCAACAAGATCTTAGCACCATAGGCCAAAGAGAACTCACAGTTACACAAGTCTTCTCCATCATCTTCTTCATCAAGGAAAGCTGGTGGTTGAGGGATGTTGTCAATGGCTCTCTTTCTGAATTCTTCAATGATTTCCTTAGCTTCCTTTTCGTGCAAGAAAATGGTAGCAAAAGGCAAAACAGCTTCAATCCAAGCTTCAGGTTGAATTTGTCTTTCGTCAACCAAATCACCAGCAATAGCGGCAATGTATCTCTTGGCAACATCGAATCTAGCAGCAACCTTTTGGTCCTTGGTCAATTCGTTAAAGATATCTAAAGTGACATCAATGTCACCTGCGGTGGAGATTTCAGGAATAACATCACCTTCCTTAATGTCACCAACTCTTCTCAAAGTGTTCAAAGCTTGTTGAGTCTTTCCTCTAGCTTCTGGGTCTGCAATGATACTAAAGTTTTGCTTCAAGGCAGGTAACAAAGAAGACATGAAAGGGGCAACAACTTGAGGGTCTTCGACCAACTTACACATGTTGTCAACAATGACAGCAGCCTTTCTCTTGATGGCAGTGTCTCTTTCAGCAAGACCTCTGGAAAGCAAAGGAGCCATGATAGACAAAGTGGCCATAGTAACTTCAGAAACAAAAGTAGTAGCACCTAACAAGTGAACGGTTTCGGAAACTTCAGTTGGGTTGGCAATACAGTCAATCAATCTTGGAATAAACTTTTCGATATCCTTGTTGTCGATGGTTTCGGTAGATTTGGTCATGGTGACGAGAGCAGCTTCCTTAACTTCCTTCTTGGTATCCCACATAGCTTCAGAGAGAACTGGGATCAACTCAGGCATTCTTAAAGCAACTTGGTCCTTAGCGGTGTCAACCAAAGCAGAAACAGCGTCCAAGACAGCAATCTTTTCTTGCCACTTGTTGGTAGTCTTCAAACTTTCAACCAACTTAGGTAAGAAGATCTTGATAGCCTTAGGGGAGATAGCCTTGGCCAAAGCCAAAAGAGATTCAGCAGCAACAGCTTGAACATCCTTGTTCTTGTCACCAGCCTTAGCAGCAATGGAGGTGGTCATGTTGATGACATAAGGTTCAACAGATGGTGACAAGTTGTTAGGAGAAGCAATGTGGCCAACAGCCTTCAAAGCAGCAATAGAAAGTTCAGCATTCTTCTTGTTGTTGATCTCCTTTTCCAAATCTTGGAAGAATTCGAGAGGAACGTCATGTTCAACAATTGAACTGTTCAAGAAAGAGGCAACGTTAGAAGCAGCCTCATCCTTGTCGGTGGCAACGTTTAACTTGGCCAACAACTGAGAAAGCACATCAGTTGAGTACTTGGATTCAGATTCAGTAGTCATGTTGATCCGTAATGCAAACTGAAGAGAAAAGTTCCAACTAAACAAAAAGAAGAAGAAAGTTATGCAATTTTATTTCTCAGGGACAACAGATTATATTTAAGGGATGAGAAGGTGAAAATTTTTTTGGTTTTGTAAAGGTGTCTTCTGTTACACAAAAGAGCGGTATCTCATCTCATTTGTATGCAGAGTTTTATCTGAGTACGACCCGTTTCTTTTTTTCTCCCTTGGCTCACTTCCGAGGGTAGCTCGCTTGGCCTGTGATCTGCTTCCCACTGTTTGTACTACGTATTACATAGGACTGATTGGTTCTTTCATTAGTGTCGTATTATTTTTGTCAGATTTTACTTGAGGCAAGTGTCTGTCATGTTTGAAACAGTATAACTAAAGGTTACACAATAACCTACCAATTAAACAAATTCTGGATTGATCTTGTGATTGTAGACAAATCTGTTGAGTTGAGGGGCAGTAGGAAACATCAATTAATACTTAAACTTGGCTCAAGTATTCATTATGTCTCTAGATTTTCCAGTCAATCTTACAAAGAATTCTTGTCGGATTAGAACTACTAACTGCATACTCTTGAGACAATTCTGTTTCAAATTTACACGACATTTTGAGCTAATACAACATTGTCACTGGAGGCCTGTTAATTGCTATAAGCACGGGGTAGCGAAAGGAAATTGTCGTAAATTGGTGCAAAGAAAAGGAGAAGACGCTAAGCAGACAAAAGAGGTGTCGTTACTAATAGCAGTACAATTTGTATAGGCAAAAGAGAGCAGCGACTACATGTTAACCAAGGACCATGCTATCATTTAATATTCTGGTAGCATCATCTGAGGTTCAGTCTTATTTGTCTGTAACTCTTTAGTCTATTATTGAATGGTAAGCAAGTTGCTTTGTACATCCTTATTTTTGTGAAAAAGACAACTGTGTCTGCAATCATGTCTGCAAATGTTACAAAGTTCTCTTTTTAAACGACAAATCAGAAAAGGAAAATAGTTTAAACAGGGACAAGCCGACAATTAAACGGTTTATTCTTTCAAGACAGCTTTCTTTTTAAAAGATACCATATAATCGTGAAGAACCGCCTAGGGTTGTGTAACTAGTAGTATAGAGTGCTCTAAATGTAACAACCCCGACATACTCTTTGTTGAGATCCGGCCTGCAATCCGTCCATTTCACACTACAGTCACATAATCATAACACGACATTGTTTACAATGTCTATCGTTTATCAGCTAAACTTCACTAATATGGTCTTATAGTGTAGTGGTTATCACACTGGTTTCTGATGCTGGTGACCTGGGTTCGATTCCCAGTAAGACCTGGGAAGCTTTTTGTTGAAAAGTTTTTTGTGTTAGCAAGAATATTCTATATCAGCATATACTTAATATATCAACTACATTAGATTGTTCTGAATTTAAGCAAGCTAAGGTCAGAAAATTCGTAGGTCATTATTTTGTTTGTTTTGTACCTGTTTATCATACAACATGAATGCTTATCGTCTACTTATTAGTGCCTCTTTCCAATCTTTATAATTTAAATTAGCCACTTCGTAAGAAAATAATGGTTCTATAGTGTAGTGGTTATCACACTGGTTTCTGATGCTGGTGACCTGGGTTCGATTCCCAGTAGAACCTTTTTTTTGGTATAATTATTTTATAAACTGTGATACAGAATCTTGTTTATTTTTCATTTCATGTGTATTAATTATGACTATGGTATGTAAAGGTCAAGCAAATAAAAGTATTATGAAATATCTAAGTTGAAAATGTAACGCCAAGATCCCACAGAAGCTAGCTGGTAATCATTTACTTCTTTCAAGCATTGTCAATGGATGGAGGTTCGTTGCTAACAGCTTTGTGTCCTGGTTTGCTTTCTTCTTGTTCGGCCACCTTATCTTCTTTAATATTAACTTCTTCCTCAGGGTTCTCCAATTCCTGTTTTTGCTTCAATTCCTCCATTTGTTGTTTCTTTTGAGCTTGAAATGAGTTCTTTGGGGTGTCATCTTCTTCTGGGTTTTCACCATTCTTACTTGCTTTGTAGCCTGTCTTTTTCTTTGTTCTTTGCAGCAAGCTAGGATCAACATCGACCTGTACCTTACCATTGATATCTGCACTTATATCTTTCTTGCCAGAATTTTTATTGGGAATGGAATTTTCGATATCAGCATCACCAACAGTACCATCTTCTTTCGATTTCTTGCCTGTAGGATCCACATCAATTTTCTTCTTAAATTTAGATCCCTTCCCGGTTCCAATAATCTGGTCTTCATCTGATCCAACAATAGGTGCTTCATTAGCAATCCCTCCCTTAGGAGCTTGGTTAACACCTAATCCAAGTTCACCCTTAGAATTACTAGCTAAGTTGCTGGCCAAATCTGGATTGTCCAGTTCCTTGTCTGCCACAAGGTTTAAGTTTTCACCTGTGGAACCCTTCTTTGGGGCACTCAAGCCAGGTTTAGCCTTAGCAATAGAGCCAGCAGCATTGTTACCTGCTCCACTATTTAGGATAGCAGGGTCTGAAGAATCGTCATATTCCAGTTCATCATGAGAAACGATTTCATAAGTATTGTCGACGGCAGAAGAACGAACGTCCATTGAAATATAATACATCAAAAGTGAAATAACTGCCAATAAAATCAAATAACCTGATAATCTGCGACGAGGAGAAGTGAAAAACTGACGAGGAAGTTGATCATATGGAGACAGTTTCTTCTTAGAACCTGATGGGGACATGTAGTAAGGCCTGGGGAGACCATTACCCTTGTATGAGCCTTGCATAGTATGTCTTGAAATGGGAATGAATGTTCGTTACTAAAAATGCAAAACTGGTGATCCACAGATACCAATAAACTTTTGATATAATTATATCGAATGGTTTCAACCTTTTTGTTTTTCGGTTGTCGTTTGTTGTTGGTGACGGTGTGTGAAAAAGTTGCTTCCGTTACGTTAGGCACGTCCACTGTATCTTTTCTTTTCTTTGATGGGTTTTATCACAGCAGAAATGTGAAAAAAAGAGATGAGAATTGCAAATGTTAAAGAGAGAAACTTTATATCTATGTTGGTATCGTTCAAAAACCCACAAGTTAATTCTTCTCTTAACCTTTCTTTCCTTGTAGCTAAAAGAAAAGTGCAATCTTCAACACGAACTAATTTTGTCAAAATTGGGTCTAAGTGTTAGTTTGAGTCAAATTTTCTGGGGGCGGCATAAATCAATTTTGGTGGACTACATATTGGGTCGTGCGTAAGGTGATTCCATCTTAGTACCCGCATCATCCTCCATAAAGCACTATGCATGGGATCGAGACTACTGGTTTGAAAAAATGCGAGAGTCTGTTGTAATCGAAGAAAGACCACAATAGTACGTACAGAGCACAAAGACGCCTATCATGGTAGACATTTGAAGAAGTACAATAACGAAGGTTTAATTGTACTTGTTGTTTTGTTTATAAAAGGGGAACGACTTTTTTTCGTACGGAATCAGGATATACCTTTTCTAGGCGGTAGGTGGTACCAAACCAAAATCGGTTGTAGTATTCAAACGATTATTAAATATAATGGATATGTATTAATGGTTATTTCAAGTTAATAATGTTGATTGCTTACCAAGAATTCTTTGCTCATGTCAATTCTATGCAGCAGTCTAATAATAGAATTAAGTCTGTGAACGATGTTGCATCTCTTTGTTTGTACTGATCATTTACTTAGAAAAACGCACCCCACCGCCATTTTTACAACTGTACAATATCTTTGACCTTCGTTAGTTTAATTTTGGTCCTCGTATATATATTTCCTCGCCTTTTAAAACGCTATTACAAGACGCGGTCCTAAAAGCATCAAGGGTTATATTTGCTTATACCGCATGACTATAACTACTTATGCGTTATTATCTTTCTCCCATATAGTAGAAGGATATTCGACCATCTGCTGCTTGACACTCACTTGCTAAGTCAAGTTAACAGTTGACTGATAGGACACACATATTTCTTCCCAATCACAAAGAATCACTCCAGCAGATAAGATTTAGGTATTTAATATCATTTCACCACAAACCATTGTATTGAGGGAGATAATGTGTTTAATGTTCTGTCTTGTGATATTATAAAGCCCTTTGTTTCGCGTCGTAAATCTTGCGCTGTTGTATTTCACATGTCGTATTCTTCTCCCGTAATCTTAGTACACCCATTTGTATAACGCTATAGTAATTAGTATGTGCGTTTAATTGAGTTGTGTCGACGTACATCTGCTGTTTTATTTCTACTGTGCCTATGTATACAAATCTGCAGCAGTTCTTCAATTCCGGACTAGAAACCTAGAATTTTATTGTACCGTCCCTTTTCGGAAATCATTTTAATCTTGCTGCGAAAATTATACTACTCTACTGTTTGCAAATCTGGCGCTTACTGTTTAACTATTACGTCAATTATTAAGCATTAAACCCTTCTAAATAATGCGTTCGGTCATATGCTTTGTTGTTTTCAACTTCTTTCTTGGTGTAGTACACTCAACTCCTCCAGCATGCTTTTTAAGTTGTATCAACGAATTAAGCCATCAATGTCGTTCCCTAAGCGATATCACTTGTCTCTGTGGTAAGTCCGATCTCTTATTAGGATGTTTAGTGGATATTTGTCCTTATGGCACATTTGAAAGCGCCAGGGATCATTACTTCGGAACTTGTTTGGAACATAAGTACCAAATCAATCCACCGCAAGGTCAGAGTCCTCCATTTTGGAATCCACCGCCACCAGTTGCTTCTCCATCAGTCACTTTTCAGACGGTAAGTTCTACTATTACAACTGCTGTTACCTCTTCAAGGCCAACACCCCGACCAATAATCACAGCCTTTGTATCTGATTCTTTCTCCTCTCCTTTGAATTCTTCACCTAACTTTCCCTACGCTTCGCTGTCAACATTAGCCTTAGCATCACCCGGTGAATCTAATTTGGTAGAGCTTGCTTTACCTCCCACAGTTGATCGTGAATATCAGGACATCGAGTTCTGTGAATGGGAAGAAACTAAATCCACTGATAGTCAAGGTAATCTTATTATTTTAAGAAAGCCAATAGATATCCCAGAAAAATATAAGCCCGCGCCAAACATGAAATTGGACGAACCCACCAAAGTTGTTTATATTCTTAAGTATGTCACGGAAGGTGCCACGGGATCTATTCCTGTTCCTGTGACTGTTGCAACCAAGACTCAGCTATCAATCGGCAATCAAGTTGCACTGAGTACAACGATCTCCAAAAGCATGCCTAGGTATCATACGAAAAGAATGCAAGTCATAAGACGTATGAAGCACCCAGGTCCATCACCAGTGTCTCTTCAAACTGAGGTAATCTATGAAGGGTATATCGAGTAAATCACATATTAATGCATAGTTAAAGCTCCTTCAACATGTAGACTTTCTGTATATAATCCTTTGGAACACTGACCAATCCTATTTCTCTTACATGTGTATACTTTGGATTGATTTTATTGGTGGAAGTTTCCTTGGTATTATTCAACAACAAGTTTCCAAAGGGGTCTATGGCATATATCACTCCATCAAGGGTACGCAAATCATTAAGACTAATTCGTACTGTACTTCCAAGGAAGCTCTCGGGTTTACGTAGCATTGGTTATGTTTGGCATCAATAAAGAAGTCAAATTGAACTTCAGCTTTTACCTACTCTATAGACACAAAAAAATCATACAGTTAGAAAGGTTACCCGGACATATTGGTTTCTTTAACCCTAAAAATTTTCGGTTGAAAGTTGAAGAATAGTCAGGTGGCACTTTTTCTTCTTTAACATCAATCGCATATCCACCCTTCACAAAAGAGTGTCTTATTTGTCTATGTAAGGTTTCTTGGAGGAAATTTGTGTGGTTAGCGTAGATGAAAGGACCGTTACTGGGCGCCCGATGTTGACAGTGATTAATGGAATTTTGGGAATCAGTTGTGTCTAAATTTATTAATAACCATTTGTAATGTAGAACAGTATTACTTAGCGGCGATGATCATATCTTGGGTGTGATCCATAAAATACTAAGTAAAGTTTTAACTTCTTAAGACTTTTTTTGAAATGAATACTGGTACCAGTTCCAGTACTAGTAATCGAGTATTCATAAACACTAACAAAATCTCGATAGTAATGAAAATTCAAAATTGCTTAACGCTTTTATTCCACCTGCTACCACAAAAAGGCTATGAACATTGAACATGAGTTGGCTATGATACATGATGAATATCAACACTACTTTGGGTCATGTAAACTTGTACAAAGCGAAGCCAGTGGTAAATACTTAGACATTGTCACTCAAGAAGGAGGCCGCCTAAAAGTTTCCGTATCTGCCAAAGGATGGACTAATGAAGATGTAAAGAATCCAGGCTCACAAACAACGTATGAAACATTTGAACTGTTAGCAATGGCTAACCTGAAAGGTTTCCAAGTTCAATTCAATCAGGTGTTGTTCTCAAAGTTGGAGCTGTTACCACTAGACGATAATTAAAAACTATAGTAAAGAACAATCGTACACATGCATAATTGATGATTGCTATTTATATTCATTTATGTACATGTCTGAAGAAAATATATATCAGTTATGGCAAACCTAAGCCAAAGCAATCTAGTAGTCATGAGTCTTTTTATATTCTTGCTTGACCATCTGTTCAACATCCCCAACATCAACTTTTGTATTACGAATATAGTAGTGTTTGTTACGAGGCATGTACTTGGTAGGTTTATGCACAATTTCAATGTTTTTCACATTAGGGTTATAGAGAGGTACCCTGACTTCAACACCTATCTTTTGGTATTTATTACGAACCAAAATATTAGTACCCACATTGTTATGACCTCTTTTAATGGCAATAACTTGCCCCACAACACTGGTACGATCTCCGTAGGTGACCTTGATCACATCTCCAGCACGCAACCCATTTCTAGAGTCAACCAAGGCTCTTCTTTTACCAACACGATCGTATTTATCCAAGAGCTCCTTCTGAAGAAACTCAAGGGCACTTTCACCGTTTCTTCTCTTAGGAAGTGGTTCATATACTGTAGGAAGGTTGGTACGAGCAAAAAACGTTCTCAAAGGATTACCTAATGAGGAAACTGGAACCATAGAAGCAGTTCTTATTCTTGTGAAAAGTGAAAGCATTAGTCGTGAATGAATATTGATTTTCAAAACCAATCAGGTTGTCATGCAAATTGGATATGTTTAAACCAGTTAATGCCTTGACATAGCAGCTTGGTTGTAGTTCTTTTCTCCCTTACATGAAAATTTTCCATGTTTTGGTAGCGCGCGGATGCTATACTGAGGTAGCTTAGCTCCATTACATAAGAGTTATGTTTTACGCTTTTGATCACAAGCTATCATGATAGTGATCATTCTATATATGTATATGTAGCATTAAATGCTGTATTCATTGATGGTGGAATATTATGAAACTTAAAAACGTGGTCTACGCTTTCTCCCCGTGAATTTGGAATCAAGTGCAACACTTTTACCTCGTTTTCTCATAACATCCTTCTTTCGGCTTATAAATTGTTTCTTTGATTCCAACTTTCTCATCAACTTCTTGTTCACCTTCTTATTGGAGTCTGTGACTTCCATTTCAGCCCCAGCCAAGTTTATCAGTCGATCACTCTGTCCTGCAGTCAAAACTAAGTAGTACTTTTTGTTCTTTTTAGATTCTGGATCATCAACCACTAAACCACCGCCAAACCCTGCGACCTTGGCCAGATCCATAATTTGTTCAATTTGTTGATCATTCATAGGATAGAATTGAGCAACGAATTTACCACCACGCTTCAAAGAAGCGTATAATGTGTTGAAGAACCGCATGAGACGTCTCTTTGGGTCAACATTTGCAGTATCTGCGTTACAAAGCCATTGAATAGCCGAAATAGAAATAGCAGCATCAAAAGTACCTGGTCTGAACGGTATACCATTTCCCAAATCACTCAAAAATAAATCACCTTCCAAATCTCTGTCCAATCCAGTTGCAAGCATCGATGGGGAAATATCCATTCCAAGCCAATTATATCCTTCTTCAGTAAGAATCTCTCCACTGAGACCTGAACCACATCCTAAATCCAATAAGAAATGTGGAGTGTCAGGTTCCAAATTTAAAAGCTCAAGAGCACGAAGTGTCATCTTGGCTTGAATATGCTGAACACGTGTAGATGTGGTATATTTGTATGATTCGGAATCATTGTAGAAGACTTCAGGTGGAGCCAACTGTTCAGGTCTTGACATATTGATTTATATTGAACTCCCTACTGCAAACAATGTACCAGTGTGTGACTATAAATATTCACACTTTTAAAAAGCTTTTAAACCTTGAAATAAGTTTTGTAAATCTGGCTGTAGTGTCGTTTGCTTTGGCCTACAACTATCTCCAAGATACACGGTGAGTTTACAAGTTCCCATCTCATCGCAAATTTAATCAAAATAATCACGTGACACATTTTCTACGTCAAGGACTATTTACATACTCAAGCTAAATATACAAGTCCTAAATCGTAATCATAAATGGTTTCGTGGTCTAGTTGGTCATGGCATCTGCTTAACACGCAGAACGTCCCCAGTTCGATCCTGGGCGAAATCATTTGTACCGCATTGGTTTCGTGGTCTAGTTGGTCATGGCATCTGCTTAACACGCAGAACGTCCCCAGTTCGATCCTGGGCGAAATCAATATTTTTTAGCATTTTTGAAGAAGAGCTATTAGCTTAAACTGTGCTCTCTAAACGGTATTTATCATGTTTTGCAGAAACGTTTATTGGTACAATTGTGCCAGTAGGTTTTAAACTTCTTCTCTATCTGCTCCTGTTGTAGATGTTTGATTTTCAACATCACTATTTTCACCAATCCAATAGTTGGGTGAAGCAAGGAGGGTGGGTTCAGTTTTAAAACATCGGTTACATGAAGATATACTCTGCGGGATTTTTCATAATCATATGTATCAGCCCGTTGGCCACTAGACGTGGAATTCTGCAAAATAATGTGTTTGTGGAGTTCATTCCGAACTTGCCGTGCGGTGAGAGTTTAACGACAAAACTGATGGTGACAGAATTACCTATTGTTCGGGCCCTTTACCTAATAAGGCGTAATATAGTCTACAGTCTCTAATTTGGTTTTCCGTGTTATCCATGGGAATTGTAGTATCAGTTTTCGACTTAATCAGCAGTATACTCTGCTTAAAATTATTCGACTAAGAAAAGTCAAGATATTGGAGCTCAGGCATGTTGGTTAAGCTATCTCTTGAGACTTATTCCTTAAATGGTTTGGTTAAAGTTTTCCAATACAATCAATGACCATTACCATTCTTTCAGGTACCTACACCCAGCTAGTTTTTTAAGGGTTTCGTAAATGCCATCGTAGTGCGAATATCGTTTTATTAGGCTGCAATTTTCTGCAACCCATTTACTTCTTATTGTTTTAAGTACGATGTAGTTTATGATGATTGGTAAATAAATCAAATCCTGTTTATACTTCCAGGGATGCGTGACGTATGCATTATGTTAAGGATCAAATAATGCAGAAGTAAAGTTACACTTTACGGGCCGCTTATGAGTAAGCCTGTTCATGTCATAGAAAGTGTACAATATATATAAATGGAGTCAGTTTGACCATTTTCATTCAAAATCACATTCCTTACATACTTAAAACGTTAACTTGTTATTAATATTATATTAGACTAAATATTCACAATGGTGTCTTTTATTCCATCCAAGCTCCATCGCTTATACCAATTATATTATTATAATTGTCCTTTACCTGTCCTTTCACCAGGAGAATCAATTTTCTTCAATTTGTTCATGATGATGTTGATGATCTTTTGCGTTCATTGTAGCTGCTCGTTAGTGCCTGCTATCGTATTGAAAACCATGAGTATTCCAATTACAAGCACCTAATAGTTGAACAAGTTTTACTGGATAAACTAAACATTGCTTAAGATATTATCATGTTGATGGTTCGGGCACATATGTCCCCTTATTAACAACGATTTCGATTTTCATTTCTTCTTCCAAATGCCAAATGCCCTTCTTTTATGCTCATGTTTTTTATAGAATAAAAATACATGTCTTTATAATATCTTTAGTTGATATCAGCCAAATAATGTTTTGGGGTCATGGATGTCACAACTGCGAGTTATAGACTCTAAGATTGTAATCGTATCTTGTAATTGTTCATCGGGTTGTTGTTGAAAATTGATGGATACCAATAGATCTGTGTCGTATTCCTTCAATCTAATTAAGCTACCTAGGATCGTTGTTCCATTATGTACAACGTAATTGATACTTCCTTTTATATCTTTGGGGGCTTTGATTGGAATTGAACTCACATGGTTGACATCAATAGAAACTTCCCCCACAAGATCCAGAAAATGATATTGAATAGCTTCGGTCAATTCTTCCTTAGGAACATACTCCAACAAATCAAAGATAACCCATTTATCATATGATCCTCCTTTAGGACTAGGCAAGACAAATACTTCTTGTGAATCTGGAATCGGTCTCATTGTAGACGCATCAATGCATGATTCAGGTAATACTGCCCGAATGGTATCTCCATACAACTGGGCATTCATTTCTTATAAACTATGTTTACTGTTATATGAGAAGATCAACGAGCTTTGCTATAGTCGATGGAAGTTATTCAATGGGTCAAAAATCTTACACAAGATAATTCTTATGCAGTCCACGTGATGAGCTTCGTTTTAGTAATAAGCCCATAGCCATTTACGTCAAGTATTCGTACTACTTCGGAGCAGGTTAAGGTTTATGGTTACAAAAATAGTTGCTTTACTATATAAGAGCTACAATATCACCTGTTCTACTTAATATCATGTTCCTCCCCGTAAATACTATAACTGGGAATAGTCTTCCCAAAGACAAGCCTATAACACAGAAAAATTGAATGGAATAAACTTCTAAGTAATAATTTTCTGTATCTATGTACTGTAGTGGTTTCCATTCAGTCATGTCTGTAATAAATTGAAACAGCAATGGCTCATCTGAAACTTGAACTAACAATGCAAAGTAATAAAATCAGATTCAGGTACATCAGAAGTTGGTGCTACCAGAGTTTTTTGATTTTACGGTCGCGTTCAAAATTTTCTATGACGACTACAAACAAGTTTCATGGATACAAACGTAATACCAACTTAAGCAAAGGACAATAGTAATTGAGAGCCTCATTAACTCCAACTGTTTACTCGGGATCAGGTGAAGAGTGGTTCTTTTTTATGTCTATTTGAGAGCTTGTGTTACTTACAGAACTCTCTCTTTTTGAGCACATTACTTTAGAAGATGGCTCCCCTGTCCAGGAACAGAACCAAAAGAACCATCTACACCAGTCTTGCCATAGTATTTCTACTTTTAGTTGGTGGGAGGTTCTTGTTGTCGCATACACTGAAAAATGGTGGTAAAAACTTACAGGAGGTTTTGGCCAACTTGCCAAATGAAAGTGTTTTGGGGATTCTGAATATGATCTTTAATGAGAATGAGAAACAACAAGATGAGTTGTTGAACAAACTCAATAAATTACAGAAGGAAAATATGGAAAAGCAAATGGAGCTATTAAAGCAAATCCAAGCTAAACAAGATTATATTATCGACCAGTTGCAGGTCATGAAGAAGCCTAGTGACGACTTATCTTTAAGAGATAAGTTATCATTTTTATTCCCATATGACCCTAAGCTGAAGTTCCCTGCTTATATATGGCAATCATGGAAACATGGATTGAATGATGAGAGATTCGATGAGAAGTATAGACAAGGTGAAACCCAATGGGCTTGGAAAAATCCAGGTTTTGTCCATGAGTTATTCAATGATGATACCTCTCATACAATTATTAGACATTTGTATAACAAGATTCCTGAAATTATTGAAGCATATGACGCACTTCCTGAATTGATTCTTAAAATGGACTTTTTCAGGTACTTGATCTTATATGCTAAAGGTGGTGTTTATGCTGATATTGATACTCACCCTTTACAACCTGTTCCTAATTGGATTCCTGATAATGTGTCGCCTAATGAAATTGGAATGATTATTGCCATTGAAAGCGAAATGGATACTGCTGATTGGAAGGAAGAAAACCATAGAAGATTACAATTTGGTCAATTTGTTATTCAAGCAAAACCAGGACATCCGATTTTACGTGAAGTGATTGCACAAATCACTACCAATACATTGAATGCAAAGAAAAATCTTGAAACCAGTAGCTCTAGATTAGAGTTATTAGGCTCTCCATCTCAAAAATCTCTTGAAATATTGAAATGGACTGGTGCCGGGATTTGGACCGATGTTATCATGAGATATTTCAACGATTATTTACAAAGTTCCATTTTCCAAAAGGTCACTTGGAAGGACTTTTATGGTATGACTATTCCTCGATTAGTAAGTGATGTTTTACTCTTACCTAAAGCCAGTTTTGCTTCGGAGATTGAAATCCCCAAGGATGGGAAGATCTCTGATCCATTAGCCTTTGTCAAGCATCATGCTGCAAAGATCTGGAAATCCAATTAGTTGATTCTTTTATTATACATATAACTTTTATACGTATATCTTTAGTATATATAGTGCATTATTCAATCCATTAATAGTATCATCATTGAATTGCAGTAAGAAGCTCGTTGTAAGTCGTGTGTGGTGAATAGTGATGGTTTGGTGGTAGGACGCAAGTTATGTCGCAAATTTCAAATTCATATCTGACTGTGACTAAAATTTATAGTAGAGACACCACAGTAATTGCCAACGTTATGAACAGACAACGTATTACTGTATTCAATGCTGGCGAAACACATGACTCGGTGATTAAGCACGTTGGTCCTAAGAACATACATTTAGAATCCGCAGATCCTTTTCTTGTTGAAGTAAAGACAACATCCCCCCACATTGAGACTCCTAATCTCATAGAGAGTATAAGAATTAGTTATTCCAATTCCAAACAGCTTCCTTCAAATAAGTATCCACCATTATTCCAATACTTTTTTCAAAACGGTTGGAGTGTTTACTTCACGATATCAAGCACCACCACCAATTCAGGTGCCAACAAGGAGCTATTCTTTGAGCAAGCAGGACAAGTGTTAAAAAAGTACTTTGATTTGCCACCTGAAACCAGTGAATTGGGAATTCAGGCTACTTCTTCCATATACTATAGTTTCCTAGAATTGGGCGACCCTAAAGATGTTCTAGAGCGTATTTCGGGACAAAAGTTAGACACTGGCATAAATGCACTCGATATAGTAATTTCAAGCTCGGGTAATACCGTTCTGAAATTCGTATACGAAACCAACAGTGTCGAGATAGAGAGAAGCGACTTCGTATACAAAGAGGTTGGGCTCTTCTTACTGGAAGAGCAATTGACAGCTAGAGATGATATTGTACTTTCCGGTATAAGAGTTGTGTATGACCCAGAAGACCAAATCCCACCAGATAATGATCTCAGCTCTATTATGTTTAAGACTCTATTCCATGTCAAACCACGTCACAGATTAATTGACACCATTAATTATGAGACATCAGTTAAACCTAATGGTTTGCACCCTATTCTTGTGACGAACTTCAACCACAATGTTTCTCGAATTTATGATGAAGACATTGGTGATTGCGAGACCTTTTATTATCTTAATTTAGAAAAGTCTTTCTTTATAGATAAGTACCAACTCCCTGACAATCAAGTTAATGTTTTGGATGGGGTGCTGGAATTGGAATTGCCTGCTTATAAAGTTAAAACTTGGGGTACTGAAGTTCTTCTTCAACTAAAAGACCCCAATTTTGGTGCAATAGAATTACAGCTTCATTCAAGATACCAAAAGCCTAAAGAAAATGACCCACAGACTACGGTTTCTATTAATCAGCCAATAATCTTCCAAGCATGTTCTATTGGTAAAGTGGATTCAAATGCCGTTGGTAGTTCGCCATTCGATAATCACATAAATAAGTTTGGAGGAAACTATGAAGCATTCTTCACTCCTGATTCTGTTTTCTATCATTATAATGGCAGCGTTGAGCCGATCTCCATTGATATTCCTAATGGGTCTTCTGACTTACATTCAATAAACTGGAAAACTTCTATTGTTGTTCTTTTGGGTTTAATTCTTGTGCTTAACAAGTTGATTAAGATGTTTATTATGAAGTACCAAGCAAGTCATGAAAGTAAAAAGAATGATTAAGAATTAGGAAGCAATCAAATCATGTTTTACAACTCAAGGTAATAACGAGATTACAAAATAATGAAAATTCTATTGATTCTAAATTAAATATTGTATGGACTCAGGCAAAGAGACCAACAAGCAATGTAATGAAGGCAATAAATGGACTGGCCATCAATGAAGATGAAGCAGCAATAGCTTTTGAGGAGGAAGATGAGTCTGAAGCAGAAGCAGATCCAGAAGCAGAGGCAGATCCAGAAGCAGAAGCAGATCCAGAAGCAGAGGAATCACCACCAACAATAACAGTTGTTGGCATGTACATCGTGGTTTGAATTCCACCATGTTCCATTGTAGTCAAGTATGAGGAGATAACAACACTACCAGATGCAGCAGAAGAGGAAGAATTAGAACTGCTGTGTCCATGATGGCCACCGGTGTAATTGGTTTGGTTGACCAAGAATTCGGAATCAATGAAATATCTTGCAATTTCAATATTAGTACTGTTGACACAAGTAGAGTTGGATGGGAGGATCTTATCAACTAAAGTGATATCCACACAGTTGTATAAATAGCCTTCGCCTGAAGTGGTAACTACTTGGATGGTACCATTAGTACCAGCATCACCTGGGATCATTAATTTTGGAAGACAGAATTCACCAGCACCTGTTTGTTCAAAGACATCGTATACCACGGTATCAAAGTCTTGGAGGGTTCTACAGCTTTCACCTGAACAAAAGTTAATTTGCGTGATGGAAGTGTTGTGGGTTTGGTTGAAACCTAAGGAAGAACCACTAGTAGAAAACTCAATTCTTGGAAGGACTGTGTCATTCAAACCACCACATGGAGCGTATCCTTGAGTGGGATGATTTGGACCTCTGGAACCTGGAACATTAAGGTTGAAGTGGGCAGATGCCAAACTGGCCAACACGGTAAGAACAGAGACTTTTAAAAGCATTTTTGAATACTATTGAATTGAATACAAAATAATTTCACTTTTCTTGTATCAATTAGAACGCTATCACCGTTCTTATATAGTTTTCTTTCTTAGCTGTTGAAGTTGCTCATTTTGTTGAAAACTTTACTAGCACAAATCACAACCTCTTTCAATCGATATAGCGATTGCCCGTAAATTTGCTCGTTCTTTGGATGCAGGCGACTGTTTATATTTTTCTTAGCATTGACGATGCTTTAGATCACCTTCAAGCCTTTGCAAACGCGATTTCATCTACTGTTTGGGTGTAACCATGGTGCTCTGTCGATGTTTTGGGCGTATGCTTGTTTCAGGTGCAACAGTTATTCCGCGATTGATGAAGAGACTCCGGAGTGGCACTCAGTGAACATTCTCAGGTTTGCTTTCATAAACCATATGGGGGTATACGCATATGTCAGAAGTGACTACGACAAATACTCCGAGTATAGTTTATAGGCAGCAACTCTCAGAAACCAAAACCAAACAAATTACACCGATAAGTTGTTGTACAGGGAGCGATCTGATTCCTAAGACTTAGAATTTCGGTTGAGCAAATTTCAGAGTCGCCTGAAGTATATTCTGGGGTAAACGTGTCGTACCTAAAATATGGAGAAAATACTAAACCTGTCAAATCTGATTAAGGAAACATGAATGCACATCGTACTTAAAACGCAAGTGAAAATGGCACATGAAACTGCAGCAACAATGTTGACATAATTGGTGAATACTAATTGGCGTAACTCCATAGTCACCCGCTTGGTGAAATCTAAATACCGATCGAGCATATTTTTAGACGTTAATCAATTTTTAAGGGAGTTGTGAAACGAAGCATGCAATTAAACTAAACGTCTAGATCCAAAAAAAATTCAAAATTCTTCTACTAACAGAGAATTCCGGCAATTACTGCGAAAACTGCAGCAGATATTCCGGATGCATTCAAAGTAACGCCCATGCCCTTTGAAGATGAGGACGAGTTGGATGCAGCAGATGTAAAAGAAGCTTTTGAACTTGAGCTACCAATGGCAACTGTAGTAGGCATATACATTGTAGTTTTAGTACCATCCATAACCATAGTTGTTAAATAGGAGGAAATCCCGATTAAAGCCGAGGTTTTAGATCCAGCTGCAGTAGATGCAGAGGAAGGTTGAGCAGTATTAAAAGCACTAGTTTCATTAGCAAGAAGTGTGGTTGTGTGCCACATTTCCATGGTTTGACCATCCATTACCATCTCCGACTGATATGAAGTAACAATCTGGCCAGACTGAGTCTTAGTAGCAGCTTCTTCTTCAGCATCAAACAATGTGATGTTACTGGCATCGAAAATAAACTTACTATTAATATAGTAAGGAGAGATGTTAATCCCAGTGGAATTGGAGCAATCTGAACCATTCCATTGATTAGCTTTGTCACTAATAGTAAGATCGATACAGTTATACATGTATTTATTGTCCTTTTGGAACACGATTTGCAAAGTACCATTAGATCCCACATCCCCTGGAATAACCACATTTGGCAAACACAATGAGCCAGTGAATTCTTGTTCAAAAGTACCGAAAACGGTCTCGGTGAAATCCTTTTGGGTCGTACATGATTCACCAGGGCAGTAATTGAATTGAAAAATTGTAAGATTGTGGTGCTGATGTACACCAACTGGTGACCCTTTAGGATTCCAAAGATACCGTGGTAACACAGTACTGTTCATACCACCACAAGGTCCAATGGTTTGTGTTTTTTCATTACTACCTCTATCACCTGGATATTCAACAACAAAGTGAGCGGAAACGGAGGACGCCAAGAGCGCCGTGAAGAATGAAGTTTTAATCAACATGCTTTAATTACTTGCAGCTATTAGCCCAATGTATACCAAGAAAAATGGCCAAGACCTTATGGGTTTTTGACTTGCTTTAAATACGCATACAACTCAACGCATTTTTTTCTTCAATACGAGCAAATTATCCACCCACCAAAAAACTTTACTATATGAGTGAGTCAGCGAGCGATTTAGATTAAGCAAGTAGAATAATGGTGAATAGAGGATCGCCAATCAAGACAAAACATTATACCTAATTAGCTCAAAAGATGGATAAGTGTTTTCCCAATGAGCAAATTAACAGTGTAACGAGCAAAATATTAACAACGCACCTGCACAGTAGTGAATACATGGCATTTGGCTGCGAAATAGGACACGAGCACGTTTGCTACAAATGAGCAATTACTAGAATAAGCCAAAAGAACTTCGTTATATCAAAATTTGCAGCCATAGATTATGAAGTAAATCGAGTCGGATCTCTTTGCAGAATGGCTACCTTGATTAATATCCATGTTATAGCGTTACCATTATTCATCTTTTCCTATTTCCCAAATTACTTGTGTATTATATGCGAAAGTGGAGAATCGAACTTCAGATGGTAAACTTCCACTAAGAGTTTTAGGTGAGAAATATTCTTTATTGACACAAATAGTGCTGATGTAAATGTTACTGAGATAGAAATATGTTTGTGGATAAAATAGTAGATCAAGTTGGAACAAATTTTTATGGAAACAATTTTGATGCGCTTTGATGTCTCTTATTTAAAGTCAAAACTGAGCCATTAGCCCAAAGATGTTAGGTGTGTGTTGAAGCAAGTTGCTAATCATCGCCAAATGAAACGATCTTCAGATAATAGTAGAAAAACATGCCTGTGTAAAAATTTGTCGACAATGCTACGCCTTCAACATTTTCCTTGCTTCTATCAAATAATTTAGTAAAACAATTTGAAATCTCTCTAGTTTTACAGTGGCCTTTGTCACCTTTAGATATGCTAATACTAACACCCAATCCAGAAAAACATAGCTAGTTGTAAATTTCTTAATTGCATGCTGCAGAGAAATATCTTTCTTTCGTATTTTTCTTCGCCTGCATAGCATCATGCTTTAAACGCAAGTCAGATTCACATTGAGTCCTACTTTCATGTATGCATATCGCACTGAATCGCTTATATAATTGCTTTCTCTATTAAATTTAACCACAAAGGTAATCGTTTACACCTATTCATTACACCTCCAAGCAGCTCTTTATACGTATTCAGTTACTTAAGATATAGGATGGTTCCAAATGCCATTTTTATACCTAAAAGAAGAGGGAGCTGCTTGATGCATATAAGGTGTTCCTCATATGTGCTCTCTACAATTCATCATGACCAGCCTTGGCTTTTACACCCAGGGTAGGAACATTCAAGACCACGTAGTCAATATATAAGTCACCATGAAGGTCATCTTCTTCGGAATAAGGCATCCCACGACCTTTGATAACTTCAACTTCGCCATGTTGGACAACTTGACCATCCAGTCTAGACAATACGATAATTGGATCGTCATTATCAAAAAAAGGAATCAGCCTATTCCAGCCACCCTTAGTAGCTTCTTGAGAAGTAAGCACTTCTGTTCGATACAAGTTTTTTCCTAAACGTCTATAGCCCCAACTTGAAGTGAAATCTTCTCTGTAAAACATAACCAAGTTCCCACTAGTTTCACCAGGACGATGATCACCTTCTCCATCAAGAATATTACGATGGTTTCTTTCGGCACCAGGATGAAGGTAAATTCTGTAAGTTCTAACTGCCAACTTTGAACCTTCTCCATTACATTCATTACACTTATGAGTAATGGTTTTTCCGGTACCTTTGCAGGCATCGCAAGGACCTTGGAATTGCTGGAACATACCGGGAGCTAATTGACGTTTGTGCAAAAGCATACCTTGACCATTACATTTGCTACACCTATGGTATACCTTATCTCGAGAACCAGTGGCATCGCAGGCATCACATAAGTTTGTCATCTGAACACTAATTTCGTGTTCTCTGCCAGTGTAAAAGTCTTTAAGAGAAAACTTTATATCAACTTGAGTATCGCTTCCTCTGGGTTGTTGAGGACGGTGGTGACCCCCTCCTCCAAAACCAAAGAATTGTTCAAAGATATCACCTCCACCACCCTGAGGACCATCAGGACTACCATATTTGTCATAATTGTTCCGCTTTTCCTCATTCAGTAAGATTTCATATGCTTCACCAACCTCCACAAACTTGTCATGAGCATCAGGAGACGAGTTTTTATCAGGATGATACATTTTACTTAATTTTCTGTATTGAGCCTTTATATCCCGATCAGATGCACCTTTAGATAGTCCCAATACTTCATAGAAGTCCTTGGCCAATACTCCAATGAACAATTGCAAAAAGATTAAACATGACCATAACAGAACACCCTTCATCTTGTATACTCGACTTGGGTAACTCGTGTAGTTGGTGAAACGTATTTGGAAAAGTGCTTGCAAAGTGGTTTAGTTTGACTCAAACTGATTTGCATCTACAAACACGTAAACCAAAACCCATCAACGATCGATGGTAAAATAATTTATCACGTGATGGAAATATATATTCACAAAGATACTGGTCGGAAATAAAAATCCGACGCGAAGAGAATGGTATGCAGTAATTTGTTTTATATGGTAGCGTGGTTTGAATTACATTCTGAAGACCCTAGTAGATATAATGATCTACTTAGATAATCCGATACAACAACTGGCTCTATATCTACTAATAACATGAGTGAGGTTATCAATGTTTCCTCTGGACCGAGCTCGAACCATGTGCTTACGCACTTGTACAATGTCCAGGAATCACACATTCCATACAAGCGAACAGATCAAATCGAATATAAGAATCAAACCTTTATGACGGCTTTCAAGAAGAAGAATGGGTCTGTTGATTACTCTCCACGAGCACTATTGTTTGACTTTCGAGATGGACTTGGTTCACTTAACAAATACGAATACCATGAGAAAAAACCAACGATATCAAACTTTGACCCGATACATATCATTTACACTGGCCGTAAAGTAGAGAAGAATGAATACCAACTTGGACTAGACCAAGGGACAAAAGTGACTGGTGAACTTTTAAGCTCAACAAATACCAAATATTGGGCTGACTATAACAAGTTGATATACCAGCCTTATTCTTTATGCACATTAGAAAACTGGGAACTGCCCAGTGACTCAAGCAACTCAAGCGACTCAAGCAACTTCGGATCTCACAAACACTTCCACAATAAAAAATATAGCTTGTACAACCAGGGGGTTGAAGAGTTTGAAGAGAATCCCGATGAAGGATTGGAGAACTTTAGAAAGCTTCTTGAAAATGTTGACTCTTTCCAAGGAGTTAATCTTTTCACTGAATTAGATAGTGCCTGGGGAGGGTTCACTCATGAGTTGATTGTTCAATTACGAGACGAGTACTTCAATTCAAACAGTAAGAAACAAATATGGTGTTGGAGTTTAAGCTCTGCTACCTATAAACCCAAGTTAAACCATTTACTTTCTCGAATACAAACTTTTATAGAATTAGCAATGTCTAGTTCTGTGTTTATCCCGTTGAATGTGGATACAAACTCACTGATGTTGTCTAATTTGGATTCAATTTCTCCATGGCAAGTTTCAAGCACATATGCCATTATTATCAACTCCCTTTGGGATCTTAATAGTAAGCTGAAGGACTCTGTTGACATGGCAACGCTCGAAGACGGGCTATTACGTGGTTCTAACTCCAAGAGGAACATTGTGAATGAGTTCCAACTAAAGCAAATTGTACGGAAGCCCAAGCCGAAGGCAAATCAGTTTGGCATAATGGATGTAGATTTATCTGCTTACTATCAAACAGGATCAATAACTACGGTGGGATCAACTACCGAGACGGTTGAAGCACCTAGCTCCATTGACTTTTCATATTGTTCTGGACCTTCAAGGGCTGAATATTTTAGTTCAAACTATATTGTTCCGACTAATGACCAAGACTTGGGACCCATTGAAGAGAACGCACTAACCAATATTTACCATGACGATAGTATTGGCCAGATCGGGAACATAGACACGTTCCCCAAGTCAATCTACACCGTGCCGTTGTCGGACACGTATGTTAAGTTTGGCATCAACAACTCCTTAAAGGAGGAGTTGAAGACGTACCGAAAGATCATCAAAGGACTTCGAAGAGATACAGAGGTCATAGAAGATAAAGCAGAACTCATAGAAACAATCAGTGATTTCATTGACGAATACACTACAGGATACGAAGATGAAAGTGATGAAGAATATTATAATTAATAGACAATAGACAATCCACTCTACTCTACTCTAAGAGATGGTCTTTTCAACCAAGAAGATACCGTACTTGTCCTTTAAGGTCTTCATGATTGGGTCATTGATCTTGGAAGACATTGGAGCCCATAAACCAGGAGCGCTCAAAGTACCGTCCAAAACTTGTTGAGCGGCAACAGCACATGGAACACCAACCAACTTAGCCATGGAAGAGTAGCCCTTGACATCACCGTAATCCACCAAAGTGGAGGTTCTGACTTCTTCTTCACCATTGGCCCATTCAATGCCAAACTTGTGTTGCAAGACAACCAAATCCCTTTCACCTTCTTCATATTGCATCAATTCTTCCAAAGTAGCACACAAGGTGTCCAAGGGGTTCTTTCTAGGAGAGATTTGCTTGTCAGAGAATAAGCCCAACCACTTCAAACCAGCAAGGATTCTATTTTTGTCTTCTTCATCCTTGAAAGTGGCCAATTCAGTAATCTTAGCGACCAAATCCTTTTCAGATGAAGAAGCAGCTCCGACCAATGCGGCGGTGGCATCCTTCCAGGCAATAGGAGAGGAGAAAGTTTCAGATTCTTCTTCCTTCAAGAATCCAATGTCGACCAAGACCTTAATGAATTCAGGGAATCCTTGGAATCTTAAAGTACCTCTGATGACAGTTTCAGCTTCAGGTATATTGTACAATTCCTTGTAAGTGGTAGAGTCTCTGTTTGGATAAGCAACAAAGGCGTAGCCTGGGTAGATGAAATAGGGTTTGGCGGAAGCCATTAAGTCTTCAGACGAAACTTCTTCAACCTTACCATCCTTCCAGTACTTAGCAGAGTTGGTCAAGGCCAAAAGAACACCTCTTGAAGACCAAGAGAACTTGTAACCTAATGGGTTATCAGAGTCTTCAGGAGCTGGTAATCCACCACAGAAAGAGAGGAAAGATTTAATTTTACCGCCTTCATTGTGGACTTCTTCAATGGTCTTAACAGCGTATAAATGATCGATACCTGGGTCCAAACCAATTTCATTCATAACAACGATACCGGCTTCCTTGATAGCTGGTTCTAATTCCTTCAACTTAGGGTTGATGTATGAAGTGGTCACCACATGTTTCTTGTTCTTGATGGCAGACTTAACAACCAAATGGTGATAGATGTAAGGAATTAAAGAAATCACCAAATCATGTTCAGCAACAGCCTTGTCCAAAGCAGATTCATCAGACACATCCAAAGAAATGGCATCGGCAACTTCACCAGCCAATTCCTTAGCCTTGCTTAAAGTTCTGCAAGCAACAGTAACCTTAACATCTGGAGTAGCAGACAAGATGTCCACTGTGGGTTTAGCAACGAAACCGGATCCTAATAATAATACCTTTCTACAGAGCAATTGTGTTAGTTAGTGAAACCGATTATCAACCAATCATATCACAGATATACTGTTGATACATACTGAACCATTTTAATGTCTATAGAAGAATGAGGTAAGAAATATTAATTGGAAAATTTTTCAATGTGGTTATCAACACTTAATGTTAATACGGTAAGACTTGAAACCTAATCAATTGACCTAAATTGGTCAATCGGGCCGATTGCAGGATCGCGGCAAATCGCCGTTTTGGGTGATGACTCATGAGGTCATGTGACCAATATGCCTTAAATAGTTAGCGCAACCGAAGGCGTGTAGTGGTCAATGTATAATAGGTACTCACTTTGCATTCGATGTGTAATGTTCTGTAATGTGCTGCAATGTACTTTGAAGTGTGTTAGATTTTGCTGTAAGGTAAGGCGTCGTAATGCACATTGTGGTCTAATATAAGTAGAGCGTATTTCTATTGCTAATCATAAATATGGTACTTTAATGCTTTTACACCACATAATTACCCTGTGTACAGAAAGAGGTCGAACCTCCTATTTTCTGTACATCCATTCTACTCCTTCTACGACTACGGTCTCGTAAATAATCAAAGAATATATCATTATACGCATACATCAAAAATTATCCTATCAAATGACGAGAGTTATAAAAAGGATTTGCCAGTCTTTTAACGAGCAGGGTTTTCAATGTAACTGACATCAAGTTTCTTTTCGTCATCGAAGGACTTGCTAGCTTCAATATAAGCTTGGCCATCCATGTCTTCATCATCAGTGTAGTCGTGTTTCAAGGACAACTCTTTATGGAATTTCTCTGGTCCTAAGAATACAGCAACCAACATGTAAGCAAACACAGCAGCACAAAAGATACACATGACTTTCCCGTAGTCATAGGTACCAGCTGGCTTGTTCTTAAGAGGGAATCTTTCTGCAATCCGAGCTTCAATGGTGATCGAAGCTGATGAAGCTAGGTTACCCAATTGATAGACAATACCAGAAAGGAAGGCTCTATGGGCAGTATTAACCAATTCCATTAAATGCAATGGAGCCACACCCCATGCACCCATAACACCAAAGTTAAGGAAGAAGTAACCACCGATAATACCAGAAAGAGTGTTGCTGAAGAAGGAAGGATACAAGAAGGCAGAACTAAACAAGCAACAAATCATAATGGTCAAACGTCTACCCAATAATTCTGTTAAGTTCCCAAAGAAAATACCACCACAGATGGCCCCAATATTAACAACAACCATGATAATAGTCTTTTGGTTTGGTGAAGCGTTGTGTTGTTTAACCAATAAGGTAGGGTAAAGATCTTGGGAACCGTGAGACATAAAGTTGAAGCCAGACATTAAGAGCACAAGGAAAATAAGTAAAAGCCAATCAGTTCTAATTGTTTCAAGCAAGTCATTTGACTTTATTCTGGTCCACAAACTTGGTTTAGATCCTGTTGATTCTGTGTGCTTTGCCATTCTTTCATCTCTCAACTTTGCTCTTCTTGCCTTCAACTTTTGGAAGGATGGTGATTCTGGGAAACACATTCTCCATGCTATCAAGATTACAGGTAACCCTGCAGAGAACCAAAACAATGATCTCCATCCTTCACCTTCCTTGTAAGTGAATTGGAAACCTCTATAGAAAACAGTGGCAAGCAAATAGCCCAAGTTGTATCCAGGCAAGAAAAACCCAGACAAAATGGATCTGGCTTTCATAGGTTGGTCTTCTAAAGCAGTAACTGAAGCAATAGGGTAGAAGGCCCCCATGAGTACACCAAACAACGCCCGAACACCTAAGAATTGTTGGTATGTTTGAACAAACCCAGTACCTAATTCAACAACAACAAACAAGAAACAAATCAAGATAAAGCACCATTTTCTACCAAAGTAATCAGCACTCAAACCAAAGATTAAAGCTCCAACAGATCTCAACATAAGCACCAATGTCACACCCCAAGTAATATCAGTGATGCTAACACCCAAGCTCTTTGCAATTTCCGGAGCAGATACAGAAACACAAAAAAAATCAAGAGCATCGACAGTCCAACCAAAGAAACCTAAAAGGTAAAAGTTCCAATCGGTTGAAGTCATTTGTCTTAACCCTGGAATAGGGTTTAAGATTTCCCATGCGGTTTTGTCTGAATGCTTCAACGGAATATCAAATAGCGTCGACCATCTTGTCTTGAAGTATTTTCCTATTGACTCCTTAGTGAGAACTATTTTCTCGTTGTAAATGGGTGTACTCATTGGTGATGGTTTACGAATACATGAAGTTTATTCGCAGCAATTAAATGCAAGGTGCTGCATATTTATACTAATTCTGAGAACCTAAATGAGGAGGTGATATTTGTGGGGTACCTGCTCGGTAATCCTAGTAATCTCAGATAACGTACGAAGCATCTTTGAATGTTGCATATATAACAGAATGGTTTTCCATAGTGAATGGGCGAGTGTTCTTAGGCAAAAGGATTCTTTTTCTTATCTGGTGGCCGCAAAATATTTTGTCACACAAAACGCATCCAGCCCTCTCTTATGTGGGGGTAACTATGCTTCCCCAAAACTAGATCGGTGGGGAACCAAAGGGCTTGGCCAGAAGAGATAAAATACAATAAGATACAGTACATTCCAATACACTGCAACTATACGTAGCTACTAAATTTATGCAAAAAGTTATGGTCCAGAAAACACAAGAACTTTCTAATGCTACCAAAGGTCAACCTAAAGCGTAACATTTAAAGTTAATCCGATAGACTTCTCACAGAACAAGAAAACAATAACTCTTATTTTGTAAGGTTCAAATTTCGGCGTAATTGACGCGTTGGAGCAACTTGCTACGCAAATTGAATGCATGCAACGTGGGATCCACAAAGCCCCTCTCTGTGTTGCATACTGAGTATGACGAGGCTTCTCCATGGCAGAAAAATGTGGGGTGCCTTATCAGAACTCTTCCACCAGGATAAAGTTCGGCCAAAATATTGGTAAAGCGTGGGGGAACAATCAAAACCATTATTATTCTCTTTACCAAAGCCCTGTGGTTTTATGGAATCTCTTAAAGCTACCGTAAAATAAAAATAAACTTACCATTTCAGCTCTTAAGTAATGTTTTGTGGGGCTGTTGTACATTGTTTCCCATATTGATTGGGCTTCGTATGTGGAGAAATGTTTGGAGGAATGTGTATGTTCCTGAAACGATGAAACGAAACCAATACTCAATACTCTTTTTTTTCTTTGCTTGTATTGTAGGGAAGATGGGGTAAGTCTCTCCTCTTTTCATTTTTTATAAATTAGTAATGATTACTCCGGGGTGGTTAGAGTACTAATACTAAGAGATCCTCGGACAATCCCACTTCACAGTGGTCTCCATCAAACTTACACATTCGTTGTTTGAAAGGGAGTTCAGTGTTTTTTATCAGTATTAATTTTGCAACAACCACCCATACGAAAACTTTAACCTGCACTAGTTATAAGCTACAGAACATGAATGGAGGATCTTTTATAAGCTTACCTGTATGAACCTCTGCTCTCAGGTAGGACTTGTTGCAGAGACTTTTTAAGAAACCGTGGAAAAGTGAAGTCACAAACCTTAACAAGGCAGAACAAGAAGCGAGCACAAGGCCAGGGAGAATTCCACAGTTATCATTGCCGTGAACTAAGGATCGAGAGCGCTGTGTCCTTCTACCAATCAGTACAGGGAAAAAGTAATGGCGTTGGTTGAAGAATTCTCCATTGGGGTAAAGTAAAATTTACAAAATAGAGCTGCTACTTCTCCATAAGACATTCTCCGCTAAAGCCGTATATTCTACTCGAACCTAATAAAAGACAGTTAACATCGAAGACATTGCTGAAGAGAAAGTAACTTTATACAGCAGTCTTATCAGTAAGATTTGTTATATGTACTTGACGACATCAATATACGGCAGATATTAACTCAATTACGAGGAGAAGTCACGTTACTAATTTACCGGAATTCATACTGGGATACAATACCTAGTTTTGGTGCTCGGGCGTATTTCCCTTGGATATATACCACCTTCGGTATGATAAGCTCAAACCATATGTATACATACCTCCAATTGATCAATGGCATTATATTCTCCTTAGTATATAGTATCTAAGTATGCATGAAGTTAATATCTCCGATCTGAAGATTGTGGTCGATCATTGGTGGATATTACTCCCCAACATTTTTCCACCACCGAATCTCCATTCTCAGGCAGAATCACATGCATTTATTTCTCTCAAAAGATATAAGTAACCCCAAATTTGCCATTGACTACACTGTTCTAGATTCTAATTACTAGAAACAGATAAACCAAATAATCATGGCCCTCAATCAATTGGTAGATGATGTTGTGTACTTAGGCAAGAACTTCCAAGATTATGTCAGCCTAGAGCCCTCCTTATATAAGGCATTGGCACTGATTGCCTTTAACCCCATATTCTGGAACATAGCTGCCAGATTGGAATACAATACTCATATCTTGACCAAGTTGGCGTTTGGAAACCGTAAATGGGGTTGTTACATCTTAGCAGCCACTATATTCTCTCTTGGAATTGTTAGAGATGAGATTTACTATGCTGCCTTGAAAGATCAACCCACTTATGCGCCATTTGCTGAGTCTACATTGATCAAAGTGATTGCTGCTGGTGTTTTTGGGTTTGGAAATATCTTAGTATTGACTTCTATGTGGGCATTGGGAGTTACTGGGACCTATTTAGGTGATTACTTTGGAATCTTGATGAACGAGAGAGTCACAGGGTTCCCTTTTAATTTCAACGATAACCCAATGTACAATGGATCCACGCTCTGTTTCTTGGGAACTTCATTGTGGTTCGGAAAACCAACAGGTCTTTTGGTAACTGTGTTTGTGTTTTTCATGTACAAGATTGCTTTAATGTTTGAAGAACCGTTCACTGCTAAGATTTACGCCAACAGAGCAAAGAAGGAAACTTAATAATCATGTCCATAGTATTATTTTATCAATGGATTCCATTGATCAAAGTAAAAATAAAATAAAAGAAATTAAACTATGTAAAATAAGATAAAATAAAATACACCAACCATGTTCCTAATTAGGCAAAATCAAATCTGCCAGAACTACCGTAATCCTCCACATACTTTAAGAATAGAGATTGAAATTTCTCTGAAGTCTTGTGGTAATATAACCCAGTGATTGTACCTGATTGATCAACAAAATTATTGATCCCGTCCGGGAATGGGAAATCCGCACGTGACGACTTGTGGACGTGAGAAGTACCCCCCAACCCAGTGTTCAATGCAATGTAATAGAAGCCTTCGAATGAAGCTCCTCGTATAGATTTAATCCGAGAATCAGGAAGTAAGAATTCTTCTTTCCACCTCATGTAAATCACACCTTGTTTCAGTTTACCCTTTATGATATTCGATAACTCTTTTTTGAAAACCGTATCTGAAACTTGATGTTGGCAGTTAGTGAGTCTTCTCCAATGTTCTAGATCGTTTCTAGGGTATGATCCCCATGACTTGTTCTCTGTCAAAAAGGAGTATGATTTATTCATCGTAGAAAAATATGCAGAAGCAGAAGATGTTGATGATCCATAATCATGGTGATCTCCAGTCCTCAGAGCTTCAGCATCAAAAAAGGGATTATTAATGATTTCACCAGTGAAACATGTGGTGATTTCAGGATGATCTTCAGTTAAACCTGTGATATGTAAAAACCCAGTGACCACCAGATTCTGCCAGTCTATCAGTTGGAATTCAACAATAATACGGTATCTTTCTCTTCCTGATCGTTGCTCTCCAACATATTTGGCATTGGGTTTAAGATATGCATTGAGATATTGGTATCTTGTAGCTTCTAGATACAGGTAGTTGATCCTGGGTGAATGTCTTTTGAACCGGAAAGATTCGTATGAAATGAGTTCCCTATTCGAATGAGTATCATCTGATGAAAATGTCCGAACCGCTTCCTCAGCGACATGGTTATCTGGATTTCGAGATGAAAAGAACGCTTCTGCCTTTTGAGAAGGGGATCCAGGTTTCAGATCAACTTTCTTCTTATTACTATCTTTATCGTCATCATCGTCTTCTTCATGATCTATCACAACTCCTAGGCCCTTCCAGTGTTCTCCTAAACCTCCTGGGGACAAGTTTGAATCTCTTGCCAAATTTTCATACTTGTCCCTGGTATTATTGCTGTCATTTGTCCTTCTAAGGGATTCAGCCCTCAATCGCCTCAACTTCTCAAGATACTGTTGCCGCAACCGTATCAGATTTGCCTCAGAATCTTCTGTACTGGCACTTTCTCCAGACCCAACGATGGCACTGCCTCCAGCACTTGCAGAGGCATTTATGTCGGGCATCGTGATTATTATTAAACTAAGTACACTCTTGCGACTCTCAGATCGGGATGGTATCAGTAAGTAACTAACAAGAAAAATATACTAGGAACTTGTATACTATATAAAGCAATCCACTCAGTGATAACAATGAAGAATGAGTCTCAAGAATCTATGGATCTTTTACGGTTTCTTAACGTTGGTATTCGCTATCAATATGTGCATCCTTAGTTTACGACCACCTCTTTAAATTCTAAACCACATGACCGACTAACGGGAAATTGCCGACCCCATATTAAATACGGCATATAAATTTAGGTAGCGCGTCTCACGTGAGTAGCAATGATGATAAAGCAAGAATTATTCTACCACTACATTTACCTTGAAAGAACATAGTCTGGAGTACATCGATTGATTTTATATTTTTCTTTAATAATTAATCCGAAAACTTCCAGTGCATTGCATTACATTACGTCACACTAAATAAATTCACTTTGCACTATAATTACATCTTTCACTTCCCTTGCATTGATTATCACAACCTTACATGCCCCACGTAATTATGACCGATATACGAACCCCAAGAACCCCATTACATCCAGCTCCAAATGAAGAAGTTTCACAATTACCAAATGCCCCTATGGCAGATGAGATGGATTTGAATCCTGAGCTATATGACGATGAAGACGTCGCAGTGGGGATTGGAAGAGGAAACACCATTGTTATAGAAGAAGAAGTCAGGCCAAACGGAGAAAATAGTCAGCTGGTACAAGAACAAGGACAAGAGCAAGTTAATGAAATAATGAGTGACGAAGAAAGTGAAATGGAAGAAGTTGATGTCACCAATAAAGTGGATATCATTCTGTTAACCCCAGATTTCGATGAATACATGTCCAAACTTAATATAGCCTTCGAGGCCAACAAAGAGGCTCAATTGAGCGCATCTCAACAGAGTAACCTTGTGATGTATTTGGATGATTCGATACTAAAAGTCCATCGTAAGTTTATCAAAAGTCAAGTAAATGAAGAAATGACGTATCCTATCAATGATTTAATAGGAGATCTTACAAGTACTCTTGATGTGCTTTGGCTTTCTGTGAATTCTAGAAATAAACTTATTTTTCAAGGCGAATATCTTATAAAAGTGCTAGGAGATATGCTTGATTTCATAGAAAACTACAGATCATTAATAGATCCTCACAAGCAACATACCTTTCAATCTCTAACAGCAGATTTAGAGAAAATTTTCCAATTTTTTCAGGCGTTAGATGCCAGAATTGCATTCCTTATGGATGGCTATTCTATAGAAGGATCACTGTTGCAGAAACTTAGTGGAACCCAAGTTATTAGAGTTGTTCCAATTGCAACTCGGTTGCGTATGGCAGTGATATCTAAAATGGAACTAGTGCGTCACCAGCTTGTAAGTTTACCGCCCGACCAACAAGCAATATCCAACCTCATTGATATCGAGGTATCCAAGCTTTTTGAAGGAATTTTAGATAGAAGCTAGATACAGAAAACAAAAGACCATACCGTTCTTTGTTTTATAATTACATACATATACATATGGTAATACGCGCTACCATATATCAAGACTGCATATTACATTAAATACCATGCATTGATTTCAGTCAGTGAAATTGTTACAACTGTAAGTTAGCAATACTGATCTTGCAAATTTTTAGGGCAAATATGGTATGGCCATTTGGATCAAAGGAAAAAGACGTGGCAGAGATAAAGAAAGAATTACCTATTGATTTACAGGAGTTCTTTGACGAGGCCAATCCCAAGCCTCATTCGTCCATATTTGAGCCATCGCCCAAACAAAAGCTCGTGGAGCAAATACTACTGGAAAATGAAAAAACTGCACAATATTCACACGAGTTGGATGACTACAAAAGACAACAAAACGCTGGTGTTGTTCTGGCGGTAAATTGTTCAGAAATCAGAATGCAGATGTTGGAATGTGTAAAACAATGGAAGTTTATGGGTGAAATGAATCAGTGTTCAGATTTCGTGAATAAGTATTCTGCTTGTGATAAGATACAAAAAGACGCCTTAAAGCATTTGTTCTATGATGATTGTTATAAAGTTGAGCAATGTAAACGAATTCGGTATGCAGTAGATCTCTTTTTTGTGAAGAACTTTGGCCGATATGGTGAAGATGTCAATGAAGAGACGAAAGCCAAATTTGACGATGACATAGATAAAGCTTTCTATAGGGTATGGAAGAAATAAGCCTGCCGGATAATTGTATATAGTAGAAGAAAGGTTTAGAACGAAAAAAATGGTACAGTGAAGTTAATTAATTGACAGTTTAATTTTTTCACCAAGTTGAAGCCATAGTTGTAGTTTCTCATCAAACTTCATCGTAGTGACAAGACCTGAAGTGTTTGGGAAGACAAATATCTGAAACTTGTGTCCAACTAACTTCAGAAGTGTTCTTAATAGTTGAGTGTAACTGGGATCTTTATGAGTGGAGTCATTTGCATTTTGAGATTGAAGTCCCCAATCAAAATTTGACTTGGTTAGCTTAAATTTGATTCCCATACTTTTAGAAAGATACTTCACTACTATCTCCCAAATACCCTTTCCTACCACCACTATGTTTTCCACATTTGTCAGAGAAAATTCCAGTATGAGCCGTGGTACATTGGCCATCTTTTCATCAAAAGATAACTCCAGAGCCTCTTTAGTACATCGAAGAACCAAATCCGTGAACCCGATTTTACACTTGACCAATTCAAAATCATCACTGGCTTTCACAGCACTACTTCCATCGGAACGTATCCATTGGGAATAGTCATCGAATGGTAGCATTAATCTTTCAAGGACACATGGTAAAATCTTTGATTGGTTAAAGAGCTTCCAGAATAGATTGGAGTGATGTGCATAATGATGTTGTTGAATAGAAGATTGTATGCCTGGATTAAACCCTATGAAGACCACGACCAAATTTTTATCTAGCGATGGTTGTAGATCTTTAAGGTCACTATTTAATTCATATTGTTTCTTGACTTTCTTCGTTGGCACGACTGATTTGCGTTGTTGGGTTTTATGGGGTTTTGATATGCGATACTTGGTTGCAGTATCGCCATCGTCGTGGTTCCTGAATCGAGCTAACTGTTTTCTAATGCTTTCGTCCATATTTTGTTTCTATTTCTTTCGAGTTCCAATACTATCCGTAGCCCCCTATATTGCCAAATAGGCAAACGTAAAGATTATCAAACAGTGCTAAAGCTAGGTGGTTTGTAGTCTTTTGGTTCAAGTTGGTGGGGAACCCCAGACTTCGACTATGTACAGGCCAAGCGATGAGATTGAAATATCAACAATCGGCAATTCAAATGTACAACCACGAAGTCTGTTGGGTGAAATACAGAGGAGGGTCGTTCTTTAGTACTTGAGCTTTTAAGATAATTAGTTCTCAAATGGACGATACACACGAGATAACTTTCATTACGGTGGAGGAAGGCAACATGTCTACGCCTAAACCTAGTGGTGGAGGTAATGATGATTCTACCACTCCAGAGTTACGCAATCGAAATGGTAATAATAATAGCAGTAACGGCACTGTTAGAGGAAATACTAGCGATAGCGATAGTAGCGGTTTTATTACTGATAAAGTTTATCTTCAATCGATACTTAAGAATAATGCAAAATCAAGTGGCACGAATCGTTCCAAAGTCAATTTTAGTCCTCTTAAACAAGTTGTTTCGTATTCTGATATTCTGGACAACCATGAAAACGTTTTTTGTGAGAAACCCAAGTCACAAGGTCAAACAACAACAGCATCATCATCCGATGAACCATACTCATGGTTGGCTAATCCTATGGTCCCCTACACACTCTCGTTGTATTTACAGCTTGCATTCAATGCACTCATTTCCGTTGGAATAATATTTCTTGCTTACACTTTGTACCGGGGCATTCGTAGCGACGTTGACCACCGTATCGATCTCTACACCACCGAGGTGATGACCGAGATATCCCACTGTTCCCGCGACTACTACCGCAACAAATGTGACGGAGTTAAGCGTCCTCCCGCACTCGAGAAATCATGCGACCAATGGTTCAAATGTATGAACCGCGACCCACAACAGATTGGCACTGCAAAAATAACTGCTGAGGCGTTTGCCGACATCGTCAACGGTTTCGTTTATAAAATCAGTTGGAAGTTTGTAATAATAGTTGTGGCATTCTTTATTGGAGGATTGGGATTTACAAATAAAGCATTCTCATCTTATCGTCATTCTCTAAATCTTCAACACCAACAACTGCTTGTGGACAAGCTCCAAGCCGAAGTTCGCAACCACCACGAAACCGAAATGAGATTGCGAACCCAAGTCGCAGCACTTGAAAAGGAAAGAGACCTGACTCCAAACTTTCAATCCGCACACTCATTGTTTGCAGTACAAGCGTCTTCGAATGCGTTTGATGTGTCACCCCTACTTCATCGGAAAAGGCCCTAACTAAATCCCCTTAACACCGTAACCATTTTAATCCATCCAGCCATTGCTCAAAGCACTCCATTGGTGTAATACTATTTTATGCATTTGTGTTTGTGGCCCACTTAGGCAAACATAGTGCAGCACCTACCTTTACCTAAAACGCTTTAATTGTCACTTGCCCTTCCTCATTTAATGCTTTCTCCTTCATTACACAACCGCTTTTGGCGTGCGAGGTGCTAATCGCTTGGAGCAAAAAGTTTCTCGCACCATAGAGGCACCCAAATCGGGTAACTGTTCAAAAACTTGAAACTAGATTTTGCCAGAACCGTCACAATAAGATCTATGTTTCGTCCCAATTGGTAAGTTAGGGAGAAAGCAAGCAGATGAACCCAACTCTATATATAGGTCGTTGGCGATATTCTATATATATATCGTCAATATCCCATCTGATATGATTTCGCTTTACAACTTCGGTTAACTTGATTGAAATGTCTTCAATGTCGCACCACCAAAAGACAGAGATAGTTTCTATCAACCTCACGGCTCCTTCGAGCTTTGATGATAATACGCTTGCAGATAAGCTCGATGTCAATACCAAGTTATCTTCAGAACTCGTCCCCGAAGAGGATGACAAGGAGAAGAAGCCAAAGGCTCCACAGGCAAGTATGCTTATGTTCACAGTTGGAAGCGACTACATCTATTTAGCTGTAGGAGTTGCATTTTTCGCAGTCGCATCGTTAACCACTCCAGGTCAGACCATGCTTTACGGTGAGATCTTCAAGTTTATGAGTAAGTTCTTAGCCAAAGACCCAGAGTTTCCAGATGCTACATCATTTATGAATAAGATAAGGTTGTACTGTGGTATTCTTATGATAACTGGGGTAGGGAATTTGTTGTTCTGTTGGATCGGATGTTATTTCTGGATGAAATTTGGTGAAAGACAACAGGAAAGGGCAAGAGTCGCCGTGTTCAATCTGTTGCTCCAACGTAAAATGGACTCTTTTGATATGAACGATAACTTTAGCGGGAAATTGACCCAAGTGCATCGTTCTATTGAAGAATTACGTTCTGGTTGTGCCGAATCTTTGGGAGGGTTGGCTTTATGTCTTGGAGGAATTATCGCCTTGCTTGTTACTGCTCTATACCACTCCTGGTCTGTTGCTTTAATCATGATGTCAAGTATCCCTCTCATGGGATTTTCTACGACTATATTTGGGTCATTGTCATTCAAAGCCATGCAAATCGAAAACTCCCACAGTGCCCAAGGATCCAAGGTTCTTGATTGGGCCTTTAATGCTGCTGAGATTGTTCGGGTTTTCAATGGCCAATTTGTAGAAATGGCCAAATTCAAGAAGAGCGTAGACTTGTCCACTAAGTCTTTTGTAAAACATGCCAATTTCAACTCCATCAACGTGGGTGTTATCAAGTGCCTTGTATTAATGATGTTTGTCCAAGGGTTCTGGTGGGGTAACTACCAAATTGAAAAGAAAAGAATCTCGATTTCTGAGCTTTTCACCACCTTTACTTCATGTTTGTTACTCGGAGGTAACATTGCCCAACTTTCAACTCTTTTACAGAAGATTAACCAAGCTAAAGCTGGTGCTGCTGAAATTGAAAAGTTCATAAAGGAAACTCCTGAATCAGAGGCCACCCTGGAAGCAGAAGAGCTTCCCATTTCCGTTGAAAATAACACTATTGAGTTCTCAGACGTCTCGTTCAAGTACCCCACCAGAGAAAACATAGTTTTGGATAAAGTGTCTGCCAAATTTGACTCCAGTGCCCTCAACTTCATTATTGGTAAATCAGGGTGTGGTAAATCTACCATGTTCCAGTTGCTTATCAAATCATACAAGCCACAATTTGGCTCTATTATGGTAAACGGCGTTGATATTAATAATTACTCCACCTCAATGCTTTCTTCGTTCATCACTACCGTTTCCCAGTCTAGTACAATCTTCAACGCTACAGTAAGAGATAATATATGCATGGCTGTAGCCAGCAGGTTTGAAACTACTGATGAGGTACCCCTTCCACATATTCAAGAAGCTTGCAATTTTGCTTTACTCGACGACGTGATAGAATACTTTGAAGATGGCTTTGATTCTATGCTTACACCTAGGAACTTGTCTGGAGGTCAACAACAGAGAATTGAGATTGCCAGAGCCAAATTGAGAGACACACCCGTTCTTATTCTTGATGAGTCTTTAAGTGCCTTGGACAGTTTAAGAAAGGGGAAGTTAATGCGGTCAATTCGTGACTGGAGAAAGGGACGTTTGACCATCATGATTACCCATGATTTGGAGTACCTTGAACCGCAAGATAACATTGTTTTAGTTGAAGACGGTAAGGTTGGTGCGGCTGGAAAGTTTGAGTCTTTAGCCGATTCCAAACTCATAAAGTCCATTCGCGAATATAAGCACGCGGTCGTGATGAACGGCGGAGACGAAGCAGAAGACGATGAATTCAGGGACAAGGGCGAAGATTCCGAGCGTAATTCTTATGATTTCATCCACAGCCCTTACATTTTGAAGGACCTTGAGAAGAATGAACCTGTCAACGAAGACGATAACGACAAGACAAAGAAGAAGATGATGAAGAATGAACAGGAAGCAATGGTCTCGATATTTACGATTCTCATGAAGTCAAAAAGTCAAATCCAGCATTTATCGGTCGTGTTACTTGGGATCGTGTTGGCCATGGTAAACGCCGCCTTCACGCCCGTTTTCTCGTACTGTTTTGCTAAACTATTGGTGAACATGGTGAACGTTTCGGTCGGGCTCTCGAACAAGCACGAGTTGCTTAAATGGTCGTGTGTTATTATCGGTATATCTGTTGGTAACGGGTTGACTACTTACCTTGCGGAGTTTGTTATGGAAGTTGCTGGGGAAAAATGGGTAGCCAACATGAAGAAGACAATCTTTGAAGCCATTAACGACAGAAAATTGGATTTTTTTGCCGACCCATTGAACAAACCCGCTATACTCACAGGTTTATTGATGAACGATGCTCGTGACTTGAGAAACCTTATTTCCATCTTTCTCCCTACCATTTTCCAGTTAGTTTCTATGTTAGTCGCGGGTTTAGTCTGGATGTTTATCGTTGGGTGGAAACTCAGTTTGGTTGGGATCTCCTTCATCCCTCTCGTGATGATTGTTGTGCAAACTTACTCCATGGTATTCCAACAGTTTGAAAACAGATACAAGACATCTGTGGCTAACATTGAAAACTCTGTTCATGAAACGTACAAAGGCATCAAGTGGATCTTTGTTAACAACTCGACGTCTTATTTCGCCCGTAAGTTCAACAGAGAGCTTATCCCCGTCAAGGCATTTGGAACCTCCAGAGCCGTGTTCAGTGGGTTTGGTATTGCCTTGACAGGGTTGTGCACTGCTGTAGCCACGGGGACCCTTTTATATTTTGGTATGAAGTTGATCTCCACGGCGGAATACAATAGGGCCCAGTTCTTGCAGGTGGTAACGTTGTTCATCTTCACGGTCTCGCAAGCATCTATTCTTTTGTACAAGTTCCCAGACATCGCCAAGGGCAAGAAGGCGGGCAATGCGTTCCTTCGACTCTTGGAGTTATCCATTGACGAAGATGTCGCCAGGGGAACCTTGAAGAATTTAAAGACCAACAACACACCAGTGGTGGTGGAGTTGAAAGATACAACTTTCAAATACGCTCCTACATCGAGAAAAGTTTTGAACAAAGTCTCATTCCAATTGAAGCAAGGCTCAGTCACGGGGATCGCTGGGTTATCTGGATCTGGGAAGTCCACCATTGCTTTGCTTCTCTTCAAGTTGTACGAGGTAAGTAACGGCATGATCTACTTTTGGGGCCAAGATATTAAAGACATCGACACCTACTGGTTACGGTCAAAGATATCGTTCGTTCCACAACACGCCAAATTCTTTGAAGGAACCATTTTTGAGAACTTGATCTATGGAATCGAAAACTCCCAAACCATCCGCGACTCTGCCGTGCTTGAGGTCCTCAAGTTAGTCAACTTGTTCGACTACATTGTATCTTTGCCTGAAGGGATCTACACCCGGATCGGCGAGGGAAACCTGTTGTTCTCCGGGGGACAGCTCCAACGACTTGCAATCGCGCGCGCGGTCATGAAGAACCCTACACTTCTCGTGTTGGACGAATGCACGTCGAACTTGGATGTGGAGAACACAGACCTCATTGGTGATGCCATCACCAGAATCCTGAAGGAAAAGAAGATGACCATCTTGGCCATCACTCACGATAACCGGTTGATGGAGAAGCTTGAGTCCATCATGGTGTTGAGCAACGGTAAGATCATCGACAACGGTTCCTACAATGAGGTTTGTGAAAAGCACAATATCTTTTAATTTGAGTCGTTTATTTCAGTTCTTTTCATACAACAATTATTAATAATAAGTTTATATCATTTCCATTCTATCCCTTTAAAGCTTAACAGAGATGTAAGGCACGTCAACCTCTTCGCCTTCTTTATCGTAACACAAGACAACCAAATTCAACGTCTTCACGTGCTCAGGGATATCCTTCTTGGTGACTTCCTTGACCAATTGGGAGATGGTCTTTGGAAGCTTGTCCTTAACCTTCTTGGGAGGTTGGAAGGAAGCATATAATAACACAACATCATAAGATAACATACTGATTTCCAACCCTTCTTCCTTTTCAAACTTGTCTAACAATTGCTGCAAGGTCAAATCACCTTCTATTTCGAATTTACTCCAGATTTCATCAAATGTCTTGTCATTATACTTGCCTTGAGGAGACTTGACTGGCTCAGAAAAGCCCACAAATGGAAGTGCCAAGTTCACAAATCCATTCTTGTAAACTTCAATGTCACTATGTTGAGCAACAACCTTGTAGAGCTCCAAACAAACTAACCCTGAAACTAAAGCTGTAGTTGTGGCAATAGCAGGAATGATCTTACCGGCAATGAATTTTGTCTTGGAAGCATCTGCTGTCTCAATAGAGTAGTTCAATGCTCTACAGTTTGAGGCCGCAGAAATAAATTCAATGTGGTGGTTGGTCTCATCATCCTTTTCAAATTCAACAGGGTTCAACCTATAGCCAGCCAATGAAGATGGATTGGGCAAAGTGTTGGCAACCTTCTTCACATCATCACTTTCCAAGGTTGGCCCAGCAGCTTTAGCTTCTTCCTCAGCTTCAGCATCATTTGTAGCAATCTTCAAGTTAGATTGAGGAATAAATTCAGGAACATCAACAGACTTCAACACTCTTTCATAATCATCAATGGTGGCACTGGGGTCTTTCAAACCATATACATAAGCCAACAAGTTGGCACCTCCTACAATGAAGTTAAGGTGATCCTGGTTTTTGATATCAAACTCTAAAGGAACTGGAACTCTCTTGGGTGGAGTCCAAAATGGTTCTCCACGAGCAGTTGTAGAATCTGGTGGGAAGACATATAAAAGTTGCTTGATATCGTGGTTATATCTCTTCTCAAAAAGAATTCTTGCCCACTTGATACAATCTTCAAATGTGTAAGGACGTTCATTCAAATAAGTGGCAATGTTTTGCAATGTCAGCTTGATATCGTGTTGTTCCTTCAAATTCTCTTCAACATAATTGGGTTGACCCAAGTATAAATTAACTGTTTCGGGAGTACCCGTGAACAATTCATGGAAAATATCCTTTGCCCATGAAATGGTGTGTTCGATTTTACTTGGGAATGATCTTAATGTACAAATTGGAATAGACTTCTCTGGTGGGTCATGAGAGGAACCATAAGATTCAGTTAGGTGGGGAACAATTACTTGGGTGTTACCTTTAGTACCAAGAGTACCTGACTCCAACAATGGCTTCAAATAGAAGACACAACGAGAATCCACATATCTTCTGGTGTCAACATTATCCAAAGCATTAGTCACTAAATCAAGACCATTCCAGAATTCGTCATTGTAAATATGTTCCGTTTCTTTCCCAATCTTATCTAACCTTGATTCTATCTTCCCCTTCAAATCAGGATTCATGGCTGCAACAGCAGTTGCTGCAACTTCTGATTTATTCCTACCAACATCTTTAGATCTGAAAAGGAATTGCCTATTTAAATTCGACTTTTCAATGGAGTCCATATCGGTAATGATAATATTACCTTCAGGACCTGATCCCAAACCCATCATAGCCCAGTTCTTTAAGATCTCACAACCAATTGCACCAGAACCAACTAAGAAAACCTTCAAGTTGGCAATCTTGGTTTGGAAATCTTTACCAAAAACAGCAATTTGCGCATCATACCTGGACCCAGTTGGCTTATTGTTCTCGAAAGTTCTGGGAAACTCCTTGGCTGGAGGTAATGATTCTAAAGAATCATAATAGAGCCATTGCTTGATTGGAGTGAATTTAGCAGTAGAACATTTCAACACTTCTTGAGCAATCAACCCACCAAAGAAAGCTACCATACCAGGAATATCACCAGTGGCCTCGTATGCCAATTCCCTAATAATATCTTCATTAATGGAGACACCTTCGCCTAAAATTTTAGGGTATGAAGTGGCCAATTCGGTTGCGATCTTAACCACTTCATTGGCATCTTCTTCAAAATAAGGTTTGGGTAATTTTCCTTGATGTCTAGTTTGGAACCCTTGCAATGCTTGGAAACCCAAATGTAATTGAGCTGGTCTATCAAACTTTGCAAAATCTGAAATAAGGTATTCTGGGTCTGAAAATTGATCCTTCAAACTCTTGAAGTTTATGGTCGTAGGTACTTTGACTTCAGTGTAAGTACCATTCTTTTCATACTTACCATAATCAACACCTTCATCCAACTTTATCTTGAAAGCATAAGGACCCAAGACTTTAATCTTAAAAGGAGTTCCATCGTTAATCTTGGGCATACCAACCACTTCAGAGAACTTAACATAATCACCATCTTCCATACCATGTCTTGTTTCACCCAACATAGTGACTGTACCATCTGGTTCTATATCAGAAATTAAACCAGTATGAGGTTCTTCTCCATTAGTATCAACTATGGTAAATTCATCCCCAAAGTCAACGAATAATTGACCAAACAAACCTCTAAGATCTGCATTAATATAACCAATCCCGTTGGCATGTGTGAAGTCGTTGATCCTGACTTGTTCTTCAAACGACACATTAGTAGTGACAATGATCTTGAATTTGCCCAAAACTTGTTCAGACAAGTCATTCACAATAGAAATGGGAACATACTGGTTCAATTCGGTTAATTTAGGCTTTGACGCTTCATCTCTACGTTTACCCAAATCATTCTCAGATAAAAAGAATTGGGTCGACAAATCTGCCATTTCTACGGGATTAGGATCGTACAAGCTCAATGACTTAACTCCGGCTAACGCCACGTTCTTAGCAATCTCGATCCCTAAACCCTTCAATCCAACTATAAGGACATTGGATTGTTGCATCTTCAACATGGCCTCCTTACCTAAAACGTACAATTGTCTGGAATATAAGCCCTCATCAATTGCATCAGCAACTGGGACTGGTGAATCTATTTGCATACCTTCGGACATAACGTATTGATTTGCCGCCGAATGATTATTATGGTTGGAAAGTTGTAGTGATAGTGGCAATCGAGTGGATTTGTAAAAGTTTGAAATTGTTCGAGACAAAGTCGAGAATACTAATCACGTGATTGTATTAAAAACGTGAGTAGTCACGTGTAGATACAACCACCTTTGAAATATTCTTTACCTTAAACATGTATGTAAATTTGCCAGAATGAATGTAAATAGTTGAATTGTTGTCCATACAGACGTAGGCATAGTAAGATTCTAGAAATTTACGTTTACAAGTTAAATATTTAATCTTTCCATAGTTTTGGTTCGGGGTCAACAAACAAAAATCCGTGGCATGAAACGCCGACAGAATTTAATAGTGACTTTTCAAATGACTTTGTGGAAATGCACCACAAGAGTAACTTTACAACTATAACACATTGTTACTCCTTACCAACAAGCAAGAGACAACCGGCAACCAATAAAAAACAAATGAGGTCAAGTGAGATCACACATTATATGTGTGTGTGATTCATCTTTAGCAAGGCAATTTGAAAAAAAAAAAATTAAATCCTTTCAAGATTGTAGGCAAATAGTTTGAGAAACAGGAATATTTCCAACACTCTCTCCATAAGCCATACCGTACTACATTTGGTGTATTGTGGAAAACAAGTTTATTTCATATTGCCTATAACAAACACCACCCTCAATATTATATCACCCACGACATGAAGTTTTTGCTTGCCTTTAATGCACAATATCTCCGGCTCCTGTCCGTAGTTTGGACAAAATCTCTCATTTATAATACCATTTTCATCATTTATAATACCATTTTCATGGTCGCTTCTAAAAAGCTTGTGCCTGGCATTTCATAAAAAATTATGTTACATAAATAATAACGGAATCACAAATATGAAAATCAAAAAAAAAAAAATAAACTAAAAAAATCCGTAATTCTTTCCTATTGTTATGCGTGTTGGACACATTTTTATTGTTGCTAATAATATGTGATGCCCTGTAGATGGAATTCGCCTCAATAGGCAAACTTCATTTTTACTCAGCTATGATTAATTTTTATTTTTTGGACTAATATCCTCGTTTAGAGCCAAGTACTAAATAGAGTAGACGGCAGCACCGCAAGGTGTGGTGGATGATGGACTGTTTTCGTCTCAGGAAATAATAAGCGATCTGATATATTATTTCGCTTGAGATCTGATTCTATGTATTCCGACGACTTCGAGCTTGCATCAATCAATCTAATCATATAGCAAATTGAAAATTATAAAAAAGGGTAAACATTCGCTTTCGCAACCAATTGATGAATGTTTGAGGCTTTATTGACGGAGTCGATTAATAAATCGCCAATTGGGCTAATCATTGATTAAGAAAGGATCAAGTGCCGTGTTCATACATACGTCGAACGTCGAACATTGAACGTCAAACAATATTTATGATAATAAAGCAGAAAAAATAACTGTATCAATGGACTGCGAAATTGTAACTAGGAGATATCGGAATTATATTCTTTTGTTATTGATATCGGTTAAACCCAATACCACGGAACAATTGTGGCTAAATCAAGAAATAACAATAAGGATACAAAAAAACACAGCCTTTGTATGCTTTATCATACCAGGCTGTTCTTTAGATCTTTCTTTCCTCGCATGATTGCTTCAAACTTTAGGGGGTTTACATGGTATTCACCAGCTAGAGCCACTTGCATCACTTGTTTTCTGACAATAGTTTTGGATTTGACTCACTTAATTCTTTATTGTCACACTTGATTACCCTTGGTTATTGTACTTTACGAAGGTGCATGCAGTCAACTTTGTGCTAAGTTGGTCAAAAGCTTATTACGAGGGCAATTACGAGGGTACTCAGATGGAATTGCGGCTATGTAGGTATACACTTAAATACAAAACAACAAAATACTAGCGTAAATTTAAATTGAATTACGTAGATGAAGTTGCTAGTCAGAAAGTGGTAGATTAAGGCTACAATGAACCATAGAATTACATATGAAGATGCCGACTAAGTTGGTTGAAAAATGCAGGGCCATAATGGGCCTGCCTAACGGGATGTAAGTGTGTTCGTTTGTTGCGAAGTAACAAGGAAACGAAGAATTCCCCATTTGGTTTCAAATCCTCTTCTTGTCTTACCAATCTCTATTCCTGGAGAGGCTTAACCATAGTGTAGTTGAATGAGTGGATCCTGCCACAATGAGGACAAAAATTTAAATTTCTTTGTATGACCTCGACTATAGAGTTTAATCCATATGTAACACACTTTCAACCATTATAGATGATGCGAAGAGAAAATCAAATTCAAAACCTTATTCTTTAGTATCAGTTGATCCACACTATTTTAAGTTGTCTACTCACGACATTTGTTTTTCAAAGGATATCAAGAATGAATATCCGAATCCTTCTTCCGAAGTGTTTCCATTTTATGCATGGTTTATTATCTTTGAAGTTTAACAGCACTCATCTTCGAGTTGTTTTGCACGACTGTCAACAATTAATGTCTTAGTTATTGCGCGGATAACAGAAAAAAACACAAAGCCTTTTGTTTGGGGGAGAACAGAACTGTGCATCTTTGTCTTCCTCTTGATTTTATGCACACGATGTCTTCTGGAAGAATAAGGACCTTTTGAATTCGACCTTAAAGAAAAAATTCGCAACCAAATCAGTGTGTGGTTGTGAACCTTTCCGTTCATTCACTTGTACTGCAACTTAGTGGATGCTTTTCGGAATATTCCATTTGATTGTGATTACAGTAACACAATGCAATTCTTGCGCGGACAGGGTAAAAGAAATTTGAGAGATAGTCAACTGAAATCACGAACTTCAAGTTCTATGAGCATGTCACCTGACTCTTTAGCTTGAAGAGCATCAGAAAACAATAGTACCACAATTAAGCAACGACCTCACTCCTTCTTGGTTTATTTAATTTCTATTTTCATCATTCAACTGTACATTGGTATTGTTTATTTTCAAAAGTGAAGTCTGCATAGGCGAGTTGGCAAGCATTCCGATAAAAAGAGCAACCCCTAAAAAAATAATTAGCGAAGTAAAGGAAAGACCATCATTAAAGAATGTTTCATACAAAGAGATAGACCCAAAAGAATTCCAGAATCATATCTGAGTTTGAATTATCCGATTAGATGTGTGTCAGTCAGGGCGATCAATTCTACAAGAAATAGAAATGTGATACAAAGGATATTGAAATAGGCTCCTTTTCAAATTTAATCTTAAGGAAAGCTTTTTTTTCCTATTTGGAGGGGGCTAATTGACATATGATTCTGAAGCAGAAGATTGCAACACAGATACTCCTATGTAAGGATTATTTGCTAGAGTTTGAGAACTTGCGTGACCACATAAGTTTAAATGATTTCTTAAAGGCAAAGTGTTGTCATGGAACCTCCTTCAATTAAATGTGAGAAATTTAATTTAATACGAAAAGAAAACCCAATGTAGTGAAGCAACCATTGATTTAAAAAAATGCTTCGAAGTTCTATTTTTTTACCTGCCATCACCTTCTAATACTGAAAATAACATTTGACAAACTAAAACTAAAAAGTATCCAAACATAAATCGGGCTTTACCGAAGTATTGTGGCAATTCGATTGGAGCTCAATATGCCATGGGATTTGTGAGCAATTCAAAATACTGTATAAGGAAACTGCAACGCTTCAATTCTCCCCTGGGCTCTCATTTTATTTTTTTAACTTAAAGAATATTATTTTGCAATTGACGCAAACATATACCTTTATGCGCAGTGTTTTTTGATTGCATACTATCCTGTATACAACTACAAGCATTACATGGTCATGCGCTGTAAGTTACATGCACGGAAGTGCTTGCAGTAAATAAGCCGACACCTTTATGCGGTAGAAAATAATTAATCGTAGTTTTGTTTTACAAAGCGGCACCTATTGTTGACACGCTGGCGCGGGCAGAGCCAAACAAACATTGAGAACTCCAAGATCATGGTTGGTGGTCGGTTCGGTATATATATGGAATACATACACCATTATATGTAAGGATTAAAGATTGGGCATTTCTATGTATTGCACCAAAAAAAAAAAATCCACCACCCCCAATTGTTTATAACAAGCACATAGAACCTCTTCCTAAGTCAAACATACTGGAAACAAAGGGGCAATCAAAGCATTCAAAACTTCTGAGACGATAATTACCAATTCGTATCTCATCATCACCATTAACAATTGCAAACTACACCAGTTCGTGTTTTGACATAAAACATACACCATCAACGTGTCGAAGACTTCTTACCAGAGCTGGCTCAAGCATATATAGTCTGGGGGTTTTTTTATTTTATGTTTTCTGGTACTTTCCTTTGTTATCTTAGAAAGGCTCTACCCCCTTTACAGCCAACGATCTCAATAAAGGAATTCTTTTCCCTTACATTTATAGAGCAGTCAAAACTATTTTAGAACTAGTTATTGATTTCTCATTAAGTGTAGACTTTTTGATTTCGATTTGATTTGTTCGTTAACAGAAAGTGGGCTCCATACCAAATTGTGTCAAATAGCTTCACAGCCCTGACCCAAACTTACATTAGACAAGATATTCAAGCCAGTCAGTTCAACATTAACCACAACGACAAATCCATAAGGAAATCAAAAGCTCCAACCACATTTCACATTCATTTATCTTTCAGCTGATTCCATTCTATTCATATCGCACTGACCAAAGTTCTTCCTCCTCCTTTGTCATCTATACATTTTATCCTAACGAGTCCCCAATATTGATTTTTTTTATAACTTACTCTGTATCCTGTTAAAGATATCCTAAGTCTCAGTCCCACTTGTTACATTAGGATTATAAACACTCACTGTTTTGCGAACAATTGGAGTTATTCACTTGGCTACACCATTGTCATTTTGACTTTCTTTGTTAGCCCAAAAATTATCATAGGTCCATTTTACAGAGTTGACAATAAAGCTGGACTTTCTCCCATTGTAAAGGTCAAAACAAAGGGATATTTAAGATCTTCCGAACTATAGTTAGGAACCATATTACTTCAAGTTATTGCTATGCCATGTCGTACGACCAAAACCAAAATAACGTACAACCGCCTTACGCGATCAATTATCAAGATCAGTTAGCGAACACTCAGCAGTCTGTCGTCTACCCCTATCAATTCAACTATGGGAAGCAACAACTGCCGCAGCAGCTATCTTTGCAACAACCTAGCCATCACCTTCAACAACAGCAACAACAGCTGCAGCAACAGCTGCAACAGCAGCCTCATGCACAGCCGCAGCTGCAACTACAACAATATTTAGCTCACGACCAAAGTCAGCATGCATTGCAAAACCCATACCAGGGTCAGCTTCCTACAACTACTTTTCATAACCCTCAAATAATACCAAGCAGCATTTCTTCCCATCAACAGGGACAATATCCGCATCAATACCAACAACAATCTCAAGCCCCTCAATTACCGCAGGCTGGAGGTTCGGTGTTGAGTCCTCATGGAACATCTACCGATCAGCATCGATACTACGGGTACCAACAGAAATTTGGGCGTCACAAACAGCTGCCACTTCAGCAACAGCTGCAACAACAACCCCCTCAACAGCATTACCAACAAGCACTTCAGCAACTGCCGTCGCTGACTCAACTGCATGTGTATGATACTACATCAAGTACCGGGACCCTAACATCCCCGGCAACTACAACACCGTCAACAGCTACCATTACTCCCAATAATGTTTATTATAATAAGGGACCTTACTACTCTGGTCAACAACCTCCAGTTTATCAGCAACAAGTACGTGCTCCTCCAGCACAACCTCATGCCCCTCATATTATCCCTATTCATCATCACCAAGGCTTGCAGCACGGTGCTTACCACCAACTGGGAATGTTGGCTGGGCCTCCCAAAGTACCAACTCCTAGCACGGATAATCATGGATTTGGAGGACAGGGACCATCTCAACTTTCACGACTATCTTCATCTGGCTCTATGGAAGTAACACCTCATGACTCTGAAAACCTACCACACAGTCTTACTTCACAGGAATTGGTGAAACAGATACAAGAAGTACTTCCCCACCCACCTTTAGTTAGTTCTGAAGTCCGTCCGGACTCCTACTCCCGATCAAATCAACGAAGGGCCAAACGTAAATCTAAGTTCACCAAGAAACAAGACGAAATGATAGTTGCACTTAAAAGAGAAGGTAAAACTTGGGTAGAAATAGCAGAGATTACGGGCGTTGGTTCTTATTTGGCAGCCAGAAATCGGTACCAAGTTATAGTTGGACAACAGGGGAACAACAATAGCTCTTCTTTCAGCGTTGATGATAAAAACTTACTTAAGAACTTGTTAGACATTGCTGAGTTAGAGAAGTGGAGATTCATAGCTGTGGAGTTGGACAAAGCCACAAGCAAAGACTTTACCGATAAAGAGTGTCGGGACATGATTAAACAACTTTACATGAGTAATCCGGAGTCATTTGGTATCACTGAAGAGACTCTTCACGAGTGCATAAAGGAAAAGAAGATTACAGAAAAGATTATTTCCAGTTCCAATGCCAGTACTAGTGATCGAGAATCAACATATAATGATGTGATAGAGAAGAGCAGTGGTGCTTCTAACGCTGCCAACATCAGTACCACCACAATTGCATCATCATCTGTATCCAAGGATTCTTTTGATAATAAGCCAGAAGCAATAGGAAATAATCGTTCTCTTCTTGAAACCCAATTCAAACCTCCGATGGATTCTTACAAAGGCTATTATCAGTAGTTCAACCCCACCCCCACTTCACTCATCGATTTGCATTACATTCATTCATTAAAATTAATTTCCTTTCTTTCATTTCACATGTATTAAATTATTTTTCTTTGGGTGGACCTTTGTCATAACCATTATAAACTTTATACTATTCCAGTGTTTAATTATACAACTAATCAGAGAGTTTACTAACCTTATTGTCTTGAATTACTTGATACTAAATCCTAACATGGAAGTTTCAATTGCTCTTTTTTCATTAAGTACGAAAGCAATGTATTGTGATGTCATGCGCAGTTAAATTGTTTAGGCGTGCATTGCAGTTGGTGTTGTCAAGCGGAGTGTAAGCAACCTTCATATCCCAATTGAATGGAGAAGAGTTTGGTTATACGTCTAATAATCATAACGAACCAATAATGCAATGCAATCTACAACGTGAAAGAAATATATATTTTTAACATCAAATGCTTCTATACTAAAGTAAGAAAATCGCATACTAATAAAATTAAACATACGTGTGATAAATGTTTTCCTTTGTAGTACTTTGGTGGTAATTTAGATGGCGTCCAGCCTGAGTTTAGCTTCAACAACATCGATTTTATCTTGCGGACTTTGAACTTTGTCAACTCGAGTTCCTACACGGATATCAGATTGGATTCTGACAACATTATGCTTCGTGTGGAGTAGCTCATGCATTTGACCAATGAGATCCATCACTTCATCCCACGGGCCCTCAATGGTTGTACCTGCCAGATGTAACACGGTATGAAGATGAGACTCACGAGCCAACCGAGTAATAGCAGCGATCTCATTACTAACACTAGCAGTAGCTGTGCCAAGCTTGACCTGTGGGTTAGTATCAAGTGATTTTCTTCGAATCTAATCAAATAGGGAGTAACATACGGGGATCAAGCAAACGTCAGCCAAACAATGTAATTTAACAGTCATGTCCTATTAATGCTGGAAAGTATATAGTATGGGGGGATTACCAGCAACTATATGTTTACTTTAGAGGTTTTGATAAGAAGCTGATATCGTATGGTTGAGCTCTATCTAACTGCTCCGTTCTCATTCTCCACCCTGCAAAGTTGTGGTTCATTTTGTCGTCAACTTGACAGATAAAAAACAAAGAATCCTGTATCCGGCAATGGACCATTGAAAGAGTATACAAGGGTGGGGGCGATAAGTAAATTAAGTGCCATAATCGGATGATTACATTCACTTAGGTCCCCCAATTGATAAAAGATATCCCCATAAGATTGAAAGGGTATTTGTTAGCATTGAATTGCTTTAAATATAACAGTTTTATTGGTAAAGTTTCAGTTCCTACAAATTACAATACAGTAATTTTGTCAGTTCACACCCTCATTTGTGACGTAATCAGGTGTGCTATTTTATTTGAATGGAGTGTTATTAAACAAAGACTGCTCCTTTAAAAGCCACTATACTCATCGCAGACGGCTGCGATGAAGTTTGTTTGTGGTGATCTTTTTCCTTTTTTTAAGAATATTGTTAGAACCCCCAATATTGTATTTTACAGAGTTCCCGTAAGAGTAATCTTTCGGGTTCTAGTAGGCTTGACACCTACTTGACTAAAGTAATGTTTTAGATATTTTTTTAACTGTAAGGTGCTACATGCACGTTAAACGTGCTATATATTCATTTTCGGCGTTAACAACATCCCTTCTCGGTTCTAAGAACTAATTGTTTTATCCCTTTTAGCTTACGTCCAGGCACTGTAAGTAGACTGTGTAAAATTTCTTAGTTACAGGCCAATTGCCAAAGTACTTAAAACAGAGTTTCGAGGGTAGATGGTCGAGGCAGAGTGGCTTTTCCGGGTTAGGAGGATAAGTATGTATTTGATGCATGATGCGAAATGTGCGTCATGCTGCACGCAGTCATGCATAAAAGATATTCGACGCGCCTCAACAATACCGCAACACGTACAGTTGGCACGGTAAATTATTTGCCTACAAATAACCCAGTCATCACCGTAATTCCACAATAAAAACAAAAGGACCATGCGCATATTTACAACCCTTCTAGACAAAAGAACTAATGATAGAAATATAGCGGCTGTATACCTTTTTTCTCAGACCCAGAGGAGGTGAAGTATGTATAGGGTTGAAATTGAATGGAACCTAGTTGCACTTTCAAAACTACTTTTCTTTTTTAGAGTAGGTGGGAAAAGCCAAGAGATGGTGATGTGTAAAGACTCTTTCGGACTTCCTCAAAAGCCGACCTGTCGATTCTAGTCGCCGAGAAATGGAAGACCAACTGGGAGATGTTAGATCAAACTTTGCTTCCTTTTCACTGTAAAAGCCCTCCTATCTTTCTCAGTTCTTTGTCAGTAGCTTATTTCAAGTTATTGCTTAATTCTAATCGTATCACACTTCTGGAGACTTAGGCAAACTTGTTCGTAGTTTTGAACTCCCACAGTCAGTTGTATAGTATAGGTTGTACCAAGAAACCAAGCCTGACGCCTCTGTTAAGTATTTTTTGGCTTAAGTCCACATCAACCATTATCATTTACGAGATCTTTCGGTCCCTGAAATTTACATTCGCGTTTCACTAATTGTAAGCATAGCACAACGCCAGCATACAACAGTATAATAGCATGTATAGTACGGTATATATAAAATGATCTCAAAACGCTCCAACAAACTATTGTTCAGTAGTCCCCAAAACCCTTTCCATTATTATGCGACTTCATATCAGGTGTTAGAAGGAATACCTCCGCGCCTTTGTATTTCAACACACAAAGTTAAGACTGAGTAGAGAGTATTAGAGTAGGTATCGATCTTTCCTTGCATCTTCCGGGATGTACAACAAAATAAAAGGGTTAACACCTTTTAATAAAAACACCACTTCCAAAAGTAGTTCACAACCAACGTACCATTCCACTGTTAACACATATGTATTACTAAAAAGGTAACTGTTGTTGTCAACATAATTATTATTTAGGTATACAAAGTATACGTCATTCAGCCCAAAAAATATTCCGCAGTCTAGAAATATGTAAAGTACCAGCCAATTTGAGTAACGTAGGCGTTATGTTAGATATATCGTTAAATTTTCTTATTTCATGTCCCCGTGTGTTAGAATGTTAATTCTTATATTTTTAAACATAATATCACCGTTCCCAGGTTAACTCTAAAAAGTAGAAGTTTCCCTTAAGGACCAACCGTATATACAAAAAAGAAGGTATTGAAAAATGTGAAGCCTTTTGACAAAGCTATAACAGTAACCTTTTTCGAATTCTTTGGAACTCCTTCAAAAAAAAACAGCCTTTCCCAACCTCAAGTGGTTAATAGCATCATCAGCGAAAGCATTTTCAAAGTGTGTTATTCTCCTAATGCTACTGGATGATGTAAACTGCATGATCTAATAGTAATAGTTGTAATATATTAGATTCAATATCCAATGAAGACCATTTTAATGCGAACACTCTGATGAAATTATTTAAAAATAATAATGCATTAAAACAATCGAGTGAAGATAAGTGAACATTGCTGTTATGAACGGGAATTTAGCATGATGTCTGTGCTTGGGTCTTAAAGATTTTCATCCATCCTATAGACATATTAGGCAATGGCTTAATGTTAAGTTTTCTTCATCAAAGGATTATCACGTTAGTTGTAAAGGTATGTCTAAGGATATGCTATCCTATTGGTGATTACCATAATGTTATAATTTGTCAGAAACATACAAAGGGGTCACAAGAATGGATAGGTGCTGATTCAGAATGATAAAACTTTTGGAACAGCTCCGAAATGAGCAGAGGTTGAGTAGCAAAATCGAAGATTTGAGACCAAGAATGAATAAAACCCATACTAACAATAGCTGTGAATGAATTTGCATAAGTAGAAAGGTATGTTCCATATTGACGGTAAATTAGTACACCCTTTTTCGACCGAAGCTTCACGTAGTTATTGAGACTGAGTATAATACCCCATAAGTAAGACGTATCATTATTTCAGATTGACCATACTTCCAATCACTCTGCTTTACTGGAAATTTGTAGTCAGAATCATACATTGATGGCCTTTTCTCCTTTTCTCTATTAAGTTCTAAGGGACATCCTTGCTGGCTTACAACCTAAACGCAATAGAAAGGATTTCTTCATAACTACCACAAGTAGTGAATTATGAAGAAGATGCGATCTGAAGATAATCTTCTTTCGACCCACTGTCTGAATGAAGAGGCAACGGGGATTGGAAATTCTTGTAAAGGATTCCTAGCACAAGATTGAACCTCAAGCTTGGCAACTATCAATCACTACCTAGACGGATTTCATCTTTTAAGAATGATATAGTATTAACTCTAACGTATTGTACTGAAAACCCAGTAAGCGACATTAGAAATGATAATTTGGATTTTGGGAATAATTGTTTGGCATGGTGTACAATATAGCATAAATATTCAAGATAATCTTTGTGTCCTCGGCAACTGCGAAAATCAAGGCCTTGCACATATCCGTCAATTATTTGATCATGTAAGTCGGGTTATTTGCATTCGTATTTTCTGCGTAAACCTAATGCTGCTTGGGTATTCCACACGCACCCGAGCACCCAGTTTAAAAGTTCATTTATGTTGCGCCCGGAAGGAAGGAATAGCTTTTTGCACAAGGTCAATACATTCCTAACGTCAAACGGATTCAGAAAGAAGATCTGCACCTAGTATAATTTATGTTATGTAGGATGACATTTACAATAGTTGGATCCTTGCGTCCTGCCGAATCTTCTGTAATAAGGTATAGTGCTACCAGAAAATACGGTTCGTTAACTTTGAGCTACTAAAATAAAGAGAAGTGAAATTTAGACCTCACCAACCAAGTACTGGAACCAATACACCTAGATGTGGTCAATATATGCTCAAACTTATTGGTGTGGTGTGCAATATTGAACTAAGTATCTATAAGATAGTAAACATTTGGTTTTAACACGAACCTTTGCTCACCAACATCATATAGAAGGTGCGAACTTAATTATTCGCTGTGATGGCATTTGGCAGAAGTGGATATACAGTCGCGATGGGCCATCATTCTTTAGTGGGTGCCCGGTTCGATCTTTGCGGTCTATTATTTGCGGGTTTGAGTAGTCAACTTTGCAATTATAGGTAATGAACAACAATAACACTGGAGGGAAGCAATTCAGCACAGTATGTTGTCCGTAGAGAGGCGAACCGGAAGACGCCTCTTTCGTGTTGACCCCAGTGCATTATTCACGACTTCAGTTTTTTTTTCTATTATTGCAATTCATATATATCCCTTGAATTATAAAAGCCATTGCCAAAAATTCTTTAAAGGTGGCTATATAGCACAAAGTCAAAATAATCAAATAATTTGTCTCTTTCATTTACGATGTTTTCAGTACGTTTATTATCCTTATGAAAGCTGGTGAATTGAAGGTGATTCACACGACTTAATATGATCGCTCAATTTATCCACTGGTTTACAGAGTAAGCCTCAAAAGCCTGCGTTATCTGAACGTGTTTGGACGAAACATGGTATCTATTTAACCAAAAAGGGGTACAGAGAAAGACTCGTTTCTATTAAAATACACGAATATTGAATTCAAGTGCCTCTAAATACTCAACCAATAAAAGATGTAAAGCATCTGTAGAGAGCCTAGTCCTCAGTGAGAACCTACATCCACTTGATGGAGCACCATTAGCTTGGATGGTTCTAGAACTTCAAAAGAGTAGTAAATAATATGCGAGAACGAGGGTCTATCACCTCTATTCACACAATTTAACCTCAATTCGATTAATCAATATAATGTGTATTGAAATATTCAACTAGAAGGGGTAGTTTTGCAATATTCCAAAATATTGTCACTTAAAGGGAATGAATAACTTGATTCAGTTTGCAAGATCTGGTTTGTTTGATGGCTTAGACCATTAGGCAAAATATAACGAGGCTTCTTGGGGTTGCGATTGTATTGTCTTCAATCATATATATATTTTGCGTTAGAAATCATGCTCCATAGTTCACCTACTAGTTCCCAAGTCTCTACACAGGTAGTAAAGTATACATTTTAAAGTTAAATTTGCTAACATTATGCATACAACCTTGCAGTAGCTGTTGCTATTCTTTCGATAGTAATCAATTTGTCTAGTGTAATTAATGCACTGCTTAACATTGAAGATCTTGCAGTAATAGCATGCCTGTTTTGAATTCTGTTATTTTGCTATTAATAGCCGACTTCGAATACAATGTACAACCCTTGACAGATTTCATTCATTGCATATTATAAAAAATGGCAAAAAGGACCGCTTCTCTTGTTACGGAATCTTCAATTGGGACTTCTTTTTCATTTGCATGTACAAGTAGAACATATTCTCCCTCAAATAATATTAACCTTGAGGCATCACATATTACTAGAATGCGCATGCGTTATTATTCTACGCAGTCACGTGTCTACTAGCTATGTGGCTGTGTTCAATTATGATGCATGTATTATGTTGGTAACGCACAACCATACATTGATACTGCGATGCATTGTGAATGCAAGCTGAAACAATCACTCTGAAACTCTAAACTCACAAATGTATAAAATTCATGAAAGATCTTTCGTTTCATTTTTAAGCACAAGAGCTTTTTCATGTGGTATAATGCAATTACAATAATGTGTATTTATAAGTAACATTAAATTAGAAAGAATCCTTTTCGGCTTGTAACTGGATCCTACATTGTTCCGGGAAATGAATGCGAAATTAGAATTAGTCAAGCAAATTAAAATCAGAGATTTATTTGAAGAGAGACGTTTGAGTTACTATTCGAAATTGTTAACAGTAAATTGTTGTGGATTCCTAAAGCCACCGTCAGAAAATTAGCTCTTCGGCGGTAAAACGAAACAAAAAAGTTTTTGTAAAAAGACTTATTAAAGCTTTTATAAGCCCCCAAGATCCAAACTGTATCCGCTATTTAATAGGTTTTGAAATGAAAATGAATTTTGCAAGAAAAAATGATGAATTTGAGTTTTCACTAGATTTTAAAATTAAGCAAATTAATTAGAGTCACAAACTTTCCGAGGCATTTAAGTCACTTTAACTCTCCTAATATAAAATGCCATAATCAAGCAGACCACTTTGGAATAACAAATTCTCTCAATTGTAATTTCACTGACACTAATCAATGGAAACAACATTTTATAAGGTTATGTTGTTTACCGCAAATTTATAACATTAAAATAGCAGGCAATCTTTTTAATCATGCTGAATCAGTCTTTGATAATTTTAAGTGTTTTTTGAAAGAAACTTCTACAGAGTAGCTGGAATGGAAGTGCTTGATTAAGTGTCTATGAGACAGCTCGCTTGCAACAAGTATTAAAGAGAGTCATAACATATTCATTAAGCCTTGAAGCTTTTGTGTATTCTTTTGCTGCAATCCATGAATTCGCAATAGAATTTCTCTATGGCGTCGTATATTCAACCTTGTTCGAAATTTGGATCAGAGGCAGCCATCAATTACAACAACCAAAAATTGGGTTAACAATGCCTTTTCAGAAGTTAAATAGTACGAACATCTTATTCTAAAACCTAACTTCCTTCGTTCACAATGGAATACTTTCCCGAACTGCTTCAGTTAGCTATAAAAGGATGTTGTATTCTTATAACGAGAGGGCTTCACTTATATGTATAATGCAAAAGGTGACAATCTAAGCTCAAATATATACCTTGACGTGGCCGAAAGCAATGCGGAATGCCTTGGTTAGGGTAGCAATCTTCTGTACCTGCCAGCTAGCTAAGGTAGAGAATAGCAAATCCAAAGTATTAGAATGCCTTGACGATTTATATTATTAGTTCCACGGCTCAAGTTGTGCTCCAAATACGTTCCGATAGCAAAGTTATGCTAAAAAAAAGAGGATCGAGCTGAAAATTGATCTATAGGTCCATTTATTTTTTTTCTCTTTGTTTGCAAGCTCAACGCTTGAATGGAGTCAACTACGAGTAAGAAACAATTCTACTTGAAATAGTTTGGTTAGGTTTCTTATCCATGATTAAGATTATTAAAGCAATTACTCAGTTGGGTTAAACTTTTGGTTTTGACAGTACCGAACCTTGAGCCTGGGTGCGCTACTATGAGTTTACAGTCTTGAGAGCTTGCTACTTTTGTGCCTTATGAATAACAGTGCAATTGAAAGTGAAACAAAGTGGTTTTAGACGGGCCCACGAAAATCATGAATGACCCGCTTAGGAAAAATATCAGAGAGTTTGCAAGTAAAGAGATAAGTTAAGTATTGCGTTTCAAGAGATTTATCATGTGACTCAAGGGAAATATATTTATGCTGGAACAGAAAACATCATTAATGTGACATGTACACTTTGTCTCTAAATCTGGACCCTATTAAAGCCTAGAACGATTTCTTATTACAAATTGGAAGAGCCTTTTTATTAGGGTTCTATTTGACTCTGGATTTGATAAGGCCTGCTTTAATTGGAAATAGGAAATACTTCACTGCTAGTACATAAGTATGAAAGCGAAAGCACAAATTAGAAAATTGAAGAGAGCCCTTAAAAACAATCCAAATCCTTTTCATTTCAAAACACTAAAACGGTGGGCAATGTAGTTGAGGTAGTTTACAACGAATCACGCACAGTGCATTACGCAATAATATTGATCGAATGAACACATATCCAATTATAAATGATTCTGGTTAGACTTTAATACGCCTGCTCTTACGACTTTAGACTGGAATATGAATAACTAATCGGTCTTCTAAGGCGCAAAATTTTGCAGCCAGGTAATGTGCAGTCTAACGGGGCAATTGAAAGTGGGAAGTTGCTGCAAGCTAAGGTTCATTTGCGAAAGAAAGTTGATCAGGTAAGCAAGGAAGATCTAAAAAGGAGTTAGAAGATAAATGGAAGCCTGTTACTTTGCATATTTATGTATCCTCGGAATGCGAAAGAATAAATGGAACGCCTTGGTATACGCAGTTAAACTTCTATATTGGAGCCTCAAAACAATACCACAGTGTATCTTTTGAAAAATTGCGCTCAACCTAAGAATGAAGAAATGAAACAGTTGGTCGAACAAGAGGATGTAAGGCATGTATATAAAGTATTAAAAAGTCAGAAGGAAATCAGGATTTATGTTTTGATTAATACTAGAAATTATTTTAATCTTAGCAACTCAACTCCAAAGAAAAACTATACTGTAATTTGGAAGACATATTACTTTAATGGTACAAAAGTCTTGAACGTTATTCAAAAAAAATCACTCTTTTTTTGAACTTGAAATAGCATCTTTTGATAATGACTTGCATAAACGTCGAGAAGTAAGCAAGAATTGATTCAACATCGATCTCAGATAGAAGGACATTTTTTTCAAGGATATCAATGGATATTTGACAAGATCTTATCAAGTCTCTATTTGAGAACAAGTTATATAAAAAAAAAAGAAAGCTAACACAGTGACTGGCAATTTAGCTATTCACAATACTATTATCAATAGCTTAATGAGTACGATATCAACTCCACAACTTCACAACTGCATATACAAGTTAAATGAAGGGTAACAACTTAAAAATTTGAAAATCAAGAGGTTTCGCATTCTATTCAGTATTAAACAGACGTAATGATTTTGGAATTCTTTTGAAGGACAACATATACTCGCGGGATAGACTACCTAGAACTATATGATTTCCCCAGGGGTAAGCCCAGGATTATAGAACTTGGATGAGACCCAACCCACCAGTTGGAGTATGGCCCATCAGTATCATCGTCTTTCACCTGGTGTGAGCCATAAATCAGCCCAAAAGGCGCAAAGACGTCTTCACCAGACCTGCAGAGGTAAGGTTTTTTGTGAACCCGCAAAAACTCCGATGAGAGTTTAATCGCCCCTAAAGGGGTAACCCGTTCTAATTAAGTTCCACTAAGGGGATATTAGGCCCTGAATCAGTGGGAGGCAAGGACTAGGTCCTGCTATCAAGGAAGTTGCAAATTTCATCACATGCTATTTTTTTGAAGAACTGTTATATGCAGAAGGATCTAAATTCTTAAGTAAGAATTGTAAAATATATCAGCCGATCTAGTATAGTGGTTAGTACACTTCGTTGTGGCCGAAGAAACCCAGGTTCGATTCCTGGGATCGGCAGTCTTTTTGCATACAATGATAATGATTATTTTTATCTCTACTGTTATGCTATTAATCCAAATCCATTAAAGAGATAAACACATACTATAATGCTCTATATAAAAGTACTCATTCAATTAAAGGTGGAAATTTGTTCCGATGAAGGTTTAGTTTTTAATTCAGGGTTGCTTGGTGCGGCAGACACAGATTGGCCAATCACATTGGCGCTCGAATTTCTATTAGTGCTTGCATTTTCCTTCAAGGCAATTAATTGCTTAGATCTGAATGCTTCATAGTGTACCAAAGCAGTAGTTTCGATCAAGTCTTGCAAGTGGGTTCTAGTCAAGAAATCTCTCAAGAAGAGAAATTCACATTGAGTAACATCTTCAATGTTAATAGCACCCCATTTGGTTTGTCTACCTCTGGCAACTACCTTATCAAATTGAATTTCTGTTTGAGATCCAGAAACTGCAAAAGGGATCAATGATCTAATATCTGCGTTCAATTGTTTTTCATCTTCGAATAAATCTTCACTATCGTAAGGGAACAAGTTTAAGGAGTGCTTTTTGAATTCATTTTGTAATAATCTCTTATAATCTGCTCTTTCATCCAAAGTTAATGAATCAGATTTTGCAATTATGGGCACAACATTAGCAATCTCAGATAATTTCTTTAAGGCAAGAACATCCAATTGCTTCAATTTCTGACCACTTGGAGGAATAAAATAAAGAACACAATGAACCCTAGAGTCAGCAATATATCTTTCCCTTTGAGCAGTCAATTCCTTTCTCAAATATTGAGAATGTTGCTCTTTAATATATTTAACCAATGGATCCCAACACTTATCGTTGTTAATCAGATCACCAAATCCAGGTGTATCAATGATGTTGACATGTAATTTGACATTGTTTTCAACTAATTCATGTGAAGTAACTTTTATCTCAGTTGTCTTTTCAATAGGTTCTTCAGCATCCTTTCTACCGAATGTTTCTGTTAATTCTGACAGAAATAAAGTATTAACTAAAGTACTCTTTCCCAAACCAGATTTACCCACTACCATAAGATTGAACTGAAAACCTCTTTTCAATAAGCGATTTTCAATCTGTGTAGTGATCGTGTCAAACCCCACATACTTTTGAGGTTGTACTGTTGAAGTTCCTAACGACATTTCGAACAAGGTGATAGTAACAGAAGGTTATCAAGTAAAAGCTATCTCTATAGTAGAAAGCTTGAATCCAAAGTGATTAGATGCCAACTTCCTTTGATAACAAATAAAGTTTATAATAAGAATAAGACCAGTTACTTGTAAATATTAACCGTTGATAGTCAAAACCTTGTCGTCTAAAGAGCTTTCTCACAGTGTTGTTGTTTTCTGTATATGCCAAACGCGTTCAAATCTCAGACATTTATTGAACACACTACACTACCCTCATTTTAAAAAATCACATCACGTGATTGTATAATTTATGTACAGGCTTTGAAAAAAACGAGAGTGAAAAAAAATAGGCTCAAATAATCTGGTCATAGAGCCAAACTAAAGACCTTTCCAACCCCAAAAAGGAATATATATACACTAGAAGACTAAAAGAACAAATGTCATTGTTCTTGACTGGATTCAGATTTGGAGCTGCGGTTCCCGCTGTTGCTGAAGTTTTGGCAGGCTTGATTCCCCGTATTCCCACCGTTGGCCTTCGCATTGATTTGAGATCTCAAACTGAAGGAGACCAAAGATTAAGGGAATTAAAAGAACAAATTGAAGCCAATGAAGGTGAATCTCCTTTTATGATAGATAATGGAACCATATTAAAGGCTGTACCCAAAAAGAAGCCTTCATATCGCAAAACCAGAACCAAGTTTTTGGCATCCGGAGATAAAAAGATCAAACCTTTGGAAAACATCGTGAGATGCCCTGCTTGTGGTCACGTCAAGAGATCTCATTTCATGTGCATGAACTGTTTTGGTGAAATCAAGACATTCTTGAAAGCTAAGAAGAGGGAGCTTTTGGGTGAGATTGAAGTGAAATCTCCATTTGAAACAATGGATGATATCGACAAGAGAATAGTGTATACTTCTAAGAAGGATAATGAGCCTTTGGAAATGAAGGATAAGAGTTCATGGATTCCTCAAAGAGAGCAACCTATGATTTATTCAAAAGACCACCTAAGAAAGCCAAAGAGAAAGTAATATAAGTGATGTATAGCATTGTATTTCCATCTCTAGTTCACCTCTTGTACATATAGGAATTATATTTATCGTTGAGTATAAATTGTAAGCTCAAAATAGCCATGTACTATATATATAACTATGTTGTGTAACATGGGTGTCCACGAACTTAACCATAAGATTTAGTTACATTCTTAACCTCAGGCCACTTTAGGTTTAATTCGCACCCAAACACCTCATCTCAAAATTATCATCGCTAACGCAACCACCATTTACTAATATTATCCACTTAATGATATCACCAGACATGGATATTAGCGGTGCTAACAGACAGCCAGAGAACGTTATGAGCGGCATGTTTGAAGGGAGTACAAGGACAGCATCCTATCCTGATCTCAATAGACAAATTTCTACCAGCACTACTTCGAGGCCTCACCCATTAAATGTGAAACCTGGGGGAAATCAACTTTTAGGAGACCCAGAGCCTTCCTCAGGCAAAGCTACTAAATCGCAGCTTTTGGGGTATTTGGATATACTACCTGAAAGTTTACTTCTAGAGCTATTGAGCTACGTTGAAAGTGCCGATACCCTTCGAAGTCTAGCACATACCTCAAGAATAATGTATGCTTATTTATATGACGAGGAAATATGGCGTAGGCTCTATTTCCGCCAGAGTTCTGTATCTAACGGTAACTTAGAATTGAAATGGCGTGGGAGTTGGAGGAAAACATTGCTCCAAATAAATACTGAAGCACTTGTTACTGTGCATCGAAATCAACTCTGTTCGGATGTTATCTACCGTCCATTCCAGTGTTCTCAGATTGACTATGAACGTCTATTTCACAAAATTATTGTGGAAGAAGAAAAATACCATAAAGATGCTCTTGAAGGTGTGCTTGGTATTCTTCCAGAAGGCAGAATACAACGATTTCAGGAAAATGAAATGCATATTGAAAGATTCCGCAATCAATGGACAAATAAACCATTCATTCTTGTCAACAATGATGCTAACAGATGGCCACAATGGGATTTAGATACATTAGCTGAAAGATTTTCTGATGTTAAGTTTAGGCAAGAACTGGCTCAATGGGACCTTTCACATTATGTTCAATACGCTCGTACAAATAAAGATGAACTGCCACTATATCTATTTGACTGCAGCAGTGACGCTATGAAGGAGCTTAGAAAGGAATACAAAGCCCCTGCAATCTTTCAAGAGGATTTGTTCAAAGTATGGGAACAAGAGGGAAAACCTTGTTGTAGACCAGATTATGCATGGATTATTATGGGACCAGCTCGAACAGGGTCAACGTTTCATAAGGATCCCAACTATACAAGTGCTTGGAATACCGCATTAGTCGGTAGAAAGATTTGGATAATGTTTCCTCCAGATATTTTACCTCCAGGAGTTGGTATTGATGGTGAAGAAAGTGAAGTTACAGCACCAGTGGGTATTGCAGAATGGGTGATTTCAGGTTTTTTCAACGATAGTTTAAAAGTCCCAGGATGTCAAGTTGCAGTAACATTTCCGGGGGAATGCATGTATGTTCCCAGTGGATGGTGGCACAGTGTGATCAATATTGATGAGTCTGTAGCCTTGACTCAAAACTTTGTTCCTCAGCAATTACTAGCCAATGGTTTATTCTTCTTGAAGAATAAAAGAGAACAGATTAGTGGGTTTTATCCAGCCAAAGTATGCGAAGCCATTGGTGATTTTCTCCAAAACCAAAGAAGTGATGAGAATGAAGATGAAGATATGGACAAAATAAGAAACTACCTTATTCAGTTTGAAAAGTTAGATGAAGCTTTGAAACAAGAGGATTGCGGCGAGATTACAGAAGACAAACTTACAGCCATGCCAATCTTCGAGCTATACAAGAAGTTTCTCATAGCAAGTGGACATGGACTGGAATTAACAAAGGCATTGCAGAAACTTCAAGTTCTAGAAGAGAATGAGAGGGCTAAAAGACTTCAAAATATGCCACCAAAACACAGTGATAAATGGGAGAAGTTAACTGAGCTGACATGTTTTACATTCAACTTTGATAACAGTGATTCTGATGAGGATTAAGGATAGAACTACATTTTGTTAAGCACACTTGTATATACGAATGTAACAAATGTAATCAATTTACCTTTTGGGTAATTGTTATTATTGTATGACTTTGATTTTTACAGTTACCCTTTTTGTGCGCGATCCGAGTCAGATTGACTGAGTCATGTCATGACACTGGTGAAAAATAATGATCGGATGATCACCGCTTAAATATGAAAACCCAACAGTTCAAATATAAAAACAGGTATTTAGTACACTAATTAGACAATATAGAGTATAGACCATTGTACTGTTAAGCTTAAAGTCAATTACAAATCAAATCAAGTTAATTTCAAAATCAAAATTTAGATTCCCAGAATGACTCAGACTAAGGAAACACCATTGATATTTGCACCAGAAACATATCAATACGACAAGGGTCATTTGAACGAGCATGAAGTGGCTACCAGTCCAATAGATCAATTCAACGAATGGTTCAAATATGCTTGTGATGAAGTCAAAGATAAGGAAGCGATTATTCCTGAATGCACCACGTTTTCTACTGCTCGCTTACCAAGTGGTCGTATCTCCAGTAGGATCGTTTTATTGAAAGAGTTGGATCACCGTGGATTTATTATCTATTCCAACTGGGATCAGCTGAAGAAAAGCAAGGACCGTGAAACCAATCCATATGCTTCACTTTGCTTCTTCTGGCCACATATTCAGAGACAAGTTCGAGTTGAAGGGTTGATGGAACTGGTTGATAGAGAAACTTCCGAGAGATATTTTGCTACTCGTCCCAGAGGATCAAAAATTGGAGCTTGGGCTTCTCCCCAATCACAACAGTTATCCAGTAGAGACGAATTGGCTGATAAGTATGAATTCTACGAGAACAAATTCAAGGATTTAAACGATGACGAAATCCCTTGTCCCGAATACTGGGGAGGTGTTAGAATCGTTCCATTGGAAGTAGAATTCTGGCAAGGAGGTATGAGTAGATTGCATGACAGAATCACCTTCCTTAGAAACTCAGAATCTGACACCTGGACTCTGGTACGCATATCTCCATAGATAATGATAATGATAATGATGATGAAGAAGAATGAATAAACAATCTATTTGAAAACAATACAATTACAGTTACCCGGTATTTGAAGTGATAACCAGTAGCTTATCTGGATGTGCAACAGATACGTTTCCAACTTGATACTGCACAAACTGCACTTGAAAGTTCTGTCGAGGTACACGACCAGTACCTTAGTAAAACTTTAGTCAAACTCTTTCAATTTGTAATGTTGATGACAATTGACCTGAATATAAATATGTTAAGGTTACACTACCTGCCATTTAAATTATGAGTTTTTGAGTGTTACGTAAAGAACAATCCAATGATTAGGTAAACCGAGTGCTGCAACTTTTGCAATATTTCTTCTTTACAACGACGTAGTATAAGACTATACAACCGAATTACCACAACTATAATAGCTATAATGCTTAAGAATGTAATACCTATGGCCCCTAATAATGTAGTATTGGTTATCTCCTTCATCATCTAAGCAATTTCTTCCAACGACGAAACCCTTCGACCTCCACATTAGCGGCTTTTGTACCATCAAGGCTTAGCGATGCGTTTTGCTTTAATCGTAGTTAGTAATGTGGTTTGTAATTATTAGTGAGCGAAGCCAGTATATATTCTTCGGACGTCGCTCATTTTGATAAACTTACGTATAGGTAAGCTTACGTCAATTGTTATAAGCAATTAATTAATAGTTTTTAAAAAATCAGCGCTATGAAGGTAGCTGTTGTTGTTTACTCCACTTGGGGTCATATCTACTCCCTTGCTGATAAAGTAGTTGAAGGTATTAAGTCCACTGGTGCTGAAGTTGAATTACTTCAAGTGGCTGAAACCTTGTCTGAAGAAGTTTTAACTGCTATGCATGCTCCTCCAAAACGTAAAGATATCCCAGTTCTTAATCCTGAAGAATTGCCAAAGTATGATGCATTCGTCTTTGGTTTCCCAACCAGATTTGGAGCTGGTCCTGCTCAAATATTTGAGTTTTGGGGTCAAACAGGTGGTTTATGGGCCTCCGCTGCATTAGCAGGTAAACCTGCTTCATTCTTTGTTTCCAGTGGTACTCCAGGTGGTGGTCAAGAAGTTACCCTTAGAAATAGTTTATCATTCTTTGCTCATCATGGTATGCCTTACATCCCATTGGGATACAAGGATACTTTTGCTGAAATCACCAACTTGGAAGAAATCCATGGTGGTTCTTCTTGGGGTGCTGGTACTTATGCTGGTAGTGATGGTTCCAGACAACCAACTGAATTGGAATTGACTGTTGCTTACAAGCAAGGTGTTAGTTTCGCAACTCATGCTGTTAAGTTCACTTCGGAACCAGAAAAGAAGTCAGAAACTAACACCGCTACCATTTCAGCTTCAGATTCAACCACTAACATTGCTACAAAGCCAGCTGCAAAGACCACTGAAACTTCTAAGACAGCAAGACAGTCTCAACAAGAGCCCGCTCCAACTGCAACAAAGTCTGAATCCAAATGTTGTGTCATTGTGTGATTCGATATCGTGCTCAATAATAACAATATACTTCACGATGATGTACAGTTTAACTTCTATTCTGTTTCTTTTAACCTTCACACACGCAAGAATCTTTTACTACAATGCATAGATTAGTTAACAACAACTTAATGTAACAATACAACACTAGCTGTAAGCTATCAACAAAAAAGGAATGTTGATTGGGAAATTAGAAAACTAAGTTAGTACCTTGACCAAGAAGATAATACTAATAGTACACTTTTATGCATACAAAATATGAGAAGGCACATTAGAGTTGTTATATTTCACTTATAGTTGCTCTTATTCTTTTTCGCCATATTGGTGTTCTCTTGTCTCAACTCCACTAACACCTTGCGGCTTATGTTATGTTTAATAAGTAACAGTTCACAATGCATTACTTACTTCAAACATGCGGGGCATTGGTCTCGCCAAACAAAGGAGCGAGCCTTGAAGCAGAATGGCTGAGTATATTGCACTATTAAACCACTATCGCAAACCCTTACAAAAACAAGAGGATCCGAACCAAAGAATACCCAAAACAATTAGATCTCTTTATATTAACCATATAACCAGCCATTGAATCTGTTAAAGAGTTTAGTCCATTTATGATTTGATTTCATTGAAACGCTTACTATCAACGAATCAAGAAACAAACAAGGGGACTCTTTTGAAACTTAAAATAAATAGAATATAATGCAATGAATTTCATAGGATTTTCAGTTCCGAAGCCCATTGAACCCCACAATGAAAATTGCATTTCTATGGATTTCTTATTTCAATTCCAAACAAAAAAACAAAATTAGGTTACCCTTGCATGTGACTCTCCTTGGTTTCTACTATAACGTAGAGGAATATTCTTTGAATCCATCGAGCTGGAAGTTATAGGCTGCTTTTTTATTACTAAGTAATATCATTGTGTCTGCAGCTATAACATCTTAATGGGTTACTTAACATTGATTATATAGGACATAGTCCAAATAGTTTACCTTTACCTTAAGTCGGAGAGAAAAAACAAAGGACAAGACCAGCATGCAAAAAGGCGCAAGATAAATTCACTGACTGTTACCAAATCAAGTGCTAAGGATGCAATTGGATGCTCTTGTGTTTTAGGGTTTCGGTGTGCGGGGCTCTTGTAGTCAACTACCGGGATGTCAAGGCAATGCTAAATAGCTATTTATCAAGAAACCTATGTTTTGATTCTTAGATGGATCGGAACGGTATCATTAATGTATGGATTTGTTTGCGTTTGTCTTTGACTACTCGGTAGAACGTGAGCTCTTTCAAAGATTATCAACTTTAAAGGGAGTACCGCGTTCTACTCGTGATGCAGTTGAAGTCAGAAAACAATAAGAATAAAAAAGAATAAAAGCACTACCACTATAAGTTCCATAAAAATAGCTCTAAATACGTGCCTAAGGTGTTTTGCAAACCTTATTAAGGTTCAGTATTCACAAGGAACAAAAGGCTTGATATTAAGCATTTAGAATGTGAAATAGAATCATCAACACCTGGAAACTAAATTTGAGCGTGTTTACACGACCACTGTTCGCTCTATCGTGGAATGTTTAGCTGGGTGCCAAATTAGTATAGACTCATTTTACATGCTCTTCTATTTTGGCTGAAGATGCACCTGATATTTGATGCGAGGCCACCGAAACGTCCCAAAACAGTAATTCATATTCATGGAAGGACGCTGGACGCTTCCACATTGGATAGCCACTCAGCTACAGCCAATAGCAGTACGGACCCATTGTTTATGTTGAGTTCCAAACCACTAAAGGCCAAGACTAAAAAGAAAGCAGTTATTTCAGATGAACAAGTAAATGTTGATAATACAGCTTCTGCAAATGCATCACTGATAGAAGTTATTGATGATAGTGAGGATGATGAGATTTATGGTAGTGCTTCCGTTGAACAGTCAATTTTGATCCAAACATCTCCAACCAAGAACTTTACAGAGTTGAACTACGATCAGCAACATATAGAGGATGCCAATGACGTTTATCATGATTCAGATTATATAGACGTATCAGAGAATGTGGGCCCTCATCTAACGGCATCCGGCCCGGCCAAAACTGTACTTAAACCTGAAACCAGGGTATCCGAGTCTTTAACACTGGCTGATACAAATCGCTTGGAAACTAGACCACAAGGGGAATTGATTTACGAACAGGATCACGAAAACTCCACTCCAGTTAAGGAAAGTAACCTGGAAGAGGTCCAGCCCCAGAGATTCGTCACACTTAGCATCAAAAGCGCACAAAATACTGATACAAAGTCCATATCAAAGCCATTACGACTAAAAGGTAAACCATTAACTCTACTCTTGACCTCTAATGGCGGAATCAAAAGACGGGTTGGATTGTCCAAACGAAGCAACATAGACTCTTTACATCAGTATTTGGATAAGCGGTAACAATAATTATATGATTCAATCATATTTTATAGCATAGAATAGAGTAGTTTCAAAGCTAGAATGATGAGTTTGAACGAATGAAATGATATTCTTCAAGATAGTTCTTCATCATCAACTTGATTTTCATCGTTATCTCCAATGATGCCATCTTCTGCTGCCTTCAGTTCCGCTTGCTGTTTACGTTTCTCCATTTGAGCTAGCCCATCATAAAACAGTCTCCACAAGTCTCCTGGAGGTACTAAAGACCCTTTACCAATGACGGTGCACGCAGAAAGCACACGATTCACGCATTCCAAGTGGTACAAGGACTCATCCAATGACTTAGTGATCTGTTTGAAAAGCAAATCCCTTTGTTGCTCAAAGTATGTAGAGGACATCCTTGAAACTCAGAACTTGATTTAGAACCAGTATCAGAAATAGAATCAGATTTGACAAGGTTGATTGATTAATACTATATATGAGTATTCATGTAAGAGAAAAACACGAATTTGTGTTTGCGGTTCGATTTCCAGTAGCGACGCGAAATCAATATTGTGAGTTAAAATTAATTACGTCAAGCAATTTCTAATAAACTATGTTAAGGCTGATAAGGTAAACATAGCAATCGTTTAAAAACGTTCACGAGATTTTGCTAGCATATTCCAGACTCTCACAGTAATAGTGTCCCAAACCACTTGACTTAAGTGAAACGTTGTGTCGGTTTGCAAGTCTCCAGTTCAAATGAAACACGATTATGCAATTGACCTCAAGCTATAGTTAAGACAAACTGGTAAAAGGTTTGAAACAGTGATTATTACTGCTAAGAAAATTATATTTCATCTAATGTGTGCGTTGAATGATATTTTACAACAAACGTAATCAGATACCAAGAAATTCAAGATTCCGTGTTCATAGCAAATACGATGTGAGCCCCTTGGATAACCAAAAATGGCAAGTCGAAATGAGCTGCGACATCTCAAAAATGATAGGGGGACGCAATACGTCATGGCAAGCTGTAATATCAGAAAGTTATTGTAAAAGTAGTTATTATCGTATATTCGGCTGCGGGTGTTGCCTCTGCTGGTATGGCGTGGTGGGGTCATTCTAACTTTTACACTTACGCAGAAACAACAGATCCTTCTAGGTACAAGGGGCAGTGTTAGGGGTTAGCCTTTCCCTTTCTTCCTTTTTTATATTTAGGAAGAAGGAGCCATCATCCTTGTTTAACTTTGCCATTCTCGCTATCTGGTTCCGTAATGGTGTTTAATATGTGTGATATCATCGCCACCAATACTTTTATCTGATTTAAGAATGTTCTATCGAGGATAATACCGAGGCCAAGTTTGGCCATGACCCTCGGAAGTTACTTGTGAAACAAAAAATATTTTGGGCATCCCAAAAATAGTTGTTACGTTAGTAGACTCTTTTTCTTCAACTACATATCCAGGTATATTTGATTTACTGTGTTATAGAAATCTTTGACCCCACCACAGTAATGTCACTCTAGCCTGGTAGATCAGCAATATTTATTGGTCTATTATGTTAAAGTTCAATCGTTTGGCGACCTTTACGCTAAAATGGTTCTACATTAATAGGCATACTTAGTAGCATTTTTTTTATAGTAAAACTATATTACTTATAAAGACACTTTGTTTAACCTACAAACACATGAACCAAAAAAAATAACCCAATTGACAACTAATAATACATAACGAGGACAGGAGTGGACGTGATTTAAGGAAATCACAATAGAGCTCAAGCTGTTACTTCTTGTCAATGTTTTCCAACACTAAAGCAAACAGAAGCAGGACACTTCTTTGAAGGTTCCTGACCGTTATTCTTCAAACTACACCTTCTCTTGTAGTCTTTTTTCTCATCAAACTTTTCAAACGTTTGATCCGTTTTCTTGTCCTTCTTTCCAAAGAGCGACATTGATAACCTGAGTACCGAACAATAGTAAAATAGAGCACTTAAAAACTTCAATAATTTTTGAAGTTATTTGTTATTTTTATTATAGCAATAACAATAATAATATTCTCAACAAGAGCTTGTTGAATCTTTCTCTTTCTTTCTTTCCTGATAAAATGAGGTACTTATATCTTCAAAGTATGGCAGCGTTGTAGGGGTTGTTACTAATAGCACATGATACCTTTATGACCTGCAAATACTGTAATAGAATACTAAAAAACACAATTAATACCAAACAATTAAAACTAATGTAGAAATATACCAACGAAAAATACCAATAACCAATACTGGTATTTCACAATCTGAAAGGAAAGGTTAAAAGACGAAATTAAATAGAAATGAGAAGGGAATAATCAAGCAACTGATTAAATAATGTAATCCACTCGAATATAATTTCTGGATGGGATATATCTCAAGAGTACTACCAGAACCAACAAAGGCAACGGCAGTAAAACACAAACCACGAGGATTGCAAGCGCACACTAAACCAAGCAGCAAAAAAGCACAAGCTTAAATTAACAACTATCTCTTTTCGATGTTATATCAACTCTCATTCTACTTTTTAAGTAAATTTTAGGGGACTACCAATATTTATACAAAATTACGCTCGAAATACAATTTTCCTATAGCCCTTTTGGGTTTATGGTCCCCAGTACAGGCCTGGAAAAAAAAAACCTCACTGAGACACAACCTCTTCCCAGTCCGTTTGTTTCGGCTTACTTTTGACTTGTTCCTGATTCGGAGTACCACCGTACATACCATACCAAGCGGTGCCGGGGCTGCGAATGAGACGAAAATTTTCACTTTGGAATGACGTAGGGTCGTGTAGGAATCATAATAAAAGTGGTCTTCACTGATGGATAGAGTACAGGTTGACTAATTGGCATTCTACTGGAAAGTATATAGCCGAGGGAAGTCTTCGATATTCCAGGAGGAGTATGAGAACTGGTGATTATATATGTAAGCCAACTAATAATCTTTTACAAACTGTTACAACTTCGATGAACCCAACATACGATTTGTTTGAAATTATTTATCTGGTCGTGTAGAGGTAGTACATCATTACCAGTATTTAATATTTGGTGGTCTACGGCCTCTACATTGTAAAGTTTGACGGGTGGTATAGGCACACCACCAGTATAGCAAAGACGGCATGTGGGAATAGGAGGTAATTAGGGTAAAACCTACACTATTTTGAGCCCACATTGACTTTATATTCTTAGGGTCCATCGAATAGTCAACAATATCTTTTTGTTCCCGGAACCAACCTAAAAACTTGTTCTTGGTCGTGCCGAGTCGATTACATTTCATTCGTCAGTCGAGCTTTTACGAATTCATTTATTCGCTTAACGCGTTTAAAGCATTCTTACAAGACCCATACTCCACTTAATTATTATGTAGCATTCCGTCATATCAAACCTTACAAAATAGCTTCAAACATCTACTCCACCCCCACCACTCTACACGCCTGAATCAAGCAACTTTTTGCGCTGAGGCATTTTTCCTATTTGTCACCGACGGTCGTGGATCTGCCCTTTGGGTTAATAAATTTTTTAGCTGCAACAAAACTTGTTGTCAGTCCACGCCCAAACCGTACAAAATCTTGGAATGGATAATTACTGTTATGGCTCATGTAACGTGACTCAATAGAACTAGGTATCGGTTGACTATCTGGAACAGGTAACTAGTAACATTTACTAAAAAGGAAACTAGTATTGGAGCATAAACGGTAGAATGCGTTTGGTATAACTTCCGGATACCTCCATTACAATTGCTGCCGTCTTATCTCAGTCATAACGGTCTCATCTGAATTCTGTCGCGATAATAATCTGTGCTTTTACCTTGCTTTGCTATCCCCTATGGATCTCGGTTATTTTTTCTTATTTTCTACGACGTAGCACTAATTAGCATTTAACTTATTTAATTACAGCATTATTGTTATTCATCTATTATTATTTCTACTACTATTACGAACCTTATCATCGTACCAATGACGTAACATGGAGACATATCAAAATTTCCTCATACATATTTTATGGGCTAGTGGTTGACCTTTGTTGATTGGAGCTACAATTAGTACCACACCATTAATTGCTCCCCTCTTCCTATATATTATGACAAGTACCACTATCACCACGGAGAGTCGTACTATCATAGTCCCTAAAATGTGGATAAAGAGATATCAGTGTTGCATGTCATTCCTTTTCCAATTATAGATTATACCACATCTGGCATGTCGTAGGACTCTGTCATCGTAGACTGATCTTCTTGATAGGGATTCTCTCAAGTGCGTGCTCACGTGAGCAGGTTTTACCAAAAGTACATCACGTGAAGTTCCCATTTGCTCGACAGGTTGCTTTACCTAAACCATGCCAGATTATTATTGTGAGTATTATTAAATATATGTATGTAAACATACTTATTCCGATATCCCATATTCTTCTTCTTCCTCTTCGTGAGGATACGAAATATCAAACGGATCGATGCCATCTCCTTTTAAATCCTCGGGAAATACATCGAGCCATGCATTCTTCTTGTTAAATTCCTTCTTATTAGCTTCAAGCCATCCATGAATTGTTCCCTTCACTGATTCATATTCAGTATTAGTGATTATCAAGAATATTGCCTTAAGATATGTCACCAAACTTTCAATTCCCTTAAGATACCCCATATCAGGCAATTGTGGATGTTCAGGTGGCACTGTCACATTAATATTATTTGTAAAATCAGCATTACTTTCGTAGGTGACACTTTGTGCAAAATCAATAATCTTTACCTTGATGGGCGATGAGGTTCTATCTTCTATATCGTACCCGGAAACATTCCCATCATACATAAACAAAACCAGTGAACCATATAATCGATATCCACGAAGCTGTGCAAAAATAGCATGTAGTTGTTCCAATTGTTGAACCAATGCAGGGATATGCACTATGATACTCCATTCGCTAAGCCCATCGTAGAGAAATTTGGCCAAAGTACGTGCAAATTGAGACCCTCTTTTCAACCCACGGCCAAAGTATTTGTCTCTTATGAAAAACTCTTTCGTTCCAGCATCCCAACATTGCATCCCACATACTCGTACCCCAAGTTTACGAGAGGTAGTTTGAGCACATTTCCTTCTTTGGGAGGCTTGTTTAGCTGTAGTAGCTTCAATGCCATATTGCCTTGTACCCATTTTCAAATCAAGCACACAGGGATGCTTCATGAGGGAAGTAAGATCCTCAAGAAGAATAAATCTTTCAAATCTAGTATGTTTTACCAATATTGGAGTTGTTGCTGATAACACACTGGCGGTATCTCCATCATCTTTATCTTGAAACACTTCTTCAATTATCTGTGCCTGTAAATCGGTATTAACTGATGTTGAACCAATTGACACCATATCATCCACAGCAGGAGCTTTTGTGAATCCCAAATGATAATCTGGAAGCTCATCTGGGAAGCTATCACTATATTGTCGCCATAACTTATCAGGAATTATATGCTTATTGTCTTCAAAAACAACCGAAATATTCTCTTCTTCTCGATTAACAATATGCCCTATGATATCAACAGGAGAAGCTTCATCATCATCAATGATTCCTCTCCCTCTTAAATTAGATTTGGAATGTTGTCTGCGAAATAGTTTATGAGGAGGTGTTGTTGGGGAAGAACTGATATTATTGGTAATATGCATTCCGATTGGTTTGGTCCCATTCTCTTCAATCATTGATGAATATCTTACATTTAATACTCCAATATATTTTGGCATAAAATTCAATAACTCAACCACTTTTTTCTCAATAGTCTCATACCACAAATTCTCTCTATTAACAAGAGCTTTACAAACTGCTCTTTTGCTGAAGCTGAAAATGGCTGTGTGACCACCAACTTTATTTTTAAAAGGTCGTAATTCAACTGTGAGTGGGAACAGGTTGCGAGATCGGGGAGTTATAGCTCCAGGTGGGCCAAAACTTGACGTTGAAGAGATGGAAGGTGCCACAGATGTAGGCTTTAATGATGCAGAAGAAGACTCAAATCTGGCATTTGGTTCGAGATGCAAATCCAGAGACAGGTTTGTAGCAAATGATGTAGTCCTTTTTGTCAGTTTTTGAATCTTTGTAATGTGAGTTCCAGTGTGATCATATTCAACATGAGCTCGCATATGATGTCTTTCAGTTTGTTCTTCTCCTGTCATAGCTTCCAATTCATTATCTGAAACAGATTGGTTCTTCAACTGAGATGATGATTGAATATCCTGTAAATCAGAGTTACGATCAGTTTCTGGGACAATTATTCCTTCCTGTTGATCTGCTGATTCTACATCTTCAGAATGATGAGATGTACCATGAGGGATATATGTTGCCGAAGATACTGGTTCCAATTCGTTATCATCGATTTCAAGACCCAGAAACAGACTCAACGCTTCTACCTCTTCATTGCTATCTACCAATACGGCTTTTTTATCTTGATCTGTGGATGCAAATGAAGATAGTTCATTGGGTACTGCTGCTGTCTCATCAATTCTAGTACTATTTTTTCGAAACAATCTCAATGATCGAGCGGCTTTTCGACCGCTGACAGCTGACTCCAACTCAATCTTCTCCATTATCTCATGGAATCTCTATTAGTGATCGTGGATGTAATCAGCAGCTATACGCTATGAAGATGAAAGAAATATAAGGGAGACCTATAAACTATCAAAATTGTGGTAGTGTTTCCTCAAGGTATAATGGTTATATCTCAACTCCAGTGTCTCACAAATGTACTGGGTGTATCAGATTAACGATAACGTCAAAGTAATCACTGTTTGATGTAAATGCGAATGTATGAGTGTCGCCACTTTCAACTCTTTTCAAAGCTATGTCGATGTTGAGAGTCGTCGTGCCGTCCACGGAATTGCTTAGTTAAATGTGAGATAAGATATACACACAAGTTCCTAAACGTTATGGAGATGATATGTTTTTCTGTCAAAAACGAGGGTTGGGTTTGTGTAATCTACTACATCACTTCTCGGCGAGCACGAGTTTTTGATTAAGGTGTTGATGAAGGCGGTGGTATTTACAGTTCAATTAATGTCAATTGACATCTGCTTAGCACGTAAAGCAAGTAGTGATGCACCTACAGGTCTCATGTGTTTGTAGCTTACGTGCTTTTATCCATATTCTGTGGTAAAAGTGCATTACGATGTAGTCGAATGTTGTACCATACTAATTAAAACTCTCATTGAATGATAGTAATTGAAGAATTACACTAATAATTATTGCTATTACTCACATTCTACTTTACATTCCATTCGTGTATGTGCCGGTAGCACGTTCTTAGACACTGTCTAACCCAAATCGTTTTTATGAATTAGTTTTGAGTAACGAAATATCATCATGGGACAGACCCTCTTTAATATTTATAGTTATGAGGTCTGCATTAGGGTCAAAGATTGGAAATTATTATATCATCTACTATTACCTAACAAATATAACCATAATCTTATCAATATTATTATATACTGTCATATCAAACACAAAATTTTAAATATATGTTGCATCGGAGATATATTCCATTCAAGGCAATGCTTACTCCGTCAACTACCACTTTACACAGCACACGTTTCGTTTGTATCAAACCACACACACTGTGTTACTCCCCCAGAAACTAATCTCCCTTCGCGCCTGCAAAAGTTTTTCACACACGACCTTTCCATTTGGTGTGTTGATCTCACTCAACGTACAACGCATTCTTTCATAAATACATACTTTGGGACACCATACATACTATGGGATACAATACATACCATTGTTGTTAATAAGTTAATACTGCAACTTATACCACTGCGATAGATTCCAGTAGTAGCTTTTGTATACGCAGTGAGTACCGACTTTTTGGTTATTATTATTGTTGTTTGTTGTCTGTCTATTTTCAGCAAGTTCATGGAATTTTTCAAATCTACTTCTCCTTAAGACGCAGTTGTCATTTTGAACGTCCTACACATTCATTCTGATATATATTCATTTTGATACGTTCATTAACATAATATCCCATGAACCCATTCATATTTATAAGACTGTTCAGGCGAAGACACAAGTTGTCTCTATACACTGCTATAGGAATAATAATTGTGTTGGCATATCTTGGAATTGGATCACTTTTCCTCACATCTGAAGAGGGCCAAACACGTCTAGGATCAACCAAATCATTAATTACCAATCCTGCTGATACTGAAAATTGGTGGGAATGGTTCTCTTTAGGATCATTGGTTCCCCTGTACTTTAAAGAGTCTCCCACATTAATTTCTCCAGCAGTGAGAGGACCTTCCATTAGCATAAACCAACAAATTCTTAAGGAATTAGGTCAAACTCCTCCATTAAAGGAAATGACAAATAAAAGAGCCAAAATAGATTTCATAAAGGCAAATTACTTGAAAACTGATCCAGATTATGAACGTTTAAGAAAAGTTCATTTATTCCATGAAAGCATATTCACAACTCTTGATGAAGGGAAACCTGATATTCCTCCTTTAGATTCCTATGCATCATCTGAGCGTATTTATCATGCTCGGTACAACACCTTGGCTGATGAAAAAAACTCCGAAGATCCAATATTCACTAATGAATATTTAGGAAAGTTTCTTCAATTATCGGATGAAGTAATGGCAGAAATGATAAGATCTCATAAATATGTACGAGATAATTTGCCCAATAAAGCTCCTAAGGGGTTATATGCAAATGATGGGATTGTTTATGTCGGAGGTGGCGGGTTCAATTGGTTGACTTTACTTTCAATCAAATCACTTCGTTCGATGGGTTCAACATTACCAGTGGAAGTGCTTATTCCTAAATTAAATGAATATGAATTGGATTTTTGTGAACGGGTACTTCCTGCTTTCAATGCAAAATGTATATTCCTTCCGCAAAGGCTTTATGATATCGATAGTGAAGAAGAATCAGTTATTAAAAAATTCTCCTTTAAAGGTTATCAATATAAACCTCTTGCCATATTATTATCATCATTTGAAAATGTTCTATTGTTAGATAGTGATAATATTCCTGTTCATTCACCAGATAGATTATTTTCCCTGGAACCTTTCAAATCAAAGGGATTCATTGTGTGGCCTGATTTTTGGCGTAGAGCTACTTCTCCAAGTTTTTATGATATTGCAGGAATGACTGTGTCTCCAAAGCTTTTTAATCAAGAATATGATGAAGTTAAAGGAATTTATAATATTTTTAAGCCTTCTTCATCAGACAAACAGATTCCACTTCATTTATTTAAAGGTACAATTCCAGATCCAACTTCTGAATCCGGACAATTGATGATTTCAAAGAAAACACATATGAAACCATTACTTTTAGCTCTTTACTATAATCTTTATGGACCTTCATATTTCTATCCCTTATTTTCTCAAGGATCCGATGGAGAAGGTGATAAGGAAACATTTTTAGCAGCAACCTTTGTTTTAGGTAAACCATTTTATCAAGTTTCCAAATTTTTGAATGCCATGGGATACATTGATATACGGCAAGACTTTGTTGGAACAGGAATGGGACAATATGACCCCGTTGAAGATTACCTTTCACTCTCTTATAAGAAGAAGAATATTCCAATTCCAACTTCATTAAGAGATATTGGATCTGGTCCAACTATTGAAGAATTCCCCAAGATTCTTTTTGTTCATGCCAATATACCCAAATTAAACCCTTGGACACTTAAAATAAACCGTCAAATCTTTAATGAAAAGGGTGAAAGATTTAGATTGTATGGTACAGGAATGAAATTACGTACAGGGTATGATTTCGAAACTGTTCAATACATTAATATGAAGTTTTTACTATGTGAGTTGCACATTAACTTGGCAACTTTTGAGGACATAGACAGAAAGGAATTGTGTCGAGAAATTGTTACTCATTTGAATTTCCTCAAGTCAACTTCTAATACTCTTGAAAGATGAATGAAGAGGGTAATTATCGTCAAGCATTTATTAGATTATAATAATTAGAATTGCATATACTTAAACTGAAATATGTTTCAAAAGATTACGTAAGCAAATGATTACATAATTTTCTTTGTGTTCTCCGTGTTTGTTGTTCAAACAAATCAAGTAAAACAAATAGACACCACTACATTAACCTTCAAGAAAAGGATTAACCCGGAGACATACAACATCAGCGGAAGTGAGATATTGGTTTTAACTACATAGAATCCAAATACAATGGCAATTCATTTTCTATTTCTACTTTCAAGACAAGGAAAAATCAGACTTAACAAATGGTATCAAACCATATCTCAAAAAGAAAAGACTAAGGTAATGAGAGAACTTACAACACTTATACTTCTGAGAAGACCGAAGATGTGTAACGTGCTTGAATATAAGGATATTAAGGTTGTTTACCGGCGATATGCATCTCTTTTCTTTATTGTTGGATGTGATAGTGACGATAATGAATTACTCAGTTTGGAGATCATTCATAGATTTGTTGAATTGATGGATAAGATGTATGGCAATGTATGTGAATTAGATATCATTTTTGGATTTGAAAAGGCATATCATGTTCTTGATGAGTTGTTATTGGATGGGGTTGTACAGGAGTCTCTGAAGAAGGAAGTATTGAAGAAAGTTGCACAACAAGATGAATTAGAGAACATGGATGAATTTGAGAACATAATGGTATAATAACAGGGTATATATATTTGTATAGATAAGACCCCTATATATTAATATATATGAAAAGATAGATAAACATCAATGTATGTATAGTGACTAAGAATCAGTATAGTGTAGACTGTATACTGGTACAATGCAACAGTCTATTTATATACAGTCCGCTTTTGAGGGCTCATCTCATTAAGTTTTCTGGTTGAATATAAAGTACATTTCATCTCATCCTTACTACTTTCAACACTTATCATTATGTCGTCCGATGAAGAAGACTACGACATTGCCGGCTCATTGGCAGTTAATGCTGAAGATTCTGATTATTCTGATTCTGAGTCCGATAATGACAATCAAGAATTTAAAGACATTATACTGAGTGATAATGAAGAAGAGGAAGAGGAACAAGAACAACCCCAAAAGAAGAAACAAAAGAAAGAAACAAAGACAGCAAAACCCAAGTCTACAGTCAAGCCTGAAGCGTTCCCCAATTTGGAACTCAGTGACGATGAAGAAGACGATAAATCATTCAAGGCCACCACGGACGCATTATTCCTTAATAATCCTGAAGTTAAAAAGGCAAAGAGTGGTACTTTCAAATCCTTTGGACTCTCACAGAACATCCTCAGGAACATTGCCAAAAGAGGATACAAGAACCCTACCCCCATTCAAAGAAAGTCGATTCCATTACTTATGGAAGGTAGAGATGTTGTTGGGATGGCCCGTACCGGTTCTGGTAAAACTGCTGCATTTACATTACCAGTGGTTGATAAATTACGACAACATTCTGCCAAAGTTGGTATTCGTGCATTAATTCTTTCACCCTCAAGAGAATTGGCCTTGCAAACGTATAAACAAGTTAAAGATTTCTCCAAGGGAACAGATTTAAGAAGTGTAGTGTTAATTGGTGGTGATTCTTTAGAAGATCAATTTCAAATGATGATGAATAACCCAGATATTGTGGTTGCTACTCCAGGTAGATTTTTACATTTGAAGGTGGAAATGGAATTAGATTTAAAGACCATTGAATTTGCAGTTTTCGATGAAGCAGATAGATTATTTGAAATGGGGTTTGCTGAACAATTGAATGAATTGATTGCGTCGATGCCAACTTCAAGGCAATCGCTTTTATTTTCCGCAACGTTACCTCGAACTTTAGTTGATTTTGCTAAAGCTGGGTTGGTGAACCCCGTTTTAGTCAGATTAGATGCTGAATCCAAGATTTCAGATGAGTTGGAAATGGCCTTCTTCACCACAAAGAAAAACGAAAGAGAAGCAAACTTGTTATACATTTTACAGAATATGATAAAGGTTCCTATTGCGACCTCTGAAGATCTCAAGAAGTTGAAAGAATTTGATGGAGAAAACGATGACTCTGATCCAGACAACAACGACGATGGCAATGACGATAAGAACAAGAAGACTATGAAAAGAAAAAGATTCACCAAACGTTTCAACTTACCCCCAGCCAACGTTTTACCCTCACCTTATTCTACTATTGTATTTGTCCCCACAAAACATCATGTTGAATACATTACAGCCTTGCTTAAGGACGCTGGGTATTTGGTGTCATATATTTACGGTACGCTTGATCAACACGCCAGAAAAAGTCAGCTTTATCAATTTCGGGCCGGTCTTACCAACGTACTTGTTGTTACCGATGTGGCCGCAAGAGGTATTGATATCCCCGTTTTAGCTTATGTAATCAACTTTTCCCTCCCGGCATCATCCAAGATCTTCATCCATAGAGTTGGTAGAACGGCTAGAGCCGGGAACAAAGGTTGGGCGTATCTGATTGTCAACGAGAAGGAGCTTCCATATCTTTTAGATTTGGAGTTGTTTTTAGGGAAGAAGGTGTTGTTAACTTCTATGCATGAAGCCAAATGTGAACTCTTAAAGGAAAGACAAGGCGATCAATATGTGGAGCCCAAAGTGTCATATACTGACAGATTGGTTTTAGGGTCTGTACCTCGGCTTCAATTAGAGAACTGTCAAGAGCTATACGATAATTTGTTGGCCAATAACTACGAGTTAAGTGTGATCAAGGATGTTTCTTTGAAGGGTGAGAAATTGTATCAAAGAACGAGACAGCCTGCATCTCAAGAGTCCGTCAAAAGGACCAAGGAGTTGATTGGTACGGGGACTTGGGATGAACAACATTTGCTTTTTGGAGCCAACCTTGAAAAGGAGAAGGACAAGTTTTTGGCCAAATTAATGAATAGAAACGTGAAGGAAACGGTGTTTGAATTCAAGCATAAAGGTCGTGAAAGAGAAGAAAATAGTATGGCTGAATTCATGCAACGAAGAAGAAGACAACTTGCACCCATTCAAAGAAAGGCCAAAGAACGTAAGGATTTATTAGATAAAGAAAGACAAGCTGGTTTGGTCCATGGGATTGAAGAAGAAGTACTAAAAGGAGATTCCAGTGAAGTTGGATATTCCACTACTACCAGAGTTGGTGGTGAGAACCTTGATGAAGAAGAATTACAACAGACATTTGAAGATGGTGATAGTGTATTAAACAAGAAGAAGAACAATAACGCTTCTAAGTCGTATAGAGATCCTCAGTTCTACATGAGTCATTATGCTCCTACATCTGTGATTCAAGATCAACAGCTTTCATTGGCTACTTCATTTGCCAATAGTGCGGCATCTGCCACTTTTGATTTAGACAACGATGAGAAGATGAGAGGCAACAAACAAGTCATGCAATGGGATAGAAAGAAGGGTAAATATGTCAATTCTCTTTCCACTGACAAGAAATATATCATCAGTGAAAATGGGCAAAGAATCCCTGCATCTTTCAGATCTGGTAAGTTTGATGATTGGAAGAAGCAAAGAAACTTACAACCAGCTAAGGCTGGATCTTTGGAACCGAACAATGACAAGAATGGTAATAAGAGGTTTAAGCATAAAAAAGTGGATGCTCCAAGATTACCGGATAAGTATAGAGATGATTTCCATAAGCAAAAGAAAAAGGTGGAGAAGGCTCTTGAATCTGGGGTTTCGGTAAAGGGTTACAACAGACCAGGTCAACGACAAGAATTGAAGACCACCGAACAAATCAGAAAGGATAGAGAATTGAAGGAGAAACGTAAAGCAAAGAACGCCAGGCCTTCAAGAAAGAAGAAGTATTAATTACATAGATAAATATTTAATTACAAACGGACTCATATCCATTGATTTATACATAATATACCTATGGAGCCTATTGATTTTCTCAAGGTCTTCTTCCTCTACTGTACGGATGATATCCTTTACTTCTGTTGTAATGACCACCTCTGCCTCTTGAACCACCTGATGGTCCAGAAGGTGGAGCTCTTCTGGGACCCTTTGGCAAATTCAACCGTCTTGGCTCTTGGAAATCTCTATTTCCACTACGACGAGAATCAACATCGGCATCTCCTCCATCTGGTTGCTGTTGTTGTTTTTGTTCATTTTCCGATTGCTTGGCTGCTTGTTGTTGAGGATTCAAAGGTGCAGCTTCTCCGGACCCAGTGGTTTGCAGTGGCAGTTGTGGTTGGCCATCTTGTGGTTGACCACCGGCTGCGGCTACTGCTTGTTGATACATATACCATTGTTGCATTCTTTGCCAATAAGCTTGCATTTCTGGTGTCATGTTTTGTCCATAAGCAGCCATCCCTTGTGGATAACTGCCTTGTCCATATTGACCACCATATCCTCCTGCTGCTGCCGCTGCTCCATAAGCAGCATACAGTTGAGCTTGTTGGGCTTGTTGGGCTTGTTGCATTTGATTTTGTTGATGTTGACCTCTGGGTTCAGCTCTCTTAACTTCCATGGCTTTTCCCTTTAAATTCAAATACTTGTTAACGGTAACTCTATCTACGGCAGCTGGAGAATCATATGTAATAAAACCAAACCCTCTTGATCTACCAGTATCTTTATCTATCATTAATTGGGCATCAATGATGCTTCCAAATTGTGAAAAGAATTCATTGAACTCTTGTTCAGTAACCATTGGATCAATACCACCTACAAAGATCTTACCGACTTTGTCTTGTTCTTCTCTTGCAATGGCTCTTTTAGGGTCAATCAATTTCCCATCAAGAACATGTGTTTCAGCTATCACTTTATCAACTGAGCCAGGCTCTCTAAATGTTAAAAATCCAAACCCTCTTGATCTACCAGTACTTGCATCTCTCATAATAGTATGATCCAATACTTCACCAAACTTGGAAAAATATTCAACCAATCCTTGTTCCGTAGTATCCCAATTAAGACCACCAATAAACATTTTACCAGATTCTTTACCCATGTTTGATGGAGGCATAACTGATGGAGGTGGTGGTGGAGCGTTACCAGGATCTTGAGGCATTGGAGGCATTCCAGGTAATGATGCAGCACCACCTGTACCACCACCTCCTCCTTGAAACATTGATTGCTGTTGTTGTTGGAATTGTTGAAATTGTTGGAACGATAATTGCATTTCTGGAGTCATTTGCATGAATTGACCAGCTTGCAGAGAATCCATGCTACCACCTGGTGGAGGTAAACCTCCAGAAGCAGATTGTGGAGTACCAGCACCCATTGAATTAGGAGTACCTGGTAAGAAAGCAGCAGTAGCATTGGAATTGGAAAAGGTGTTTTCCCCCGAACCTTCTGGGGCAGCATTGCTACCATTATTTGACCCTTCCGAGACAGTAGGATTGGAAGTAGAGGAAGTTTCAGGACCAGCAGTACCAGCAGTATCGACAGCAGCACCAGCAGCACCAGCAGCTTTAGAATCAGTAGCAGTAGTAGTAGTGGTTTTAGTAGATCCACTAGCCAGGGACTCTGATTCATTTACAGGTTGTTTGGACTCTGTATTCGCATTAGTATCATCATCATAAAGGTCATCGAAGAGAGCCTCATCGTCGTCGTACGAAGACATGATCTTATATAGAAAAGACTAAACTATTTTAGTACAGTTAGGTTACCCAAATGTATGGAACAACACACTGTTAGGAAGTAAGGTGATTTTCTATTGAAGTTATGTGAATACGGAAATGTATAACTAACTAAACAAAGTTATGTATATTTTCGACACTTAATCTGTTAGGGTGGACAAACACAAATATAACAAGCAGAAAAAGGAATGAAAGAACCCAAAGACTTTCTTTCAAAATTATTACACCCTTCAATTGTCGCCTAATCAACAACTACTTATTGGAGTTCAGATAATAAACAACTATGTGGTGGCTGTCATTAATTACAAGTGGTAAATTTTGTTCGATGTATCAAATTTGTTCCGTTGCCGCTGTCCGTACGTCCGGGTAACCTTTTCGCGAAAATGGTCGTGCAAAGAATAATACCTTTCATATATAATCTACTATCTGTCCGGTGTAAAATTAGATTAGCATACTCTGACCATAATTGTAATTACAAATATCTCATTTTAAGGCTGGGGAGAATAATAGGATATTATGTTGGAAACAACCAAATGAGGTTGCTATGTAAAAAAAAAAAAGAATTAAAAAAAAGGAAGAATTGCGTCCTTCACTGGAACATTGTCTCCGACAAGGTCTTGTGGATTATGTAATTCACTAAAAATAAGTTTAGAGATTGCAAATATTTATTTCCATAACTTGAAGCTCAACTACAGTAATTGTGGTTTGCATATCTAAACTAATGTCTTTGTGAATCTTCACGTCATTGGGTAGGAGGGGCCATACATTACTATGAAGGTGTGGGAGTTGCAAGGTGGTTTCATAAAACAAGTAATAGTTCTTATGTAAGGATTGCAATTTTATGATAACGTCCAAGTATACGGAAAAAAGTACTGCTCTAATTAACACACAATTTTCTATATACAACTAAGGTCTTCCATTATTTCTAGATACTAGTTGTATATATACCAGTTAAAGAGTATACCAATTCACTATATATGGTAGCGCGGCATGATTTTTTAATCAAGTTATGCGATGACTTGAGCCAACTCATCTTCTAACATTACTATTATACTCATTAATATCATCATTGAGTTTCTTACAACATGAAGGATTATTTGATATATTTTGCTCAGGCATATCCGAATTTCCGTCGAGCGGAGTTAGAATCGTTAGCAGATCTTTACAATATTCCATTAGATCTCTCTCATCACGATGAAGCTTCACCATTCATTATTGTTCAACTTGAGAATGATCATCAAGCCAAACAGCTTCTCGCCCGTTCGATCCTCAGCAGAGGTATATATGAGCTCTATGGTCAAGGTGAGAGCATAGATAAAATCCATGAACAAATCAAAGCTCTGAATGAGAAGCTTGATGCTATTAGACACTGGAATCAAGCATCCTTTAAATTCGATTTCATAGGCTACATGGGAGGACGCAGCAACACCACCAAAGTTGATATCATCAACCTGTTCAGATATTTGCCATTAGAAGGTAAAATCCAAATGAAAAACCCGGATCAAGTATTCACAGTCTTAGAAGAGTATGTGAGAGAAGAAGAACTGAAACAAACCATTCCTGTTACTGTGTGGTTTGGTAGGCAAATACAATTGAGTGCTAGGGTTAATAATATCCTTGATAAATATGATTTGAAACAAAGAAAATACATTGGTACCACGTCTTTTGAAGCGGAACTTTCCTTAGTCACTTGTAATATAGGACAAGTTGCACCAGGAAAGCTTGTATATGATCCGTTTGCAGGTACTGGGTCATTTCTCGTTGCTGCTGCTGAGTTTGGGGGGTACCCCTTAGGTTCGGATATAGACATCCGTATACTTAGAGGCAATGGTAAGGATCGTGACATCCGAGCTAATTTCAACCAATATAATACGCTGTCACAGTTTGTGGATGTACTTACAATGGACTTTACTCATTCGGCACTTAGAAACGACATTGGTATACAATGTATTGTATGTGATCCACCATATGGAGTTCGCGAAGGTTTAAAGGTATGTGGAGCCAAAGACCCTGAAAGAGCAGCAGGAAGAGAAAAGATAGTTATTGATGGAGAATTGGCTCATCTTAAACGAGATTTCATTCAGCCAAAGAAACCTTATGATTTGGCCAACTTATTGGCTGATTTGCTTGAATTTTCAGCAAACACTCTTCCAATTGGAGGTAGGTTGGCGTTCTGGATGCCCACAGCCAATGATGACTTTGAGCCTCATCTTGTACCTCAACATCAACAGTTACGATTAGTGTACAATCTAGAACAAGAATTCAACAAATGGTCTCGTCGATTATTAGTGTATACGAAGGAAGACTCGGAATATGAAGGCGTCACATCGAATGGGCTTAAAATGCATAATATCCGAAACTTTAGAGAACGGTATTTCCATAGTTTCAGTGATGATAGTAGATAATAATATTACGTAATAGACAATGTAATACAACAACATGGATGGAATGGAATGGAATGATCGGCCTGCAAGACACCCCAACACCATCACCACAACAACGTCTGTACGGATTAAGTTGCTCAAGGTATGGACCTTTATTAACATAATTGCTATCACCAAACACGACCAGGGTACCTTTTGGATTCTTAAGCGTATTGATCGTGCGTTAACCAGATGTAGTATTCAGTTACAGGGACTTGCAGTGCGAGATTAGAAAAAGATAAAGGCACATTTTGCACCCAGTAATGACTATCAAATCACCTACGGCTATTTTGTTGGGGTACGAGAGACTTAGTAAGGAGAGAGGATCACAAATAGAGTGGACGTTCAAGTGCATACTAGTGGGGGGTAAATCAATTAAAAATTAAAGGAGGCGAGAAAAGGAGTCAAAAGTCACTTGCCGTCGCTCATATATAAAGGGATCTAATTAACTTTATTTAATTTAGAATAATTTTTCTACTACCATCAATAATTATATTATTTCAATAACTTGCTTTAAAAATGGCTCCTCCTCCACCAACTCTTACTCAAACTGAAACTGTTGCATCTCAAGGGTTCACCCTTCTGGTTTCCGGTACTCCTCAAATCAACATGCAAGCATCTGCTGGTGTAACCAACAGTGCTGATGTTCATTTTGCTGATTGGAATTCCTTCAAGTTTGCTCCTATTAGAGAATCTGTTGTTTCCAGAGCCATGACTAAAAGATACTTTGCTGACATGGACAAATACGCTGAGTCTGATGTTGTTATCATTGGTGGTGGATCTGCTGGATTGTCTGCTGCTTATACTTTAGCCAAGTCTAGACCTGACTTGAAGATTGCCATTGTTGAAGCATCTGTTGCCCCAGGTGGTGGATGTTGGTTAGGTGGACAATTGTTTTCCGCTATGGTTGTTAGAAAGCCCGGTAACGACTTTTTGGATGAAATTGATGTTCCTTATGAAGATGAAGGTGATTATGTCGTTGTCAGACATGCAGCTTTATTCATGTCTACATTGATGTCCAAAGTATTATCCTTCCCTAACGTTAAGTTGTTCAATGCTACTACTGCTGAAGATTTAATTACTAGAAGAGATGAAACAACTGGACAATTAAGAATTGCTGGTGTGGTTACCAACTGGACTTTGGTTGCTTTAAATCACCACACTCAATGTTGTATGGATCCTAATGTCATCAATGCCAACATTGTTATTTCCACTTCTGGTCACGATGGTTTAGGATTCCCAGCTACCTCTGCTCATGTTCTTGAAAAGGTTGTTGATCCAGCCACTGACTCCATTGTCAAGTTCGACTCTTTAACTCACGACACTCAAGAAGAAAAGGTTACAGGTAACAGTTTGAAATTAGGTGGTATGAGAGGTTTGGATATGAACAGAGCTGAAGATTCTATTGTCAAGGGTACCAGAGAAGTTATTCCTGGTTTAATCATTGGTGGTATGGAATTGGCTGAATTGGATGGTTCAAACAGAATGGGTCCAACTTTCGGTGCTATGCTTTTATCAGGTGTTAAGGCTGCTGAATCTGCTTTACATGCTTATGAATTGAGAAAGAAGGAAAACGCCTTGTCTAATTAAGTAGTTTGTATCCAATTTTTGTATGTATGGCAATAACATAATTTGACTATGAATAGGGAACATTACACACAAAAGACCACAATATATTTACCCTATACAATATCTTATCGGAATAAAGTGAACTATTCCACCGTATCAGAGGGCTATATCACATTACATTACAGCCTGTATTATCACCTTTCACCATATAGGTTCTTAGACGGCTGCTTATTGCAGTAACGAATAATATGGTAGCGCCGAGTCTTACTTGAGCTCATGTCGCACTGGGACTTTGTGTGACCTTCCTTCAATAAGTGATGAAAAATCAACCTTCAAACTCCACTACAACCATCATCATAACATCGACCAACACTACAATGGCTGAATTCTTGAAGTATGTGACACGTAATATTATGACTGCTTGATCCAAGTACTAACGAATGAGTCTAGACCCAAGAACACAAACCCTCGGGGAATCCCGGAAGCTCCCTTCATAGAGAAAGTTGACCAGATAATTAAAGATGGTGATAGCGATTTTGAACCATTAATGTCAGCGTTTCAAGAACGTCTACAACAATACAAATATATGGAATTATCCAAGCAACAGCAATTGGCGGATTTGAATGTGAAGATCCCCGACATTGAAAAGAATTTGGACATAATCGAATATTTAAAGCTAAAAAAGGATTCAGTTGATAATGATGATGGCGATGATAATAATATTATAGAGACTAACTATGAGCTCAATGATACCTTATATACTCGTGCTAGTATAAATGTTAACGATACTAACAGTGTATACCTTTGGTTGGGGGCACAGGTGATGTTGGAGTATCCTTTGGACGAAGCTGTTGAGTTACTTAAGAGTCGTTTGGAGAAAAACCAGCAACAGTTGACCAACGTTAAGGAAGACTTACAATTCTTAAAGGAAAACATCACCACTATGGAAGTCAATACTGCCAGATTGTATAATTGGGATGTGGAAAGAAGAAAGAAAGCAAAGGCTTCATCTGCTCCTCCAACAGTTAAAGCTTCATAGATAATACAATGCATCTGAATTAAGATCTATCCAGTAGTCTTATTGTCCTCTAAGAGTATCAAGGAATTGATTTCCTAAAGGTCTTATGGGTGTTTCAGCCCGGATTTGCAGAGCACGTTGTCTTTCTTCATCGAAGTCATCATCTAAATCATTCCCATCTTCGTCACCCCCGTTATCACTAGCTTCATCATCACCATCACCACCAGATACATTTGATCCTGTAGCTGCAATTCTAGAGGACTGATTACCAGCAGGAGATATACTACCACCAGCTCCCAATGTGGACACTTGTTGGTAACCACCCATTCTTCTACTTCTGCGTCGTATGTTTCTGGTGCCATTTAACACATTGGTGATTAGTTTTATAGGATTAACAAATAATTCAAATACCAACGATGGTAAGAGCCAATTCTTCGAACCAGGAAGAATATCTTGAGTGTGTAGCTTGCCTATAACAAGTCCAACAACACATGGGATCACTGATTGGAATCCATTGTTTAAAAAGAGTAAAGTATAAATCACGTGGATATGGAATTGATTTGTTAGGGTGATTTGTTTGGTTTTAGACATGGTGGGGACAGCATTACCATCATCGTTTAAATCAACTTCATTATCGGTTGTGGTACTTTCTATGTTTCCAGTAGCCTTTCTCGGTAACGAGAAGAGGATCTGGAAATAATACGAGATAGGAACAAACTTCCCATATGTCACATATAATGATGAAACAATCCCTAAAGGGCCAGGTGCAACTTGATTGAAGGTTGTAGGAGTATAATATGCATTATCATCAAGATTTGAACTCCATACTTTGTGGATCAAATATTTGACTCCATAAATCAGCAACTGTCCAACAGTCATCACTGTGAAGTTAAGTAACGCATTGTAAAACCAGAATAAACCTATTAAGGATAAATACTTTCGAGATCCATAGAACCTTTCTAAACTCTTAAACGTAAACCAAACAACTAATACAACAACAAGATCACTTTCATTGATAACTGCCAATTGATACACTAACAATCTCCAGTATTGGTTGTATACCACAATCAATGGATCTAGTGCCAATATCACATAAGGTTTCAGCTCGGTAATAGAAAGAAGTACGGCTGCTATAATGGTCACAACACATATGGACTTAGAAACAGGGGTATTCAGAAACCCTCTTATGGGAGTCAATTGAGCCATGATTTAGTAAAAGTCTGTAAATGTGGATTTTTAGAGTGGCACAATCACTTAACCCCACATTTCCTGAGTTATTAGTAGTGATAGTTATGTTGTTTGCCTTCGGGATAGATAATGTTTAGTTGATGATATTCTAGGGCTATATCCCTAGAAGCACGTGATTATCACACGAATCTATTTATTGTCGCATTTTCTGTATACGGCAATTGGTGTCCATCAGTTTCGCACCACACCATAACTTTGGACGAATCTTCTCTTCTCGAAAAATTTTCACCAATTACTTTATAAGATTGAAAATTTCCACATTAAATTATTACCCCATCACTCTTCTTGTTTAGTATCGCCAGACAATTTATTAAAAATGGGTAGAGATCACAGCACCAAGCAACACGCTAGAGTTTCTCACAGAACTGCTCCAAAGTCTGACAACGTCTACTTGAAGACTTTGGTCAAGTTGTACGCTTTCTTAGCTCGTATGTATTATTGAATTGATTGACTCAAGCTTAATAGATACTCCTTATTATGGTGTATGTTTTAAGTTGGGGTTAACTGTTAGATGAAGAAGACAATCAAAAGATGCACTCATGATACTCATGAGATATTGTGGAAGTGGATGAGCTATCAAGTTGATATCTTAATTTGCTTTCCACAAATATATTAATTGCCAGACGATTATTGAATGATTGTGATTGATTTGAATGGATATATCATACTAAACCATTTGGTGTCCTCGGCTCTGTTGTCGAGAATGGTCTCTGGAGATAGAGACAAGACTTTCTTGCGGACTATGGAGGTTGCTACTTTGTGTTAATCAGAGTAGTTTTGAGGAAGCCATTTAGGTGAATGATAATTGCATTTGAATAACCATTATCTAGTAAATGATTTGATTCTTTGCCAGATAGCAAGACAGAGTTGAAGTAACTCAACTTTGTATTGTTTGAGGAAAGATATATCTGCAAGTACATAAACATCAAGAACAGATGAGTGTTTATTGTGCGTCCCCTTCGAGCAGAATCCTGGAAACCTTTTTAAAATACTAACATTATTTTAGGTCGTACTGAAGCTCCATTCAACAAGGTTATCTTGAGATCTTTGTTCTTGTCTAAGATCAACAGACCTCCAGTTTCTGTTTCCAGAATTGCCCGTGCTTTGAAGCAAAAGGGTTCTGCTGAAAAGACCATTGTTGTTGTTGGTACCGTTACCGATGACAACAGATTATTGGCTTTCCCTAAGGCTACTGTCGCTGCTTTGAGATTCACTGCTGGTGCTAAGGCTACCATCTTGAAGGCTGGTGGTGAAGTTATCACTTTGGATCAATTGGCTTTGAGAGCTCCTAAGGGTCAAAACACCTTGATTGTTAGAGGTCCAAGAAACGCCAGAGAAGCTGTTAGACACTTTGGTATGGGTCCTCACAAGAACAAGGCTCCAAGAATCATGTCTAAGGGTAGAAAGTTCGAAAGAGCTAGAGGTAGACGGAGATCTAGAGGTTTCAAGGTTTAAATTGGTTAATTTAAACTTTGATATCTTTGGGTTAACAGTTACTCTATTTTGTAATATAGCATATGGAATAAATGATGATTATATTATATTAAGTAAGCATTTATGGGTTTTAATTAATACGATTAGTTGTAATCACTATAGTAGATCGATTGGGACACGACCTAAAATTGGCAAGGCAATTTAACGTAAGCCATAATAATATAAAGCGTAGATTATGTACTAAGCAACTTGGCACCATTGTTTACTGCAACGTAAAAGTGTTAGCTATTGTGTTTGTTCTATGATCAATGTAACAGCGTTAGATGTGTACCGTCCGTGCTGATCGTCACGTGATCTGTGACTGCTTTTTCCAAGTTTGGGGTAATTCTCATACCAGCAACTGTACATCTCATCATGTCTTGAGACCTTGTTATCTGCAGTGCCAAACGCTTATAGATCAAAAGTCGCGCACTCACAAACAAATGTCGCACTCAACCACAGAAGACCGCACCGCGACACAGTGAAGTGATGGAGGGTGATCCGGTACACAGCGTATGTGAGAAATTTTTTCGTCTTGGGTTTGGTGAAAAGTTATACCACAAGATATTACTGACCTTAGGTCTTTTGCTTTATACCCATATTATAGCACAGTAACGATAGACAAGATGCCAGGTGTTTCCGTTAGGTATGTGGATTAATGAAGACCTGCAACAGAGAGCGAATAGATCAACGAATGAGTGAATTAATACGTACCATGTTGATGATGCCAACGATCAACCAATTTTTCACTCCCATTAGAAAGATGAACAGCGTTTGAACCAAATTTGATCAAGATGAAGTCCATCCCTAAGGACTCGAGTAAACCATGACATCCATTCCACCGATGATACCGTAAAGTGTACAGTGAAATACAACTAGCTTTATGTCAAGATTTGATATACGACCCACTATAATCATTCGTTTAATGTTGTTCCTCTGCCATGCCTTTTCCATTCACTAATACTAACATTAATTCTAGAGACGTTCCAGCTCAAGACTTCATCAACGCTTACGCACAATTCTTGCAACGTCAAGGTAAGTTGGAAGTTCCCGGTTACGTTGACATTGTCAAGACTTCTGCCGGTAACGACTTGCCTCCTCAAGAATCTGAAACTTGGTTCTACAAGAGAGCTGCTTCTGTCGCCAGACACATTTACTTGAGAAAGCAAGTTGGTGTTGGTGCTTTGAACAAGTTATACGGTGGTGCCATCAACAGAGGCTTCAGACCTCACAAGCACGTTGACGCTTCTGGTTCTATCAACAGAAGAGTTGTCCAAGCTTTGGAAAAGATTGGTGTTCTTGAAATCTCCTCAAAGGGTGGTAGAAGAATCTCTGAAAATGGTCAAAGAGATTTGGATCGTATTGCTGCACAAACCTTGGAAGATGAAGAATAGATGATCTTTGTAACATATAATATTCCTTATATCTTTAATATATAAAATTAAAAGCATTATATTTGAATGGTGATTAAGTTGTGTAGTTGTGAAGCTGAGGCTGCTGGTATACTTAATGGGAATGGTAGTGCGTGAAACAATATGGCAGGGTTATGCTAACATAATAGTGGAAATGGTGGTCATACTAGTGTAAATAAAATGCATTATATAGTTTGGTTAAGCAGGGTGATCTAAATAGATCAAGCATAACCGTCTACAGTCAAACGTTTAATATGTATATTGTATTATTTCTACAGGAGAATAATTACCATAAAAGCAGTATTAGAACCACGAGACTCCTGAGTCGTGTATGTACCAAATATGCAAGTTCAAAAGTAGTATAAACTTATTTGAAACTTAATAGTTTCTTAATAATTCTAATACCTTCTTTCTCCTTAAGTAAATTATTTGAGTTATTTGGTAACCCAATCCAACCAGACGGTATATCTTGAGGTAAATTATTAGCCCATTGGGAATAAGTATTAACACTAATCCCACCTTCAGGTTTTGTTAATGTAATTTCATTGGAATCGACCAAACTAAAGTTTAAATCAAATGATTGCAAGCAAAACAATTGCTTAGCCAAACTAATAAAATACTTTTTATCTTCTTCGATATCAATTTTACTTCCATAAGTAATCTCTCCAATCATATAGCATATTTCTTTCCAAGGGATTAATTCAGGATTAATATTAGTGGCAGTACTAGTTGAGGTATTTGCAGCGAATATCTGAGATACAATTCTTATTCCACTTTGCAAATCCACTTCATTGATGTTATACGGTTTGGTGAATGAAATTGGAGCATACTTCATTCTCTCTTGGATAAGACTATGATACCAAATTAATAGGAAACAAACATGAATGAATTCTTTTGGATGTTGACTGATTAAATCACTTGGTATTAATTTCAAACCTTCGATAACATTCCCTCCAAGACTTGGTTGACTCTCAAGTACTAAGACATTCAGGTTACTAATTAACCATTCTGGAACTTGTGAAGTGGTACAGCAAGTTAAAAACAACTTAAAGTTCTGTTGGCGTTTCAGAACTTGAAAGAAATCATTGGTGGTTATCTTATTCGATAATTCAGCTACCCAATTGGGTGACATTTGAATATTCTGAATAATAAGCCAATTACCACTGGTCATAGCAGATGCCAACTCCTTATTGGCACTATCAATGCCTTCCGTGGATCCTAAAGATACAATGGTCACCTTCTGTTGCTCATCTCTAGCAATTTGCTCGATCCTATATGTTGCATCGTATCCCTCAGGATATGCTAATATATACGGTCTTTGACTGTCTTCCAACTTGACAAGATCATTCAAATCATATTCACCAGTGTAATTACCTTGAGCCCCAAATAGGAAAGAGCTGACTTCAGGTATGGTTTCAATAAACTTAATGGCCCTCTCTTGATGGCTATGATTTAAAAGTTGTAAAAAGCTTCCCATAACTTGTAAAGTAAGGTTATTAGGATTAGCTTCTTTTATCTTTGGCAACTGGCCAATAAGGTTAGGTTCTTGCTTGTCGTAGTCAACTAGCATCTTATCAAATGCCCTGGAAATGATTCCATGAACCTTATCATCTTCATCTGACAAAAGCCCTTCGAGTATAATCTTAAACACATCCTTAACTTGAATGCCAATCTCCAAACTATAATACTCTATGGCCATCGCAATTGCAAATAAAGGCTTATCAATGTTCATTAATTGACAACCAACCCTAGAAAATATTTCCTTGTAGTAGCTCTTGTTAAGACTGGTGATGTCCAGCACTTGTTGCTTATTATTCTCAAGCACTGCTTCGTAAATAGTGATGTACTTTTGGTATGAAACCAAATAGAAGGGGTTCAACAAAGCCAAACGACTTAATAAGTCATATATAGTGGACGAATGTTTTGCTACTTCGCTATAAGTGTTTCTTACACCTTCAACAGTCTCCATAACCACGCTTGTTTCCAATATCTTACTGTCGATTTCAGTTGATTCTTGCTTCAACTTCTCTAACGATTCAATGATGTCATCGTTCTCCAAAAGCTTACCTGATGAACCACTCAACGAAGTCAAAAGCTCTTGTTCTAGCCTATGCAATTGAGCCTGATAAGCATTCAGGGACTTAATGAGTTCAAGTCTCGACTTTTCAATCTCTGGCTTGACTTTCTGAAGAGTAATACTAAGTATTTGGGTTTCAAGACTTCCTCTGGTAACACTATAGTTAACAGAAGTGGTCCACGAAGACACAAATTCAGATATTGGAATCGAACTCTCTTTGGTATGCAAAAACAACTTGAATTCAGCCGAATAATCAATCAAATCGTCCCCTAACTCAACCATAGCTCTGCCACCATTCCTATGGATCTCTTTCTTAAGTATGGTATTCAATATTGGATCGTATAAGTGCGCATCTTTGATCAAGATCGAGCCACCAAACCTTAAGGCATTCTCCACCTTCTTAATATACCCTTCTTCATTAAAACTGGTAGTAACTAAGTTCTTGGGTGCAACCAAATACCCAAGAGTATCCACCACCTTGGAATTAGGATCAACTATGGCTATACAATCTGAATGTGACATTATAACAAAGTTATCAATACTCAAAGTATCATTGGGTATAGTCTGATTATCTTCCCAGGCGAAAATATCTGTTTTCTTTGCCAAATACGTAGCAGGCATAAACGATTCGTCAAACCCAATCCCTGCTAATTTAAGGTACTTCTTCCAAGATGATAACATGGTTTCACGTAATTGCAGATCGTATAAGCCGAAGTATGTCAACATGGCTCCAGAAAGCATAGCATTGCCAATCAAATTATCCCGTTGAGGTTTAAACTTCGCAATACTTTCCTTCCAACGTTGACGTTCACTAGTCAAACTATCAATAAGCTTCATACTTCTTGAAACACGATTCTCAACGGATTTCATTTCTGATTTGATAATTTCAGACTCTCGGATCACTTCACTATAACTATCTTTATATTGATCAATGCTTTGTTCAAGTTCCTTGATCATTTGATCGATTGCTATCAACTGAGCCTTTGTGGTAGTGATTTCACGTTCTAATTCAACCACTTCTTGCTTCAACGGTCCAATTTTTTCCAAGATACTTGAAAACTCCAAATGAGCACGTATCCATAAAAGTAATGGACCACAGGCTTTACTTGCTCTATTGACAACTTCGTAAATAAAATCGTCTCGTGATAAGTAATGCTTCTCCATATAAGTTCTTAATGAAGGCGTTATCTGGGTTTCGTTATCAAATGAAACAATATTGGCAATAAAATCATCTCTTCGAACAACTTGTTGAACATCTCTCCACGACAGTACTTCATAGCCAAGTAAAATGCATACTGCTTCCATAGTCATCTTGACAGCTGCGGGAGGGTTTATCATGCTTCTTATTTCAGTTAAATGTTGCTTCTTGATGTTCTGGACTCCTCTTTGAGCCTCAAGAACTGCTGGTTCTGCATGCTCAAGATCTTTCATGACTCTTTGTTTTCTAAGTTGTATCTCCACATCCTTTTTGGCAAGCTCTTCTTGGGTAGATAACGAAAACTCTTGTTTCCGTTCTGCTTCATTTTGGTCAGTGATCATTTTAGTTAACATTTTCTTTGCATCAAGGTCCTTAGATTCCAAGTATTTCTGTTTAGTTTGCAAATCTGCTTTTAAGGTGTTCACTTCTATCACTGTTTCTCTCAATTTGTTGAGTCCATTGTTAATGTGTCTGTATCTGTTTTCCAACTCATCTAGCTTTTGAAAAAATGTCGTAGTAACATTATCTATAAAGGTGATAAACTTCCTTGGAGTATTAACCGTAGACCCACTGGAAGATTTGTGGATATGAATTAAACATTCAACAATCACATCCTTCAAATTGACCATTTGATATTCATTTAAACCCACGAATGTCTCTGGTTTCACATACGTTGAAAGGTCCAATGGTACATCTTCAATACTGGAAGTTGCAACATCGATTAACGTCTTATCAGACCAATTCCCCATCCAACTTAAAACGCATCTGTTAAATAATGCTCTAGAAGAGATGATAGTGGAATGGGATGATCTCTCTGTCTCACTAATAGTGAATACGACGTGTAAATTGCTTGAAATCTGTTTACTGAACCAAGATAGAACCTCATCATCAGAGTCCAATAAGTAACCCTGTAATTGAGCTTGTTCCACACAAATATTCAACAAATTAGTCAATTCTTCTCCCTCAAATAGCCCAGGTACCTCGGCATTGGCTAACAATGAGTTCATTCTTTCAATGAATGCACTGTCTAAGATATTTGCTTCGTCAATAATGAAACAAATCTTTTCCCCTTTGGCACAAGATAAAAGAATGGCTCTTAAATTCTGATCAAAGTCGTCGATTCCATAATTGCTTTTAACTTTCAATTCAAATACTTTTAATCCATTGATCCACGCTACAAACTTGGTCAATGTGCTTCTACCACTGGCACAGGGCCCCACAAGAATCATATGTCCCAGAGATTGCTTGAGTACTCTATCAATTCTCAAGGTGTGATCCAAGAGATCATCGTGTAAAATGAGCTTGGTTTCTATTTCTTCTTCGCTGAAAACTCTTAGTCTCTCACTTACGAAGGATTTGATTTCACCGACATTCACAGATTCATATACCAGAGAGAGCCAATCAGAATAAAGCACTGGTTCATTAAAAACATCTTGTAGTGAAAAATTGGGGAAATGAGTACCAGCTACGGCTTCAAACTTTTCTTTAGCCCAAGCCCTTTCGCTTTCTTCGACCAATCTGTCACCGAATAAGCGAATCCCCTCGTGATACCACAATCTTAGAAGTTTAGACAAGTCTCTATATTCATTATCTTTAATAGGGCCATATATCCCTCTTGTCCATCGAGTTAATTCTCTAGGAGAATAAACATAATGACTTCTGAGTCCAGTGAAATGATCTTTATTGGCATGATAAATATCCAACATTGCATTCGTTAAACTTGAAGTAAACCCTCTTAAATCAGGCACGCATTTCAACAATGCTGTATTCATAGTATTGTAAATTTGATGCAATGATTTATCTCCTGGATAATCTACCATTACCAAAGAAGTATGTCTGAGGAATCGTTCGCTTAATGGACTTCTTCCTGGATCTGTTGAAGGGTTACATGCTCCAACAAACTGAATGTTCCCAAGCTTAATCCATTGCTTGTCTTTGATTCTCCAGAACCCTCTCTGCTCTATCATTTGTCTCATGAATGATATAACCTTTTGAGTTCCATAGTTATCTGGTGCTGGTAAATTGATCTCATCACAAAATACAACCACCCATTTGCCTGAGATCTTTGGTTCTAAGGTTAACCCTGAACCAGTTCTGTGGTATTCACATCTTTGTTCTAAAGACTTTAATAAAGATTTGGGTGAAGTCTCCTTTGAGAAGTTCAACGATACAACATCCAAATTGGGGGACTTTCGAAGCACCTCTAATAGAGTCATGGTCTTCCCAGACCCAGGAGGACCACATAAAATCAAAGGCCGATGATCATGAATAATGCAGTGAATTAAATCTTCATGCCTAATGGTGTCGATTGTAGGAATGACAAGATTAGGTGAAGTAATTGCGTGGGGTTCCAAATCCACCTCGGGAACTCTCAAACTCCATGGCTCCCAGGCACAATCAGGCAAGCTGATATCATAGTCCAATAATGTAGCAGAACCACCACCATTGCTATCTTCACCAATTTCAACGTGTGCAAAGGAGTGGAATTGTTGCAATTTCAAAGAGAATTGCTGACGGTCTGGAACAGAAGCATCACCAGCAAATGACCATACTAAACTTACCAAAATCGCTTTAGTTATGTACTCATCGTCGTCGATGGGCGTTCCTTCATTGTTTAACTTATAAGAGATAAGTTTCTTCAAATGAGATTTAATCAATGAAGTAAATGTCACGAGACTCCGCATTAAACTGAACTCCATTATATGGCTTATGACCTTGGCTTCTTCTGTTATACAGTTCAAAGTGTCTGGTCCAATAAGACACTGAAGTCTTTGATCTAAGCTTGCTAGAACAACATCAACCACCGTCTTGTTTGTGATTATTACTTGCTCCTGAAATTCTGTAGTTGTTAACTTGATGCTCTTACTGTAATACTGAAAGATATCATAACTGGGAACAAGACAGCTGTCTATCCATACAATTCCACATCTACTAACAGTAGCAGGTGTAGCATACTTTAAAGAATCAACTTCAAAGAGTAACCGAACATTGGGAGTAACAGGTAAACGTTCACCAGTAGGAAGAGTTAAGATCTTGTTATCATCCAATACACTATTCAAGTTTTCAGCCCATTCAGGGTCAATATCTCCATCAAATATAATCCAAGTACGCTTATTCAACTCCCCTCTGATATTTTCACCAATCTTTCTTATTATACTTGTGAATAGCCCATCAGTCCAGTCTCTGGTAACAACATCCAACTGACCGAAAAGAGTTTCCTTGGACATAACCTTACTGTCAATTACGTATTGGACAGCTTCTATCTTGTCCAAAGCAGACAATACCAATAAAGTTTGTTTCCAAATCGCTGTCTTTCCTGAACCTGGGTCTCCAACTATAATTGTCCCCGTATGAGAGTCCAGAACTTGTTTTAATTGAATGGCCTTTTTAGTCCAATGGTCAGAAGCAATAAAGCCAGCAGCTTCACTGGTTTCTTCTAGCTTAAGTAAGAATTTGGAAACATCATCACCTCCATCAATAATTGATATATGGGGAAAATACTTCTTCTCCAACGTCGTGAGAATTGTTGTATCTTCTTTAATAAGTTTTGGAGCAATTATTTCACGTATACTGCGTAAAATAATTCTTTCCTCATCTTCAACGGTGGTGGCTGTCTTCATCAAAGTGTCCCTTTTAATGATTCCACTTCGACTCAAGGTGCTTTTGAGTGAACGCAAGCCAAAGTCATAATGCTTTTGGTTAGAAGTAAGATTATCAATTTCTGTAAAGAATGGAACCATTTTTAAGGCCAATTCTTTGGCAAATGAAAAGGTTTGGGCAATCAATAATACTTCAACAATATTCTCTTTATCAGGCTTATTCATTGATACACTTTTGAAAAGCTTTTTCAAATTCTCTGGTAATTCAACTCTTCCAACATAGCCTGGATTCATGGTAATAAAGATTCCTGTTTCCTCGTGAATACCAATTAACTTTCCTGAAACTTCTACTCGAGTCCCTGCATTTGTAAGTCCACTTTCTATGGCTTCCACTTGAGACGAAACAGCACTTAGGATCTTTTCATCCAAACGATTAAACTCGTCAAAGCATCCCCAACCTCCAACTTTACACAATCCAAGAAAGATTCTTCCCATTGCTTGATAATCAAACGATTCGTCGCAGTTAAACACCAATACCATTCTTCCGAGCTTATGGGCAAGGAATTTAATCGATTCTGTTTTACCAGTTCCCGCTGGTCCAAACGGTGAACCACCAAGTTTCATGTTAAGTGCTTGGGTCATAGTCAAGAACAACTGGTCCATTGATGAGGTGTACACCAATTTGTCTGGAGCACCTTGAAATTCAAACCCATAATTAAATTGACAGTGGGATTGTTTCATAATGACACTTTGAAGATCACCAAGTTTAGACTTTGGTTGATGATAAAATCTTTGTTGAATATTCCAAAGAAACTTTAGGTCGTCAGATTTCTTGTCAATTAGATCCCCTATGATGTCTCTTTGGTGTATAATTTCAATAATCATAAACTCTACTTTTCTTCTTTCCAATGGCTCTCTTTTGCTGTGCAACTGTTCTGTTAATTGTGCAATCAACCCCACTACTCGATCGTGAACATCCTTTAAGCGATTGTTAGTCATAGCTGATTCGACACTCAAGGTGAAATTAATATTCAAGGCCAAATCATTCACTTGGGAAGGAAATTCATTAATAAGATTCAAAATCACATCTCCTGTGATGGTTGGTTCTGTCACCAGATAAAACCTTGAAAACTTGGAGACGGCTAGCCTCGTTAAACTTTCCAAAGTTACTTTGATTTCGTGCTCCAATGCAACTAACCAACTAATTAAATGAGGGTACTTAATCAACGAAATCGGGGTTCTCAATGGTACTGTCTCTCCTTGAGGTGATAATACGCTAACAATGGACGACGTATGGTCATCAAACTCTAACGCAGCAACACCTTGGAACATTTTACTTAAATGGGGTCCCAAGGAATCAATATTGTTTGAGTTACCAATGATTTCAAGTAAATCTTCGTTCCCAATGAAATAGAATCTGGGGAAAAGCTCCCTTTGCTTCTCCAAATATTCATTTAAAGATCTGCGAACTTTACCTAAAGTTTCCAAATACTTCTCCATTATGGTTTGTAGGTTTGAAATGTGTATCACATCTCTAACTGTCTTTAACTTAAATATTCTCTTTAAAATATTGCCAAATTCGTAGGTGATGTTGGTAAATCTTGTATTTTCAAGTGGTAAAATGGATGCAATATCATTGTCTTTATTACCGAAAACACCTTCCAAATAAACCCATTGACGTTGTACTTCAATCCATAAATCCAAAATGGTATATAAAAAACTCAAATCAGAATGTGTTTGGGTTATTTCTTGGTCGAAGGTGTCAAAGAAAGGCGAGTTCCTCATACTTTCCAAGGCGTTGACATCTGTGTCACATCTATCAAAAAGTTCATTCCAATTCTTCACCATGGTGTATTTGTTTTTGTATATGAATACATCAAACGTTACACCTCTCCATTCTTCATTAATAAGATTCAATTTTGACTCAATGGTGTACTCATTGGCTGCTTGAGTAACGATTCCCTTCAAGATTGGCTCATTTAAAGATAAGTTTAAGCTCCAAACATCACCAATAGTCAATGATTCAAATATCATCCTTTTTCCAGGAGAAATTTGCTCAAAAAGAAAAGACCAGTGTCTTGGTTTCATCCAATCGCTCTTTAAATCTTGTATGAAATGAAAGTTCTTTATATGAGTCTTAATCACCTGTTGGATATCTTCAAATGCATTATACTGTCGAACCCTGGTTGGAGCAGATCTGGAACTATTCAATAAATCATCTAATTGAGCTTTTAAAACTCGAGGTTGGAAATCTTGCCATTTAAATGATTTGATACGATCCAAACCTTCCCATAATGAGTTAATTGAAACCCAAACATACCTTAAATCATCTATTTCAGTAGTAACTGATGCAATATCGTTAGACACCAATACTGAAATATCAAAATGGTCGGCGACAAGTAGAATTGCTTCTCTAGATGATACCAATGGTTCACAGAGCTTCTTAAATATGTCAAGATCTCCTATGGCCCTTGTAGGTATGATATTTCCAGATGTAGGTTTTCTCGTTGACCATTTGGTACAAAGTTCTTCTATTGAGTCGTTACAATTATTTGCAGATGCCTTGACTTTTGATAGAATCAACTCCTTGTTCTCATCTATAATTGATTGTTTCTTTACCATGGAGCTTTCTAATATAGAAAGATTCATTTGCAATTGCTCGACAAATAATGTATTTTTGGGAAAATTGAACCGATTTTTGATTAAGAGCCTTTGATATTTTTGGACCAGTGCCATTTCATCTTTCAACTTGGAAAGTGATACCATGATTCGATAATAATTTTGCAAGTTCATTATCAATTGGATATTGCTACCTTGAAAACTCCACTTCTCTTCAAGCTTCGCTTGATCGTCCTTCAACAGACGGTTGAGTAAAGTAATAGCTTCTTGCACGTAGGTATTGAACCTTTTCAAGAGCTCCAACTGGAATTGATCAAACTTAATACTGACTCTTGAGAGTACATTGGTAATATCTATTTTTATTCTGTTACCAATCAATTCAAACGATTCTGGCTTATCAAATATTGAACGTAAATTTAATAGTTTGTGTAATTTGGTATACCAAAACTCCAAGTTAGTTGATTCTTGTCCAAATAATATTCTAATGGAGTCAGACTCAGACAAATCCAATTCCCAAATAGATTGAAGTATGCTCCATTTATGAGCATAGTCAAATGCTTCGTTGCATACACTCTCAATACGACTAATGGCCCTAGAGGTGAGGTCAATTAGTTCTTCGCTGTGGCATAAGCTGTCAAAAACAATTGATTTCAGTGACTCAACCCTGATCTTCTTTTGCAGTTCCATAGTATGAATAATTTCATCAAAATATTCATAAAAAGTCGATTTAGTTGTCTCTAAAGCAGGTGAGATAATTATAGTTTGATTATCATCAAATGTAACTGAATGCAGTATCTGGGGAATGATATTGTGAGCATTGCCATGATTCTTTGGCCTGTCTTCATTGGATAAAGTTAATTCTCTGTATAGGGTTGCCAATTGAATGGAACATTTCTTCAAGAGAATTTGTTCAATGTCATCATTAATTAACTCGCAAAGTGTTGAAGCATTAGTCGTTGACTCCAATAAAGAGATTTTTCGAAACTGATGTTGAATCTGGGATATAATTTCCAGAATTGAAAGACTGTTATACTCACAAGTGGCTAATTGTTTGAATAAATCGAAATGTAAAATTCGATGAAACATCTTTAACTCGACATATTTCTCGTTTAAACCATTCATCTCCAGATGGAATTGTTGTAATTTGTTAAGCGATTGAATTTCAATCAAGTTTTCATTTATATGTTGTTGCAGTTGCAGCTGCTCCTCTGGTGTATTTAACGACATTAAATCAATGGCCAGAGATATGTGAAGCCAGTCAATAGCTGTTAACTCATACAATAGTTGGAAAACTTCAACTCTCTTGTCCTCCAAATAAAATTCGTATTTCATCATGGAATTGGAGGAAGCTTCACCATTATTAACTTGGGAGAGTCTTTTAAATAATTTTATATCATCATTCAATTGGGTGATAAACAGATATAGCTTATCAATTCGTTTGGCCAGAACTAATAATTCAGTTGGAACCTTATATCCTAACTCTATGATTCTATGGGTATCCCTAGTAAGATTAACAGCATTTGGAGCGATGTTAATGTGGATATCAATTTCTTTGGTAGAAGGGTTTTCGATTAACCTAACAAGAGGACCCGTGATAGTGAGTGTTCCTTGTTGAGATCTAATATCTTCAGCCCATTCCGAAATCACTGTTTCCACGTTCAAAGATTGTATCAAGCTCGAAGTTTCTGATTGAATCTTCTTCCCAATTGAATATTTGCTCCAGTCCAGGCCAATAATTTTATGTAAATGTTGCAAATAAAATGTGACTTTCTCTATTAATCTAAGATTCCAAGTTACTGTTGTAGTGATGGAAGGATCAACCAAACCTCCAAATTCAACGTTTCTTATATTGAGTAGCAAATCTAAGTAAGCATTCAATTGGGATTTATCGTTGACATGTGTTTGTATAAGATTCTGAAGCTCTTTATCCGCAACACTTAATATCTTAAGCTTATAAGTATCTCCTGCAAGATTAATAATGGAAGTTTGGTCCTTGCTTGGAAGAATTTGAGTATTAACATGTGAAAACTTTGATTCGATGGATACAAAGTCAATAAACGTTGTACATTGGTCCAATAATCGATTGAGCTCCTTCAATAAATGAGATTCCAATTCTTGGAAAGCTTGCATATACAATTCCTTATTATTCAACCACATAAAAGTCCCTTGTCGAGTTAAGTCTAAAACATTTATCGAGGTAATATACCGATTATATGCATCTAACAATTTCTGGAAATAGGCAGGGTTGTTCAACACTGTATTTGCAATAGAAATCATAGATTCATGTTTGAATCTGAACAGTTTAATGGTTTCTAAACGATCTTTGAATTCATCAAACTTTTGGGTATTAATCTTAATACTGACAAACTTGTCAGCTCTTTTTCTAACCAATTCTCTCAAGATATTAATCATTGATTTCAATTGAAATTCTGTTTGGGATATGATCTTCGTGATTGGGTCCATTTGATACTCAATAAACCATTCCATAGATAATGACATCAACAGGAAACTTGTTAAGACAAAGGATAACTTGTTCACAATGTCGTAATTCAAAATCACATCGATATAATCCATCAATCTTGTTAATGGAAACAAACTTAGATTTTTTATCTTTTTAATATGGTTCCACAATTTATTCAATGCAACTTCTATTCTATCCCAGGTTTCCATATACATTTTGGCATTAACAGTAGTATTGGACACTGTTATAGAGTTTAACTCATTTATAGGTAAATCTTTAAGAATGGAATTGTATAATATTGCTTGCGATAATTTATCATTGATTGCATTGTCATTTGCAAATGCCAAGGTGGTATGAAACCTTTTAGCTTTATTCAAGATCGATAATGTCATTAAAACTTCAACAGAATCTATTTGATCCTTTAAAGAGATCAATGCTGATTCCATAGAGTTCCAAAAATGGATTTCATTGGCAATAGTTTCACCATCACTAGACACATGATCTAACCCCGTAATCTCTTGAATTTGCTTGAGCCAACCATTGACGATATTGGACGTTTCATTAAGGAAAAGAGAGTCATTGAGTAAAGCATCTGGAACGATTATTGATTGCCAATCATCGCCAACATCATCTTTCCAATGGTCTAACAACGATCTGATTTGGGGATGCACTGAAAGAAGCAAATTGGGTACTTGGATCTTCTGTTGTAGATGTTGTAATGATAAAAGTAACTCTTGAAACTTTTTACGGGCAATTTCAATGGAGTTGAATTGAGAATTCTCTTGCAACGGACTGTGTTTAACATTGGCTACTAAATCGAAATAAGGTGAAATCCCCATTCCAATAAGTAGTCGCAATTGGTCGATATATTCAAGCTCAGAAGCTTCAGTATTATTACAGTATGATAATGGCGTGATATTAACCATATTGATCTGATCTTCAAATGGTATGTCATCTTGTAGTTTGTTTCTTGATTTCAAAAGGATCATGATATTGGACTCAGACGGTGCCAACTCCTTAGTAATAACATATTGTTCTGACTCTCGACACACATATAATGTATCAGGGTTCTGGTTGTGGATAAACCCGTTGAGAAGCTCTGGTGTCACGCTCAATGTGGTGGTTATATCAGTAGTTGATGCCAGGACCAACTTATGGATGTAGTTGAATAAGCTGTCCGACGAGGCCGCCACGTGATGATTCTCGCTCATGGTGAACACGTCCTTGATCTCTATATTGGTCTGGTCCTGATCTGATAGATCTAATACGGCGTGTCTATTTGATTAATTGTGTGTGAAGGGGTGTACATCATGATTGTTACTGTTGATATAGTAAACAGATGGTGATGGGGAATCGCGTTCCATACAGGCTGCGCGCTACCGTTAAGGTGGTATAGAAGTCTCTGATGGGTAGTAGTGTAGTTGACCTACAGTATATAGTTACCATGGTGTATTGAATAGTAGAGTTATCATAGTTAATAATTACTACGATATATAGTCACTGCAGGGTAAATTAAGACTTAGTACTGTTGGTACAGCGTAACTTATGGCCTAGTGTTAATTTTAGGTTGATTCTAAGATCAGTGAGCATGATTGTGTGCTGTAAGGTAGTGATCTGGCTGGTGCCAAAACACTTGATCGTATAGGGTAGTGATGTAATAGTATATTGTGGAGCATTTTATAGTATACACCAACTATAGTATTAAAGTGGAAGCTGGTGTGATCTACAACTTGTAGATGGTAGAGCTGTACACCATCCACATTACAATGTTTATGGTTATTTACAGCTATGGAAAAGTCTTTGGTGTGCGGGGGTGAACATGATTTCTTGCAATAAAACACACTTTAATCCATAAATTTGTGTCGGTCAAAAAAATTAGTTGCAGCTTGTGTGAGCTCAAGTACGTTGGTTCACTTGTGTCAGCTCCTTGTGTTAGCTCAATGTAACTTCCAGGTTATTCCATGTTCCAGTGACATCAGTTTGATTTAATGGGTGCGAAAGATGAAGATGGAACAGAACTGCACTCAAATGAATATGCTGCGTCGTAGAAAAGTCAATAAGCAGCGACCGGTATAGTTCCAACCAGGTAGTGGCTATCATATTTTGTAGCAACAGCATGCAATAAGTGTTAAAGCTATAGAAGTTTACCATGCGATTAGATAACCTAAAATAGGCATTATCTCGTATAGTGATCGTATTTCACCTAAAGTCACTAATAAAATAACAGCTACCACCATTTAACTTACCAATTAACTTATAGTTACTACCAATTAACTTAAACCCATTACCAGGTAACTTATAGCACCAGCAACTAATTATCTAGTACCAAAAGAACTAAGCTATCTTCCACTATTAAGTTTTTATCTCAGTCGTCCTGTCAAATAAATTCTGTAATTATAACATATACGGCATCTATTATGTACGTTGTACGACTGGAGGTCCTAACTAGGTCTAATTGTCATGCCACTATACCCCTAAATCAGCCAACTAGTTGATGGCCTGTTTGTCGCATCAATATAGTCGCGCACCAACCAACAGGATAAGGTCCGGTCTGGTTGTGAAAAGTATTTAAACTTTCGGTGATACCATTGACTGAACAAGCTACCCAAGCGAATACCATCACTACAATTAGTACTACTGCTAACGACATCATGACCATCCCAGCTTCCTCTATCCATGACTCAAGTCTTCCAGTCAAAGACCGGATGGAAGCGTTGATCCGGTTGAAACAACAGGAAATCACCCAAGGTCTTGAATCATTGGACACTGTCAAATTCAAAGTTGATAAATGGTCTAGAGGTGACAATGGTGGTGGAGGAGAGTCCATGGTATTAGTTGACGGTGAAACTTTCGAAAAAGGTGGTGTCAACATATCTGTTGTTCACGGTACTCTACCTCCAGAAGCCGTTGTTAGAATGAGAGTGGATCATAAAAGCTTAGCCACTAATGAAGGTTCAGTTAAATTCTTTGCTTGTGGATTAAGTATGGTCATTCACCCTAATAATCCTCATGCGCCTACAACCCATGCCAATTATCGTTATTTTGAAACTTCTGATCCTACCACAGGGAAAGTTAATTCGTGGTGGTTTGGTGGAGGTGCAGATTTAACTCCATCTTACTTATATCCGGAAGATGCTCAATTGTTCCATCAACAACATAAAGATGCTGTGGATAAATACGATACGTCTCTTTATCCTAAGTGGAAGAAATGGTGTGATGAATACTTTTATATCACGCATAGAGGTGAAACCAGAGGTGTTGGAGGTATTTTCTTTGATGATTTTGATGATAAACCAGCAGATGAAATCTTACACATTGTTGAATCCTGTTTCGATGCCTTCCTTCCAGCTTACTTACCCACCATTGCTCGTCGTAAAGATACTCCATTCACAGAAGCTCAAAAACAATGGCAACAAATTCGTAGAGGTAGATATGTGGAATTCAACTTGGTCTTAGATAGAGGTACCAAGTTCGGCTTACAAACGCCTGGATCTCGGGTAGAAAGTATTTTAATGTCTTTACCTCGTACAGCTTCATGGCTATACGATCACCATCCAGAGCAAGGTTCCGAAGAGGCCAAACTTGTTGAGGTATTGAAGAATCCTATTGATTGGGTTTAGTTTGTAGCCTCACCGTTTTAGGACATACCCCAAGAGGCTCAGCTCATTTGCGTCAAAAAAAACCTGAGATTATCGCTGCTTTGTGTGAGAGGGATTTATTTCACGGTAGCTATATATAGAGTCGGTTAATGTACACTATAAGATAACTAACACTGATAGCAATAGCTAATAGTACTCTCTGACCGTCTAGCTGTATTACTGTAGTACTAGTAGTATGCACTTACGAGACCAAAGTCCCACGGAACCTCTCAATGACTAACGTTTAAGGTCCATCCTGCCAAACTGCATATACTCACCAACGTGGACACGGCGGCTTTTGCCTCTCGTACCTGCAGGAGCGAAAATTTAATTAAAAAAGTGAACCACTAGAAAAATTTAAACATCTTCATCGCCTTCTTCTTTTGCAAAGAATAATTTATTAACGACATCTCTATGCCACACCGGTGAATAAGACCGCTCTCTTATCACCCTCTCCTCCACCCCTTTATAAGGAAACGGAGTACAAGACGCTTTCGAGATTCCTGTGATCGGAGATCCGCGAATGAAATACTGACTCTGACCCGGTAGTCAGTCTGCTTCCAACTGTGTGTGCTGCTTACGTTAGACACAACTGAGTTTTAACCCACTTTGTATTCAAAATAACTATGTCTGATCTCGAGAGTTATCGTTCTGATACGTCACATTCAAGAGACGTTTTGGGAAGATCAGGTACCCCTGATGACCAGCATTTGAATGACCATAGAAACCAACCTGCCTCTTTACCCCCTAGGAAACTTAGTGTTAGTGAAGGTGCTCCCACTGGTAGTGGTCGTCACCAACTGAGTATGGGTTCTTTGAGAAGGGATTATCTTATTGGACAACATGATGATGATGATGAAGAAGATGCCTCTAACTTTGCTCAACAACCCCCAGTTCCAATCTATAAACCTCAATTGTCTAATCGTTCAAGCTCAATGCATCCTCCTACACCTTTGATTACTTCAACCAGTGGTGGTATCCTTATGAACAAACTGGGTGGGAATGCCCCTGCTTCGACTTCTTCCACGGCTCCCAGTAGAAAACATAGTGTTGTCGCAGGACCTTTGTCTGGTGGTGGTACTGGTAATGAAAGAAGTAATACCTTGAATGCTCCTCCTTCATCAGGAAGACGTCCTTCTTTTGACAATGATGATGGTGGCCATAACTTGTCCAAGGTTCGTACTGTTGATACTGTTGCTTCTTCTCGGCACAGACGTCCCTCTAATGCCACCAGCGAAAGTGAAGTTGATTCTAGAGCCCTGCGTTCGTCTCAAGAAACAGAAGAAGACGTTTGTTTTCCTATGGTCAGAGACCATGTCAGAGTAAAGGGAATTGATTTTGATGAGATTGAAGAGTTTATTAACAGTGAACGTGAAGAACAAATTTACAGACAACATCAAATGGCTATGAATACTGATATCTTGAAACGTACTACTACTTCTGGTGGTGTAATTAAACGTTCAGGTCTGCAAGATGGAAAGCAAACAGGAGGATTCTTGGAGAAAATCAGAAGCAGAGCCCAAAACATTGTTTCCTCTGCTACAGGTGGTGATAATGTAGTTGCTTCTGATGTTTCCCAAAACCTTCCTGGTGCCATTCCAACTGATCCATTGGCAAATGACAATATTTCCATCCAATCGTCAGCCATTTCTCGTTCCAGCTCTCATGACGATGACATTTTATTTATGGAAAAGAAGTCAACCAACAGATTCCCAGGAATAACTTCTCAAAAAGTAGTCAATGATACTTCTTCATCTGATAACGTGAACTTTGGAGGAACTACAATTACTGAAGGTGGCCCAACATCACTTCCTGATCGGTTTTCGTTCTTCACATCTGATTCCGATGAAACGGTTCATGCTCCTGATATGCAATCGCTTTTAGCTCCTGGTGAAACCGTTCGCGAATTGTTCAAGAATGGCGAATGCACTTGGTGGTTAGATTGTAGTTGTCCTACGGATTCGGAAATGAAAATGCTTGCTAAGGCCTTTGGTATCCATCCATTGACTGCTGAAGATATTCGTATGCAAGAAACCCGTGAAAAGGTTGAATTATTTAGAAACTATTACTTTGTGTGTTTCCATACTTTTGAACCCGATAAGGAATCCGAAGAATACTTGGAACCCATTAACGTTTATATTGTTGTCTTCCGTGAAGGTATCATGACCTTCCACTTTTCTCCTATTCCTCATGCTGCCAACGTCAGAAGAAGAGTCAGACAATTGCGTGACTACGTTGACGTCTCAGCAGATTGGATTTGTTATGCCATTATCGATGACATTACCGATGGGTTTGCTCCTGTGATTCAAAGTATTGAGTATGAAGCAGATGCAATTGAAGACTTGGTATTGTTCAACTCTACTGATTTTTCAACCATGTTGCGTCGTATTGGTGAAGCAAGGCGGAAAGTGATGACGTTGATGAGATTGCTTTCAGGTAAAGCTGATGTGATTAAGATGTTTGCTAAGAGATGTCAAGATGAGTTTTCTAATCTTCCACCAAACTATATTCCTTCCAATGTCAACTTATCTTCTGGTTATCCAAGTACTCAAGTTGCTTCTTCGCCTCCACCAACCGGCACTGGCACTGGTACCGGATACCATCATTCTTCGTCTGTGTCTTTGAATGCTCAAAACTCAGCAGCAGCAGCTAATGCAGGTACGCATTCTTATAGCTCTGTTGGTGGGAATGCAAACCCAGGAGTTCAATTTGGACCTGGACCAGGAGCTCATGGCAACTTCCAATACCTGCTTCCCAACCAAATATACAGAGCACAACCACGTGCCGATATTGCATTGTATTTGGGTGATATTCAAGATCACGTTGTCACTATGTTTCAGAACTTGGTGGCCTATGAAAAAATCTTCTCTAGAGCCCATTCCAACTATTTGGCCCAGCTTCAAGTTGAATCGTTCAATGCCAACAATAAGGTGACCAAGATGTTCTCTAAGATTACTCTTTTGGGTACTATTCTTATTCCTTTGAATCTTGTCACTGGGTTGTTTGGTATGAACGTGACAATCCCAGGTGAAACTTCTCTGCACCCAGGTTTAGGCTGGTTCTTTGGTATCGTGGGTGTTATGATATTCTTCATCACTGTGTCTACATACTTATCATCCCTTTGGTTGAAGAGTGTCAATGACACCGAGACCACAAACGTTGCTGGGTCTTCTAGATCAATAAAGAGCTTGAAGAGCCTCGGCTTGAGATCCAAAAAGAAACTGGGTCCCGCAAAGTCTATCATTAGTTTTCCTGACAAATATGATTAATTTAATAGTATATGCATTTTATATAATTACTTGGTGTGCGGGTGTCATACATTATGTAGTTGATCTTTTCATGTTCGGTGTTTCGGTGTCCTACTTATTATGCTTTCTCTTTTTACGTTTTGGTTCTTCGAGTTCTTCCATCGGAAGCCATATCTCGTTATCGGCTTCTCCTTCCTGTTTTGAAGGACCATTTCTATCATTAAACGTTTCATATCTCCACTGTTGTAATTGCTTCTTTTTGGTGTACTTCCTCTTATCCTTAAGTGCCGCTTCCTTGGGCTTATAAGGAGCAAACTTCTTCATCCCAATGTACAGATTCAATTGCTTATCGTCAGCCAATAAAATGTCTCTGGTGGTAAGACCGAATGATTCCGGTGACACTTCCCGATACTTGAATTTAACTGGTTGAACACCCTTTGATCTTCCCCTTTCTTCTTCGACTTCATCACGAATCTTGAGAGCATTGGCTTCTACAATTGACTCGGCCGTTTCCTTGATGGCTTCCTTTGCCTTTTTCGCTGACTTCTTCTCCTTCAACAGTTCCTTTTTTGACTTCTTCGTACTGCCATTTTTGACTTCTTCCTCATCGCCATCATCACCGTAAAGATCATCAACTTGTGGTTTGTCTGTGCCCTCTTCATAGAAATCGTCATTAAAGATCTGCGCCATCTTGTTATCCCAATCAAGATCATCAAAGTCATCATCCAACAAAGACTCTCCGAAAACCTTCTGAATAAGCTCATCATCAATGTCTTCTCCAACAGCCTCTTTGATCTTCTTCAAGTTATCCATAACGTTATTGATCTTTTGAGTCTTTCTCTTCTTGAACAACTCATCTGTTTCCTTTTCTTCTTGTATTTTCTGTTCCTTCTTCTTTTCCCTTTGTCTCTTTCTCGAGTTGGTGGCGGACCTTCTGACCGTGGCTTGATTACGGGCATAGGAAATGATCTCTGCGGCATTGGGGTCTTCATATCTGAAGTTATAGGCATGTTCGAAATCTTCAACGGCATCATCAAAGTCTGCATCGGCCCCGGTATCGATTTTATCCAAGTTAATGGTCTTATCGTCCTTGGTAGGAATCCATGCTTCGTTACTGATGAATGAGTTTAAGAAACCTTCGCCGTCTCTTTCCGGATTGGGCAAGCGAGACAGAGGCACCCATTTCTCATTCAGTACGTTACCAGATGTCTTCTTCTTCTTTAAGAACCCATCGCCGTTGTCATCTTCATCGTCATCGTCATCTTCTTGATCTTCATTGAAGGCCTTCTTAATGTCAGACAAGATTTGGTCTCTTGTCTCTTGCTGTTCTAAAGCAAATGGCTTAACGTCATCATTTTCAGGTCCTTGTCCTTCCTCATCCTCATCCTCTTCATCCTTGTATCCACCACTAAGCAAGTTAATCCGGTGATAGTCCTTCAAATACAAGGGCTTCTCCTTCTCCGAGCTGCCCAACTTTGTCACAGCTGTTTCTGGGTCTTCAAAGAACTTGGTGTTAGGGTCCAACAACCTGCTGGTCTCGTTATTACGAAGATATGTCAACACCTGGTTGATCCCAGCCTCCACTTCATTGGTTACAAGCTCTCCGTATTCATCCTCTTCTTCAGACAGGGAATCGTCGTTATCTTCTGGTGCTTCTTGGTCGCTAGCGACAGTTGGCTCAACTGTCTTTGACTGGGTTGAATCCTTTGATGGCTTGACTTCAATGGTCTCGGCCTTGCTGAGCTTAGCTTCCTCTTCTCTGGCCCTCTTGGCAGCCGACTTCTTTCTGGCCATCGTTACTGTTAATTGAAGATGTAGGTGGTTGTGGAGCTCATCTTGAGATGAGATGACTTCGGTATGGTATTTTTCAGAACTGCAGACAAGAGTGGTTAATATACAGGAACATATAAAGTGATGTAAGCTCTACATATTATACTACCTCTGCATAAGTTAGATCATCGACTTAATAAGTCCCGTTTCCGGTATACGTTTCCGTTCATACCACCATCTCATAGCCAAGTCACTCCTGTTGGAATCCAAGTTTTCACTAAGAACTCTCCAGTACATCTTAAGCAAATACTCCTGTTCAGCCCTATTGCTGTGTTGGACCAAAGAAAGCACCTTGTTCAACCACCGTTCAAACGTTGACAATGGGATATAAGGCACAAGCCGTATAAACGCCACGATCTTTGCTTCTCTGGTTGTTTCAGGTATCACTCTATCGGCCATTTGATATTGAATAGGACCTACTGCCGATGGGGAGGTAATCTCTATGTCTGGTCTCGCCGAGGGGAACGATTCCAGGGTAGTCAATGAGGTTTGGGGGATCATGATACCTGGGGTAGTGTTTGAACAACGGAAATAATAAAAGTCAAGGACCTCTTCACCAGAATTAGCGTGAATGGACGTATTATCGTATTGGATTGGTGAGGATAAAAGTCGTTTTCCAATAGACTCTATGGCTATTGAAAGCTGTTGTGAAGAGATTAACTGGGGAAATTGGGAATCTAATACTCCAACATACTCCAAAGTCTCTTTGATTGAAGTAGATGAAGAATTCAACCATGTACCATTACTTAAACAAATCAACAATACTGAATGACAACCTTCAACCATCTCGGGGTTGGTGAATTGCCTATTGGTGACAATCTTCCAACAAAACGGATATATGATCTCCTTTATAAACCGTACGTTGGCGCTCTTGTGTTGGACATAGCTTTCCCAAAGTCCTAGGATGAACAAGGCCTTACTAATGACTAAATAGTCGGCGTTGAGCATCTCTGGCAGACAACAATTCAAGTCGTGTGTGACAATGGAGCTGGTGAACGCTTCCATGGGTTCCACATCTGGACTGTTCAATGCTAATTCCACTGTCAAATAGTAGACAAAGTTATAGTTATCAAATCCACCTTGACCCACGGATAAAAGGATGAAATTAGTATAGAAAAGATTATAGAGGATCATGAATGATAATTTTTTGCATTCAGCAGTGTCATCAAATTGTCTGCTGAAGAAATGAAGACTTTGTTTCCGTGGGGGAGGCACAAGCAAACGACTCAAGATGCCTTGAAACATAATGACCTCGGTGAACAACACATTCTTCAAGAAGAACCAACAATGACTCTCAAGTGGAGTTTGTGCACAACTTAGAGGGTCTCGATTAAGTACAGACCCACTAACTCTTTGGAAGAGTTCCTTATTGAAGCTCAATACTGTGTCAAGACCGGCTTCCACCAGTTTCAAGCTCTTCAGCGAAGAAGTACGGGGTAAGCTTGCCAAATAAGCCTCCAATAAGAATGACAATTTGTTTAAGTTTCTTACCACCGGCAGCAGCAATATCTTCTGAACTTGAGCTTCTTCTACGTCGGTAGAATGGATGTCCAACTTCAACAACTCCCTGTAAGCATTGGCACTGAGAGGGTACTCTGAACTGAAAATTAGCTCCACTAACTTGGATATCATGAACTCAGGTGCAACATTGCCAGTATAAGACTTGACACTAGCATCTTCTCTATTAAAGACTACAGCATAAGACATCAACACCAAATTTACAACGTCTTTGCTTTGGTACCCCGTCAAAGAGTTACGTAAGCATTCGACAAACAATCTATGAAGTTTCTCGTCTGTCTCCCTAAAAAACCAACCGTATTCAACCCCAGAACACACCTCATATCGTATACTCTTAGCCAACATCAACCCAGCTATCACCGGGATCACTTTCCAAGAGTTCTGAAAAGGGTTGTAGGCAACAAAGTTGACCAATTCTCGCGTCACAACAGAGTACCATGTCTTGATAGAAAGCGTAGGCTGACTCACCTTTAACTTCTTTTCAGCAACGGCCCTAAAGAGCTCTACGATTTGATACGACTCTTCAAAAGGAGGAGCAACGACACCAAAAGTCACAGAGTTATTGAGGAAACTTGATAACACAATTCGTAAGTTATATTCTAACTTGATGAACGGTAAATAATGGTACATGAACCCCATGATCTTTTGTATGGTTGTGTCAGGGTACGGACTTCTTAGTTCATTGACTAAGAAGTCTAGGTCTTGAGGAACAGGATTATCATTCTCATACACGACCGTCTGATTGGAACCTGGTGGCTGTCTGTTTAGAAGAGCTCTCCCTTGAGGCCCCAATTGATTGTATAGATTGGACATGATGGAACCAGGAGAACAAGAGGAAAGTTGCTAGTGTTATAATTATTGTGTGGGGTTTAAGCTACCGAGGCCAAAGCAAATAGACGGTAGCGCAGAACGTATCATTTGATTACATAAGAAAAGGATACTAATAACCATAATGAGAATACTACCATTTTATTTCAACCCTATAATGCTATTTACTATTCTAGTAGTGGTTCAATCGCCACAAGGTTACCTTCCCGGCTTCGTTACCAATGGCCAAAAGTTCATTATTTGGCGAAAAGCCCACGGCTGTAACTCTTCCTAATGGAGTGCCACTAGTGGGCCAATTACTATAGACGGTACCTGAAGGTAAATGGATCAAACGTAAGGCATCTCTTTTTGCTCTTGATGCTATACATAAGATTTGTCCATCAGAAGAGAATTGTAAAGTAGAGATCGAGGTGACCAAGTTTTCCACTGTTTTAATTGGTTTAATTGAGCCATTCAGTAACTGTTGACGATCATAAATGTTAACCAACCCATTGTTGGTACCAATAGCAAGCCATCTGTTCTTAGGACCTCCAAGCTTAACTTTAGTAATGCCCACACCACCTTCATCATTCCATCTGCGTAATATTTTATTGTGAGTCTTGGACTTCTTGGAGGCTGATGGTGACGACGCTGAGGCTGACCCAAGTTCATATTCCCATACTTCTCCAGCTGTGTTGATGATGACTATGAAGGACTCGTCTCTGCTAAAGTCGAAATCTATAATTGTTCCTTCTATCTTAAACCCTCGTATCCATTGACCCGTAACACCATTCAACAAGTTACACCAACCACTGGACCCGGTTAACCCAAGGTAGGTACCTTTAGGAGACACTTTGAAATACTCAAACGATCTTTGAAATTGTTCATGGCCATACATTCTCGACACCTTCTCAACCTCGGCAGTATTCAAGTTCCATTTGTTCATGTACCGTCTACGACCAGCAGCATACACCAAGTTCTCGTCTTTCAAAGGTGAAAACTGACATGTAGTCACGGGAGAGTTCCGCAAATGCAACGACGATATAAACCGGTTGATCTTCCCATCAACATGGTATACTCTTAGGGTTCTATCGAATCCTCCAGTCAACAAAAGAGGGTGTGTAGGATGGAAAGAAAGAGACTGAATCGCACCTTTGGAAACACGCTGATAGTTGGCATCCTTCAATCTGGTGACAGAAATCTTATTAGGGGAAATGAGCTTAAGTTGTTTGGTTATTACGAACTTTTCACTCGAATGCAAAATATTCAATATAGAATTGGTATCGGGCCTTTCATTACTATCATCCTCTTCGTCCTCTTCATGATCATTATCTTCATCTTCATTATCATCATCATCTATTCCTTGTATTAACTTCTCGGCCCATTGCGGTTTAGGATATATCTTTTCAAATTGGCTTCTTAACCTGGTGACATATGCTCTACCACTAATCACCTTATCCGTCTCGAGTTTCCTCAATTTCTTGAGCTTATCCGATGACGTTAACGAAATGCTCATCTCTTCATCATCACTATCATTCCATGCATCATCAGAGTCAGAGTCGGAGTCAGAGTCTTCCTCATCATCGTCAGACACTGCACCAGGCTCCTCATCTATGTCCATCGCTTCCCCGCCGTCTATTGTAAATAAATCCTCGTCTTGAACATGTTCCAACTCATTCTCGTCGCTCTCAGATCCACTACCGAAACTTCGGTCTTCTTCCTCATCCTCAGACGAATACTCATATAAGTTATCCAAGTTCTTCAAGTTGGTCTCAAATCCCTCCATGTCTCCAAACACAAGCTTCTCCAACGCTATTTCCTCCGAGTCCTTGGGAGGGACAACCATCCCTTCCTTCGGAACAACCAATGCCATCTTACAATCGAATTAGTATGTTTTAAAGCCGTCACTGATAGCTCTTGTAATGTTTGTTAGAAAAATTTTCGACTACGAAATCTTGAGAAGATCATTAAAATACGTTACACAAAACAGACCATCTCATCTCATCTCATCTCATACATAAACCTACTATAAACTATAAACTGATATACTATATTATATTTATGCTATTATGCTCTGATTACTCCTACTCTATATACAATTAGCATCAGAGGTACACGTACACCCTATTGGGATTTTTCTATTATTTTTTGTCGTAATTTCAATGGTAATATTTGCAGTAGTAGTGGTGTGTAGTCGTATTGTATTTCTTCACTTCTTCAACTCGGTCACAAATGAAACAAAGTACTTTTTAAACTGTCTTTGGTCCAAGCTCACCAAGTTGGTTCCGAAATCGTTCATAAGCTCTTGTGATAACCCCATGGTAGTCAAATAGTTGGACAAGTTGGCAAGAAACTCATCGCCTTTAATCTGATAGTACGTTTTCAATAGTAACGAGATCTCTTGCGCAACTAATCTATATTGTGCATCCTTAATGTTAAACTGTTGGTTTTGGAATGGAAGCTCAAAGGCCAATTGAATAACCTTGTTCATCAAAAACTCACTGATCCCTTCAACTGGAGGCAAGGCTTGTCCAAATTGATCTAATGAATCGTTAATTTTATCATCTTTACCGAAAACTGTAACCATATTAATCAATTGGGTGATGGCCAACTTCGAGACAGTGGTGTCGTTCAATTCATAGGAAAACTCAATAAACGAGTTAACCACAAGGGGAAGTTTCTGCTTATTGGTCTCAGTCACAATCAAAGACAATGAATGGTTGATGGTAAGATTGGAAAAGAAGTTCATAAGTGATCTTTTCAACAGATTCTTGGATCTAACCAAATCTGGAATCAATTCATTCTCACGTTCACTTAACATTTGGAAAACCTTATCAATAACTGGGGTCATTGAATTGTTCAATAATTGATAAATACTTTCATCCTTCTGATACTTGTGCACAATTTGTCCCAAGAATGGTAAGAAATCATTCAACTCAGCAATCTTTAAGTTCCCGGCTGCAAGAATTAATGAAATCAATTTGGACAAATGATTACGTATAAGTCCATTCAAAATTGGAATAAATCTTGCAAACGCAGATCTGGATGCTTCTCTAACAGATTCAAACTTGGAAAAGTTTTCTAAAGAAATCAACACCACAGTAGAAGCAGAATTGAAACGATCAACTATTTCCGGACTGTACTTTGTTACGGATTCAGCTATACAACCATTTGCAAATATACTAATAGCCATTAAGGAATGACTAACTTGCAATGCGAGTAATTGTAATTCTTCAGGAGATGCTGCTGAATCCTTTCTTTGTATACAACTCTCTAAAGTGTTGAATAATGGTTGGAAAACCAAGTCTATGAGTTTTAATTTTAATGCATTATCGATAGAAGATAACATTATTATCAACCCGATCGATTCAAAAATGTATAATTGATTTTTAAAGTTTGAGTTAAGTTCCAGTTCTTCATCACTATCAGCTGGTTCGGGCATCTCAGGTTTGATTTCCAACAATGGTTGTAACTTAATCACCAATTCATCGAGGAATGCTGCCTCAGATATGGAAGGTCTGGTTAACTTTAAAAATCTCTGGAATAAATACCAACATCTTAATCTTACAGTATCATTGGAATTATATAATCCCAAGGGACTGGCAAAAACATTCAAGATTCTGAATGTCAATTGGTGGTTGGTTGAAACAAGAAAATTGTAGTGTCTAACAATCAACTCGAAGAATGCAGTTTGAATTAATGGATGACTGACATTTAATATAAAGTCGGAATTGATTAATTGAATCAAATATTCCTGGAATATTAAGTATGGCTTGGAACTATTGATTTGAGTTTTTGGAACATTTATATGATTATTCTTCAAGGAATCACTGAAATTATTCAATTCATATAATCCCAATTCTAGTTTTCTCCAATCCTGAGGATCTTTAGATTTAAATATAGATTCTTGGATTACCAAAGGGATAGCTTCCAAAAATAATTCGGGTTTCAAAATAGTAATGGTATCTTGCATTGTTTTCAACTTTACTCTAACGTCGTTAAACTGCTCAATTGTATCTTCATCATCACCATCGTCATCATCATCGAATTTCATTTTCATAATGATTTTATTGAGCAACGAAGATAATAAATCCACGTCATTCAAATGCTGTTGTTTCTTCCATGCTAAAAGAAAAGTTTGGATGAAATGAAAGACCTGGATAGAGACGTCATCATATTCATGTTCGAGGAAACGGAAAATTGAGGGCCACAATTTGAACAATTGAACTCTTACTTGTTCCACCAAACTTGAATCATTTTCCAAAACGTAAATCAACTCAATACCAACCTGATTTGCTAATTTTGCAAGAGCTTCTGCGAATTCAACATCAACATCAGCTAGATTGATAGAGTCAATGATAGAAGTCAAATTCAAGAGAGAAATTAATTCTAATTTGGCTAATGGTTTCATTTTCTTGCTTGTGATTTCCACTAAAGTCAACGAAGTTTCTCGACGTTGTTGGACAACAGAAAGATATTGAAATAAGCTATTAAGGAAGTCGTTGCCAACAAATAAACTGATATCCATCCAGTCAATGTATTGACCGATCACTTTGATGGTATTATTAATGATTTCTGGGGTATAATTGGATGGGTTAACAAGTATTGTAGACCAAGAAGTGACTAAGGAATTCATATCTTCTTCTCTGATGGCATCTTTCAACAAGTTTGAACGTTCTTGAATCTCTCTGGAACGGGAGATCAATCTATCAGCTATTTCCAGATGTATGCAGATCAACACTCTAATGTAATAATCGGCTGCTATCATGTTCCCCGTTGCAAATAGCTTTAACCAATGGTTCAAGAAATTGGGATAAACATTCAAATACACCCGACAAAACAATTGACCGAAAAGAGCGGAAAACTTGTTCTTCAAGTAGGTGGCATCCTGTATCCCCTTTTCCACATAGAACCCCAACACCTTGAAGAGAGATTCATTCAAACCAAAGAGTTCTTCCGAGTTCAACTTGTCCATGTATTCGTCAATGACTTGATAGATGAAGAACTTCAAATTGTCGTCAAGTTGATGCTTAGTTGTTGCATCACCATTGGTATTATTCTTACCTGAAGAAGCCGCCACCGAGCTACCTCCAGCCCCAGCTCCTGAATCGGCACCTGAATCTGCCCCAGAACCTGATAGCACTGCGCCACTCAGACCGATGCTATTTCCTTCAACGGACTTCAACAAAATGTCCACACATGACTTGTAACCTTCTGGAGTACTCTTTATGTTATTAACAAACTCAATAGCTTGATTCTTCAAGGCAACATCTGAAGTACCGCTCAAAGCGATCTCAACAGCCTGGAGAATCTGTTGTTCCATATTATATTGCTGCTATTGTATAATGTTGTATAACGTCGTATAATGTTGTTGCTTTTGTCGATGTCTTAAGTCTCTTTAATGAATCAGTCAACCACACGCAAACGAAATGATCTCCAATACAAATCTTCTTCCCAGTATATATCCTCTTCCCAATATATGATTAGATGTATACCTTTTCCTTCTCTTTCTCCTGTCTCGCTTTACTACTTGCCTACGAAGACGAATTCACTCCACTGATCTTTGATGGAGTGGGTGGGCTTCTATCTAAAGTTTAATGTGAGTTTCTGTAAACGAAATTTTTTTTGAGAAGGGCGTGTGGGTACCAAATTGAAAATTTTCATGTAAGATAGACATATTATAAGACATAGTGGATACATTTGTATGCTCTTCTTTACATATATATATACCTTATATGTAGATAGAGATCTTATATGAAGATAGAGATCTTATATGTAGATACTCTTATATATATGCTTAGTCTAATACCGCATACTTCTTCAAATGGTCCGGTAACACCAGATAAAACCCCTTAGACTCCAACCATTGCTTTGAAAAGATCCGATCAGAATACTTATGGGCTGAATCAGCAAGAATGGTAACCACATTAGATCCTTCAGGTAATAACTTTGCAACCTTAGTAGCAGCAACAACGTTAAGGGCACCAGTAGCTCCCAAATAGAGTCCTTCTTCATCTAACAACCGATACAACATGACAATAGATTCTTCATCAGGAATTTGAATGGCATCATCAATCAACTCTATATCACCAGCCAAATTATCAGTAACTCTACCTTGTCCAATACCTTCAGTGAAAGATGAACCTCCTCTGACGATTTCCTTACCATTGGATTTAATGTAAGAGTAAAGCACAGATCCAGGAGGATCTGCCAAAAAACTCTTGGTCTTCCCATCAGAGATCTCTTTCAAATACCGTGTAACACCAGCAAACGTACCTCCAGTACCAGTGGAGCAGGTGAAGGCATCCACGTTCCCATCCAATTGGGTCCAAATTTCGGGTCCAGTGGTTTCAATGTGTGCTTGTCTGTTGGCAGTATTATCGAATTGGTTGGTCCACACAGCATTTTCCAAAGAATCAGCATGTCTTTTTGCTTGGTGATTATAATTCATTGGATCATCAAAGGGTTTGACAGGTACAGGGTGCACCTCACAGCCCAAAAGTTTCAATGTCTCAATCTTAGCCTTGGATTGGGTGTTTGGCATGTAGATGACGCAGTTATATCCACGACTACGACATACATGTGCTAATCCAATCCCAGTATTACCAGCAGTACCTTCAACAATGGTTCCTCCAGGTTTAATTAAACCCTTTTCTTCAGCGTCCTTAATAATAAATAATGCGGCACGATCCTTAATAGATCCACCAGGGTTCATGAATTCAGCCTTAGCATAAATATTTCTCTTTAATTCTTGGGATAACTTGGGTAATCTCAAAAGTGGAGTATTACCAATGGCATCCGGAATACCGTTCTCGGAGACCAATGGAATGAACGGTAACTTAACTGAACTACGTTCGGTGATCGAAATAAACCGTCTGGCAATTCTCAACATTTTTCTAAGGTGCTAAACGCATAAAAGATCTTAGTTAGTTAGGAATCATTACAGCTTTAAACGTAGTGCCTTCGTTTGGGAATAATCAAATCTCACGTGACCGCATCCATTACATAATCACTTAACTAATTATGTGTTATATTTTCGCAACCATCTTTTATGCATAATTTGAGGGACGTATGTCTTCAGTAAATTAAAGTCAGTCACTCTGGAGAGAAAGAAAGCCAAATGAAATTAGCGGACTTTGAAATTGAAGTGCAGTAGAAAAGTCCATCGCATTCGATGAAGACCTTGTAAGCCAGAACGCGTGCTCCCCTTCCCTTTAGATTTGTGGAAATGCTCAATTACGATCTTGAATTTTAAATGAAATCTAACAAAGAACTCCCCTTAACGGGTTTTTGTGATCCGATTTTTTTTTCACTGAACCTGCTTTCGTACCTTAGTTATAAAGAATTTGTGTACATGCGCTATATTGCATTGCATACCGGGTAGCTAGTCCGGAACATCGAGTTCAACCACTAACCCAATTTGAGATGACCCCCCTATACCACAATTATTTTGCACTTTTTGTATATACATTCGTGACCAACAATCGACGCTACGGTTTTTGGCAGTTATACTATTTAACAAAATCTCTACTGTAGGTTGCTCTTAGACATGAATATGGAACTGGAAGCGCAAAGCGAAATGTACTCTTGGTGGGGTCAGTCAGCAAAGAGGATGATATGATGTTCTGCAACTTAGTATTGTGACCCAAATATGCAGAGTATCATAAAACAACACGGAATAGCCTTCACTATTATAGCTGCGCGGTACTTCGTAATGAGTTTAAGTGTGCTAATTTCAAGTACCGCAAAAGAACTTGTATGTAATAGTGATGGGTGAAATTTTTCCCAAAGGACGAATGCTTGAATGCAGCAAACATGAAACTGTGGTTTGGTCTTCTTAGCAACTATCTTGCTACACAAGTTCATATCGAGCAGCAGAATTTTTCTTAGCTGTCATTACCTGCCTGCGCTATACAGAGGGTGCAAAAAGGGCATAATGAATGTACGATGGCTAAATACTTAAAACTCAGCTGTCTTCTATTTTTCAGTTTGATGCAACATCACTAATTTTTTGTATCGACGGCCACAAGCAAAAGTATGACAAAAGTTCTGAGAATGTGATCACAAAGTTATACTACTCTAGCATCTCATTACTAAACAGTATACGAAGGTAAGACTTAATTGGTAAACGTGTTTGTGAAGATTTCATTTCGATTGCTACATTGAATACAACCTATAAGTTAGCTTTTTTAAATAGGATAGAATTATAAGTAGATTAGATACCAATTACGCTTGCAGGAAGCAAAGTGATTTTTCGTAATTGATGGTGCATATAGTTTAGGTCAGCCATATCAAGATCAAACAAGTATTTATTGTCGGAAAAAGACCCCTCAAGGCTACCGACCACAAAAATGGCTCAAACATAAATAAACCATTTGTAAATTGGTCAAAGTAATGCAATGCGACAGCAAGGATCTTGACAATAATTTGAGCCTATCCATGTCAATTACTGAGATACATTATTGTCGCAAAATTCTTAAAATACCCAGATACAAACGATACTGTGGCTTAGTTTTATGCTATATCAAAACTAACCGCCACAAACTGAAAACCAGCTTCAAGTGCGGAGAGCAGTTCATTAGCATGGCAATAATCCCATCCTAAATAGTCTGGATTACAGCACAATAGTCACACAGAAGGACAGTAATTCTTTAAAAGGGAGGTTCACTAATTGTAAATTTTGTTTTCAAAGGGTTCGAAGAATAACAATAGTCTAATTTTAAAGCTACAGGAATGACAATAACTATTTACAATAGAACAAGCTATATAACACCCTTAACATTTCGCGTTATTCACAAAATAAGCAGTTCTTTACCCCATCAAATAATTACTGAGTTAATATTTAATAGTTCGTGCTAACCTTACATTTAGAATAAGGAATGAATTCAACAAGATGCTACTAGTAAGAATAAGCAATTCGAAATCTAACGATTTAACGTTATCATCCATAGTGGTAGCAATTAGCAAAAGATGGCCAGGTTGCCAATAACACTGAAGTTGTAGATAATTTATATCAGACGATTTTAAACACCGATTATGAAGTTACATAGAGGACTAAGAATATCCTGTACATGCCAAGGATTCTATTGTGGTATTCAAATTACAATAGGCATTATTCTTTTAGCCAGTTTTAGGTATAAGCGATAAAGGATCTTGGACTAACTTATGCTGTAGATAAAGGTAAAAGGCGGAGTCAGCGCTGGTATTATGAGCCAAAACGTTCTATTCCAACCCATAGTGGGGCTTTTTTGGTGTTAACAGTTCTTTACAATAAAATTGTGGTAGCTTGAAATAATATAGAAAATACATTTGTTTCCAGATAGTCCATGCAAAACAGCATACATCATGGCCAAGGCAAGACAAGGAGGGCAATTGGTCAAGAAAAGCATGTCCTTCCAAAAGAATTGACTACGAGCTTTACGAGATGTTGGCAGTATTTAGGATGCGGAGTTTATGGTCCGGTCTATAAGTGTGTCTTCCATCTAATAAAACTTGTATCACGTCTCATTATATCACCAGCCATTTTAGTAGTGTGTTGAAAACCGATAGACCATTGGTTAACAAGTACGTGTATAACAAGGTCCAGAACAACTAATTTCGTTCTTATTCAGGTACAGAGTTTTAAAACTTTTGAAATTTCTATAGATTCTCTATGCTTGCAGATAATTAATGTCACGCATCGCAGCACAGTGCATGACTCGCTGATAGTAACTAGTACCCAACTTCTTTCTGCGGACAACCATTGACGTTCTGCAAATATTAAAACCGTTAATCTGCTACTTAAAGATTGATATCGTGCACTAAGCAAGAAGTACTTAATTCTCAGATTCTTTCATAACTCTGGCATTTTCCTACAATACGTTACTTGTAACATAGCAATAGTTTGGTTTCATGTTTCCCGATTAGCAATTGTAAATGAGCCGCAGATAGAATTTTGCCAAAGAAGAAAACCCTGGTAAATAAGGTATAGTTTAGTCCAAATATTGCTGCTTATGTTTGAGCTCTCTAACTTTCTCTTTCTCCACTTCTTTGAAACTTCGTGCAGCAGAGAATATGCAGACACTCATCGAGACACTTTCACGTTTCTGTAAAACAATCCTACGCATGAGAATGTCCGCATATGTTTATGCTTCTGCATAAAAAGAGGCTTGACAATAGGGAAAAAAGCAGACACTGATGATGTCTATTTGAGTTCAGCAGACTCTGCGATAAAACAAAACAATAAGCACGTAACTTCATCTTGCTTTGTAACGATGATACGGAGGGCAATTCCAAACGGTGGAATGAATTCAATGTTTGAATACATTCCCAGCAGCTTTTGACAACTCCTAGGTCTACAGGGGTCCTGGCCGAAGTGATTTAAAAAGGTCTGGCTAAACTGATACAATATCAAAGATCATGGTTTCACGGCTCGATGTTTTGTTAGACAGCTATGAGTGGCTTTAAGATGTAACTTGGGAATACATAAAGGACAAAGCCTGGACATATTAAGCAACTTATGACAGGTTCCCATGGGCTAATGTTGAAATTAACTTCGCAGACACAAAATACCTCTTCGCATGGAACTGAATTTTTTTTTTTTTTTGGCTTAGTGTGGCAATTGATTTCCTGATAATATTTTCTTTTAGTCCATCTAACGCTCCCCAATTTCCGATGCAAGGATTGTTGTACAGTGTAGTCAGGACAAGTATTTCTTTGCTTTATTTTAAGCTGATTTCAAGCACGCAGGAAATATTGTTAGATCCTTCATCTTAAACTTCGCAATAGTTTCTTCACTCTTGGTATATAAGTGTTACACCTGCCTATTCTTAAAAACAAATTAGATGGGTGCAAAAATCAGATTACTTTGGTTATCATAATTTAAGTAGTTTCCATTTGTTAGCATTGGATTGGAGTCATCATCGTCTTTTAGACCTCAATTCAAAAACTACTTCTCTGTGTTCACATATTTTTTTAGACCTCCATCCTTCCCAAGGAGTTTTTCGATTATATAAAATTCCCTTTGTTGTGTTTTCATTTCAAATAGAAAACACATTAATTATGGCTTACATTCCTACAATTGCAGCATCTCCCGAAAAGCTACCCTCGTTCACAGAATTGGTGGGTACCTTACCGTTCACCAACGAACCTTTAAGTTCAATGCCTACAATGGGAACTAACACCCCTGTGGAACCTCAACTAACAACTCCCCCTTCCTCCGCCAAAGTTGTACCCTCAAGTGATTGCGACAACATTTTGTCTACGTCTCCATTGGCATTTCTGAGACCAATTATCACTAAGTCTACTTCAAATGGATACTTTCTGCATCAACTACACTTGTATTCCAAAACATTATGTGCTTCTTTTAAAGCAAAGTCAACATCATCCAGCTTACCATCACCGAAATCAATGGCATCCACACCTTCTTCACCCTCAGAGTACAACAACAATTACATTCCTGTGCATGTGTACCTGAACATCACTATGACTCCTATGCCTGGTTACTCAATGCCAGGCGCGCCTCCAACATTGGCACCTCCAATGGTGTTCCACCAACTGCAACCTCAACATCAGCATCATCCCCTGCAACAATTGCCGATAACTCAAGCAGCACATGTAATGCACTCATCGCCACATACAATGATACATCAACACAATACTCCGTTAATGACATATGATGCATCGTTAATGATGGCCAATATCAATAATGCTTCTACTGAAAGCCTTAATTATATTAAGGCAACAAATGAAGATTCCAAGCACATTGTGGGGAGTTATACTTCAATGGTCCCCCTTGAAAAGAAACTAATTTTCCATACCCGTGGTAAAGAATCTAAACGTCGTTACATATGTAAAGTTTGTTCTCGTCCTTTTACTACCAGTGGTCACTTAGCTCGTCATAACCGTATTCATACTGGTGAGAGAAGACATCAGTGCCCATGGCCAACATGTTGCGCCAAATTCGCTCGTCAAGATAATTGCATGCAACACTACAAGACACACGTGAATGGAAAGCGTAGGAGCAGAAAGTGTATTGATGAGATCGAAGAGGGAGAAGTTTCAAGTGATTCAGATCTGCCACAAAGTTAAGTATGATAGTTTTATGTTTCATTAATTGGGTATATGGGTTATTGGTTTATTATATCAGGTAATATAGATTAGTTTAAGACTGAATGAATTTGAATGAATTATAAGAATGTAGATGAAACAGGTTGGAGAAGATCTTAATTCGGAACTCTTCCAGCTTAAGGTTTATGAGACTAAACTATTCGCTTAGTGCGAATTATGTTGTACTTGCATTAGATCGACATTTACAAAAAATAATCATGTTGACTTGGTGATCGCGTACAACAATGTTGGGAATGCTTGCAAAGCAGATAAAATCAGAAAGGAAGGTATATTTCATCGATAAAGCGGCGCACATTTGAGCTTTTTAACTTGATTATTAAGTCCAAAATGCCTGGCCGCTCCACCACTGCAGGTTCCAGACACAAATATACGCAGTCTACTCTTAAGTCCGAAAGATACTTCATCAGGTAAAAATACGTGACAAACTTGTTCTATATCGTCTAGAAAAAAAGCTGTCAGCCAGATATACTCGTGGAGAGGAGCTTTAGCATACTGGAGGTAGATGTCAGATTGTTCGAGCCTAGGAGCACCCTACGTGAAAGCTGACGTTTAAGTAACATTGAGCAAACGGCAAAACCTCAGACCCCATATGATGATATCCGATGCACGTCATTGCTCATGAAATTCACGAGTACTCGGTTATGCCTTTACAGAGGATACAAAATAAAAAAGACTGAGCATATGTGAATTCATGCACCTTCGATCATTCAGGAAAGTTGAACGAGAATTTTAACTTAATGGCGTCAAAGTTTAATCTATATCTTTAGTGGTAAAAAGATTGGCATTTTAAATTTTATTTATTTTCTATTATTTAAAATAAGGCCCCGCCTAAAGTTAGATTAGGGTTAATTTTAATGGTAAACGCATCTGCATATCCTGCTCGCTTCGGTGACAGCCTCGTTTCAATACCGCAAATGGCATTTGTAGGAACGTATTGTATTTTTTAGTAACCACATGTAGCTTTCTAGATATTGAGGCTTCCAATCCTACATACAGTGGACAAGATATTCATTATCAGAGAAAATAAACTTTCTTATAACTTTTCCACCAAAGTTAACCTAGAAAGAATGGCAACATCCGAAAATTCATTTAGTAGAAGGAATTCAATTGTTCTGTTTATTTTTGAATGAAAGAAGACATATCGGGATCTTGTAATTTATTCAGGGATACACCTTAGCAACGTCTAAAACGCATCCTGCAAGATCATCTGCAATTGATAAAGGTTGAGGCTTTCTGGAATTCATCTTTCGGCAGACAGATAAGCGACAACAAACCTCATCCTGAGAATGTGTCGTCGATTAGAATTTGCCAGTGCTCGCGTGTTCGCGATATTTTATTTGCATTACTATCCCCCCCTTAAAGGTTGCCAGTCTTACTGTAGCATTTTCATCTCGGATAAAAAACATTGCTAATATAATCTTAAAAAAATCAACAGAACTATTCCCAAAATGGAAAAAAGGAGAGTTACCACTTCTTTCTGTAATTCTGGTACCTTTCCAAAACTTATATTTAATAAAGCCGAGATTAGGAAAGGTACAAAAGGAGCAGTTTGTGACAATACATAAAGACCCAGCCAAACAAGATTCCATTTATATATTGCAGTTATGAATTTGACAATGGATCTTAGTGTGAACAGGTCCTTGTCTCACAAACATATCAGGCCATGTTTCTGTTTAGTCCCTTCTGAACTATGTTGAGAAATGTGTTTCACCACAAAGTGTTCAAAAGATGTGGTAGACAAGGCTTTGACTAAAACCTAAACAACTAATTAATTTTCGGAACTCAATTTTAAATCAAAAGCCCCAAATCTTCTTGCTTCCAGAAGCTTACGGAAAGAACATTAGATTCCTTTATAGTTCAAATAAACTTACGGAATCCGTCTCTCCTATTATATCACAATAAATTTTGTTTTTCTTCACAGGAACAGGGAACATCAAGTTAAGGAAATTTCTTCGTAATTGGTTCTGGGAGGTACTTTATTAGCCGCGTTGCCCATACAAGGATGATGATGATAAGATAAACATATTGTATTGCCCCAGATAATAAATGGTGGGATTGAAGAGCGATTAACTTAATTCAGGGTCTTTGAGACTAAAATGTACAGGTCATTGTGGTGAAAAAAAGCTCCTACATTGTAGGACTTATCGATTTAGTGCTAAGCCTTTGGGTTTGAAAGATTATGACTACCTAAGTTTACCTGTTGCTTTGAACCCAATTACCACGAAAGACTTAAACTTTACGAACAGTTGTCACAAATTTTAACGCAGCGAAGAGTGTTGATAATAGCTAATATTAGAGTTGGCAGGATACGAAACCTTAGATTAGCAAATCTGATGTTTAGTTAGAAATAAATATCCCAGAAGCGAAGAAGATTCAAAGGGCAACATTTATTTTCCTTTTATATTATCTCTCATGAACCAACGATGAAGCTTATTTCGTTGCTCTTGCAACTCAATTGAACAATTGGTTTTGGATTTCCTTCTAGAAGTGGTTTGAACTCTAAAGAAACTAACAACGACCCTGCGACAATGGCGTGCAACTTAACCTTGATTATAACTTTTAAGGTTTTGAGACACAATAGCAGATTATTGGATAAAAGCAAAGCATACCGAATACTAAATACATATCTTTAGCTTCCCAGGTGGTTCGATTCTCTGTGTGTTAGTTCTTTTTTGGAACAACTATAATATTACATAAAGCCTGTCCTAATTTAGCTGAATCGACACCAAGGATCCCGACGGAAATTGCAATAGACAACATATTAAATATTCTGCTCCTAAGCTCTATATCTGCACCTCTCGGACATCAAGCCTTCTATATGGCAGAAAACAGGGGTCAAAATTGGCTGCGGCTTAGTTAGAATATTTGCCCCATTATGGCACTCAGCTCATATCTATTGGTTTACAGTAAGGTTTGGAAACAATAATTCCGAACAACATTTGCAATTTTACGAAAAGCGGATCTGCACTACATACTGTTACTATTTTAATAATTCTGATTTACTTCGTATTCGTAATTTGTAAGAGCGAAATAGACTATTGCAGTACAATATCCCATGAATTTCGATTTGGCTTTCGCATTCACTCATATATTATCAGCATCGTGAACATTAACGTAGAAGGCCGTATTGTTAAGTTCTCGATTGAGAACATAGTTAATTCCGTTAATGATGACTTTATTAAATTTAAGGCTGTGAAAGTTTTCACCATCGGTGGTTTCAAGTTCGTGAATGTATCGAGATTCGGCATCTCCACGATGGAGCCTTAATAACGAACGTACTAAATCATTGACATAATGACTAATACAAATACCGTAATTGTGGTTGAATACATGCTCATCAAAGAAGCACCTCAGAGGCATTTCATTTTCAGCGTCGTAGAAGATATCACCCTCATAATGGTCATGTTTTCTATGTGAAACATGATCATGAATATCCTCAAATTCTGCATGATGAAATGTGCGCTGATTAAGGCATTTAAAAGGAGTGCATCCTTTTCCAATGTAATTCGTATGAAAGTTCCACATTCGATTTATAAGAGGGAACTTCAACAGATGTGTCATACCATCCATAATATCAGGGTTATTAAACACTATCATACGTTGACTAAGATATTGCCCAATAGAACTGACGACATGGGATGACACGATATCTTTGAAGCAGTCCTGAGAGTCATTGTAATACTGATGCGTGAAAAGATATTCGTCAATGTAGTCCAAGTAATTGAGACAATGCTGACATTTACATCCATTCCAAAGCACTGTATTCATTGCTTGTTCGTATGATGCTAATGAGGAAACTAAATTAGGAAGAATCAAAGTAACTTTTTGATGAAAACCACTTGGTAACAACTCTCTATAGAACTTGAGGCGTCTTAAATAGTTTCCATCAACGCCATCATCTCTGTACATGCTTTCTTCTGGGATCCAAAGACGCATGTATAATAATTTGAGGTTTGGTAATGATTTTATGAAATTAAGAATTTCGAGTTCAAAAGTTTCGATTCTAGAGTGGTTGCTAAATTCTGGTGTATCTTGAATAATACTCAAGTGTGTGATTCTGCCTTCTAATGGGACGAGGGCCGTAAAGGCTTCTTCAATAACATCGAAATTAGCTGTTCTAAAAACTATTTCCAATTTGGAGACTTTTACTAAAAGTGGAACCAACTTGTTAATTAATGCCAAATTAGTTTTAGTGATAACCAATCTGAATGCCAATAGTGACGAGAATCTAAGGGGATGCACTTCTCCATTGTTTAATCGTAAAAGCTCTATGAAGAAGCAATCAAATGAAGTTGGTGATACGATAAGGCTACTTAACTGTTTCAGTAATCTCAACCAATCTTTATCTATAGGACCAACAACGTCTGGACAATGCCTTGTGATTCTTACACTGGTAATTCCAGAAGTCTCTGGTAGATTAAGGCTATCGATAATTAATTCAGTGGCATATGGCAACATCGCATAGTCAATTTTCAAGTTTTTGCGAACTTCAAAACTACTTGCATGAATAACTTGCAACTTGTTTGAAGATACAGATTGAATTAAAGATACCAACTTACGTAATGAATCAACTATGAGACTATTAAAGGTACCCAATATGTATATTTCCTTAACGAACTCTATAAGTTCAATATTGATCTGCATTGACTGGATTAATGCTTCCAATTTAGCCCAAATTAGTTTATATTGGTTAGTCAAGCTGTAGGCTTGATGCTTCTTCAACGAGTACCCATAAAGAAAAGTAACTTGTGAATGCATAAAATCCATCAGCCGGCCAATGTTGCTCAATCCTAGAACCTGGTCTTCTATTATCACGATCCGAGAATACAATTTTCTTTGGCATGGTCTGTAGTAATGATAGTTGGTTAATGCTAAGTTTCGCACATCATTCTGTCCTAAGAAAAACAACACATTATCAAGTACCTTTTCAGGCAAATCCTGCAATTGCATCGCTGTAGAAAATCACTCGGACTAACGGCAGCAAGATCAATGTTCGTTATAGTAGAAGGGGAGGTGAATTGCCTGGTGTTGCGGTGAAACCATCCTACTGCATCGTGAACCCCACAATTTTTAGTCCAAGAACAAATTCAGATACTGCAACCCAAAATGTTTGTATCACGTGACAACATAGTTTCAACTTACTCTTAGGCTATTGTACTTTAAATAGACATACTTGAAACATGTAGCAACTAATAACCTTGTGATTTATGTCAAGTATCAAAGAAGAAACCAAAATGTTGAATTGAATATGCTCGCAACTTCGGATCAAGTCCGAAACGAACGAATAGAATTTGACTGTATCTCTACGAGGCGCTAATGAAACTAAAACTTCCACTGAAATTGCAATTTTAGTTAGTATCTTCCCCCACTTAGACATTAAAAATCCGAAGCACTTATTTCAGAGGCAAAAATGACCGTGTCGCAAAATTCGTTTACGAGAACACGAGTGACTGCTAGTAGTGGCAAAGAAAATATGAAATAGTCTGATTGAGCATGTGTTCAGAAACAATTTTCAATAAGGTCCAGTGATACGAAGAGGGATAGAATAGCCGTCAGGGCAACAAAGAATGGTCTACTTATGGGACGGCTGATAAAGAACATTCCAACAGACGCAGGGTTGAGATACTTACTAATCAGACAAAAATCATCGCATCCCCACCCCAAGTCTACCTCTAACAACAGACATAAAATATAACCCATTTAGCATGGCTTCTTGAAGTATTCAATACAATTCCCGCTAGCTAACTTCCAGACTGAATTAACCACGATCTTGTTCTGAATAAGCAAATCGGTGTTTCAGCTCAGCTAAACAACTGATTACATTAAGTAAAATTACAGTAGCGGCTTTCAAGAATTTGACCCATTACGCGTGAACTTTGATTGCGAGGAACAATTCAATCAAGCATAATACCTGCGGTTGTAGTTACCTTACAACAAAATTTCTTTATTGTTGGGTGCGAAAATTCGTACTGGAGTATCATAACGATGCAATGGGTTTCATACTATGAAGTAATCCTATCATTAATTTTCATTCGATGACATAATTCTTTCCATTTAGAGTTGTTTAGTTATATCGTTACAAAACGACTACTGCAAAATTCATGCAACTTAAGTTTTGAAGCATAACTGTGATGAGTTTACTTCGGAATTAATCGCGGAGGGAGTTAACCTGTGGTTAATTTGCATTCGCTGCAAGTAACGGAAGACATGTATTTGCCTAATTAGCGCTTTACAGAGAATCATTGCATATGGCAACCTAGAAAATTGTCTGGTGTTTGTTACATGCTACACTTCGTAAAAGTAATCTGAAACGATCATACAGGCTCTTAAAACTGGGTCTTACATATGATGTTCGGTGAGACCGATATGACGGAAGATAGATTTGAGGAAGAACTAAATATGAATAATACCCAAAAAGGTCGTGACTTCTCTTAATAATATTTTAATAATAGAACAAATGCTTAGATAATACCTCGTGCCTTATTATTTGAAGTATACCAGCTAAAACCAACAGGTAAAACTTCTAAATTTGCAACGCAAGATAACTCGTGTCCAACCTTTCATACTTTTGCTTCGTCCTATCATAACAGGAAATAGCGACATCGGTAAGAGTAGCTCATCCCTAATCATTCTGCAGAAGAAGCTTTTCGTTGCTCAACGAAGGGAAACAAGGCACAGTGACAATTCCCAATTCATTTGCAACTACAATCACTTTCTTACCTTAAATGACTAATTCTAATCTGAAAAATTTTCCAATTAAACTCAAGTATTAGTTTGCAACAGCGTACACAACTCCGTTTCCAAGGACGAAGGTAAGAAAACGAAAGAAGTTGCCGCGTGGAAGCTAGCGCTTACCATCATGATATGTCATCCGAATTGCGTTTGTAGACTTTCTTACCAAGGCAGGTTTGATGTTAATACGGGAAATCATATGAAATCATATCAAGTTGTTTATAAGGTCGGTCTAGTGTTTTGCAACCCCTTCCAGCGCTAATGTACCGTACAACACGATTTTTTAAAATTGCTGTTATTATGTTATCAAGTACTCCGGAGTGGAACTGCAAGCGATTTTCTAATCTACCTAACAATCCGATGGTCATCAAGCAATTATCAGTGAAATTCCCACCTTTATCGCGATAAATTGGGGAGAAGATTCAAGCTCCAAGTAAAATCATGTACACAGGGCAATTATTGTTACAACTTAATAGGCTGCAAGTATTAAGGGTAACCTTATAATTTTATAAACAATTCAATATTTTGCAAATGCGTTACTTAAAACTCATAATAGGAATAGATACGGAAGTCAGCTATAGCCAAAGTAAGCTTTAAGGTTTTGCCTACAGACCAAACGAACTCCTAGTACGATATCTAGTCTTCATAGAAAACTAATGAACATTGCTAGTGCATGTGAAACTAGCTAGCGAAAACATAAAGTCACCATAATTTCTCTTTAAAATTAACACCAGGTAGACACAATTTACTAACTTAACTCCAAACACAGCCACCACCTCAAGGAAATCTAATATGACACGCTTGACCATGATTCTTGGAGTTTTCAAGCGTAAAAAGATTTCCAGGATCAACGGAGAACGCCGAAGACATGGTACTTGGCGTGGTAGCCAAGTGGTAGTAGGTTCAAACACCAAAATATTGTTAACAGGAGGAATATAAGTACAGTACCTCTTCTTCTGCAAACATTGAATCTTCAGCCTTCCTTCAAAAGAATCCAAAGAAATTGAAACGGAGATATTATATTCATCCTATTCAATAGGAGGCTCCTCCAGAAGTGATTTTTTTGACCTTCAATTGTGGGTGGATAATTAGACGTAGCTGGTTCATTATCTTCAAGTGAAGCAAACTATTATCAATCTTGTTAGCGTTGCAATTTAGTTTTGACAATATTGGCCTTCATGTACACATTTTCATGAAATACAAGCTATTGGTACAAACTCAGTTTGTTAATAAAATTACCAGTTAATTATTCGTTTATGCAAGGCAAGTTGGTATTGTACCCATAATTTAGAAGTTCACATTCAAGAGAAAAGAATCAAGCATGCATATTACACGGCTTGGACTTCTACCAGGTCATCACTTCCTGAAGAAAGAACTGGCTTTAAATCGTATACATTGATTGAGAATATCCACAGTCAAATGAGAGAAAAGTAAATCCCTATAACAATGAAACTCTTAATACAAATTCCGTCGAATAATTTCATTACTACATATATGCCTACACTTTTCAATATTGATTGTCCAGGGATTGTTGGCTATTTTATACCATAGTATACAAACTATATACCAATTTGAAGCTTGAGTTTCCATAGAACAAACAAAGGTACTCAATTGGTTTATGCTCACTACCGAGGCGCCTTTTTAACCACTTAAAAGGATCATTGACTGCCCCCGAAAACTATAAGAAGCATTCGTTTAAAGGGCAGTACTTAAATATATTTCCACTAAGGTTATTTACATAAGCATTAGAGAAAGAATATTTTAGTTGTATCGCCCAACTCGCCTTAAGGGTTGGAGTACAGACAAAATGATAATCTATTAACAAGATGACTGAAAATTTAGTATGGACTTGTTTTGGCTAGATAGGGTATAAAAGCGTAGATGCTAGAATGATGAATAGCCGAAATCCCCAACATCAATACTCAATGTTGCAAAAGTTTTGACCTTCTTTGGAGTACCATTGGTTAGACGGTGCGTAGTCTAGCAGGCTAATTGATAAGTGCATGAACCAAAAAATCAACTCAACCAGTGATGGTAAACGCACAGAACCTATATAACTCTTTATGCTTTCACTAGAGTGCTGTACTGATGATCAAAATGTTAACCGTAACATCAACATTGAAGTCAAAAGTAGTGATTGAATAGAGCATATCTATGTTAATTTTGATGTTATCAGTTCATCTTCTACACAACAGGGAATTGAAATCAATTATATTCATTTATAAAATAATGCTAAAATGTAGAGCTCAGGTCCAAAAGATCCATCTTATAGAAGTTTGAATCACCAATCTTATGATGATATTTCCAATAATTCACCTATGGTAACGGTTAAAAGATTTGTTCAATCTCTTGCCTTGATACCAAAGGCAGCTCTGCCAGCATAGAACAAAGGCACAGCAGTGGCAACAGCAAAAAGACCGTAGAATGGGTAGACCAAAAGCTTAGACTTAGCACCTCTTAACCACAAGACTTCACCAGACTTTTGGTAACGCTTTTGTAAATCAATAATTCTTTGTGGGTTAGCCATCTTGAATAAATATATCTCTAAAGTTCAACTGTTAACACATGCTCTCAAAAAAATAATACACAATAGTGATGCCACTATAAGTATTCCTTAATCCGATTCTCGACCGTATACATACAATTGAACAGCTGTAACGAAGTATATGCTATCCTTTAGTTGGTAGGTAGATATTACTTACAAAACATCAGTTCATTTTTTTATTCGAAGAGTTTTTGAGAAAGTCACGTGACAGAATGTTTGTTCAGTAGCCAATGATAGAGTCTTAAAATAAGACCAGCGCGCTTCCAAATACGTAACGTGCCAAATCACACGTTCTGGCTAATGCTGTTCAAGTTAATGTACAGCTTTGGATTACATGCTTTATCCATTCCTTACTACTTCTCTTTACACAATACAATAAGTTCAACATGAAATGACTCTCAGTAAACCAATCCCTTTAGTCACGGCGACTCCCGAGATCCAGTTTCCAGTAACTCTGATTGGTTGTGGAAATACTCAACTGCCCTTGCAAGACTCGACAGAGAATTGTTTCTACCAGATGCTTCTTCTGGCCACATAGAGTCATCCCCTTGTAAATTGTGATGACGATTATGCAAATGATGATGATTTTGGAAATGAAGATCTGGATCTGTATCACTGAAACCTTCAAACTGTACACTATCCACACTGCTATTAACACTATGGAAATCATCATCATCATATTCATTTAAAACTATAGCATCTTGTTCAGATTCCCCCATTCCATGTTCATTTTCTTCATCTGTGTATACCACAAACGAGTCCTCGCTGTCTATTCCATCGCCTATTCCATTCACCGTAAATTGTTCTTGATCGTCAGAATCATCATCATCAGTATCGTAATAATCATCATCTCGAGGTAATCGGAATCGTGTACCACAGTTAAGACATCTATCCCCATGAGCTTCCCAGTGACAATTTCCACATCTGGCAACTCCGTCGGAACTATCAATTAATGTAACTGTTGTATTCTTGAACTTACTTCCAAATATATCACTCCCCTGATCCGTAACTCGATTATACCCTTCCAACGCATTTTCCTTCGCTCGGATAAGTTTATTCTTTCGATCCTCATTATTCTCCATATCAATTGCAAGGTTCACCATGGTTGCCACGATCTCTCGAAGGGCTATATTTACCACTGGTGGTTGTTCCATATCTGTTCGACACGTTGGACAGTTCATCTTGGTATCAAACCAAGAATCAATGCACCCGTAGCAAAAAGTGTGTCCACATTGACAAGTGAATGGAACATACATCATCTCTGCGCAAACAGGACACTCTAGTCCATGTTGTATCTTGGCCAATACATCAACTGCTAAAGGCTGCGCCTATAATAAAAAAAATAATCTCGTTAGTAATAAATCCTCTTCGTCGTACGGCTACAAGCAGTACAAATACAGCGATATGGTAACACTAAAGGCAACAGGTATATATCGTTCCATTTCAAAGATGAAACGACTCCCCGTAAGGTAAAAGGTGGAAAATTAAAACGTACAAGGCCACTCCATTGGTTTTTATACTCATCTGACGACTCCATTACTCCAGCAAGGCAGTCGCTTAGTCTTTTCTACCTCCATGATTTGAACATCTAAACTTCAAGCTAAGCTCGGTTCTCCAAATTTGTAGGATCATCACATCGCTATGTACAGGATTTGGTCATTGACCAATTTGGGGTATATAAACTAAATAAAGCAGTAGTACGTCTGGTTATTACATAAGCATGCAATATCTTCGTTATTATTAATCTTGAACTTTATCTTCTTTTGTTTCAATTAAATCTTGTAACTCTTTTATTGATTTTTCATTTTTTAGTTAATAAAAATAAATAAGGATCTTTTAGAATTATTTTTGTTCTAAAATTAAATTTTGTGCCTAGAAAAATAAATGGAAGATTAACTTGGACTTGGTTTAAAGAACATATCTTCGTTATTATTTGGAAGTTGATGATATCCAGTTATCTAGAAATGACATCATGGAGGTGACTTCTTCATGGACATCCAAGGCATCTTGAGCAAGACGCGCATCGATGTCTCCAAGTAGTCCGTTGATACGAGCATGTGCTTTTGCAGCCATTTCCCAATCAACCAAGTCTTGTTGGACGTTCTTGGAACCATCATTAGTGTTCTCTTCAGGGGTAGTAGTAGATAAATGTAATAGTTTGCATTTGTGCTTTTCTATCAAACGAGAAATCCTTCGTTCAACGTAACCACATTGCTTTGCAATATATGGACTCAATATTACTTCATTAACAGGGAATGCATTTATAACGTTGATAACCGAAGAAAAGTCCCGTTCCCGAACAGCAAGGGATAGTTCAAGCGTTAGTCTCACCATGTATGATCTGTCGTCCAATTCTTCAGGTTTCACAAGCAGTAACAGTGTTCTTGCCTCATCATATAGTTTGTTATTAAGGCAGATACGACAAAGAGTCAATAAATTCCTTGAATTCAACCGCAATTGATGTCCTACTTCAAAGTATTGCTTCAATTTAGCAGTAGAGTCAGGCAATTGATAATTATAAATATCAAAGCTATCAGCAGTCAGGTACATTCTGAACCCTTTGAGAATTTCTAGTATATCAACTCTAAACTTTTGATTCAGCCTCTTGAATGTGGTCAATAGAACTGAGGCTTCTGGCCTAACTCCTTTATTGATCAACTCTTTTAATCCTTCATTCATTCTGAAATCTATTTGATCCTTATATGACTTGAATTTGCGTTTAGAATGAGTGCGCTTCCATTCTATGGATGCCCAACTTGCAGAATACTTTTTAGATTTCAATTTGTTTCGAGCCAAATTATATGGACATAATTGGGACTCTAGCAGTTGAATCTTGGTATGTTTTTGAATTTTGGCTTTGGAGTCACCTGAAAGTTCACTTCTATCCAACCAAGCGTGGAAATTAGTTGAAAAGTCATATGCCATATATGGATATGCTCTAACAAAAGATGCAAATAAATGTTGAACGAAAATATCATCATAAGGAAGACCACTCTCTGCAGCCTTCTTCAATAATGCAAAATGAGGAGAGAATTTTCCCCTTTGACTATAATAGTCACTAATGATGCGATAGAATGTGTCATCAAGAGTTATGTTATATCTCTTCATACTCATTAACAAAAACTGTATCACCTTCATATCCAGTCGAATTGAAAAGTATTCTAAAAAGGAATAATGAAGTGCTCTAAGACTTTCCTTATCATCCTCAGTTGAACGACAAATTTCATCAAATTCAACTAAATCTTCTTTGGTTACTGTTTTCCTGAAACGTCCGGGTTCACGTAACGATATTTTGGCCTGTAAGGACACTGCTTGAATCAAAAAGTGATCAGAAACACCTATTGATTCAACCATATCCATCATTAATTTGACTTCATCTTCTTGACCAAATTTATAGTATTGTTGCAATAATAACGCCATTGTTTTGGCATCTGGAAGTTGGCATTTAGAAGAATTGGCTATCCAAATAGAAAAGACATAACCTAGATTTTCAAATATTGACCCTGCCTTAATAAGATTGTATATTACAGTATTGAGTACCTCAGATTGTAAACCCTTTCCTCTAGAAATCAAAGTTTCGTATAGTGTTTTGGCATATTCAATATCAAACGTTCGTATAGAAGTTGCAAGGAAATAGCAAAGCGTTTTAGGAGTGTATATTTTATTATTGTTGAGATAAACATAAATCAACTGTTGCATAACTTCACTATTATCCAAATGATAGCAAAACCGGGCATAATTGTCCTGGAATACTTGACTTTCAAACATAAAATTCTCATATAACTTGCAGATGTCGAATAAATGAGGTATTCTGATATATATATAGTCATAATATGGCGAAGATGCATTGGGTGAGTGGGTATACAAGGGAACTTCAATCTCTTCTTCTAAAGGCAGACAGTACCGAACAGGTTCGTTGGAAGTAAACTTATCAAATAACTGCGTAATGATGTCTGGATGTACTATAAGATTTTTTTCTTCTAGTGCTTTTGTTAGTAATGTACTAATCAGTGAATAGTCACCCACAGAAGCAAATCTTAACACATTCTGAGTTAACTCCCCGTTCAAGTCATCAATTTCTATCTCCTTAGGAATATGATATCTGACTTTTGGCAGCCGTTTCATAAACAGAAAAGCTGAAGCCAAAGTTAAACTTGCCAGATGGAGATGACTTTCAGGAGCCGTGGCTGGGGCAGGGGAGTTCCTTGTGCCTGAAGAAGATTTCTCTATCCATGCTTCATACGAGGAAGACGCGTCTCGAGGTGGTGTCTTGTATAGATTGCGTCTTGGGCGTAGTTGACAGATATCATGTACCGTTACTCTGTAAGTTCCCGGTCTCTGTGAAAGAGGTATTCGTGAAAGTCGAATAGCCATTCTTTATGCTGATGTAGAGAGAAAAACGAACACACGATATATGACTTCACTTTGCGTGTATGTAAGCACCACCACTTTCCTTGTTATCAGACACTGACTAGATAGTAGCAGCGAAGACATCTTGTAGTACAGGCTAATTTGAGTGGAATGATTTGTGTTGGATAAATGTGTTATATACAGGCAACACAATTAAGAATGTGACATACATTAGTTTGTTTAGTCGTTGATTAACGGCCAATTGGGCAATTGGGCCAAAGAAGATAATAAGAAAGCTAAAGATAAGAATCTCATACACTTGCGGTGTGCTGACTTTCAAGTACTTGTAGACGTTTTTTAGTGCCCTTACGTTGTAGAACTGGTAGGTGGTGCGGTGCTTAGCGGTGTTCAAACTCATAGTGAGTGAAAAATTCAAATCAATAGTTCTGTAAAGACTAAGTAACACTCAAAGTATTTACCGTATAATTAAACATGTCCAATCAACCAAAAACCGTGGATTTGAAACTGTTGCCACCACAACAGATCTTAGAGTTACGGAACTCAACCGAAAGAGAAGTTGAACATTTCACTCAGTCGCTTCAAGCATTACAAACGGCCCAGGCCAAGTTAAAGGAATGTCTTGGTTCTGTTGATAGTATGGGTAAATCAGAGTCTGACGATTTGCTAGTGCCTTTGAGCTCATCCTTATATTTGCCTGGGAAGATTGTTAACAAAGATGAGTACTTGGTGGACATTGGAACTGGATACTTTGTGGGTAAACTGGGAAAAGAAGCTAAGGCCGTATATGAATCCAAGATTGAAAAGTTGAATGAAGACTCAAATAAATTACGAGAAATCTTGGTACAAAAGAATGAAATAATCAATAGTATGAATATAGTCTTACGGAGTAAGATGGCAGAAAGTCAAGGTGAACAATCTGCCACTTGAAAAGAATTTTTCATTTGTCTGTGTATATTAATTATAATAATAGTAATGCCCTATAATTGCATATCTCCATACTCCTTATTGTAAATGAAAGGTTCTGAGACTACTCGTCTTAAATTTTGAACTTTAACATTCCCAATCCCACTAATATTACTTAAACGACTCTGATCTTCAGGTACACAACTCTGAACCACAATCTCCTTGACTGATGAGCATGCTCCGATCAAGTTTGCTGCATCAGACTTGTTGATCCGAGGGACGCTCGTTATTGAATCGACAAAGACAGAATGATAATCTGTGGCCTTTACACCTTCAATGCGTTTCCTCTTGGCTGGAGCAGTATCTAGTCTTTTGGCAAATACAATATAATTTCCCGCTTCTTCAAACGACCATGCCACCACTAATGTCATATCGTTCTTAATACAAATATCCAGAAGTTTGCATAGAACATCTTGATGGGAATCAATATCAACCACAGCTAGCAAAATACGTAACACACTATCCTTGAGAGAGTCTGCCAGAGTCGAAGTTCCCTGTCTTAGATTCTTTATTCGTCTCCAAATATATTCGGGACGGAGTTTATAGTATTTTAATGAAAGAAACAAAAACTGAATGGTGGGACTTATATAGTAATCTGAAAGAATGGTATCATCAAATCGCCAACTGGCAGTTTTCATTAGTGGACTCTTGAATAAAGGGTTACCCTTTTGAGATTTGGCAACCAAGATTTCACTTGGACCTTGGATACGGCCCATCATTCGCCCATCACGTCTTCTATTCATTGGTCTATTGTGCATCTGGTCCGTCGAGGGGTTTGTAGTATTACCTTCCACAGTTATAGAGCCTTCTGTATTGCTGTTATTCCCTATATGAGCTCCTTCTTGTGGTCCACGTTTACGGCGTGGTCGTTCTTTGATAGTCTCAGGTTGTACTTGGTTGTTCGTTGTATTCTGTTCTGAAGTACCATACTGTTGCCGCATTCGCTCCACTCCCGCAAGAATGTTGGCAAACGACACGGCATTCAGAGTTGTTTCATCGTTCATGCTACTGTTGGAAAGATAGAAGGCAATAACAATAAAGGTGACAATAAATCAGGTTTCTATGGAGAATAGAGATCTTATAAATTAATTACGTAATCAGCATAAATCTCAAACGATCAACAATTGAACAGAGAATCATGATATAAACTTGAATAATCAAGTCTTTACTTTTATAAAATAAATTAAAAATGGGATTTAAACTTCCGTATGTATGCTATGTTATATGCTCACTGTCAGGAAATGGTTTGTGGACTCAGCAATAGGTTCTGAGTTCTCCACCTTTCATGCTACCTTTGAGATGTGATAATAAATAGCGATGACTGAAACTAACAAGTTAACTTTATAGAAAGACACACAACGCATATTATGACCCTGTCACATTTAAGATGACACCAGCTTTGTATCGTGTCAGAGCACCTTTCTTTTGGAGAAACACTATAGCTCTTTTTGGTGTATCATTGATCCCCCTTGGAGTCTACATCTATACGTGGAAAAAGTTGGATACCGATGATTTCGGAGATATTCCAATTCCTCCACTTTCAGAAGCTGAAATCGCTGAATTGAAAAAAGAATACGAAGAGAAAAAAAAGCTTGATGCTTGAAGTAGTAGCGTTGGCTAGACCCCCATCTTCATGTATATAGTTGTTTATGTAGCCTAACCTAGCCTAATGAAATGTGTTTATTTGCTTGAAGCCGTAGAAGTATTATTCACATATGCTGAAATATCACAAAACTTCCGAATACTAATTCCAACCAGGAAGTTACTACTAGATACTGTATGAGTATCGTTGCAAATGAATACTGTACAACGGGGTAAGTTTGTTCTTACAGGAGAGAGTGCAAAGCAAGTTTTGAGCTTAAACTGTATGTCTGTACTGTAATATGTGAGGGTCGAAAGGGACCATAGAACCTGCGAGTAAACGTATGCAAAGGTTAGCGATTAAAGAATGTATCTTTGTATGAAGCAAGTCCCGAAAGCGGTAAAAGTTGGCTCAATTCCGTTACTTTCACATTATGAATAAACTTCTTCTCAAAAGTAATCAATGAATTAAATGAGGAGAGAACACACCTTGGCTTACATTACGAAGGGTACTTGTAAATCGAAAGTTGCAAAACTCATGACATTGCTAGTGTTGTTTTATGTTCGGGTCAATTGGTCACTTGTAAGGTGTATGTATTCTGAGTTGTGTAACCCGATGGCACGAACTTCGCTAATGTCTGGAGGTTTTTGAATCGTGTACCAATCGCGGATAAACAATTACATGTTAACATGTTCGTATAATTACACTACATTACCCTTACGAAATTTGGTAAAAGTACGTACGTTTAAAAGTAAAAATTGTAATTCTATGATATAAATTTAAGGAACGATGGGAATCAGCTTACGAAAACTTAGAGGCTTTAACCGTTCCACTAAAAAAAAGGATATCTATGCATATGTATCACGAAGTTCCAGGATATGTATTTTGAAAAGCAGGTTTGAATTAATCTGCGATTCAAACGCATTGACATTTAAGAAGGCTTATAATGAAACTATCAAAAACTGGATTTTGTGAAAGACCTTTTAAAAAGCCGTACACATTTTTATTCGAAACTTCGTTTTCTTTTTAGTACTTGTAGATCTTATAATAGCATATTGCAAAAAAATACAATCAATAGTTGTAACATACTCTGTTTCTCTAGCTTTCCAACTAATAGATTGTATTTTCAAACAAAAGTTGGAGCTCTAGATGCCTTCTTCCGTGAAAGAATATAAGAACACATTAAGGTATCCTTTCGCTAATCCTATATGGACATGTAGATAGTTCAATGAAACTGACCAATAGTACTATAATAAAGACCTTTAAACGAGTTTCCTGTGGATCTTGCCACAGATTGAAATAAAAAAATGAGCCCGCTTCCAATAATCACACCAAAAAGTGAATTTTGCGTTTTAATATTAACACAAGTATCTCTGAAACTCAATGGAAATAATTTGATTCGGATCATAGCCTCCGGTTTTGAGTGGTACTCTTCTTTTGAATCAAACAAATGCAAATCAATTACCCTCTAAATTTGGTAAGAAAGCTGGTTAAAAAATCAAGCAAAATAGGTATTCATTCCACTTTTTGCTATCGTTAAATCATGAAGGACATTTTGCATAATACTCGATTATCAAGCCATCTTAGCTGTAAATATACTATCAAGGCATTCTTTTGAGTTATGATCAATTAATTATTCTTTCGCTGTCGTATTAGTGAAGATGGTCCAGATCAACAGGAAACCTGCCCTATCTGAGCTAAGCTTCTTGTGGTTTTATGGATTAAACCTATAATCAAATTAGCTAGAAGGTTTTGATACTCTAGCAGGGTGTTTGGTGTCATATAATGTATGCTAGGTGTCACCGGGCTTTTTTGATCTCCACTCCTAGAAAGGAATCGCTCTTATATGTGTTTTCCCAGTTTGCCAAATCAAATTATACATTTTTTAAAGTATTCCCCTCCAAAAAAGATTAATAAATATGCTATGGTATGGAACTCTTAACTAAAATAATTGTTGTGACTTATTTGATCTTTTCTTCTTGACTGTCCATCATTGGTATAGAGGACGAAAACATTGATAAATCCACCCACAGACTCAGAGTTGATATAGGCTTTCAGAAATGATTCCACTTTCGTCTTATCCAGAATATGATAGCTTCAAAACATTTTCCAACAGTGCTCCTTCATCAGATCTTCAATGGTGCTAGACATAATTTTATGAGCTTGCACTTTGCTAATTATTGTTACTAGTTTGCTGATTTGGTGTCTGCTCTCAAGTTCTTCAAATGACAGTAGTATTCCTTAGATAATGAATTAATCCACTAACTCATTAGGCTTACTTCAGAAAGGCTCATTCACTCTTTCCTATTAATTGACGAGAAAGGTATGCAAGCTTCATACCAAAAAATCTTTTTCCATTATATTTGACATAGACAGTCCTTAGAAATCTGTACCAACCGGCTCAGAATTCAAGTAGCAGATTATCGAATTGGAGAATTTAACAGCTTTGTTAATATTGATATTTACATATCTTCCTTGTAAATGGCCATATTCTGCTGTCCCTGTCACTGATAAAAAAGGAAGACTTTTGATGAAAGCCGGAAAAAATTAGATGACCTTTGCCTCACATCAACAAACTTCTAAGCGCTTTCAGAGCAAGTTAAGAAAGTATTCCTTAAGTAGAATAAACCTTAATTGGGTTAGATCAAGCTTAACAATCAAGTTGCAGCATATTCCACCTTCTAAACAATTAATCCGGCATATACAACCACTTATTTTACGATGCCTTTTACCAAAAGGGACAATTAAGGGTCTTGAGATTCCAAATTTGTCAATGGGGCCAAACGCTATAAGGCTACACTGTCAATATAAGTAGTTGCTAAAAGCTCACAGTAAGATTGTTAAAAATAATTCAAAATAGTTTATAGACAACGACGACATATTTATACTCCAGACAAAAAATGGTTTAGTTCTAGGTGCCAAGTTGACTGGCGATAGAAATGCCTACCACTTCAGGTACTAAAGGTGCTAACAGGTGGCAAAACGCTTTTTCGGACTGGGACTCCAATAATAACAGAAACGTCTCAGGTGTCCCTAGAATTTCCTGAGGAATACTTCCACAAGTCACATCACTCCCATTTGAGTATTCTCATAGCTTTAGCTAAGCCATTTTCTATTCACAAAGGCTGGTTAAATTGCAACAAGAACTTAGGAATATAACCAATGATTTAAGAAATTACTTGAAATTGCCAAGTTCCTTTCTCGTTCCTTATGAAGTTTTCAAAACCTAATTTTGCCAATTATACCACCTTGGATAATGAAATGTGAAGTCGGCATGGTAATATGGTAGACTTTACACCAATTACCCAATGCTTAAATTATTGCTTCAGAGGAATTAAAAGTTAAATATTCAATCCAGGAATATCTAATCCATGAATTTATGATTTTTAATCTCAGTGGTACTATGCTACCAACTGTCATTTGAAAGCTTTTGGTTCATTTCTAATAAAAGATCCTTAAGCAAAGTATAACACGGTCTAATGCCAGGTGCAGCATATTTTAACATGGCTGAAACCCATTCGCATAAAAGTAATCATTGAGCATAACGCCTTGCAACGTTGATAACGACTAAGTTGGTTCTAAAATATGATTCAAGCCAATACTTACGTGCTTTCTGGGCTGTTACATTTTCAAGAAAGGTTTCGCTGGGTTTTATTGATGCTCTATTTCAAAGAAATACATTCATCTTTTTAGTTAAATACTAACATATGAGGAAACGAAGTACTCACAAACCAATGAGACAAAGTATAGGGAAATTTAATGGCAAGAATTAATCAGGGTCATTAAATCACTTACTTCCATGTTTATGATAAAGATTGAATTACTGTTAGACAAGGTCAAAGAAAGAATAACCTATAAAGGTAATATAAGCAGCAAAACTCGTTAACAATTGAAAGGGCATAATTTGTTCCTGTAGAATCCCTTATTCGTTTGTTTTAATTCCCACTTTCATTTTCAACACTTACCAGAAGAGAAAACGGCCTGACTTTAGAGCAATAGAGTGCTCTATCTAAAGGGTGCTAGGTAAGAATACTCGTCCACTCATTGTTCTAAAAATATGGTAAATAGAAAAGTTTACATAACCAAGGGTAGAAGTGACAAAAGCATGGACACTGACGTAAATAAGTATTTTTTCAGTCTCATGGTATGATGCCACTCTGCTGGATTCCACTTTAACGTATTATGGCAACGTTTTATTCTGGTAATTAAACAGGGGAGAAGATTGAAGTCCGATCCATTTACGAAGACTACTTGTAACCATCATTGGTACTACATTAAATTAAGAGAACAACACAAAGTTTGACACTGAATCTACACAATCAGGTATTTGGTAATAACTTTGGTAGCGCCCATACTCAAAAAGGGCAGCCTTGCGATCGATCGCAACATCCAGGGGGATAATACACAGTATCCAAATTAGTCTAAGTCATACAATAGTGTATCATTGAGGGCATACTCCGCAAGATATAACTCACTTAGGTATTGAAACCAGCCCCAAAGATATAGCGTTGGTGTTTTCTTGTCTCATGAGTGGCCAGACTTAACCAGCAGTTCAGTTTGAACCTCTTGAACTACGCGGACGTTGTAAAAAGTTGAAATAACGCAATTGGCTGTGTATTTTTAGCTTGTTCTATTATCATGCATACACTCTTATTGTTCAGAGTTTTTTCCACTGGTATACACAAACGCATCACGTAGATGTTGTTTAGCAATCTGTACATATTTGTCTCTATTTTTGTCTGCATTTGTATTCTATTGTTATGGATGCTGCATAGATATATCAGACATCAGAATATGCAGAGTGTCAATCACCTTCAAAAGTACTTGTCAATTGTACTGCGACAATAACGCACCCTAACTAGTTCATCGGCCATACCGCACCGGAAATGGAAGGATCCGCACATACATTTATCATCAAGGAGGTCCCAAAGTGAATGAATTAAAGCAATCTCCTGAACTGTATAGTAAATTTGACACTACTGTAATGTCAAGAAGCCCGTATTTGGAATTATAACTTTTTTCATAATATCACTCTTGCCGTATATCATCTGCAAACTTTTTTCCATTGATTGGTTCTTCCCGATAATCTTTGCAACAACAAACACTAAAACAACAGTTTAAGGTTATCTGCACGGCATGAACAATAAAAATTAATCAAGCCTCTTATTATAAGTTGCAAAAAACAATGTCTGTTGGATTAAAAATACTCTTTTTAGTTCTATCAAAAAGTACACAAGTGCTAGGGCCAGAATTATTCATCACGATCCTCGTACATAGAAGGACCCCGTGTGGGATACGGAAGGTTTAAGCTCTCGTTTCTTTGTCTATGCCCTGGCTCAGCTTGATATTCGTTCTCGCTTGATACTAAAGGACGAGTATCTGGTGGGTTTGCTCTTGCGTTGCTTTGGTCATTCCAAGTGATTGTCAGTTGTGAATCATGCGAACTATTTGAATTGGAGTAGATATTGTGTTGAGTGGGGTGGTTAGGTGGATGGAAATATTCTGTAGACGAAGAATTGTCGATCGAATCAAGTCGACTAAACCCACCATGATAGCTTGGTGGTGGTGTGACTATAGTACTATCATAGACCAGTGACCCAGTCCCACTGATACTTCGAGCTGGATGTTGGAAATGAGGGGGAGGACCATATGGAACACTATTTCCACCACCTACATAACTTGTTGACGCATTCATAGTTAGCTGTGAATATTGAGGTGTTTCTGAATAAGTATAAGTATCAAGAACCGACTCAACATCATCTTTATTCCAATTTGTAGAAAGACTGCTTGGAATTGTGCTGTGAGAATCATCATCACCAAAAGGATTCTTAAGACCATTAGGTGGTGCAAATTGTCTCTGATTATCTTCTCCGCTGATAAGAAGTTCCTTTGAATTACCATATTGATCTAACTTCAGAATATTCAACTTTGGTGTATCAAAACCATCACCACCAGTGTAGCTTGTGTCGGAATTGAAGCCGTATGCTTTCGTTTCCTTGAAAGGTTTCACATGTGTCAAGCTCGTATCACTGACTCTGCTGTTGTTTCCATAGGGTGGTCTAATTCTGTTATAAGAGTGTGGTTCTGGGTCTTTGAATGGATCATTCTCGTTGAATGGTTGTTGTTGACGAGAATCCATAGACTCCATATTGAATGCATTGTTGTGATCTTGAACGTATTCAAAGTCTTCAAAGAACGTGGTGGAACTGTTCAACAAAGGATTCATCTTCATCTCTTCCAACGACATCAAGCCAGTCTCCAATAATTCCTGACGAGGTTTATGGTACTTTTTAACCAATCTTCTAGTGTTGGAGTTGATGACAAACACACAATACTTTTTAATTCTTTTAAACCCCTTACGATAAGTCTTGATCTTGATGGGTAAATATAACAAGATCGCCAAGATGAATCTGAACAAGAAAATGGAGTAAATGGCCAATGAAACAACCATAAGTGATAAAATAATAGCAAGCTTCAAATTGGTGGTGGCAATCTTTTTAATATTGGCAATCACATCATTCGATGTGTCACCATCTGTTGCGTAATAAAGGATAGTTAAGACGTTAATCACTTGACGAGGAGTATCTATAACAAGCACTTGAATAGCAACATCCAATTCTTCATACACCAAAAATGTACACCAATCAAAGAAATTTGTAGGTTCCAAGGCGTAGAACAAGCAATGATAATTATAGGACTTTAAAGTGTACCACTTCTTTGCATAGCTGTTTAAATAAGTTTGGGCAATCTTCTTCTTTTGAAGTACTCTGTAGGCAATAATCCAATGGTACCCTACGAGACAAAACTGGAATAGAATACACCCTGAAAACACCCATTTGGCAATATCAAATCGGTAAGGTTTGATGTCTTGATTCGACCATTTGTTGAACGCCAATAAGTTGACACAAGTATACGTATCAATGCACAACAGTCCAATGGACAAGATAACCATTATCCATGTGAAAAGATACCAGAAGAGGGTCCAGAACTTGAAGTTTCTGAAAGTTGGCACATCGACCAAATTGAAGGTTGACTTTTCAAAGTCACTATCATTGACACCGGCCGATAGGAAATCGGTATATACATTTTTGCCCATGATGATGATGAAACTATTGTGGTGATGAAGTTAATATTAGTACATCAGACATTCACAAGCATTCAAGTATAAGTTCGAATATGCTCAAGCATAAACTTGAACAGCTCTGTACAAAGGATAAATTCAAGGCGGAATGTTTTAAATGATGTGATGCAATCGTGGTAGATTACAGAACGATATCGATGTAAATATCAGCACGAGAAGCGTGTGAATTTTGTTTCAAACGCGTGGCGCCGTGCCAAATCTGAAAATAAAGTTCCGTATATATACTGATAGGCAAAAATAGCCAACGTCTCGCTTGATATACATAAATATATATATATATATATATATATATATATATATAATTGCGTGTATACTTTTGCCTGTATATATATATATATATGTGGGATGGTGAATGTGTTCTAGCTTTAATAGTGTGGGGTTAGGTACTCTAATCTTTGCTCACCTCCTTCCAATTACTTAACAGTGATTCTTGTGTAATACTCAGGCGAGAACCCCCGACTAAAATTAGATTGAGAAATTAAGGCTTTCTAGTGCGTTGTACAGTACTACCATCTCTTAATCGCTGTGGCTGCGATCCTTACTAGCAACAGGGACTTTCTAATTTTCTTGGTGAAATGTGATCACTTGCTTATGGACTGTACTACAGCTATTTCTGTAATCCTATTGCTGCTATTAAAGACAATGTAGATTGTGGAAAAGTGTAAGTTTGCATTTTTATAAAAGTCTCATAACATCACTACAACATAATAGTTTATCAATTAACTTACATTAAAATTTGAAAACATTATATGTGTTTTCTTTTTTCGTATTTAGTATCGTATTCTACAATGTGTGTAGATTAGATGTGATCTGCGGCTGAATTTATTTTATTCTCTGCAGCAACCGTCATTCATGTTATCGTAAAATATGCAAGCAATGTGTTTCACTTGCATACCTATTTCCTACACACTCTGTGGTTGATACTTTGTAAGAAGTTTGCTGGCCTCCTTCTTAAGATCTTCTTGTTCACTAGTACTAAGCTCCCTTAGTAAATCAATACAAACTTCTTTAACTGGGGGACGATACATTATAAGAAATTGAAGGGCAAGGAACCCAATGCCACTCCGAAGTGGATCAACACAAAGTGACTTGATCCTAGATATCAAAGAAGAGTCCAAATATGGTAAATCGGAAACCAATCTAATGAACAACTTCTTATCTTTTGGTTCCAAAAACGGAATAATACTATCCAATACTTTAGCACTCCATTTATCGTAAATTGGTGATGATGATGGTGATGTTTGTTCTTCTTTCTGATGGAGAACTTGCTCGCTATACCACTCTTCGTTAAGCCAACTGATTATCAGATCAATACGTCCATGAATATCTTGGAGAAAGTATTCAAATATAGCATTACGAATCATATCACTCAACTCTTGGTTTTGAATAAAGTCTTCACTCTCACTATCCTCTGCTGTTGACATCCCACGGGTTGCTAATCTACTTAATAGTAAGAGCCAGCTATCGGGTTTCCATGACTTAATGGCTGTCTTCGTAAGTTCTTTATTAACCCCAGTTTCACCCGAAAGAGTAGCATCTTCTTCTTCCGTATTATTTACTGTTGATATTGATGATGTTGTAGCTGAATTAGCCAATGCAAAAAAGTTTTCAATAATCATAGAAACGTGTTCCTTTTTCTGTTTGAAGGATTGTTCTTTGATAGGAGGTAATGAATTCAGAATTTTTCGCTTTCTTGTGTCATGCTCTCCTATTTCACCTTCCTCATATCCATCATCATCTTCACTATCATAAAGCTTATCATCATAATGATCGTTTGCCCCATTCTTATCTTCAGCATCAAGATCATCGGACCATTTAACCTTTTTACCTCTCTTATTAGGGCCTCCCTTATGAACATCTAAATCAACATTGTACTTATACCTTTCCAAAATGATGTCCAAAGCCCTGGCAAGATCTCTAGTACTTACCCTGCTTAAGGCTGTTAATGCCATGTTATCTAAGATATTTTGTGGTAACGAACTCAAATCAAATTGAGTCAACTCATTCGAAGGATTAGTCAAGCAATAAAGTAATCGATAATCATTAACCTTTAATTGCTTATCAGGAACATCAAATCCTTCCCATTTACGTTTCTGAATAGTTGGATCATCTATAGCAAAGATATTCTTCTTGCGGATTTCGTTCCCTCTTTCTGTCAACATATTTATCTTTTGATTAAGTATATCCTTAAATGATGGCGGGATCATGTTTTGTCGTAAAGCATGAGATATAAATACTTTTGCTACTCTATCACAGTACTTTCTAGCCAATTTAAACTCTTCCACAGTTTGATAGTTGGATTGTAATTTAAGTGTTGAGTCATATTTGCTAAGGACCGTCAGGATCTTTACTGCAAATTGAGGTTTCCGTTTCATTATTACCATCAAATGGTTGAGAGTTGCAGTGAACAATTGAGGAATCAATATGTCACGACTAATATTAGCCAATAGAAGGTCAACAAGCCGACTGGCTTCGTCTTCTGCAACTGAATGCTGAATTAATGAATGCATTTTGTTAACTTTGGAAAGGGAGAAGTAATTATTGCTGCTACCGTTTTGATTTGAAGCCGACTGGTAATCAATAACCACTGCCATGAACTTTATAAGCTCACACTTACATGTCAAATTCCTCCACAAGTCATGCTCATCATTCTCAGACATCTCAAGGGGCCAAGGAGTATCTATCTTATCCAATAAATTCTGCTTTAGCACCAGAAGTTTTTGCCACATGATGCCAATCCCTGCACCATCATTGAAAGTTATAAACTTGAATGTCAACTTGTATAGGATTACCAGCACATCTATCACCAAAAGGAACACTTCCATATCACGTACCCTGGTGGCTACAAGAACATTATCAAGAGCATCCATGGCAAGCTGTGTTCTTGTGTCTGGATCAATGATTTCAGGGTTGGAAAAGGCCTGGTATAGAAACTCAAGACACCATTTGGTCACTTGTACTTTCTGATGTTCATTTATCATCGACACAATGTACTCAAAGATCTTGGGGAAGTATTGCGGGTTTGAAAACCCTAACTTCTTAGCTTCTTCAAGCAGCGCAAACATCTCTGCGTCTGCTTGATCTGATGCCATCTTGGACTTTGATTTAAGTTAATGGTTGGGTAGTAGGGTACTAGTGATTGTCTTTGTTATGTGAACTAAGTACAACCACAGAAAATTTTGGCGTGGGGGATTACCCGGCACTCGAATACGAGAATAGCAGGCATGGTAGTAATTATACATAATAATAGTAGCTGTACGGGGTAATTGCATTCATTTATACGAGGGAGTATTGAACTAGAAAGTTGGGATCGTAAAGTGCTACTTTATCATTGCTCATATGCATTTGAATTAGTATGCATATTCTATACATATCCTCACGTCTTACGTACATACAACTCAAAGTCAATGCATGACTGTGTAAATTTCAGAGCTGTTTATCAAAGTAATCTGAAAAAGGTAGCCCATCTTTAATACCAATTAATTCATTGCATCACTGAAGATGACTATTTCTGTCGAAATATGTGTGTTTTTTGACAACGTAATCTGGATCCACTTCTAGCATTTTCTTACTACACTCAACTACCCAGTCTTCAGGTTCCATTTCTGCTAGCCTCCATTGATTTGTTATCAGGGCTAGTACCTGTATCATCTCTTCGTTTCGCTCACTACAAAATTGAACTACGATATCGTAATTTGCGTTCGGATGAAATGTAAGTGGATCGACTGACCTTATTAAGTTGACCATCAATGACAGTAATACAAGCAACAATCTTCCCACATGTTCCAAGAGGATAATTTGGACGCATACTGCCAACGAACATAAAACAAATCTTCTTGTTCTAACCCACAAAGGAGATGGTAAGCCTTCTTAGCATCACTTGGGCGTTTTAATTTAATTCTTGACTTGCCTTTGTGATCAATTACAATTTCAAGGGAAAACACAACATCTGGCCAATATTCACCCAAAAGATAAAGAACATATACATTTGGACGGTCCAAAGTTTGGGCTCCTTAAGAGTCTTCTTGTGGGATAAGACCAGCAACTCCGTGGCATGAGGGTCAAATTCATGATCATTCCAGAGTTTCCATAATCTTACAAACCTGTCATTTAAACTCAGTAAAACGTTTTTCAGTGAGGTTTTGGACCACCACCAGGGAAATTTAACTTGCCCGAGCGATTATCATTCATTTGGAATTAGTTCTCGTAGTATTTTGTGAAGCCTTTTTTCCTTCAAGAGATTGGTAGATCTCGTTGTATTCTTATATTCTACAGTCGTACGAACCCTGTAAATAGTCTTTGAGTAATATTGGCGGCGGCACCCCGCAGATATTTCAAAAAAGCACTACTACTATATAGGGTTTTTGGAATCTATAGTGGTTAGCATTTTCAATTATCAATAATATATGAACACAGCACATTGCATTACACTACAATGCATTGCATTGCATAGCATAAGCAAAGAATAAGCGAAGAATAAGCGGCGATCAATTAAAGATCACTATTAACCATACCCTAAACCCATTCTTCAATAAGATCAAAAATGGTAATTGTAGTCACGTGGCGGCGCTTTTAGCCGTTTTCGTTGATCATTTGTTATCGTGACAAGGAGACCGTTATCTTCGCCAAAGTCCCTTTAGATTAGATTTATCATCAACACGCACTAATCAAATAATAATAATAATAAAAAAAAAAGAACCAGCTGTAAAGCAAATCGACGTATACTCACATCGTCGTACTACTGTTGTGAATACACGTTGGGTGTCTTGATAGAGTTGTTAATTTATCCGTTCAATAGCTTGCCAAATACACTTGGTACAGGTTTAGGTTACTGTATAATAATAAAACGCAATAAAGTGGGGAGGGAGTTTGTACCTAAAACCCAGCTTAATATTTCACACCACCGATCTATTTCATACCGTCGATTCATTTGATTCCGGGTTCGATTCTTATCATCTTTATTTATTTAACTCATGTCAGTTATTGAAACTGCGACTATTTCTGTAACTCCATCACCACTGGCCGCTCCCCTGTCACCTCCACATCTGGTACCTCTGTCACCTCCATTGCGGTCCACTACCTCCACACTGACTATTAATGCGTTGGCTATGAGTTCAACTGCATCAACTAATAGTAATAATAATACGTGTCAATCGTCGTTGAGCCTTATCCGGTCCTCATGTTCATCACCGGCTTTAACTGGTGGTGATAGCATATATTCCACCACTACAAATTCAGCATCAGCTTCAGCTTCAACTACAGCCACGATATCGTCACAGCTTGTGTCGTTATCATCATCCACCGAACCAACTCCAAGTATAATCTACACCACCACCAAAGAAACGTGTCACAATGAAGAGGACCACGGAACACAAGATTCGCATACTGATCTTAAAACTTCACACATCTCTTCATGTGTACTATCAGCATCATCATCAACCATACTATCAACATCGTCATCTTCTTCCACATCTATATCTACATCGTCAGTTCCAGAGTCAACTATCCCCCCTACGGATCTACAGTCCGGAAGTCATCGAAGTCATTTCAAAAGGTCCAACTCCTCATCCAATGATATGCTTTATGAAAGAGACAGATTCAGAGCAAGATTGTACTCCTTCAACCCCAACACAACAGACACGGTTATGATATCAGACTCTGTGGAGACCATCAACAGTGAAACACATGGTGACGTTGAAGATTCTTCTTGTGAAGTTTGTGATGCTATTGGTACCAAGACTGCAAGACTAGGCGTAGAGAATGTTGCTAGCAATAGCATTAATACTACGCCCGAGTACTCTGTTGATGAATCTCTTTCGCCGTTGAATAGAATCTCAACCTTCTATGAGAAGAACATGCCATCCATTGGCTCTTTCAAAGACTTGGATTCGTCAATTATCATCAAACAAGTTGACTTGCCCAGTTTATCCATTATATTTCAATGGTACTTTAGCAGAAAGCTTCCTCCAACCAATGAGATGTTCCCCTGGCTTCATGGCTTGAACAAGGCCAATTTCGCCCAACGTAAATTCTTCATTCAACAGCACCAGCAACAACAGCAGCAAGGACAACGACAAAATAACGTGCCTGAATACGATGAGTTTATGCTTAATGATAGAATATACGCTGCCAAACCTTGTGGTTCTAGGTTCTTAATGTGCATTAATACTGGTGAAAAATATTGCTTGAAAAATACCGTTCAATTGAATGAAATCCTTCTGCCGGTCGACGTATGTAGGGCTGAAGTCAAGGAGTTTATCGCTCAAACAGTGAAGAAAGTGTTTGGCACATCAACAAAGTCGTCTGTGCCTGTTCCAATTACTTCTGTCAGTTCACAACACACTCAATCTCATTATCAACAGTTTCATTCCAAGTATCCTCGAATTAATAACGCTGCAACAACCACCAATTTCGAAGGCTTAGTTGATCAATTCTATGAAGATGCTCTTAAGTTGAAACTCTTGCCTAAATTCATTAACTTGGATCCAGAAAGAGGAGTTTCCCTTCGTAACTTCCATATCCAAGTAGCTAAACTGGCCACCCTATCTGATTTCATAGTCTATGGAAAGGATAATAGGCTCAAGGAAGCTGCTGCCAGATTACTCTGGCTAACCCAACGCCTAGAAGCCACAGAAACCAATAAAGATCCCAAATATAATGTCTACATATTGGCTAGTGGAATGATTTCCAAATCAGAGTACACCAAATATCACCATTTATTCTCATATCATGGAGAAGACAAGAAGAACCATGGTAGAGGAGGCGTACAGGTGTCTCTGGCTGCTCAATATGGGGTTCTTAACAATAAAACACAATTAATACTGAAGTTGGAGCTGTTTAACTCCTCCAGCTTATCTTTATGGGACTGTGACTATCAAACAAAGGAAAAAATTGAAACCACAAAGATGTCTAGTGCAACCAAGGTTCATCAGAATGTTTGGGTGGGCAATATTTGGGATTATCAAATCATGATCACCTATTTACATTCTGTTGAATCATCCAATAATAATAGCAACAATAATTCTCCAAGATTAAAGATCAATTGGCTGAAACACGGTGAAGAACAAACACATTTGTTTTGTTCACCAACTAATTCGGTGATATCAATGTCTGACAATTCCAATAATGAAATCTTGGATTATTTAGCACTTCCAAAAGCCAATTGGAGGTTCTTTATTTATTGTCATAATGATGCCACTTTCCCTGATAATGGAACTTTAGATGCATTGCTTTCAAAGCATTCAATTACAAGCCATACCTCAGTGGACAATGAATATTTCTCCTTGGAATTCCCTCCTCTGGGTTCAATTGGATTGGGAGACTTGAAAATGGAGAATTTAATGGCTTTTGTTAACGTTTGTAAGTTGATTTACCTTTATCTGTCACTGACTTCTAAGGATCCAGAGACAGTTTCTTCGTTGATTTATTGTTCTGATGGTTATACTGAACTGTCCTTACTTGTGGTGAGTTATTTGATATATGCCAAAGATATATCTGTCGAGAAAGCCATACTTCAATTGCATTTACAATATGGAAGACCTTTTTATGTCTTTTATAGCGATATTCCTGTGCTATCACGACTTGAAGGACTTCTTAGGCTTTATTCCCCTAAAAGAAAGGGTAATGCCATTAATTGGGGCATACTAGAAACCATTTCTAATGAAGATTTTAACACCCATTTGCTAGCACCCAGGGCACTTCTTAATCGAAGTGGAGTTACCACCACCTCAACAGATAGTGATGGTGAAGTAGAAGAAGAAGAAGAAGAAGAAGAAGAAGAAGAAGATGATGATGATAATAATTCTAGCGGTGTTTCAGACACAGAAACTTGGGAAGGAGAATCTTGTTGCTTTCAAAAACAACTGTGGTTGTATAATGTTGAGGGGAACTTACCCTCTCGAATATTACCGTACCTTTATTTGGGATCCTATAGTCATGCTAGCTGTATTCCCTTACTTAAGGCCTTGGGGATCACCAAGATCATTTCTGTTGGAGAGAAATTAGAATGGCTCTCTGGCCGTGGATTCACAAAGTATAACAACATTGAAGTCAAGCAGTTTAATGGTGGTAACGTGGAAGTGTATAATCTCAGTCGGAACCAGACACTTGGACGTAAGAAATCGGTATATTTCACACCAGTTGACTCGGTGATGAAGGTGAATAATCTTCAGGACGACGGGATCGACGAGTTGACTTCCTCGTTGCCAATCATCTTGGACTACATTGATTCAGTCTATAAGGAATCTGGTGGTAAATGTAAGATCTTGGTTCATTGTCGAGTAGGAGTGTCGCGGTCGGCCACTGTGGTGATAGCTGAGGTCATGAGACGACTCAACGTCTCCTTAGCACAAGCTTATCTATACGTAAGGGTGAGGAGGTTGAACATTATCATACAGCCCAACTTGCGGTTCATGTATGAGTTATTCAAATGGGAAGAGCAACAGAAGTCTGCTAATAATAAGAGACAGATGAGAGAGATTGATTGGTTTGCGATGTGTCGGGAAATAACTCGCTTAAACATCCCGTACTTGCCTTAAGGGTGTAGTGATATATTGGTATGGGTCAGAGTAACATAGAAATACAATAGCGTATAATAGTAAGCATAATAGTGTATAAGAAGTAGTGGCGCTTTTACTTATACCTTTTCCATGTCCGGGTAACACCTTCGTGGGAAAATTTTGGTTGATATCAAAATCAAAAATGGTTAAAGGATATCACTCCTTCTCTCCCTTTACATAATAAACCTTCATACAATTGCTATCACCTTGTGGCGCTTATATAAGAAAAGCTATACTAGCCTTGGGTGTTGTTCATCTCCAAGCATAAATAGAAGGTAACCCGCCCTTAAATATGAGTCAAGAGACTACTACTAACCCACCACCCTTATTGGACGACGACTCTATCATACAGATTTCTCTGGCTCCCAAAGACTCTTCTGGACAAGTTACCATTGGCTCTACAGGGTTTGAACCCGGCAGTGCTCTTTCCAAGCTTTTGGATCTGGCAATTGCTCATGCTGCTAAGGAGTCCACTCCAGAACAAGAAGGTACTATCAAACGGACAAAGGGAAAGGGAAGACTGAGAAGTACTGGTAATAATAGTAATAGCAATGCTAATAATGCTAGTAATAACAATAACAATACTAATAATAGCGACTCAGGGAATGGAGGACGTATCACAGCTGATTTGGTTGATCCATCTGAATGCACTTGTAAAGAGCATGTTTATTCCATTAGTTTCTTGCTTGAATTGAGAGATTCTCCTTTAGTGGAAAATTGTACTTCTAAATTGCCAGATAAATCCTTTTGGGTGAGGCAAAAGGCTCAAGCTAATGCATCATCTAATGGTCCTGGGAACAGAAGAAATGCAAATAGAAGAGAAAGGCTGCATAACCAACATGAAAACAAGTCTGAAATGTGGGAAAAAAAATCAAACAAGTTTCTGGGTAATGATTTAGATGGTTTATCCAATGAAAAGATCTCACAATTGTTAGGTGAGAATCCTGAAGAAATGGTTCCTGAATGGGACTCAGAAGTTATGCATTCTAGTGTTGAAATGAATATGGGTTCCACAGTTGAAGATTTCGAAAGATGGAAATCAATGATGAGAGAAGAAGAACGTCGGAAGAATGGCGAAATCATTGATGAAGATCAAAGTGGAAAAGACTCTCTTCTGGCGGAAAACGCTGGTAACGCAGTGGATTCCTTCTTTTCCTTTGTTAAACCAAAACATAATGATGAGAAATCGCCAATTACACCGACAGCTCAAACATCAAAGATTGAAACTTCTAGTAAGAGTTCAAGATTCTCATCATTCTTTTCAGCTGGTCCTGGAGTGGATAACAACTTAAAACCAAGTACTCCACAGTCGATGAAAGCTCCTCAACATGGAACTGGTTCATCTAAATTCTTCTCGCAGCCCACTGGGCCACAATATCAACACCTGCCAGTTACTCCAAGTACTGGAATTAATGATATTCAATCTCAACCTCAGCCTCAACAGCAACTACATCAACAACAACATAAGCAGCAACCCCAACAGCATATTCAACGACAACAACAAGCTTCAGGTCATCCTGTACCTGGTAATGCCCAAGTACCATTCCCTGCTGGTTTTCCAGCACCTCAGAATCACCCACCTCCACCTCCTCCTGGGTTTCACTTCCCTATAGGCGGACCTCAACCGATGCCTGTCCCCAGCAAAGTCGATGGTAAGGTTGGTGGAAATTCTGGTGACTCCTTCTTCATGTCATTGTTGAATAAAAAGGAACCCCAACCCAATAGTGCGTCGTCGTCATTACCTATGCAAACGAGTGGAGGAGCAAGCAAGCCAACTCAACAACAAGAAGTTGGACAAGATAAGCTCCATAAATTACAAGGCCAACAGCAGCAGCATCCCCAACAATATTCTCCTGCTCAGCATATCCAACCAGGTGAGCTTCCACCCTGGATGAAACACGGCCAACAGGGTCAACAAGGGCACATGCCTGGTTTCCCCATGCCACCAAATGGTCAACAGGGCGGAGTTAATTTCCAGGGCCCACCACCTCCAGGATTTTTACCTCCAAATATGCCATACCCACCAAATATGAACAGACAAGGGCCACCTGGGATGTTCCCACCGGGGTTTGTCCCTCCTCCGGGATTCTCAGGCTTTCCTCAACACCAGCAGCAACAAGAGCAGCAGCAGCAAGGTAATGGTAATTTCCCTTCATATGGGTATGGGGCTCCACCACCCTCATTTGCCCAACATCAACAACGGCCACAGCAAGCTCAACAGCCACCACCTCCACAGAAATAAAAGAATCTACCCTGCAGTATTGATAGTTATAGTATATCGATAAGTTACAGATTAGGAAGTTTATTGGCTTTATTTTAGTATGGAACTAAGTTTTGCTATTTACAACACCGATTGAATACTCAAGAGCAAACTCAAGATCTGAATATGTTCGTCTGTACCGTTGTTGAGCTTTCTATCAGCTTCAAATAAAGCCTTTGCGATTTCGTTCTTGGTGGAATTAGTTAGGGAATCATCCATGATATATTTGTCATGCAATTGGTCAAGTAACTGTTGAGCACTCCAACCTTCTTGGATGATATTATTAACGTTGGCAAACAATCTGTGTCTATCTTTCGACGCAGTAGAGACAAGCAATTGGGATATCACTGGATCCGAGACCACTCCTGCTATTTCTTGAATGGAAGCTATATCAATGTATCTATCAACATCCATGTCATTATCTTCATTGCCATTATTGCTGCTATTATTATTCAAGGATGTGTGTAATTTTGCTGCACTCTGCAAGATGGTTATGGCTTTCCGTAAATCACCATCTGCAATGCGAAGTATTTCGGAAAGCACCTTTTCATTTGGAGCTAACTGGACATTCTCTGCAGATGCAACATGCTGCAAACGCAGTAATGCATTCTCATTGTTTAATGGCTTGAACCGAAACTTGGAACATCTGGACGCGACAGGGTCAATGATACGCGTTATATAGTTGCATATTAAACAGAAACGCGTGATACCCAGATAAGTCTCCATGGTCCTTCTCAATGCCGATTGAGCATCAGTAGTCATCGAATCAGCTTCATCCAATATAACTATTTTATATGGTGGGCAAGGATACTCGTCCAAATCTTGTTGGGTAGGATTCGAAATCGTAAGTCTAGCAAAATTCTTAATCTTCTCTCTAACTATAGAAATACCCCGTTCATCCGAAGCATTCAATTCTAAAACTCGAGACTTGTACAACCGAGGCCCATACAATTGTTTAGCCAATGCTAATATAGTAGACGTTTTCCCAGTTCCTGGTGGACCATAGAAAAGCATATGAGGAAGATTAGCCAGACTTAAGTTCTGTTGTAACACTTTAACTGCATGGTCTTGTGATGCCACATCATCAAGCTTCTTAGGACGATACTTTTCAACCCAAGGCGTGTGATCGAGTTTCTCTTGTTCGTATTCCAGAGTATCTTTCATGGTGCTAAGCTAATGTAGAAGAAGAAGTAGAAAGAGTGGAGAATTTTGAGTCGCATTTCATCACCAACTTTATTTTCTAAAGTGATAGGTGCGAGGCATGGAATACATATGACGCATAGAAAACACTACAATTGAACACACATAGATAATATCACACATGCATGAAGATACTGACCTACATTAAAAATACGAATGCATGAACCACTATATTCTAAAACTATAGTTACAGTTATATCACTACTATTAATTATTGAACACCAATAACAGAAAGCTCCAAGGTCCATACTCTTCTTGTATGGACTTTAATCTCCATGGTTTTCTCTTTGGCATCAGGGAAAACATTCTTATCAAGTTCAATAGTAGTTTTTTGATGAGACCACCAACATTTACGAGCCGGTTTCCTCCAGAACAATAATAATTTGGTTTGGTTAGGATCAACCTTCTTTTTAGACTTTGAAAGAGACCTTGACGCAGCTCTTGACGCATTGGAAGCAAGCGTGGCTATTCTAGAACGGGATTTTCTAGATTGAAGTGAAGATGTTGATGCCACGGGGTTTAACCCTGGTGAATCAGGTGGAGTAGCCTCATTATTATTTGTATTTGAACCTAATCTTACCAACAGAAGTGACAGAATGACACATTTGCTTGGTTCTATTGATTTATTCCCCCAGATCTCTAATGGAGAAAACCCAGAAGAACACAACATCTCAAACAAGTGTTGTTCAGCAGGACCCAACTTTTGATCTGAATCAGGAGCAGCTTCAACATCGTAGCCAAGACCACTAAAAACAAACTTATTTTGTAAAAGGTTTTGGGAGGTCTCAACCTTTAAATAGCGCATTTGATCAGGAGATATCCCACTAACAGGAGGAATAACATAGAAATCCAAGTCTTCACGTAACACTATGATAGCTGGTTTATTCTGTAACACATTCTCCAGTTGACTACGACTTAAAAACCCAGACAGTGACGTCACGGGTGAGATGGTAGCCATATCTAAAAGATCTCCATGAGCACTTCGGAAAGATGCAAGAATGTACTGGAAACATTCAGGATCAAAGGCAACGTATACAATATCCTCTTCGCTTAAATTGGAGATTATTCTTCCCTCTGTATCTAAAAAGACTCCATTAGGGAACAACCCTAACAAGATGCTTTCAGGCAAGCTCATCAACTCATCTCTGGTGATCGTAAAGTCTTGCGTCCGAAGACGTAAATGGATCTTGGTGTTATAATCAATGCTTCCTTCGACCGAGGAGTTACCTACAACTCCAGCATAGGCAGATTCCGGTGTAACTTGGGTAATGATATCACTAGACATTTAAAAACGAGTATGGCAGGTATGAAAAGGGTAATAAGTTCAGTATCCTTAGTTCTGAGTGATATGATGAGCCTTAATCGAAATTCCTCGTGGTCTCGATTGGGATAGCTGATGAAACCAAGCAGCAGAATAAAGTTCAGCAAATCGGAATAAAGCTAAACTTGACTAATTCTTCTATGTGTTTGTTACACTGACGTATCCTGCCGCTGTGTACTGTGGAAGGAAGAAGACTTGTTGGCTTATCTTATCGTTGTGGTTGATATTTGTTTTTTACTGGAGACTGCTGACGTAATTATACACTCGTGATTATGTAATCGATTGTTTGGGCCGGTTCAAGTAATCTACTTCTGGTTAGTAATAGCCAAAGATATCCATTACCATTATATTTCTTGGACTTAATGTTGGACGATATCTGGGGAGAGGGTGAAGTCTCCGAGACCGTGGAATTAAAGCGGCGTCAACATAAGAAAGGTTATGTGGATGGAGTGTCTCAAGGTCAAACCGCTAGTCTCCAACAAGGTTTTGACTCAGGTTACCCTACTGGTGCAGATCTTGGAACTCGTGTAGGAAGAATCCTTGCTATTTTGAAGGCTAGGGGTGATGAAGACTCATATAAACAAGCAATAAAGGAGTTGGGAATCTCAGACGTGTTAAAGTCCACGTATTTTGATGGAGATTTGAAGGTTAAAGATGGTCATCTGCTCATTGAACACTGGGAGAAGATAGTTAAGATTACGTAATGAGTGAAGGGTACATATACACATATGCATAGACATAATTCCATACATAGTTCCATACATTAATAAAAATATACATTAAAGATTCTTCTGTGCGATAAATTGTTTGCTTCGCTTAAAACGAAAATTGAGTTCCATCATTAGCAGTTGGCATTACATCAACAATCTCCTGACCTAAAGAATCAGATAATGATGTCAACTTATGTTGAAATTTGACTCTTCCCCGAGTCCATTCTGTCCACGCCTCGCTGATTAAATATTGTGTTTCTTGGAACATGACATACTCTTCAAGACATCTATGTTTAATTAACCATTCACGGTTCATTTGTTGGAAGAGTTCTTGTTTGTCGTTGACAATGGATGTTTTCAATCTAGCCAATTCAGAGGATTTAGCATCAGCACTTTCAGTACTGAGTTGACGATATTTCCCTTCATTATCCTTTATTCTTTGCTCCAATTGAGGTATGGTATTGGACCTAAGCCGTTTAACTCGCTCACAAAGCTCTTGGAAAGAATATAAATAATCCACATAATTCTTAAACTTTTCTAGTACAACAGTATTAACTGCATAGCTTTCATCAACTAAAGCTTGACTTGTTCTGCTAAAAGATTCAGATATAACATCAAGAGAATCATTGATCATTCCAAGATCATCATTGGCTCCATAAAGACCCAGATTGAGCTTTCTAAATGATGAAACAGTCTCCACAAACCGATCATTATCCATTGCCATAAGCTGTTGTCGTTTTTCGTGTCTTTCCACCAATACAACGATTTTAGTCCACATTTCAATGGCTTGGGCCATAACTGTTTCTGCTTTGGACCATTGAGTAGGGAAACGAGATGCAATTCCAGGCCAAACCTTCTGAATAAAATCTGCCAGGATTTTTTCACCTTGAAATTCCACACTGGTATCGATTCTTGCTTGTTTCCTCCAAGTCGCCAAATCCGTTGGTACTGTCATAAATGACACGACTAAGGGTTCAACCAGTAAAACAGGATGTTTAAGAACCTGGTTGAGAAATCTGTGCAACCCTCGACGTCTTCTCTGAAGAAACTGAGAATCTGGAGCCGCTCCTACTACACTGCTGATTAGTATTTGTTTGATAAAACGGTGAACTCACACATAATAGAATAAATTAACATACCTGAAAACTTTTTGGGAGGTAATCCGGGGATAACTCTGCAAGGATATTTATGAAGAAGAACTTCTAGAAGCCAGACAAAATCCGAATACCGACGAAGAACTTTTGCTTTACTGGTTGAAACCACATAATTTATATGCTTGAATATAAGACCTTCTCGTTCGGGTACCTCTTTGATCGTGACCGAAGGATTTGCAACCAGACGGAAGGATTGACGAATGGAATTTATGAAAACATTAGCATCATTATCATCGATATCATCCGAGTTAATTGTATTGTTCTCACCACCATCTAATTTATCACGATGTTCTGAAAGCATTGAAGAAGCTAACACTGATTGGTCCAAGTTTGAAGTTAATGGATCGTCTATGGTAGAACTGTGTAATCCCAAAGTTATTGAATGACTCTTGTCATCATTAATAGGGTTAGTTGAAGGCCTTAGAAGTTGCATAATTGAATCATCGAGGGTTACATTCCCTCTTCTCATTTGTAAAGTGGTATAATCAGCACCTGTACCATCCAATTCTAAAGCTATCAACCCACAGATTTGATCAAAATTGGTCTTATCGGAAACAGGATAGAGACTATGATCGTATACGATTCCTCTTATAACTCTTGTCTGGTAAGCCGTAAGTTTATGAGCATCAACCAAAGGTTTCAACAAGACACTAACCTCATCTGTTGGATCTGAATCGTGATGGGGGTGGTGGCTGTCGTTGTGATCAACAGCCGGCAGCATCAGATCACTATTGCGGCCTGTCTCAATAGATCTATCTGTCCAACCATTTTCCCAAGGGTCTTCAGCAAAGAAGCTGCTATTCATTATGGAAGGCAACTAGGTCAACGTATGTAATTAGCTTAGGATACGCAATGATTAACAGAAACAGATGTTCAATAAATGCACGTGACTGGGTCCATAGGATTATGATGATAAGGTCGCCTTTATATATCCTCTTGTCGTATGTATGTGGTTAGTAACGGTAAGATATCATGGGTCAAATGTTTACACTGTGGATCAAAATGGTATACCGATTGAGACCAGAACGACATTTAGCAACAGTGCGACATCCTGCGACATACTCCTTCGGTATATACTGTGCGTCCAGACGATGGTATACCTAATGCTGTTCTTTATACTGTATTTCGATGAACACAACGTATATATAGAGAGTGATACAGAGCAGCCACTCTGTGGTTACCGTTTACTTAAACCACAAGAATGGGGCAATCGGTCATGTACCGTTTCTATTTGCAGCCACTGGCTGTACAGCAGAAGCTATTAAACAGCACCTTTAAAGTCGTTGTCACAGCACCAGAGTAAAGATCTAGCACAGAGTTACTTGGTACAGATGGAAATCAGCTCGAATAATCAAAGTCTTACTGTATTAATAGACACTCTACCCCCTCAGATTTTGGCTGTCATGTCGCCTTATGTACATTGTGCTAGAGCTCTCATAAATGTAAAGTAAGATAAGCTCATTCACTATAGATCATTGGTGGGTTCAACCCCTGCGACACTCCGGATGGATCTTTTGATAATGGCACATCTGATTCACATCTGATTCATTCCAGTTCAACAGCTTGAGCTTAACTCTGAATATGGAGTATATGGAGTTCAGATGAAGTTGGTTTTAGGGTGTTTCCATATAAGACTATGCGATTGGAATTCGTAGATATTCAGAGCTCTATTATGGGAAGATGGTTTAATAGAAGACGAAAAATTTCACTAATGACTACGAATAAGTACAACTCACATGCTGTTTTTGATACGGGAACACCTTGGACTCATGTATCCCCGAGTGATTTAAAAAGCATTGCAAAGACTATAGGTGCTCATTATTGTAATGATGCAGGGGCTTACATGTTGCGATGTCCAAGCGGATATGCCAGTACCCCCTTTGATTTCAATGGGTTTATTATGAATATACCTTTAAGCAGCTTTGAGGCTTCATACACTGAAGATCCATGTGTTTTGACTGTACTCCCGAAGCCTTCTACAATGATTAGACTTCCTGAAAGTACACTACAAGGAAACTCAGCGGGGAAGGTGATGTTGAGTAGTTTCAGGAAGACACTGAATGGCATAATGGACTACGACATCGCGACATATTGAATTCCATAAAAAGAAGGATATAATATTATTGTTATATATAGCAACTCCACATTCCACTAGATCACTTTACGCCATGAGGCTGTGTGGTCACGGTCACAACAAACCTGTCATCATTTCGTTACACTATTGTATCTCATTCACTGCACATACACGACCTCTACTATCAACGCGATTATTATAACAGTAGTACTACATTACAGTACGCATTACAGTACGCATTACAGTACACATTACAGTACACGTTTCAGTACGCATTACAGTACACATTGCACTACAGCAAGCTGCACTGCACTCACTGAGTCACATTGCATTACTCTACATCCTGCCACATTTATGTAACAACCCTGTTACTCTGTAAACTACTGTCACTCTGTTCTATATTTTCGGCTATATTTAAGGCAGTGTACTTGATACCTGCACACAGGCCTCAAGCATTAACAACCTTTAATTTCAAGGCCCACTATATAATCGCTCTACATCACCAACATTTGATTGCTTCAAAACATTCCTGTCAACATGAATGACTTTTATCAGACAATGGACTACTTTCACCGATCATCTTTCAACCGGATTACGTTCGGCATCCAGAAACCAACGCTTCTCAAACTAGTTAAATGGCGGGTCACAGATATCTTGTTAATATTGGCATTAATTGGTACAACCATCGGGATTTGGCATTTGAGTCCCTTTGAACGTCAGTTTATTATCTCAGATCCAACCATTAACCATCCCTTTGCGGAACACGAAAGAGTCACCGTGGCTCAGTTGTTTATCTACGCTGTAGTGGTACCCTTGGTGATCATCATTATATTTGGGTTGATATGTTCAGACCCCAGACATAGATTCTATATCACTTATTTGTCTGCTGTCGGACTCATAGTGTCTTGCATAGTCACCTCGGTCACCACAGACATTTTAAAGAACTATATCGGTCGTCAACGTCCAGATTTCATTGCTAGATGTCAACCTAAACTGGACGCTAATACGACCGTCTGGGTGTACGCTAAAGATGTTTGTACTCAAACAGATATGAACAAATTGAAAGACGGTTTCAGGTCTACTCCCTCGGGCCATTCTCTGATCTCTTTCGCTGGATTATTCTACTTGACACTATTCCTTTCCGGTCAATTTTTGATCTGGGATCAAATCGTGGGCGCTTGGAGAACAGTATTGGCTGCTATTCCAACATTAGGAGCGTTGTTCATTGCTATCTCCAGAACTGAAGATTATAGACACCATTTTGTTGATGTTTGTATTGGAGGAGTCATCGGTATTCTTATTGCCTGTTGGAGTTACTACAGAGTGTTCCCACCAGTCTCTTCCGGTGTAGCCCACGTTCCTAGAATCATTTTGGCAGAACAACTCCAACTGGAGAAACGCGCTGATGACGTTCGTGATGGACTCTATCAAAGTCTTGAAGTGTAATACCATATATATAAGACATAATACTTATCAGTTGAATGGTCACGTGCAGTTGAATAGTCACGTGTTGGTTTTGCATTTGTTAAATTGAAAATCACGTGACTTTTACTATCACATGGCAATAAACCAAATTGGGATTGTTACCATATACAGTCAAAAGATATTAACTTAGTACAGTAATATATCACAGTACATTACACTCATAGGAGAGCATATCAGTATATTGTATATCATAATACATTGTATATCACAGAACGGTGTATATCACAGAACGGTGTATATCACAGAACTGTGTACATCAAACTACAACTAATACTCTTAGATGTCACGTGACCCCTCCCCTACACTTAATAGGTAACCGAAAATGTATGCCCAATATTGACAACAGCATCTTCATTTCTCTTACTCAAGTAGTATTTACATACGCTATATCGTGGTATTCGGGTCTGCACATTGCTATACGTGTATTTACTGTTTAGCGAATCATATTCACCGGCTTCAAACCCTCATTCAAGCCCTAAAACAGCTTCAATTCAATCTTTAACATTCACAACCTAATCACGCAACATCCCCCCCCCCCCTCCCCCAATAATGGAGATCTCCGTGAACTCTTCGGCATTCTGTTACATTAGCCACAATAGACAAGTGGAGTGTGTTCCAGCAACCGAGCAAGATGTCCTTGATTGGAGCATCAATTGTGGATCTAACAACAATAACCATAACGATAATGTTACTTTGGCATTAGTCGATAATGAAAATGGAACAGATGTCATATCTGTTGTTGCCAATGGTCATGTGACTAGATTGCCTTTACCTGAGCGGAATCTACTTTATAATTTAAACAATCCCTCTTATTCAGATTTGGAGAACGACTCTTCAATGCTGAAGGAAGGATCTAGGTCTCCACAGCCGTATGAACCAACAACTGTTCTCATTGAAGCTTGTGGTGATTCTGAAGATGCTGGTGCTCGTGCTGGTGCTGGTGTTACTGAAGTACTCATTTCACCACCTATATCTGTTGCTCAAAGCTTGAATGGGTCGGGTCCTATTGAAGCCTCATCAACTGATTCGCCGACAGATGATAACAATAATTGTATGGCGATTTTCCTTCCTAAAGTGGAGGTAGAATTCCCAACAGACAATTCATCATCACCAGCAAGGTTTGGAGAGTTGAAACGATTGCTTCTGAAGATCTCTGGAGGTTGGAATGAAGAGCAAATCGAAGTAAAACAATTGACAGGAGGTATCACCAACATGCTTCTTTCTTGTAAATACATGCCTACTAATGAAACAAGATTAGTACGGATTTATGGTAATGGAACAAACTTAATTATTGATAGACATCGGGAATTCATTCTGCATTTGATCTTACATTCCTTATCATTGGCTCCTCCCATCTATTGTCGGTTTAAAAATGGCTTGGTGTATGGGTTCAGTCCTGGACGGTCTTTGAAACCCGAAGAAATGTACCATGAAAATTTGTACCCACTCATTGCTCAACAGTTGGGTAATTGGCATCAGAAATTGGACTATAAGGCAATAGATCAAGGAGTAGAGAAGCTTCGAGACTTCTCCTATAACTTGAAGAAGTTGGAGAATCAAAATTATAAAGCAAAAAAGTTAAAAAAGAAGTATATCTCCAATATTTGGGAGTTAATTGAAGATTGGATCGACATTGTACCTGTGGTACCAGAACTTATTGAGTCTTTCCAAGAGAATACCACCAATAATAATGATGTTATTGATTCAACTAATATCACCAAAATAATGCTTGAAGAATTCCGAGCCTTAAAAGACTATCTTTTAACAATAGACTCACCAGTTGTTGCATCTCATTGTGATTTGCTTTCAGGGAACATCATTGTGCCAAAAGATTGGGATTTAGGTGCTGTTTCACCCACTTTAAATCATGTGGATGAGAATGCCGTGAAATTCATTGATTTCGAATATATGTTACCAGCTTCCAGAGCTTTTGATATCGCCAACCATTTGGCGGAATGGCAAGGTTTTGATTGCAATCGTGAAGCGATTCCGAAGCCAGTAGCCTCCAATCCTGTGTTGGTGAAGTGGTGTAAGAGTTATTTGAACAACCCTAATGAAGCTTCTGAAGATACTCAAGTGGACCAATTAATCAAAGAAATTAGAGCCTATTATGGATTGCCAGGGTTCTATTGGGGTGTTTGGGCCATGATTCAAAGTGAAATCTCCTCTATTGATTTCAACTACGCCGAATATGGTAAATCAAGATTGCAGGAGTATTGGGATTGGAAGAAGGAGTATATGAATACATAGAATAATCATACATCACATGAAATCATTCCTATTTCATTTCATAAACCCAAGACTAACAATAATGGTCTTTCCCGATCTTGGACTATGGACAATAGCCCATTTATGACCTTTAGTATACTCTTTAACCAAAGCATGGTGGATGTTCTCTGCATAACTCTTGGAGAAGTTTTGACGTGAATAGACAATCTTTCGGATCCATTCATCTTTCTGGTGAATGCTAGTGATTGCAATCATATCAAGGACTTCATCTCTAGCATCAACTTCAATCACAGGTGATGTTGCTATAGTCTTAGCCATATTAATCCCAGCATCTTTAGAATCCCAACCGGTGTGCTTGGCTTGTTGCTTTCTACCTCTAGGGGCATCATGGGATATTTCCACGATTCTTTGGTCGACTTCTATGGTAGAAGACACTTCGGAATCATCAAATGCATTGGACACTGGTGGTTCCGACTGTGACTGTTGCAGTTGTAGCTGTTCCAGTACTTCCTGGGTCGACATTTGTTTCATTTTCTCCACCAATTCATTGTATTCAACATCGTATTCTTGATCATTCACCAAGTCTTTGATTCTAAGAGGTTTAAACTTGTTCTTACTCCGTTTGTTCATGGTATCGTTGGGTTGCTTAATGGAAATTACCCATTTGGCACCAGAATCCTTACACACATCAACCAACTCTGTCAGTGGTGATGAGAAGAACAACTCACAGCTTAAATCGTTCTCCCAAAGATTCAGTAAAATCCAATACCCTGTCAGCTTCAAATATGCCGGGTTAATGCTAGTGATAATCACATCCACTCGAGACCCAGTCCATTCTCGTTTACAAAACTCGACACTTTTCCTGGAAATTATGTTCTTCATGAGTATGAATATAAGGTTGGTGTTCAACGAGAACCCCACGCTATAATTCTTATTGGAAGAAACAGAATCCTGACTCCGTAAATAAGATATAAGCTCATCGTATCTACCACCTGTAGCCACCCTAGTAAACCTTCTATTCTTATCAACTCGATATATGGCTTGAAACATTATCCCCTTGGAATAATACCTACTGTTGTAGTTGCTTAAAGGGTTGAATACAACCGTGGTGTTGTGGTTACCCAATTTCTTTAAGATGTTTAACACTTCCCGAATATATGATAACCCCTTTTCAACCTTTGTGAAATGAGGAGAATCTTGCATCAATTTGTATAACTTTTGTCTTGCCTTATCTGGTTCAACACTAAAGTTAAATTGTTCCAATAAGTCTTTGGTCAGGGTTTGAGGAACACTCACTTGCTCATATAAATACTTTCGTATCTCTTCACTGCTTTTCTCTATACCCATTTGAGATAAGATTTCCAGGATTCGAAGTCTTTGTTCATCCTTTAAAGAAATATTGTCATAGGCAAAGGATAGCACAGCATTCAAAATGTCGCCATGGTTAATGAATATAACCTTTTGTGAATTCTTGGATTGGAAGCATGGAAGAACTTTAAATATCTCACTAACAACCTTTAGAGTTTCTGCATCATCAAATATCCGCCCGGAGGCATTCCTGGTGACTATGTCAAAATTAACAGCACTATATTTCTCAGGTACACCTGAACCTCTCAATCCAGGACGGAAAACATATTGATGTCGATACACTTTGGTTAAAAACACCTGGTTTCGACTTAGGAATCTAGCCATGGGGAGTACCAAATCGTATGGTAAAGTCAACACTGAACCATCTTTATCCAAGACTTGATAGACAAAATTACCCTCTTGTAATGGTGACATTGGTAAAGGTAAGTAACTGGTATAGTCTTGTACAGCCCCATGACGATTAAATAATTTGAACACTTGTCTCAAGACATTATCCACTAGCATAAAGTCTGAAGAATTAATCTTACCATCATGGTGGGCTCTTTTATCAAACAAAACATCGGTAGCCAATGAATATGGTTGGTTGAATAAAGTTTCCCGAACTTGTTGTTGCCAAGGAGAAGAAGGGTCCGCCAAAGACTTCAATGCTTCTCTAATTACTTGATCTTGGTGTTCTACTGGAAGCATTCCACTTTGAAGAATTTCTGTTGCTCCAGGCCGTTTCTTAGGATCATGTTCGAGCAATAACTTGATTATCTTCCTCTCTGTTTTATATTTAAGATCAACAAAATTAGAAGGGAAATCAACTGTCACTAATCGTAAGTTGTTTAAAGTTTGAGCCCTTTCCATACCAGTTCCTAAGGGGTAGCACATCTCAAAGAATATTACTCCTAAAGAATACATATCCACCTTCTCATCATAGTTTCCTGATGCCACCTCTTTAGCAGTATAAAAATATGTTCCAACAATTGTTGATAAATCCTTTTCGTTGGTAGGAGGAGATACTTGGTTATTATTCAGAAATACTGTTGAAAACTGGGAATTTTTGGCCAATCCAAAGTCTCCAACCTTCACGTTATTTGATTTATCAATGAAAATATTGGTAGGTTTCAAATCTCGATGAATAAACCCTTCCCTGTGTATATAAGAAATAGCTTCAAGTAATTGACGGAAAAGTCTCCAGTATTCTTTCGGATTTTGAGGTAAACCTTGTTCAATCAAATTTTGAAGAGTATTATTCTCACAGAACTCCATTTGAATGTAAAGAATATACCTCTTTTGAGATTCTGCTTGCAGTTTTCTCAGTTTGGTGATTAATATGGATTGTTTCCCTTCCTCTGTAGTCAGCTCATTAACGGATTCAGAATCTTCTTCCTCTTCTTCTTGTTCAGTCTGTTCAGCTTCATCATCTGTTGATCTTGCAAACTCAATTAAATCGTCAATATCTTCATTATTGGAGTCTGAACTGAAGTCAATACCAGAATCAAAAGTATTGGAAGAATAGAAATCTGCTTGATACGAATTATTTCTGCTGACCAAGAACGAACTGGAGCGATTGAAAGGACTCAGAAAGTCCTCTTCAGAAATCTCGCTATATATTTCAAGACTATCATCTTCTTCCTCATCTTCATCATCATCGTCTGCCTTATCGTCGTCATCTGGCTTGTGGTGTTCAGTGACTTCTTCAATCCAAGTTCCGTAGTAACGCACAATGAATTGATGATTTAAACGTGCAAGAGAAAGTACTTCACTCAAAAGAGAATCGAGTTTGTTAGCCTTATGCTTGATCTTTTTGATAGCATAAAAGGTACCTTCCATTCTGCTTCTGGCCTTAACAACTTCCCCAAACCCACCTTTACCAAGTCTGCCTATTTCTTCAAAATCTCTTTCGTATCTTCCTAAATTTCGGGGTGAGCCAGCACTTATGAATGAAGAAGACATGTTGTCACCAAAACCATGATTTTGATTGGAATATCGTCTTCTATTGCTGGCTGCTAAAGCTTTGGTACGTTCCAGAAATGCAGGTAAAGGTTGCTCCTCTGTTTCAGATTCTTCTTCGCTATCAGCTATCGCATGTTCATGAGAACTATTGGCTAGTCTTTTTGATCTTGCCTTAAACTCACTTTGAGAGTTGTTCAACATAGGTCCATCTCTTAAGAACTTGCATGTATTTAATTCCATTGGTGATGGCCGTTTGGATGGTTTGGTTTGAAGCATTTTGGATAATAAATCATACACTAATTCCGCATATTCTTCAACTCCAGGGTAATCTTCCACATCAAAATCAGCAAAAAACAGTTCTGGAGTTATAAATGTCGTCACTAATATATTAACACTGAGCATTACTCTCATGAAAAGTACACCCAAATCCCATATATCAGTTTGGTATGTTTGTTCACCACCTTTGTTCTTAAGTTCTGGTGCCATCCATGTAGCCGGTACTTGTGAAAGAAGAATTCCAGGCGATCCCAATTTGTTGTGGTTATCTGGATGGCTCTCAAACATCTTTAAGAGCCTATAGCCATAGCTTGGATAACTTAGTTTGATTATTTTATTTGAAGATTGTGGAGACTCTTGAATACTCACAGTTAAAGGATTAATAAGCTTGTGAATGAATCCAGAATTGTGCAAGTATTCTAAAGCTGGTAACATTTGAATTAACCAAGTTCTTGCTAAAGCCCAATTGACGAAATCTGCGGTTTCTAAGATATCAGTTAAGGAATCGGAGTTCAAAGAGAACTCGGTGATAAGACGAATTTTCCATCCTTTTTCATCTTCAAAATCAAGTCTATCTATTTGGAACCCTAATAATCTATTAAGGTTTTCATGGTGCAAGGTTCTTATTAATTGTAATTCTGCTTCAAGTTCTTGGATTTCTCGTTTACCAGTTTCTGTTATCCAATACTTATTGAATAAATTCACTTCAGTCAAAAGTAATAGCACATCTCCACCTTTTCTACCAAGTCTTTCCTTAGTAAGCTTTGGTAAATACGGCTTAACAATGTATTGTGAGGCAATTGAAGATAAAAGATCTCGTTTATCATAAGGAATAAACCCCAGAACTGCTTTGAATTTGAATTTTGATTTCGTCAGAGGAATTTCTCCAATTAAAGGATTATCGAATATAAAATATTCTGAATTGTTTGGAGGCATTATTTCTGTATCTGAATCGATTACTAAATCATCTCTAACTTCTGATTCTCGTTCATTATTATAATAATCTCCTTGCATATTTATCAATTGCTCATTCAATTCTTTATTCTGTTTAAGCATTTCCTTTTCACGTTCTTTATTTCGATTCTCTTCTTGAAGTTCCAACTTTTCCCTTTCCTTCCTTAACCGAAGTTCACGTTCTTCTTCAAGGGAAAGTACCTTCTCGGTAGTCTTTTGGATGTCGTCAAGAATGTCCTTCACTTCCGATACAAGAATAAACCCTACCTCTACATCTCTATATTCCACTAACAACTCCTTGATCTTCCTTTCTATACGATTGACACTATTCTTAAGGAGATTGATGGGGTGAAGAACCTTAACTATGGGACTCAGAATAGGATAAGTGGGCGTAAACTCAATGTCTAAAGTCAATGCAATTGTCGGTCTAGCGGCATCCTCCGATGACTCTAGATATATCTGGAAATGTGGACTACGTTTCATGTTCCATACTAAACCTTTGGAGGTAACATCTTTATAGATATCCCCATAGATCGATTGAAGACTGGACACTTCGTCCTGCTGTCGTTGTTCTAGGTCGTTCATAGTATAAGTCAATTCAGACACCGCAAAAGAAGGTTCTGGAAAAACCAACAAATAGTGTTGGTCTATGGGTATGATACCAATTGGTTATTATTGCAAAAGAATGTATACATTAGTCGTAAATCTTAAGCGTGATTTGGATCTGTATACATTTGTTGCTTATGTAATATATTACGTAGACGCGGAAAAATATTATTTTATGTGTAGGACATTGTGGACTACAAGATGCTTATTATAGTGTTCCTCTACTGCTACTCTAGTACTGCAGTATTGTTCCAGTTACCACTACTACCATCAGTTTTACTATGGTTGAATCTGATCCCAACACTATCCGTATCCTTCTAACTACAGACAACCATGTGGGGTACAAAGAAAACGATCCTATCATCGGAGATGATTCTTGGAAGACATTCCATGAGATCACCACTATAGCCAAAGACCATAACGTTGATATGATAGTACAAGGAGGAGACCTATTCCATGTTAATAAACCGTCTAAGAAATCATTGTATCATGTGATAAAGTCATTGCGTATGAATTGTATGGGTGATAGACCTTGCGAGTTGGAATTACTAAGTGATCCAAGTGCTGTATTTGACAATGGATTTGATACAGTTAACTATGAGGACCCGAATTTAAATATCTCCATACCTGTGTTTGCCATTAGCGGGAATCATGATGATTCCTCCGGGGAAGGGCTCCTACTGCCATTGGATGTTCTTTCTGCCTCCGGGTTGGTAAATCATTTTGGGAAGGTGGTCAATAATGAAGATATAGTGGTTAATCCTGTACTTCTCCAGAAGGGTACCACCAAGTTAGCTCTTTATGGGATGGGGAACGTTAGAGACGAACGATTGGCCCGAACTTTTAGAGATGGCCATGTTAAGTTCCTAAGACCAAACGTATACACTGAAGAATGGTTTAACTTATTTACCATTCATCAAAACCATGTACCCCATGGGAAGACGGCATACATTCCAGAAGTCTTCCTTCCGAGGTTTCTTGATTTTGTTTATTGGGGTCATGAGCATGAATGTATGGGCCAACCAATCTTGAATCCCGAAACTGGGTTTGATGTTCTCCAAGCAGGTTCTTCCGTGGCCACTTCATTATCTGAAGGTGAGGTTCCGGATAAACATGTATACATTCTTAATGTTAAGGGTAAGGCCTATACCATTGAACCGGTGAAATTGAAGACAATTCGACCCTTTGTAATGAAGGATATAGTTTTGAAATGGTCTAACTTACTCCCTGGAGAATCTTCTAGAGCTGACGTCACTCAATATCTTGTCAATGAAACAGAACGACTCATTGAAGAAGCCAATAACAAGTATATTGGCTCCAATAAGGAGTTATTTGACCAAATAGACCCTGAACTACAACACAAATACGTCCCACTCCCTTTAATACGTATAAGGGTTGATTACTCTGGAGGATATGAGTTTGAAAATGCTGTGAGATTCTCCAATAGATTTGTTAACCGAATAGCCAATATTGGTGATGTAGTGAGCTTCATTAAGAAGCGTGAACCTTCAGCAGCAGCTCCTGTGTCCAAGACAAAATTCATGGATAACGTGGGAGATGACTCTTCTCTGGTGATAAGCAATCCACCAGAAGCAGTGCTACAGGAGCTTATTGATCTGTTCCTTAAACAGACAGAGCTAGCTATTATACCTGAGAATGGGATTCACAACGCAGTGGAGAAGTACATTGAACAGAATGATAAGAACTCGTTGGAGAAGTACGTGAAGCAAGAGATCAAGAATGGTACAAGGTCTATTCTACTGCTTGAAGTCGATAAGAATTTTAGTGAACTGGGTGTCTATGCTAAGGATGTGCTTAAGGATGTTCTTGCGAAGCTCAAGGTTAACAGGCAAAAGACAGAAATCATTGATAATGATAATGATGATGATGATGATGATGACGATGATGTTAGGGATATGAAGCCATCCATTATAGAAAAGGCTCCCCTTCCAAACAGGAAAAGACGAACTTCAAAGAAAGTAGAAGTTGTTGCCAGCAGTAGTGAAGATGAAGATGTTCCAGAAGACGTTGATGTTGGTGATGATTCAGAAGACGAATTTGTAGTTGACGAAGATGACGAACAGGATGAAGATGAAGGTGATGGGCATAATGAAGTTGTATCTGATAGTGAGGAAGAAAAGCCGAAGAAAAGAGCAGCTAGAACAAAACCAGCAACTCCATCAATAAAGAAAACCCCACCTGTTCGTCGTGATAGAGGCAAGGCAACTTCAGGAACAAGTAGAACAAGCACCAGACGGTCAAAGGAGAATGTTAGAAAGAATGGTGGGAAATCGGCATTGCTCGATAGCATATTGTCAATTTAGCATTAGCTGTTTGGTTTTGTTTATTCAAAAGAAGTTGCTTCTTTGACAAGAGCATCCATATCAAAAGTTTCAGTTCCAGAGGTGAAATCTTGTAACAATTTCTGTCTTGTTGCAGCACCTTCTTCGTTACCGACTCCACCATAGAACCTTTGAACATTTAATACCAAGAGTTGGGCTTCGTCCATAGATAAAGAGCTTTCTGTTTCACAATAGCCATTCATCAATACCAAATTCTTGTTGGCTATCAATTCTTGGTGGAAGGTAATAGAAGTGTGAGGTTTGGCATACTCTTTATGTAATTTATATTCGGCCACGGTAGTTATCATACAATGTGTAGTCTCTGGTCCAACAAACTGCCATTGGACAAAATGCATTTCGTATCCATCACCTTTAGGAATAGGAAGTATGAAACTTGGGTTTTTGAAGGCATTAACATATATCTTAGCAAATTGTTCACTGGTTAAAACAGCATGAAGATTTCTTGGATCCAGTTCAAATCTTGCCTTCCAAATCACTTGTATATGTTCATTAGGTAATTCCAGAATCTTATCCACATCAATATATGATTCCATTGTTTTATAAGGAGCTTTGGGTTCCAGTTTATCTACTGGTCTTCTGATCTTGATTGTATGAGGGTCTCCATCCTGATTCTCCCGTTTAACTTCGGCTGCTTGTCTTCTTTCGTATTCTTCAAGTTCCTTTAAGGGATCAATTGCGTTCATTTCCTTTTTGATCCGATCAATGTCATCTTTCAAGTGTGTTTTCAACTCAGTTGTGTCCTTTAACCCGAGTTCCTTTGCCTTCTTGGCCAACTTGTCTTGGTATCGTTGTGCCAAATCAGATTGGAACCGAGTGGCTCCACGCACAGCAGTAGCACGTGCTGCTGGGACATACAAACGACTTCTAGCTATAACCTTGGTTAGTGAGATCATGGTGTTACTGGTGTGGTCGGTCAAAAAGAAAGAGAAACAGAATCTTTCAAGTTTTTCATTCCAGAAAAGTCTATACTAAGGATCGAACAGAGTCAAATGTTTATAGCACCAGAGTTAACAAACTTAGCCAAGCATACTGAAATATACGCTGTACCATAGATTACAATTATGTTACATCCATTAGGAAACCTACAAGACTAATACATTGTACTGCAATACACTGTACTACAATACACTGTACTGCAATACACTGTACTATACTATTCCGTACCACCTTGCACTCTGCATTAGTGTAACTCGTATATTCGTTACTATTAACGTTAACTCTCCTTAGCAGCTTCCTCCTCGGCCTTAACCTTTTCCATGGCTTTCTTTAAACTTTCAAGGTCTTCAAACACCAAGTCTCCAACACTAGTTGAAAAGGAATCTCCTTGCAGCTTGAGAACTTGCTCAAGATTGAAGTTATTATCTCTAAAGATCCGTAAGTTATCTGCTATCAAATGACGGTTCTTACACCCTGGGCATTGAATTAACACTGATCCCTTTTCATATCCTTGTTTGGATAATGTATGAGATGATCTGGTGTTACAAACTTTGCAGGTAAATGCAAGCATAAGCTGTGGATCAACCTTCCCGAGAACAGGTCTAGAATCGTCTCCTTCTTCTGGTGTCTTGTTCTGGTAACGGGTTGTGGATAATTGGAATTGTCTTCTCCATTGAAGGGGAATGCCTCTAACTAGCAAAGGCCTTGAACATGACCGAAGGGTCCTTGATATAGGAAGAAGTGAACTTGACCTCATTATTGTATTCTAATGTGGCCTGTCAATATGACTGCTCAATATGACCTATAATTTTTTTTGTCAATGTGACTTGTCAAATTGACATATAAATATGATAAATCAAATTGGTCCAGCATCTTCCATCTCTTCGCACTATAAAAAGGACCAGAATGTTCCTCACTGGTAATTTCTAATAGCAACTATTTCTAAATTCAATTGCTACATGAATCCCTAGAAAGGTGTTCTGGTACACTCTATACATTATCCTTGTTGATTCATAGGTCGTTCAGTAATAGCTGCACCTCGATCAGTTGTTACTTTTGTTATTGAACATCCCGGAGAAAAGTACTGCCGGTACGAATCGTGGGGTAAAAAATTTCACAAGGTAAATAAATGATACCGCTTCTTCATTGTAGCATACTCTCTTTACATGTCTTCAGCAACATGGCGAAGGATCTCTGATCCTGTGAGGTTCATGTTCAAAACTTATCTTGCTGCTGGGAAACAATATGAAACATATTCCAATCCAGATGTGAAGGCTGCCTTACTAAAAGGTACCAAACTATACCAACAGTATCAGCAGTATAAACTTTTAAGAGAAAATTCAATTGATATGAGTGTATTTCTGCCTATTGAAGTTAAAGCTTTAGGTCCTGTTTTAGCCGAAAAACTTGATTTGGGTGATTTGGACGAACGTGATATTGATTCTATGTGGAAAGAAGATGTGGCCCGAGATTTGAAGGGCATTTCATTTGATAATATTTTAGAATCTCCCATATATTCAGAAGCATTGAAATCTCCTCGTAACATAACTGATCTTCAAGCAAGGGTTTTAGGAGTATTTGCAGCATCTTGTCTGCCACATTTATCCGTGCCTATGAAATTACAACCGGCAATCTCTTCATTTAAATGGTATCTTCGACTCCTAGCAAATACTCCTGTGGTACTTATATTGAAAATACGGCGAAGGTTATTTTCTGATGATTCTTTGGGTCTGATTGATTTATTAGGATTGGAATTTGAAAAATCCCTTGATGATGTAAGAGCTACATTAAAACCAGAAACTTTACATGATCCAGATTTTGGTATTCGAAATTATCATTTCACTCATTTATCAAGTTCTGATTTATTAGCATTAGCCATAAGATCCCAACCTGCATTTCTTGATGCCAATGATAATTTTGAACAGATTCTCAAAACTATTGATTGGAATCAATTCAACTCATTACCTGATTCCTTCTGTGATACAATTGTCTCAAGAAATATTTCATTCCTTCAAATGCCTGATGGGATTGTTATTCCTACTCCAGAAATTGGTGAATTGAAAAGAAATATACCTTTGACAGCTACTTTAGGTGCAACAGATTTAATACCTGAAGATTTACCATATGATTTGGAATATGATGATCTTTACCTTTTAACTATAGAGAATGCTGGACTCAACCACAATTTGGAGCCGCTACTTGATGCTGTAGGAACCTCACCCTTTGAAGTTATTGGTGCAAGAGTAATGTTGGGCAATGAAGAAATCAATAATTTTTTCAAAGAAGCCACTGAGTCTCATAGCCATAAAGATAATACTCTTATTACATATGATGATTTGATATTAATGGCTCAAAAAGCCCGACTGGAAGCATCTGGACCTCCTTCTGCTGCACATTCCCTTTTCACAAAGCTTGGACAATGGAACCAAGCCAAAGTTACAATGGGTCCTCATAAGAATTGCATTTATCTTGGACCATCATCTTAATGTAAATAATTATGTATATTACGGTATATATATGGATAGTTTTATATAGTATTCGATGATGTCATGTTAAATATGGGGTTGGTGTTCGGGTGTCTCGTTTATTCAGGAGTCGGACACCGAGCACACCATAGTTAAAGTATTTGCTTTTAGGCATCACACAAGACGACGACGACGACGACCAATGAGTTTCCAACTGATACTCAATGGTAGACGCCTGAACCAGCCACGTCTTGTGGCCATGGCCGTGTTGATTTTCATTCTCGTGGTTGTGTTCAACCGTAGACTGGAACCCAGCTATGGAAGTGTGGCACCAGTGGATGAAATCGAGGAAACCAATGGGTATAAGGATGATTTCCTTGATAAGAATGTGCTAAATAGAAATGGAGAGAAACTCAAGACAGCTCCCAAATTAATTATATCTGATGAAGTGACCAAAGATATGTTAAGGGCCATGGACAAGAAGCAAGCCAAATGTCCTGATTATGTTGACTATTCATCTGTTGCTCATGGTCCATTAAGTTCAGGTAAACATCGTTATCCATATATGAGACCAGCCCCCAAATGTCGTACGTTTAGTTCTGAAGCTGTTGAATTGTTAATAGCAGAGTTGAAGAAACGGGTTGAAGATGTTGATTTAGGGAGGTTAATTGAGAACACTTTACCCAATACTTTGGATAGTACGATTCTTTGGCATTTGGATGAGAAACAAGGAGGTACTAGAGGTCCTCAATCATTTGTGGTAACTGGTGACATTCATGCTGAATGGTTAAGAGATGCTGCTAGACAATTGTCTGTGTATCAGCCATTGGTTAAATATGATACCAAGTTAAGGACATTGATTAAAGGAGCTATTAATACTCAAGCAGAATTCTTGAATAGTTCACCATATTGTAATGCCTTTCAACCTCCAATAGGTTCAGGCATCAAGAAGAAAGACCCCTCCATAGATCATGTGATCCCCAGGCCTGATTGGAGAAGAGTATTTGAGTGTAAGTATGAAGTTGATTCATTGGCTTCATTCTTAACTCTTAGTAATGAATACTATGACAATTCAGATGGTGGTGACACAAGTTTCATCAACTACAAATGGATGGCAGCACTTGAGAAGTTGCTCATAGTAGTTAAAAGAGAAATGATTCCTTCTTTCAATAAAGATAATGGTGAAGCAATGGGATTTTACTATGTATTTCAAAGAAATACTAATATAGGATCCGAAACATTACCTTTAGCAGGTACTGGGAACCCTGTTAATTATGGTACTGGGTTGGTTAGAAGTGCCTTCAGACCCAGTGATGATGCTTGTATCTTACAATTCTTTATCCCGGGTAACATTCATTTGTTAACAGAACTTAAACGAATGAGACGGACTTATTTCAATCAGGATAAGTTACCTGAATTCAATATTGAGTTGTTCACCAGCAATATTGATTTTCTTATTAAGAAGATCACCAAGGGGATTGAAACTTATGGTATAGTAGATCATCCAGTTCATGGGAAAGTGTATGCCTATGAGGTTGATGGCTATGGTGGTAACATCTTTATGGATGATGCTAATATCCCTTCGTTATTGGCCATACCTGACATGGGTTTTGGTGAATTGGACGATCCTGTCTATCAGAATACAAGAAAGATGATCTTATCCAAGAGTGGGAATCCTTATTACCTTAAGGGGAAGTTCTTTAAGGGAATTGGAGGTCCTCATGTAGGCGTACATAATGCATGGCCCATGTCATTACTTGTTGGTATTCGAACCACAAATGATGATGATGAGATCATCAACAATTTGAATTTGGTGATGGCTACAACTGGTGGACTTGGTTTAATGCATGAAACAGTTCATGTGGGTTCAGAAGGTGGTTATCAATACACAAGACCTTGGTTTGCTTGGTGTAACTCTGAATTTGGTAAGACTATATTACACTTGGCAAAGCATAAACCTCATTTGATATTTAAAGATGAATATAAAAATGAACCTTTTGACATCCACAAGATTATAAAGAAACAATAATACATAACAATACATATATATATATATACATATATCAACGACGAATGTAATTGGCTATGGCTTCGACTGTTTTCGAGGAAGCGGATTTGGCAGTATCTTCAAAAGCTTGTTGATAACGAGATTGGATATCTTCTTCAGTATTACTGGTAATTTCTGCACTTCTATCCTCTGGGAAAGTATATTCACGTTCCACTTCTTCCTCTTCATCTGGAACCACTTCTCCATTATGGTTGTTATCCTCTGGTTCATCTTCATAATCAGATAGCACCTCTGTGTCGTCATTTACATTCATATCTTTCATTAATTTGTTCAATGATTTGTTCTGTCTCTTCTTTTCCTCCAACTCCTTCTCCTTTAGTATTCTTTCTCTTTCCTTCAAGTAATATTCATTGTATTCGTCCACCTTGTTATCCACAGCCTTTAAGAAATCATCAAACCCATCTCCAGTGTAAGCACTCACACCAACCACATCCAATTGCGAATAGAATTCCTCCAACATCAATGACATGGAATTGACTAAGGAACTCATGTATCCAGAAGAGGTCCCATCTTCACCATTCAACTCTTGGTCCAGTCTTAAAGCGGTCTGGAAGGCTTCAAAGTCCTTCATCCATTCCACGGCAAAATCAGCCTTCTTAACATCGGTCTTGTTGAACACTATGATCATGGGTAATTTGGTCTTATACAAAATGGAACAAGCATACAACATATTGGACATGAATGTCGTGGGAGAAGTATTTCTAGGAGTATCAACAACATAGGCAATCACTGTGGGGAAAGTGGAAGCAAAGGCTTCGGTTATAATGGCTCCAGAGGCTGACCAAATAAAACATTCGATTTGTCCAGGGGTATCGACTATAACATGATTAAATTTATCGGACTTGTTCTCCACTAGCTTAAGGACCTGATCAATCTTGGTGGAAAACAAGTTCAATGACGTAACAATGGCACCATTGGGACCCAAGTTATATTGTTCCATTACCTTCTTATACTTGATAGAGTCACGTATATCAATGTTGGCACCAAATGGAACTTTGATGACGGCTGGATCAAGGTTGATCACATATGGTGGTTCCTTTTTGGAATGAAGTGTAGCGTTTAACCGTTGCATAAACGTGGTCTTACCAGACCCGGCCATTCCTATGCATAATACTGTTACTGGTGCCATAGTGTTAAGGTAATTATAAAGTAATTACGTTTGTTAAGGTAATTAAGTATGTTACTATAAAATAAGTAGGACTTTCATCATCACATTACAAATGGCATCTCAAGTTTGACGTGTGCTTACCAAAATAGCGATAATCATATATCAATCTTTAATACTCTATCAATAATGTCGTCAAACACAGCGACATGCGACAAGATTTGAATATTCTCTGCTTCGCCCTTGAACAACCTATCAGCCTTAGGACCCCCAGGACCAGTAAAGTTCATTTGTTGTTGTTGATGTTGTTGAGCCATAAGTTCCTCGGCAGATTCAGATCCTACTAGTAAGGAATATACCGGTTTAAGACCCATGAAATTGATGAAATACCATGAAATAGCAGAAACATATCTAACATTCAAATCTGGAGTCATCACGTCACTTTGAAGCATTTGTTTAAACCCCGTAGTAAGTGTAAATGGAAGTTTCATAATAACAAACCCTGGGAAAAAGTAATTGATCCAACCCATAACTAAGGTTTGGGGTATATAATTCATCATGTTACCTTTGAGCATTCCCATCATCTGTTCATTCATTTTAGGATCAGCCAATGGATTGGTTGCAGGTTCATTATTAGCTTCTGATTCAGCTATAAATTCATTGGAATTGAGCTTCTCAAGATAATATTTCTGACGTTGATCAAACGAATGTTTGCTAATCATGCGGTTGTTCTCTCGGAAATTAACAGCCCGTTGTAAGAATTGTCTAATTTAGTTAGTACTTATTTTTGGTGTATCAATGGTATCAATTCACATACCTTTCTCTGCTAATCTTAATTTCTGGTAACTTCTTAGATGAAGTTAAATAGTAAGTTAAATTGGACCTAAGAAGGCCAACTACCACCATAACAACTGATATGGGTAGAAGTACCCAGTACTTCAACTGAGGGTCTAATAGAAGTTCACTGGTCATGTCTATGGTTGATGATGTTTGGTTAGGTAGTGTTAACTGAGCTGAGGACTTTAATTTCAACAACTACGTTTTGCTTGGTGTTCGGGTCCAGCTTATATGTAGGCACGAATGATGACATAATAAGTAGTCGTATATTACCCAAATAGGCATGTAGCTTCATTGGTGCTATGCTAATCGACCATGATTAGCAATCAAAAATTGTTGGATAATATACTTATTGAACCACATATCAAACGTGTGTTCTGTAGACGCTCAGATTAACATGACTTGTAAAACCCAGAGTACTTCATCCATTCAACACTTGGTATGGGGATTATTTGGAGAGCATATATTTGCCAAAGGGGGTAGGTACTGTTTTTTGTATTATGGTTCTTTTTGGTAGGTGTATTGGTATCAATAGCTGTTATCATGATACAAAGAGTTCGACCGCAAGCCAAATTCTTGAAATATCTCAATCCGACATTGTTTGTTAGTGGTGCTAGTCAAATCCCCACTAACACTGGTATCAATTATGGAGGTCATATGATCTCTTGGGTGCCTGAGAGTATGACTCTTACATTATTATTAACAGTGTAAATTAGGGTGTATATTTTGGGTGTAAAGCACAAGATAGTACTGGGGCTGTAGGTTGCAAAAATGCCGCAGCAACAGTATGTCCTTACGTTATAGTAGTTTACTTGATAAAATATGTATCAATTCATTTAAAAATCCAGGTGTATCTACATTAAAAATTGAAGTTCTCAAAAGTTATATCTTCATCTTCGTGTCATTTGGATCTGAGGTAGTGGGTCAGGACATTTGCAAATTGACAACTCAGAAAGACTCTCAAAATTTCATATATTGTCTAGGAGAGCTATACAAAAAAAACTATAAATACTCAAAGTGGATTTGTACTTTGCAAGAAAGTCGTAGCTTAGGCTCAGGGGCTTAAACACCAAGGAGGGGCCTAACCAATCCCGATATATTATAACATCATTTGCCTTAAGAATACTTAGTTTTTTTGCTTAAAGTTTCCCAGAGGAAACATATAGTTTAAGGAGAATTTAGCTAAGTTTCCTTAAAATGTCTTAAAAAGAGAATATACGATTCCATGAGGGTAAGCGAAATTCCCAGAAATCTCCCAGCTAACAAGCGCCGTGGCGCAGTGGAAGCGCGCAGGGCTCATAACCCTGATGTCCCTGGATCGAAACCAGGCGGCGCTATTTTTTTAAACTTTTGACTACACACTAATGCTTAAACAATATCCCTTCGAGATCGAATTCCAACCGATCAAAGATACTGGCTTCGTTATGTCCGTAGTCGCAAATTGAATTGCATACTAAGTTCAAGCAATTGAAAAGTGGTCTGCTTAGTAAAAATAGATTTCAATGTGCAGAAAATGGCTTTTCTTAAACGACAACCTCAGCACCGTACTGAATTACGAACTACGTGCTTTGACGTCACACGGAATTTAAACGACAAAGTCCGATATGCGAGAATTTGTATTACCCAAACTCAACCTACATGTGTCAAATCATCTACATACGTCAAACTATCCTTCTAATCCGAACGTTACCAGAGACTTGGCTTACCGGTGCAACGTCTCATCATTGTTCTTTTTTCATATCAAATCCTTTATAGTAAGAAAGGGATACCTGACAAGACCACCAAACCCTGGAAGAGCCGTAGACGGAGTCTTGTATTCACTACTGTCAAAGGTGTCAAACTCGCGCAAGATCCAAAAGTGCTCAATATGCGAGGCTTTAAAATTTGAAGCCTTTCAGTAAGCTTTTAGTTTTTTTTGACATAAAGAAGGAACGCACGTTAATTGGCTGGTTGCAATATGAAGATTGGATAAAATCTTAATAATGTCTGAATAGGGACAAATCTACTTTCAAAAGCTTTGAAACGCTTTGTATACAAAAGAATGTTTCCTAGCTCCGTGCTCGGTCGTAGGAGCAAATGAGTTAGTTTCAAGGCTTTAAAACAAGTGACCGTTTATCAGTTTCTTTATATATTTATGTGCGTTATTTCCATCTGATAATTTCCATCTGATAATTTCCATCTGATAATTTCCATCTGATAATTTTCATCTGATAATTTTTCTTCTATTAGTGAAAGGATCGGACTCCAACCACAGCCATGGGAAGTTGGATAAACTCATTAACAGACAACCACAGGCCAATTTCTAAAAGTTTAACCACTATGGAAAATCTAAAAGAAAACAAAGATGGTAAGAATGAGTTGTATGAAGACGGTAAGAATGAGTTGTATGAAGACGGTAAGAATGAGTTGTATGAAGACGGTAAGAATGAGTTGTATGAAGACGGTAAGAATGAGTCGTACGAAAAAGTTAGCCGTGATTTGGGTCTGGAAGGTATGCAAGATGACCTTAAGAGCAGTACAAGTTCAGAAGAAACTGAGTATGATTTTACACCTGCCGATGTAGACGAAGTAGTCGCCATTGAAGATGATATTGATATGCCGGCTGGAACCGTACGGATGTGGGTTATTGCAATTGCTTTGGCATCTTTATTAGGAGGAGTCGATGCTTTTTTTCTCTTTCGATTTCCATCCATTTCTGTGGGTGCAATTGTCGCCCAACTTTTAGCATACCCTTTAGGGAACTTGTGGCACATGGTGGTGCCCAATTGGACCATTGGGTACGGTAAATATAGGGTTCCTCTTAACCCTGGTCCTTTCAACCAGAAGGAACATTCGTTGATTTATATGTTCACCAATAGCGTTACATCATTAAGACTTGTGAACGTGGCTACCACGGAACAAATCAAGTTTTTCAATGTTGATTTTAGCGTGGGTAAAGCTCTCGTGCTTAATATTTCTGCCTTCTTTATCGGTTGGGCCTGGTGTGGACTCGCATTACCAATCCTTGTATATCCATCTGAAATGGTGTGGCCAAGTATATTAAGTGGTTGTGCCTTAATGAAAACGTTACATTCTAGAGAAAATCCTTATGTGCCTAATTGGAAAATATCCAGAATGAGCTATTTTGCAATCATATTTATTGGTGGATTTGTGTGGTACTTTTTCTCGGATTTCATAATACCTTTCATTGCAAAAATAGGAGCTTTCATTACTTGGATTGTGCCAAATAATGCTATTGTGGGCCAAGTTTTTGGTACTAAGAATGGACTTTCATTGTTGCCAATTTCTTTTGATTGGACAACCATCCTGAACCTTTCTAATCCGTTAACTGTGCCATTTGTTCACGCTGCTACTGTGTTTTTGTCTTTTGTATTCTGGGTTTGGTGCGTTATTCCTGGCCTATACTACAAGAACCATTGGCAGGTAGGACATTTTCCCATCCTATCAAACACCATTTATAATGTTAATGGGACTTCCTATGATGCAACCAAAGTTGTGAACTCGAAATTTGAATTAGACTATGAGAAGTACGCCAAATACTCACCAGTTTTCATTCCCGTGGGATTTTTAATGCAAATTGCCTTAACTTTGGCCGCCTTTTCTTCAATGATTGTTACCATTATGTTTAGGTTTAAAAAGGACGTCATTAACCCACTCCGAAACCCAACATCCGATATTCACAGCGATCTCATGCTGAAGTATAAAAAATTCCCAACGTACATTTATCCTATTTCCTTATTGATTGGCATAGCATTAGGCGTGATGTATGTTGCTATATGGAAAGACATAGCACAAATCAGCGTTGGAGGATACTTTGTTTCCATCATCTTAGGAGCAATTCTTTATCTTCCCATGTGTATGGTAGAAGCTCAAAGTACGCTTGTGATTAACTTGCAAGCGTTTATGAATCTTGTTTCTGCATTCTGGTTTCCTGGTAAACCATTGGCAGTTTTATATTTCACCTACGTCGGATTCGCCACACTTCAACACTCTGAACACTTATGTCAAGGAGCTAAAATGGGACATTATCTTAAAGTTCCTCCCAGGGTTACAATGGTGGTTTTATTTGCTGCTGGGATGTGGGGGTCACTTGTCAATTGTGGGGTAACAATATTCTTTATTCATAGAATCAAAGATGTTTGTTCATTGCATGCACCAAATAACATGACTTGCAAATTCCAGAGAACCTCATTTAATCAACACTTGGTATGGGGATTGTTTGGAGATCATATCTTTGCCAAAGGTGGTAGATATAGTTTCATATTGTGGTTTTTTTTGGTGGGTGCAGTAATGGCAGTTATACTCAATGTGATTCAAAGGATTCGTCCACAAGCCAAATTCTTGAAATATCTCAATCCTACTTTACTTGTTAGCGGTGCTAGCCAGATACCTAACAGTACTGGAATCAACTACGCTACGTGGTTCTCCGTGATAGTGGTCTTCAACTATTTTATTCACAAGTACAATAATGCTTGGTGGAGAAAATATAACTTGGTGACAGCAGTTGGGCTTGATTGTGGTATAGCAATTGCCGCAATAATAGTGTTTTTCTGTATTACATACACTGGTGCAAGCAAGCACTACCATTGGTGGGGCACAACTGTTGGTCTGACGGGGTGTGATGCGAAGGGTTGTCCATATTTGCCTAAAGACACTATCAGGAACCCTGGTAAATGGTGAATGGTTTATAAGCACAAATTTTACCAACACACAATTTATATGCTTATGTATTCAATATCGTTTATAAATTCTATAGAGCTTGAATATAGGACTGATATTATTTAACAATAGTAGTGTCTGATTGCTATCATTACTACAACGAAATTGGGTTGTCGAGGTGGTGCACTGTGTAAATCGATTTTGGTGATATGCGGGCGCATCGCTTGGTGTGTGCGACTAATAAATGAGAATGAATTGACAGTCAAAGTGAACCATCAACACATGAGCAGGTGTCAAATACATTCTACACAATACAACAAAGTATAATATGGGTTGGTTCGGAGGAAATAGTGCTCCTATCAAAATAAGTGCTGTTACAGAGAGTCCAGATCCATCCAAACAGCCACAACAGTATCTTGAAGACTTACCACCAAAGTTTGAAGATAATGGAGTTGCTAACCAAGGTCAAGGACAAGGTCAGAATTCCCAGAATGCAGGTGTTTGGGAAGCAGCTATGGATCAGTTTAAATGGTCAGATTTCACTGTGGATCGGTTTGTGGGTATGCCATGTTTTAGAGAAGCCATGCTCACTGGATTTCAAGCTATGGGTGTTTTAGGTGTAGTGACGTTCTTAATTCACAAGAATCCTAGTCGTTCCTTGAATTGGTCTATTGGGGGGTTTTTCCTCGGGAATGTTGTTGGATGGGAGCAGTGCCGTTCTATTCGCAGAAGATCTTTTGAAACGGTCGAGAAGGCCAGGCAACGTAAGGAAGAAAGCAATGCTAAAAAGCTTTCATTGAGTCAAGATGTAGAAGATCTTCTGTTGAAGAAATTTAATGAGGTTCAAAATCATGATTCCAGTGCTAAATAAGCAAATTCTGTAAATAGAATAAACTTTGTATATAAGAGAATCAAATCGTATGAAAATATCAGTATGGATCTAAAATAGTAACGTATTAGGAGTGCTAAAGGTACTTTTAAATGTACTTTACTACAAGGTCGTTTAATTTTTCACTCATATCGAGCTACAGAACTTCATTAGTGTACAAATTATAAACTACCAATAGCTTGCACATACCTCAATACTTCTATTACTGTCATCTCTTCTAGTATACGTCAACATCAGATCTGGTCACCAGTATTCGATAGTTGTGATGGGATCTCGGAATATTTAAACGTGACAATAATAGTGAGTGGTGTCTGCCTCGGATCTTGTCCCCACAAATTACCGTTTTGGGCGAGGGGCGATTTCCAATCTCACAACTTAAAACCTTCAACCAAGTTGTTCTTTCTTTCACTGCTACTGTTCTTCTTTTTCTTCTTTTTCTTATTATTATTGTTGATGCCCTTTTTGTCTTTGCAATAGATATGAATAACCACAGGTTAGAAATAGAGTTAAGGGGTCTTAGGTCCAACTTGGTGAACTTGCCTAATGATCTTTGTACTATCTTGTTCAACGCAGACATAAAAGTGCAAGATGTTGTGATTGAAATTGTAGCTGCTAAAGGTCAAAAATGGTATGCTGGCTGGTCAGGCCAAGTATCTGGAGCTCCTAAGACGTTGGAAATGGATCCAACTTTTGCTCAATCTTTACAATTGTCAGGGAAAGAGAAAATCACGGTTAATCTAAAGTTGAACCCCTTTGAGTCCTCAGAGGTAATAGTGGAACCGGTATCATCATCTGATTGGGAATTGACCGAGTTACATTCTCAAACTATTCAAGATAAATTGTTATCACAGACTAGATGTGTGGCCTTACATCAGCCATTGATTGCATATCCAACCCCAACTACTTGTGCTCATTATATCGTAACTGATTTGGGTAATCCAGAAATGACGTTTGTAAAGTTGGCCCCCTTTTGTGATTTGGCAATTAAACCTAAAATGAGAGTAAAGAAGTCTGATTTTACTCCTGCTAAATCAGTGAAAAGTGTTGCCTCAAACGATGATAGTGCCAATAATCCAAGCGTGGTGAAGAGAGGAATATCTTTACCTCATAATCTTTTTGAAATTTGTTCTATTGTTGATTATGAAGTTTATGTTAATGGAGAAGAAGTGATGCATGTGCTCGAACGTCCTGAATTTGTTCTGGTGGCCATTGTTCCTGGACCAACATATAAATGGAATAGGGCTCCAGCAGCATCAGAAACTAAAGATAAGGAAAAGGAAAATGTTACTGCTGCTGTATTAAATGAAAACAAGCGAGTCATTGCTAAGCTTGTACATTTTCCTTCTGCTCCAAAAAACACAATTGGGTTATCAGAGAAGCTTGCCATTGCATTGGGTGTAGAAAATGAAGTAGGATCAATGGTTCTGCTTCTGTCTGCGGTTTCATGTGTGTCCAAAAGACCAGGTACTTTTACTATTCATCCGTACATCACTGCTACAAGAAGAAATAATCAACTTAGTTTGAATGAAAGAAAGGAGGAAGCCACTAGATTGGCAGATGCGTTAACCAATTATTTCTATAAAGGAAAAACTCCGTTAAGTGCTTCTCCACTTACAAACTATTTGAAATTACCCATTATACCTGGCATTTTACCACATGGTGGACTTTTGAAGTTTAAAAGAAATGATGCATATTCTACTTGGGTTAAACCCCATAATGGTAAGAAGCCATCTAAAATTGAAATTGGTGAAGAGTTGTTGAGAAGTGTGTCGTTTATTCAGGAATTTAGAATTGAATCTAATTATTCAAATGAAGCTATTGGTTTGGATTCAATCATTAGTGGGATTGTGGACTCTATTGCAATTTCTCCCAACAGCAGTACCCTTGTACATGGGAACGCAGGTAGTGGGAAAACACTTATACTTCAACTGGTATCAGAGAAACTTAATTCAGAGCATGGATATCATACCAAATACATTGCGTGTGAGACAATTATGAATGAAAATGCCAATCAATTAATGGGGAGATTCACCAAATGGATTCAGGAATGCAATTGGAGCAAACCATCTTTGTTAATTTTGGATAATTTGGATAAGATCTTACCTTGTGAAATCGAGCATGGCGATTCTGGTGTATCAGTTCAATTATCTGAATTTTTAATCAGTCAAATACAAAGAGTACAGGCTCAGAATCATAGCAATTTATCCCTTTTGCTATCTTCAACATCAAAGGAATCATTAAACAAGCTACTTTTGCAATGTCATTTGGTAGATGACTTTCTTCATTTGTCAGCTCCTGATAAGAATATTAGACTGCAAATAATTGAAACCTATTTGGGAACTAAATTGAATTGTGAAATCAAATTTGATGTGATGGATGCTGTATCTGAAACCGAAGGCTATTTACCAAATGATTTGAAGATTCTTTGTGATAGAATATTCCATGAAGTTTTGGTTGAAAAAGCTCAAAAAAAGATTCCAACTTTAGCTGCAACTAAGAAGCATCTCGAAAAGGCAATCATAGGGTACGTGCCATCAAATTTACGGGGAGTTAAATTAGAGAAATCTTCCACATCTTGGGAAGATATTGGAGGTTTGAAGGGAGCAAAGGATTTACTATTGGAAACTTTGGAATGGCCTACGAAATATGCTCCAATATTTGCCAATTGCCCATTAAGATTAAGATCCGGTATTCTTCTTTATGGGTACCCTGGGTGCGGTAAGACTCTCTTAGCAAGTGCAGTTGCTGGTCAATGTGGATTGAACTTTATCTCTATCAAAGGTCCCGAAATATTGAATAAGTATATCGGTGCTTCTGAACAATCTGTTAGAGAATTGTTTGAAAGAGCCCAAGCTGCCAAACCGTGTATTTTATTTTTTGATGAGTTTGATTCCATTGCCCCCAAGAGGGGTCATGATTCTACAGGAGTAACTGATAGAGTTGTTAATCAAATGTTAACACAAATGGATGGTGCAGAAGGATTGGATGGAGTATATGTTCTTGCTGCAACAAGTAGACCAGATTTAATAGATTCGGCCTTATTACGTCCAGGTAGATTGGATAAGAGTGTGATCTGTGACATGCCTAACTATGAAGATCGTTTGGATATTTTAAAATGTGTTGCTGCAGATATGGATTTTGAAGATGACGTTAACCTTAGAGAAATAGCTGAAAAGACTGCGGGATTCAGTGGTGCAGATATGCAAGGATTAGGTTATAATGCTTATTTGAAGGCAGTCCATGTCAAATTATCCAAAGATGAAGAACAATTAATGGTCGGAGCTTCTGCTTCTTCTGGAGATGAAAATACAAGAGAATTTTTATATGTTAGCTCAGAGAAGTTGAAGAAGGCAAGTCTTCGGCCATCAGAACGATTGCAAATTCTTAAGCAAATTGAACAAATTTTCAATAGCAAAAACACTGAAAACAATAAGAACAAGACTTCCAATAATGATGTCAAGATTCCTATTTCCCATCAGAACTTTGTTGATTCCTTAGAAGAAACAAAACCTTCAATTTCGGTCAAGGAAAGGTTGAAGTTGGACAACATTTACAGTCAATTTGTTTCTGATAGAGACGGTAATATGCCAGATGGATCTGCCAGTAATGATATTGGGGCTCGGACCTCACTTATGTAACTTAAAGTTAACATGAAGTAACAAAATAAGCATTGTTGTAGAATAGACAACGTTTGACCCACATCCTTTGTGTCAGGACTAGAGATGTAATGCTAAAAAAAAGAGAGCTCGCACTCAGGTTCGAACTAAGGACCAACAGATTTGCAATCTGCTGCGCTACCACTGCGCCATACGAGCTTTTTCTATTGTTGTATTGAGAAAACAGTTTCATAGCATCAACAGCACACTTAGACTCTAATTGTTGATCACGTGATATATGAAGATATTCTAATAATCTTTACATTGATCATATATAGTTATACTCCTTGTTTATTAAAGAAATTGTATACCTAGTGTTCATTCTTTCATTAGGAAGTCACCTGAAGCAGAAATATCATCTAAATCAATAACTTCAGGGAATGACAGTTCAGGTTTATCTAAATCCATGAGCCCATCTTCGTTATCTAAATCTATGATTTCATTTGGTTGTTCAAAGGCAGTGTTGTTATCTAATGAAGCTTCTTGTGGCTTTACATCAATGTCAACGTCCATTAAATTTTGATTCTCTTGTTTGACCTCATCCCCCTCTGACTTTACACCTGGTTCAATTGTAGCTTCCTTCTTTACTTCGTTGCTCGATACTTCCTTATCTTCAGTAGGCTCAGGCTTAATATCTATTACTGGAGTCTCTTCTTGATTATTCTGTTCTTTCTCAGTACTTTCATTCTTAGTCATATCCTTGGTTTCAGGTTGAGATTCAGATTCAGGATTTAGTGTAGGCCCTTGTTCTTGTTCTTGTTCTTGTTCAGGCTCAGGCTCAGGCTCCGGCTCAGATTCTGGTTCAGGCTCAGATGGTACATCCACTGGCCCAACAAGCAGATCCATGATTTGTAATTGTTCATTTAATTTGGTCAACCCCACAGTAGTGTTCTTCTGACCTACCGAAATGGGTAAAAGCATAATGTTGTCCTTATTCTTGTTGTAGACCCCTGTGTTGTCGTCCATGGTCTTGACTTCTTTCCGAAGATCAATGGCAACATCACTTATACAATCATATATGTCTCTAGCCTGTGACACTATTTGATCCTTCAATGGGGTGACGTCCGCTTGCTTTGGCTCAGAATAAGTCTCAAAGATCTTAGACACTCCTTCAAGAAGCTCCACTATTCGTCTATCTATAGAATTTAAAGCATCTAGCCGTTCTTGAATGAAGTTATGTACCTTGGGACTGTCAGTCATTTGATGGTAAGGAAGAGAAGTCACCTTGACAAATTGCGATTCAATTCAATTCTGTTCAAAATGTTTCACCTATCATAAATAATTAATATTCAAATTCCTTTAGTCCGTATAATTATATCTTCTATCGACTATATAGATAATCTAGTTGTATATATACATCCATTGATCCGAGATATAGCAATTGATAATAATATTACACTATGGGCATAGATTTGGGATTGGCTAGGGTGCTGAGACTCTTGGTCCATTTAGGAAACCCACATATGAAAGGATACAAGTCAATTCATATTGCTGGTACTAATGGCAAAGGTTCCACAGTAGCGTATCTTTCACTGGTGTTTACAAGTAATAAGGTCAAGAATGGTAGGTTTACATCACCTCATATGCTATACTATAACGATTGTGTTGCAATTAATAATCAAGCTTATCCAATAGCAAAGTTTGAAAGAGCAATAGAAACGGTTCGGAAACATAACGAGGTCTTAAGGTTAGGATGTACGGAGTTTGAAATACTTACGGTAACTGCATTTAAAATCTTTGCTGATGAACAAGTTCAAGTAGCCATAGTTGAAGTTGGTCTTGGGGGACGTTTGGATGCTACAAATGTTCTAGAACCTTTTAATATAATTACCAAAGGTGGCTTGATAGCTACTGGTATCTCAAAGATTGCGATGGACCATGAATCGTTTTTAGGTTCAACATTGGCCCGTATTGCTTCTGAAAAGGCAGGTATAATTAAACATAAGGTACCCTGTACAGTTGATGGTACCAATGAGCCTGAAGTGCTTAAAGTTATAGAGGAAAAATGTACAAAAGAAGATGCTCCATTAACAACAATTAGAGTACAACGAGCACCAGATGTGGAAGAGATATTAAACTATTCACCGTTACAAGGAGAATATCAATACTATAACCTTTCAGTGGCATTGTCCATTTTGTCATCAATTAGACACCATTACCAATTCACCAAGGAACAGATAATTGAAGGCATCCGTGGAACAAAATGGCCCGGTCGTCTTCAAAGTTTCCAATCTCCTGCCAAACACATCCCCATCCTTCTTGATGGAGCTCACAATGAAAGTGCGGCCTTGGAACTCGGGAAGTTTCTTAGCAACACGTACAGAAAACAGCACCCTGATGGGTTAAGGTTTGTTATTGCCTTAACCCAAGGGAAAGATGCTGATGGGTTACTCAAACATATAATTGATCCTTCTAAAGATCATGTATTTGTTACTCAGTTTACCGCACCAATTGAGATGCCTTGGATCAAGCCATTGGACCCTCAGTATCTTGCCCAAGCAGTTGAGAAATATACAACGGCAGTCACAGTGATCAAAGGACCCATCGAGAGTGTTATCGCCACTTTAGAGAATCAAGATGAACTCCTGAAGACGCCCATAGTCATTTGTGGTAGTCTTTACTTGTGTGGAGATGTCTTGAGGTTATACCAACCGCGCGACTGAAAAAAACTTAGTACAACCGCGCGCGCGAGAGAACGACTCAGCGGTCAAGCAAAGGTACAACTACTGGAGCGATTTTTGGTCGACGTGAAGGCAGTCATCATGGGGTTATCTGAGTTTCAAAAGGCACGAGTAGAGAACATTGAGAGGAACCGAGCACTTCTTCGTCAGTTGGAGTTGGAAGGTTTAAGTGAATCTATTTCGAACGATGTTGGTGGTAGTGACGGTAAAGATCACGTTTCTAAGAAACCAAAGAATTCAAGAACTCGGTCCAAAGTCACTCCAGTGAAACGAGAACCCTCAGAACCTACTAGAAGGTCTCGACGGATCATGGGCATAAAGGTTGAGAATAGCGAAGAGTTTAGTAAGCTAAGAGAGGAGGAAGAACGCGTCGCACAGAGGAAACGTCAATTGGAGACCCTTAGACTGACTCGTTTGATTGGTGACTTCCTGTTGAGTGATTTGCTTACTGATAAGAAACTGGGATCTCTTAAACATGAAGATAGAGTCATTAAACTCCCTGATGAATTGAAATCGGAAGAAAATGATGTCATTAAAGGGGAGGATATTGGTGGTTCTATTGCTACTTCGGAAGAAACTGAAGTACTTGCTATATTGCAACTGTTGGGGGACAAGTTTTCTGCTGGAGATTTCTATGAAACCATTCGCAATCTGAAGACGACAGAGTATGCTTCCGATAAAGATCTTCAAAAGAAAAGACTTGAGTTTGATAAGTTACATGTTTATGAGAAATATGACCCTTTAGCCATCAAAATAACTCATGCCAGAATAACTTCAATGGCTTTCCATCCTTCTACAACTGATAGATTGGTTTTCGCTGGAGACACGGTAGGTCATCTTGGAATGTGGTCAATTGATAATCAAAGTAGTGCTACCGACGAACCTACTATTAGTATATTGAAACCACATGGTAAGGCCATTTCAAAGATAGTTGTTCATGATAAAACTAAAGTCCTTTCAAGTTCATATGATGGATCTGTTCGCCAATTGGATTTAAATAAGTTAACGTCTTCGGAATTAACTCACTTGATTGACCCTTTCTATGATAATGAAACCATTGGAGTATCAGATATTAATTTGTGTGACGATGGGAATTCTCTTTATATGACATCGCTTTCAGGAAGTTTCTACAAACAAGATCTTCGAGAACCTCTCAAGACTCCTACAAAGAAGAACTTATTAAGATTGCATGATAAGAAGATTGGATCTTTCAGTATCAATCCTAATGCTAGTCATCAAATAGCCACAGCTTCGTTGGATCGGACACTAAGAGTTTGGGATTTACGTCAATGTAGTGGGAAGAATAGTTGGTGGTCAGATTATGAACATCAAATTTCTCCTCATTGTTATGGAACATATGGATCTTCACTTTCAGTTTCATGTGTTGATTGGAATTCACAGAATCACTTGGTTTGCAATGGATACGATAATTATATTCTGTTATTTGATTTCAATGGGACTGAATCGGAATATCCTTTAGTCACCACATGGGCAAATGATTTCCAGCCAAATACGGACAATAAGAAGGAGAAGACTAGCAAAAAGACTGAAGATCATCAATTACCTGAGAATCTCAAACCATTCACTAAGATTAGACACAACTGTCAAACAGGTAGATGGGTATCTATTTTGAAATCTAAATGGCAGACTAACCCTAAAGATGATGTTCAAAAGTTTGTTATCGCAAATATGAATCGAGGACTTGATATTTATGATCAAAAGGGACAAATTCTAGGTCATTTAACTGATAATGAACTTGTGGGAGCCGTTCCAGCAGTTGCAACGTTCCATCCAACAGAGAATTGGGTTATAGGAGGAAGTGCCAGTGGGAAGGTTTACTTCTTTGAACAATGAGTAATAATAAAATCTACAAGTTGATGACAACAAGTTAACGTAATGGTGATTAAATATTATACAAACCTATGTCCGCTTCTTCATACATAATTTTTCTTATAAAACTAAGAAGTTACTTAAGCAGAAGAGGTCATAACTTGCCAGACTCTAATAACGTTATCGGTGTAACCAGCAAACAAGTTTTGACCGTCAGCAGACCAAGCCAAAGAGATGGCTTCGGGGTCCTTAGCCTTGGTACCAATGGCAACTTCAGGCTTCAACTCGTCCAACAAGGTTCTTTCTTGCAAGTTGAAAATCTTAATACCGCTAGCGGTAGCAGCAGCCAACCAGTATCTGTTTGGAGAGAAAGCCAAAGCGTGAACTTCAGCAGTAGCGTTCAAAGTGTACAAGGTCTTGTTTGAGTTCAAATCCCAAAGGATGATAACACCATCCTTACCGGCAGAAGCACACAAAGATCCATCTGGAGAGATGGTGATGCAAGAAACGTAACCGGTGTGACCAATGTAGTCAGCTTCAACAGCGTATTCAGAGAGATCCCAGGTCTAAAGTACAAGCATTGTTAGTAAAAGTTCAAGATATAAGTCAAAATGCAGAAAGAAGATTTGAAAAATTAATCGTCTTCTAAAATGTTGAAAGAGATCAGAGATCTTGGTGATAAAATGTTATGTCTCATTCGAAAGCTGGCGAGCATCCGTCTGAAGTAGCAAATATAAGGAAATCATCATCAAACAACATATAAAGAAAACACTTGATCCACAATTGAATAATTTTTCAGTCCACAAATCTAATCCACTAAATGAAGAAAATAATAAAAACATACCTTAACGGTCTTATCCCAAGAAGCAGAGATAACCTTTGAAGTGTTGTCAGCAGGAGAGAATCTAACGGTAGAAACCCAGTCGGAGTGACCAGTCAAAGTTTGCATACATTCACCAATGGTGTTCCAAACCTTAACGGTCTTATCTCTAGAAGCAGAAACAATTTGTCTCAAGTTCTTAGCAATGGAAACAGAAAGAACATCACCGGTGTGGCCAACAAATCTTTGAGTACATTCACCAGATTCCAAATCCCACAATCTCAAGGTCTTATCCCAAGAACCAGACAAAGCATAAGCACCGTCAGCTGAGATAGTGACATCTTGAACAATATGAGAGTGACCCTTGAAGGACTTCTTAGCAACACCGTATTGTTCATCACCACCAGTCAACTTCCAGGTGATCAAAGTCTTGTCTCTAGAACCAGACAACAAAAGATCAGGTCTAGATTGGGTGGTAGCCAATGAAGTAACCCAACCATTGTGGCCTTCTAAAGTACCTCTTAAAACTAAAACTTCTTGATCAGACATAGTTATTACTTATGCTCGTATCGACAGATGGATTTATCAAAAACAGAGGCAAAATCACCTTAAAACTCCTTCCAATCGTTATATTAAAAGAACAAATTTCAATCTCAATCCACTGTACACCATCTTCCCACCATCGTTGAAAATTTTTTGGCTCACAATTGTGGGAGTCCTGAATATGGCAGTCTTCTTTCGGTATACAAAATTTTTTCTTTTCACTAGGGCTATAAACCCTGTATGTGTTAACCACGTGACGTGACTGCATTGAAAGTTTGAATTTGGAGGGTATTGATTTTCTTAACTATAATATTTCATCATCAAAAATTATAGGTGACTTTCGAATGGTCATATTTGGATGACCAAATTAATGTAGTTCATGTATCAGTAGCTATAAAATACCACCACATCTACTGATGTAACAGTAATCAAGGTCGGTTATGTGGATTAAAACGACACAAAATAGTATGGTAGCGCATGTTGGGGGGAATAGCTTGAGGTATCGACGTTGACTTAACAGGGCATTATGATTGTATGTCGATGGCTTGACTGAAAACATTTAAGTTTACCTCCTTTGTTAGATGCATTATTTCGCTACATTGCTTAGTAGGTCTACATCATTTAGGGGTATTAAAAGTTTTTTTGCATTCTGACCAAATTAAATTTTGTATCTTCTCTCTTAAGGGGTAATTGTACTACCCCTAAAGGGAGTTACTATACAAAGCTTAATACAATGTAACTTTATAGACTTCTTACACAATCTAAAGAAGACTGGTTACTCATGTTATGTGATGTTAGTACTAGGATTGTATTACAAATATTATATGACGGTTTTGATAAATGTGGGGCACGTCAAGTGTCCTGTATGTTCAGCGGACAATAAGAGCAATGTATTCAACGCCAATACAAAACAATAATACACCATGGCCGCTACCACCATATTGATATGAAGATATCGGTGATATCAGGAGGTACTGCTACCAATGAGTTGGTTCAATTATTTGAATCGATCACTCCTAATGTTAGTTATATCTTACCAATTAGTGATAATGGAGGATCGACATCGGAACTCATAAGAGTCATTGGAGGGCCAGCTATTGGTGACATTAGATCACGGTTAACAAGGTTAATACCCTTGGAACAGAAACCATTACAGAAACTTTTAAGCTTTAGATTATCATCAGATTCTCGTCAAGCCAAACAAGAATGGAATGAAATCATAGAAGGAACTCATCCCTTATGGAAACCAATACCTGTCAGTACACGAGAAGTGTTACGGTCATTTTTAATTCATATTAACGTTGAACTACTCAAACGGTCCAAACATCTGTTTGCAATGCCTGCTCCTACTGGGAAGGAGTTTAGGTATGAGTTGGCCAACGTGGGTAATTTGTTCTTGACTGGGATTAGATTATTTGTTGGGTCATTAGATTCAGCAATAGAGTTATTTGCCCGAGTGACCAGTATTAATCCTAAGATAGAAGTCTTGCCCTGCATTAATACCAATTTCCCTTATCATATTAGTGCGTTGCTAGAAAATGGATTGATTATTACTGGTCAATCTCAGATCTCTCATCCAGCTACAGCAGTTGCTGTAAATACCAGTCCTAGTACTAGTAGTAAACACACTGATATTATTTCTAGATCAACTTTAGACGTGTATCCTCCACCTATAAGTCAAACCAGAGAAACAACACCTCATGATGACGAGTCAAGAACTGCATATTTTGGAGTCCCTATTATTGGAACTCAACCTCATGAAACACCAGTTGTTGTTAATGAAGTGGCAACTTGTAACAGAAGATCAAGCATACTTCATGATGACGAAAATCATGAAGTTCATGAAGAAGATGAAGTGGGTAACATTCCTCAATATACCCATCCTGATTTAAGAATATCACAGCTTCATTTCAATAAGCATGAGATTGAACCACTTTTGTCTCCTATTCAAAGGATCTTTTATGTTTCGCCTTATGGACAAGAGATTCGGCCCATAGCCAATTATCGAGTGACTCAATGTTTGAACCAATCAGATATGATTGTGTATTCCATTGGGAGTTTAATGACCAGTATTATCCCGGTGATAATACTTCGTGGGATAGGAAGAGCCATTATATCCGGGTCTCACAAAAAGAGAGTCCTTCTATTGAATGGATGTCATGATAGAGAGACTTTGAATATGGATGCTTATGATTTTGTTAAGGTAATAGTTGAACTGGCATTGTACTCATTATCTGATAACGACAATGAGCACAATTATGGCGAACAACATAAGAATATCCCATGGAATCGAATTGTCACTCATTTGGTGTTTATGGAATCACCAAAGATCCATGTTGATGTTGAACGAATTGAAAGTAAAGGCATTCAATGTGTCAAGGTTACTAAGCAAAAAGAGTTAGATTATTATGATACCAATGATTTGGAAAGAGCATTAAAAGATATTATATAGTCTAAATAGTCGTCTCTTAATCGTACCATACCTTGATCAACTCTTCTGATACAGCAGCAGGAGTCAACACCCCCAAATCTGTAATTAAAGCAGTGATATATTCACCTGGAGTGTAGTCAATCAACTGTCTACTAAGAGACGACTTGTCATTGGTCAGAGAGTTGTCTAAGTTTGCACTGGTGACCAATTCTTGAATCTTATTGGGTAAATCGTTAGGTGATAAAGGGAATAACCGTACAAACTTGTGCGACTCGGTTACCACATAAAATGGTTTATTATTTGATTTCGCAAGCGATCCAATTTGATACGACCCAATATGATTTATAATCCCTCCACTTTCCACCACCCCTTCGGCTCCCACAAGGACTTTATCAACATTATGCATCACATAACCCACGGCATTATCCACAATGACTTCAACTGGTATACCTGCTTCTCTTAATAACAGAGCCATTAGAAGTCCCTTCTCTGTAGGTCTGGACTCGGTCACCACGACTTTGAATCGAACCAATCTTTCTGTTTTTGCCTTCCATAGTAAATGGTAGACTACCCGAGAATATGAGTGAACTAAAATGGTATCATCATCCTCAATGAACGGCAACCCGTATTCTGCCAGTTTCTCTCTTGACTCCTTAGCTCTCTGAACGAACAACTGGCCGTTTTCTGACAAATTCTTCATACAACTCTCCCAATCCATGTTGACATTGGTGTTTCGCAATACGAATCTCATAAACAAATCACACCCAGCAGAAAGTGAAACAGCATTGGAAAACGAGGACTTCAACACGTCAATGTTCTTGCGCACAAGCGTTATCAACTCCAGTAATGTGGTAGGACGTTGTTGACGAAGCATCAACACTAAGGACTCAATGGCTGCTATAGGCATAGTCATGTCTGGATCATCCTTTAAGAACTTGAGGTACGCCTCTTTGATATCGAAAGACGTCATTGTACACTGTGAATGCTGTCTGTATATATTCAATGGATATATTCAATGTCGTCTCCTGCTACTTCAGGCAGTGTCTTATTATGTGTTGTGTTAATCTATAGTGATATTAGAGCGTATAACCTGGAGTGAGTGTGGAAAATTTGCCCATCGTGTGGAACCAAACTCACACAGGATTTTTATATTGGGAACATCACCAACTTTCTTTAAATCGCCGTTACTGTCACTCCCTGATCGTGTTATTACTATTGAACCGGTTACTATATTACTTGAATCATGGCTAGTTTATTTGTCACTGAAGAAGACCTGCGAATGGAGGATGTTCAACGGGTGGAAGATCAGCGAATGGATGAAGATCATCGAATGGACGTTGAAGATGCCACTACAGAGCCATTGGAAGATGATGACGATCCTATAGTTGAGTCTATTCCAATAGTCATGTCTCAACTTGAGGATCGTCTTCGTCAAAGTATGCATGTGTTCCAATATATGGAACGTCCACTGTCCAGATCTCTAGGTGATGAACATGTTCAAGTGGCGATCAAGAAGGAATCTCAATATGTAGAAGTTCGTATCCCTGTTGATACCAGTAAGTTCTACGATACAGAAAGAGCAGAAGGTTGGAATGGTGGTCAAGAAGGCTCTGGCATTGACGAACAAGCATTACAAGGGGTTTTGGATCGAACTGATGGAGGTGTTTATATGGGACAAGTTATCAATAACCGGGGAAATGGATCAAAAACATTAATGATTGTTCCAATTGATAGTACTGTTCAATTGCGTCATTCATTCAAATATTTAGATGATTTGGATGCTTCTCGTACAGTTCAACATCGGGGAGATACCGAACATAAAGCAGTTACAAATATTCAAATTCTTCAAACTTCGGCTAAAGCCAGCTCTCAAGCCCATGGTCAAGATGGCTCGAAGAAGAGCACTCTTGGAGGTTCCTTACGTCTGGTGAAGAAACTTAGAGAGGAAGAATGGGCTCATTTGGCTTGGGAATCCTCCTCTAAATTACAAACAACCAATCTTAAACAACATCTTGTTTCTTCTAATAGTGAGGTCTTGACACCTAAAACTTCAAAGGAGGAGTATTTAAGTAGTCTTGTGCTCTGAGTACAGCTCAAACAAGCAAACAAAAGGTCATTATGTGGCAGTATCCACTATGCTACAATGTTCATTATATGATCATGTCTTATGGTTGGCTCACTGACTAACGGGTACTTGGTAGTGGTTAACGACATTATGGTGACATTGCGGTTTTGTTTGAGGACGCAAGTCGTTTCGCGATGAGCATCGACCGAAAAAAAAGTCTCGACCGAAATTTGTATGGTGATGTTTACTATGAGATCAACCCCAAGTGTACTAGTATTCGTCGGCGTTGCATTGTACTGGTAGTCTGAGAGTGAGTCGTTATGGAGGACGACGGATTGTTGATGAACTTTGAGATGGGAGGTGGTGATGTTGTGGAGCCCTCCAAGAATAGAAAAACTAAAGTAGCTGGGGGTAGATGGAAAGATCGTCGGAAGTTACAGTTAAAGCTTCTGGGAAGAGGAAGAAACGATAAGAATTCAGGAGCTGTTACAGGATCGAATACCACTGCTATTAGCAATAAGAAAAGAAATATTGGTGGTGGTGGTGATGATGTACCCAAATTTAGTGGAGGTGGGTTTCATAAAAAGGCTAAGTTTCAAGAGTCTGGTGGTGAATTTGGTGGTAAGAATAATTCATATGTTTCATCTTTATTCCATGCTAATGATAAGAGTGGTACATTGAAACCTACAACAACTAAAGATGATGATGACACTAAGCACTCACCTTCTAATGCTCCCCTTACTGATTCCACGTCATTTGAAGGTTTAGGTATTAATAATAAACTTAATACTCATTTGACAGAGTATCTTCGTTTGAAAACTCCAACTAGAATTCAGCAAGCAGTAATTCCAAACTTTTTAGGTGCCCAACGTGATTTGTTTGTTAAAGCTCAAACTGGGTCAGGTAAAACCTTAAGTTTCCTTCTCCCTATTCTCCACCAATTGATGCAAGAACGAGTCTCTCGTGATTCAGGGGTTTTCGCAATTGTTTTAACTCCTACAAGAGAATTAGCCACTCAAATCCATGGAGTTTTGGAGTCGTTGGTCAGATGCCATCATAGCATTGTTCCGGGAATTGTTATTGGAGGTGAAAAAAAGAAGTCTGAGAAGGCAAGAATAAGAAAAGGTGTTAATGTATTAATAGGAACTCCCGGTAGATTGGCTGATCATTTAGAAAATACCAGTGCATTAGATATTAGTCAATTGAGATGGTTAGTTCTTGATGAAGGTGATAGATTGGTGGATTTGGGCTTCGAAGAAACAATTACTAAGATTACTGATGAAATTACAAAGAAATCTAAGATAATGGATAGTTTAAATCAATGGCCTTCCTTCCCCACTAGAAGGGTCAATGTCCTTTGTTCTGCAACTATTCAAGATAATGTCAAAAAACTTGGAAGTATCATTTTGAATAAACCCCAAATGATAAATATTGAAGGCAATGATGATACTGACCATGGAACAGTTTCCTTTGATGATGATGGTCCAACTGAAGATATTCATACGTTTACCACTGCACCTGATCAATTGGTACAATCTGTAGTAGTTGTTCCTCCAAAACTTCGACTAGTCACTTTGAGTGCCTTATTGAAGAAGCTTTCATCGGGGCTTGAAGACAATGATGAAGCCTCAAGATCACTTGTATTCTTTTCTTGTTCAGATTCAGTTGATTTTCATTTCAATGTCTTCACTCGTGGAGGGAAAAGATTTAAGAAAGTAAAAGGAGAAGATAAAGTTGAATATGTTGCAGTCGATCCTGAGGAAGATGATAAAGGAGATAAAGATGAGCCAAGTCTTATGAGTGCCCCAATATTAGGAACTGATACTGTTGTATTCAAGCTTCATGGTTCTCTTACCCAACAAGCTCGGACGTCAACTTTACAATCACTTATTAAGAACCATTCTAAAGCTAAACATGCTATATTGCTTTGTACGGATGTTGCATCCAGAGGGTTGGATTTGCCCAATATTACCAATGTCATTGAATATGATCCCCCTTTCAGTGTTGAAGATCACTTACATAGAATTGGAAGATCTGCAAGAGTTGGTAAGTCTGGAAGTGCAAGTTTATTCTTATTACCTGGTTCTGAAGAAGGTTATGTTGATGGGAAACTAAGATCAGTTCATCCTAATGAAGGCAGCTTGAAAATTGTCAGTTATGAAGGGATACTTAAAGATGGATTTTCTCTGACATCTGATTCAAAGGTATCAAAGCATAATAGAGAAGGTAATTGGGATACCCATGCTACAACTTATCATCTTGATATTGAAAGATGGTTATTGGAAGATCAAACGCAACATGAAAAAGCCAGCAATGCATTTATTTCTCACATCAGAGCATATACTACGCATTTATCATCCGAAAGAGCTTATTTCAATGTTAAATTGTTACATCTTGGGCATTTGGCAAAAAGTTTTGGATTACGTGAAGCTCCAAAGAAACTTGGGAAGGGTGCTGGGAGTCATAAATCTGGTGATGATGGCACTACTAAACAAAAGAAAGAAGATCCTAGAAAGAAGATGCTTCGAATGGCTAAAATGGCTGTTGCATCTGGTAGTAGTGAGTTCAATTATTAAGATTACTCTATTAAGGCTTTGTTTGGTTTTTAAACCCTTCAAGTTTCCAAAGATCATGGTTCTCACCAATAACATAACCAAGTGTTCTTTTATGATAATAGTCAGACATTAACTTTATGTTTTCAATGATATCATCCAATAGAATGGCCTTACCGATATTTATACCATCACCTAAGCCACTGTGTTTGGTGGTGACGACATGGATATGAAAGTGATAATATGAAGGTTGGTAATGAATGAAGATTCTTAGTTCATCTTTATCAATACCTGGATAATGCTCACAAGTTATTGTTCTTAGTTGACTTTGAAGACGAGTTAAAAACTCAAGGTGACTACCATTTAAATCTCTAACAGACAGAATATCTTTCCTGTTGACTATACAACAGAGATACAACGCATCAAGATTCATACCGTCCCATTTCATGTCTGGTAAAAGTACAAACCCATTAAGTGGATCTTTATCATGATGTATGAATGACTCTGATTCCTTCCCTTCAAATAGAATGTTGTAAACCCACTTTATTCTATCACCTTTCATAGTATTGATATAGGGCACCACATATTGATTATATACCTCGGGAGACTCTTTGATATAATGGTACTTTTGCACACCATATTTCTTTATATGTATTTCAGTCGCAGGGTATATCAAGTTTAATTTACCTCCAGGAAATTGGCTTAGTGATTGGTTCAACTTGGCTTTAGACCAATAATAAATATCATTGTTTTGAATTACTTCAACTTCTTGTACAACGGTTTGTAAGTCTATGTCACCTGACTCTGGGATGAGGAAATGAGTCTTCTCCAACGTGATGATAGCGTCTTTTCCATGAATGCTACCTAAGAGGGCAATTGACTTGGTTTGAGGGTCGGACTTTAAAAGCCGATGATATTGGAATCTTTTGATAAGGTCTGATATGTCACTCATTGTATCAACCGGTAAAAATAGGTGAAGTCAATGTTACTGTAACCATCCAAAATTGAAGTCCGCTTTCAACTATATATTATTGTGCATTACACTACCGTTTATCCTAATTTGGAATTGCGCACCTTCTGGGAACATGTCATCACATACATTTTTGAAACTGCTTCAACTCCATTCAATTCGGCCTGCCTTGGAAGGCGTACAATTAGACGAAAAAGTTTATACTAATTCTGATACTGGCAGTCACGTCTCAATGTGATTATAACTACTAATTATTGGTGCGGAATACCGAGTTAGTATACGACACCCAAATAGGCCCATTACCCAATTGGGTTTGCTTAGTACATGCATATACAATCTTATCAATTCCGTAAACGATCTATTAGGATCTTTACCGACATGCACCTACATTAAAGTATGTTTCATTAAATAAGCGTTTACCGTACTTGGTTCTGTTAATGGTGATGATTATTTGCTGATTACAGCCGTTCCTTAGTATGGATAGCCAAATTTGTTATTGGTATTGCAGATTAAACTTGACTTTTGGTTGCAATAAACTTTCGATTTTTAGAGTATGCCTAATATAATTTTTGGTTAAAACTTGGAGTCATAAATTGTACTATAAAAGGAGAAGCTTCCCCATCTCATCTTCACAATTAGTTTTACTTTCATCATTATCACTCAAAATAAAAATACTTTACTAAAAATGGCTGCTCAAACAAACACTTCTGCTAACTCTTCTGCTAAGAAGAACTCTGAAAACAAGGACAACTGTCTCGGTCTCCTCCTCGGTTGTGGCGGTGGCTGCGGATGTTGCGTTATTGCCTAAGTATCCAACAACTAGTGCTTTGTATTTGATGTGCAAGTAGGGTCAAGCGATTCCGGTAGCTGCAAAACCTTTTTTACATTTATATAATTTGTTATATGTATGACTTCAAATACACACTATTATGTTACTGATATACTGTAGATATACATTACCACTATGGATTTAACTCTTGAAAAATTGCAAGTTATGTACTCTTTTCAACAGGATTCTTTTTTATGCATTATGATTCAACTCTTTAAATTGACTACAAATTAATTATCCATTATCTCCTTAAATTCAATCTAAGAAAGCAATTGACTTGCAGGCAGTAAAATACTATTCATTTTTAAATTGCCGTTTTAATATATGTCTTTTCCTTTCAGTTGAGCGTTCTACATAGTATCCCGCTATTCGTTCGATATAACAAGATCATGTTGATAATAATTTTAGAATAGAGAATGCTAATATTTGAAAACTTTGTCATGTGAATATATTTAAAAAAAGATTTTATTCATTTTGAAACAAACTGACTAAAAAGATACACTTCTTAGGTTGCACTAGTACTTAGTAACAACAATGGTCAATCTTGCCTTCATTGTATTACTTCATTAAGATAGTTTCCCAATTTGCATATGCCTAAAGCTATGCAGTTTTACTTCGATTGTTATCAACATAACTTCCAGGAATTTTCGAATACTTGAATTCAGGATAAAGGAATTCCTTATTGCCTTCTTTAGTAACAAAAAATTTCAACGATATTTCAATAAAAGAACCTAATTAAGAAAGCAAAATGTGGTTGGTGAAACTCAACTCTAATGCAACCTACATTCAAAATCTACTGTTCCTCATGGCATATGTGGCTGTAACCTAGTATAAATTAGTGTCATTCTGTCACAATTCAACTTCAATTTTTCTGTTTTCATTATCACTCAACACTAATACAATCAAAATGGCTGCTCATACTATCTCAAACAACTCTGCTAACACTTCTGCTAAGAAGAACACCGAAGACAAAGACAACTGCTTCGGACTCCTCCGTGGTGGATGCGGTGGTGGCTGTGGATGTTGTGTTATTGCTTAAGCAAATATTCGTGGTTTATAGTTGGCATTTGAAGCTCGATTTGTGTGCAACCACTCAAACGACTGCAAACACGTTTATACTTTTCTATATTCATACTTCAAATATACACTACTTTTTGATATTTTATCTGTAGCGCTAATTGTAGTCATTGATGTAATTCTCGATAAGCACAATTATTCATGCACTCCTCCCTAAATCTGATTATTGCTGCTTATACCATAAATTTGTCACGTGATAACTATGATGTTTTGAAATCTACATGACTAACTGGGAACTACATTCAAATCACTACCAAGATTTAAAGCTACAAACTACACTTTATGCTTAAACGAGTAACCAAACTCAAAAGAAGCCTTCTTTGGTTTTGAAAAACTAAAACCAAATGGGCTTTGCTGGTGTTCTAATCTCGGCAGAATTTTGACTTCAATTGGGGTATACGATGCATGCCGTCCAGTTTCGCATTACTTGCACTACCTAATTGAGATAGTCACTCCGCATACCAAAGTCGTCCACTTAGTGAATTGCAGATTGTCTCAGATGGTTGCTCACTTATCTTCTAAGAATTAGATCCTTGAACTCAGGAAAATGAAATTCATATTTTCCTTCTTCAGAAAGTGCGTACGTCAACGTCAGTGTAATAGAACTACCTAATAAAGAACCTGTTGAAACTAACAGACGGTGGAATTCCTTCTTCAAAGTTTACTGTAACTAATATCATATGTGGCTGCAACCTAGTATAAATTAGTGTCATTCTGTCACAATTCAGCTTCAATTTTTCTGTTTTCATTATCACTCAACACTAATACAATCAAAATGGCTGCTCATACTATCTCAAACAACTCTGCTAACACTTCTGCTAAGAAGAACACCGAAAACAAAGACAACTGCTTCGGACTCCTCCGTGGTGGATGCGGTGGTGGCTGTGGATGTTGTGTTATTGCTTAAGCAAATACTTGTGGTTAATAGTTGTTATTTAAAGGTCATTTCGAGTAAAACCAGGTGAGTCTTAGCTCAAATTGCTGCAAAACCTTTTGTACGTCTATATGGTTTATATTTTATCTTCAAATACACAGCTATATTAAACATCTTTATGTAAGAAACCTTTGTGATTGTGATTCCTGGTAACCAGCCTACGGCAGCTATTTGATGGTTCCTTGAAGCCTGAAGCAAACTTACTGGAACTTTTGGCACTATATGCCATGCGTAATTGGCTGATCAATCGATGAATTGATTGAATTGCAATTGCAGTTTATAATTGTAAAACGAAAAAGGAATTCTATTTTTTGTCTCTATTCATTCACGTGTTCAAAACTAAACTTATTAAATCTTCTAAACCACTTTTGAAGCCTCCAGCAGGAACATTATTCATTTAAGCTTTTTTAGGGAATAACGCTTTTGGTTCTGCTTTAGTAGCTCAGGATTGATGTACAGCTGTTAGTGCTCATCTTTCATGGTTTTCTGCCGTACACTCCCCGCAAAAGTGACCAAATATAGTCACCACATCCCAATTGGGATGGCTCAATATGCTGCAGATGTATTCAGATTGTCGTCAACTCATCATCCTAATTTTTCGTACGTACTCTCAGGAATCATAAATTCCCTTTTTCCATTATTTGACGTTAACATAATTTAACTACCTATTCAAGAAATCTACTGTGCCTGTTGAAACTGTGTAAAGAATGTAAATGTTCAAAGTAAAGCTTTCCCTGCCGTATGGGGACTCATGTGATAAGTGGTTATATTTAACTATAAATAGGTTCATCCCATCACAACTTTATCTCAATTTTTCTGTTTTCATTATCACTCAACACTAATACAATCAAAATGGCTGCTCAAACTATCTCAAACAACTCTGCTAACACTTCTGCTAAGAAGAACACCGAAAACAAAGACAACTGCTTCGGACTCCTCCGTGGTGGATGCGGTGGTGGCTGTGGATGTTGTGTTATTGCTTAAGCAAATATTCGTGGTTTATAGTTCGCATTTGAAGCTCAATTTGTGTGTGCAACCACTCAAATGACTGCAAACACGTTTATACTTTTCTATATTCATACTTCAAATGTACACTACTTTGCTAGATATTATCTGTAGGAGATGTAATTTTCGACGATAGTGCACATACTGCTGCCTAAATAGGATTATAGTTATTGTTATATACGACAAATTAGGTCACGTGCTAATTATAACTGTTTCGTAGTGTAGACGGCTGAATGCATTTCAAGTCACTAACAAAATATTTAGCAGCATACTAAACTTTATGCTTACACGAGTAACCCAATTCTAAATTATCAACTTTGGCTATTGTGGTGGCCAGTTAGACTTTGCTGGTATTCTAATCTCGGTAAGATTTTGTCTCTGAAAACTGCACACAATGTTTGTTACGTTTCGCAATATGTACCTATTTGAGATAATTACTTGCATTCTAATTCTGACCACTTAATGCATTGCAGACTGACTCCAATTGTCGCCACCTCATCTTCCAAAAAATTCTTAGTTACTTGACCTCAGGAGCATGAACTTCCATTTTTCCTACTGCAGAACAAGGTACTTCGACATTTGTGTAACAGAACTACCTAATAAAGAAAACTAGTATGTTTGTGGAAACGACAGAAATTATAATTATAATTATCAATCAACTTTACTGAAAATCTCAAACGCTTCAGTTAACACTTCTGCTAAAAAGGCTCTGAAAATAAGGACAACAGTCTCGGTAAAGGTGGCTGCGAATTTTGCATTATTGCTTAAGCAAATACTTTAGGTTTATAGTTGGTATTTGATGCCCAGTTTTGTTTACTGACTCAAAGTGCTGCAATACTTTCATGTTTCTGTATGTTTTGTATTTGGACTTACTAAAATTATGGTTTTATCTGCAGCGTTCCGGGGTTGCTCTAAACGCAAGTTTTAATAAGAATCAATTTTGTGCCTCTTCTACATTCGAAGTATATACTACTTCATGTTATAAAGTTTAGTCTACTTTCACTAGGTTTTCATGACTTGTAATGCATTTAGACAATACTCTGCTAGTATTCCATTCTCAGAACACATGACCGGTTGGAGAATATTTCTGACTTTCGGCTTGGCGTTCTCTCCAATAAAACGCATCCCAACTTAGAAGTTCATTTCCCTCATATCTTCCTAACCCAGAGTCTAAATTCTTTGCAGATTGGTATAGGTTTTCCTCATCGTTTCTCCTAGGAATCTTCGAATGCTTGAATACGAGAAAAATTCCCAGTTACCTATCCTTAGTAACAACGAGCACTAGGGATGAAACGACCTAACTAAGAAACCAAATAAGTTTAGTGAGACTAAAGGTAGTTGTGGTAGTTGTTTTTACTTTCAATGTGTTCGGTGCCTCATTTGATAAGTAGATGTAATTTACCAAAAGTTAGGAAACTTTCCATCATATTTTCAAATAAGTCGCCTCTCATCATTATTATTCTACAGCTGATTTTATCAAGTAAGGCTTTTCAAGCTACTTCAAACATTTCTACTAAGTCTTCATTTAAGACGAACACAGAAAGCAAGGGCAATATTCTCTTTCCAACATAAAAAACTTCTTTCGACTCCACCGAAACTGATGTGGCGGTTTTGGTGGCGGATGTTGTGATAATTCTTGGTAACTGCTTATGGGTCAGACGCCAATATTCGATGAAATCGCGTTCAATGAATAGGTGCGGAAACGTAAACACTACTGTGGTTTATATTCGATCGTCAGATAAAATTCTTCACGTATGTAGCTACCTGCAGTATGCCAATTATATTCTTTTTCGGCTAAGGAACCCCATGTGCATGTTCTTAAACAAGTAATGTGCTTTCCTATTTGGATATTTTCGTGTCGGAGCTAATAAGAACGTTTCATGCAAGATACATTTCAAACTATAAGGCTACATTTTAACACAACACGAGTGACATTAATGAAATAAACATGCTTGGGTTATTACATTGATTATGCCCTAATGTCTTCACTCTCTTCGTATTGTTGTTCATTAACTGGATTTTCGCTTTCAGCTTCGCATCCTTTAACTACCCAATTTAAGTTTGGCGTTCGAATCTTAATTAGAATCGTTTAGTTCTTTGTGGCTGTCACACTTCACCCTCAACTAGCCCACCAGCAGTATCTTGCCTCAGATGCCAAGAAAATTTGTCTTTGCCTTTTACTGACTGATTGATAAAAAAGATCATCGTTGACTTAATAGAACAACCCAATAGAGAAAACGAATATGTTTGCTGAAACTGAAGGCGATATAATTTTTCTTTCAAAGTTTATTGTAAGTCATGTTATAGGTGAAAGTAATTACTATAAATTACTGACATCTTTTCATAAATTTGCAACAATTCTTTTATTATCATTATCAATCAAACCCAATCAATTCTATTAAAATGGCTGCTCAAACTATCTCAAACAACTCTGCTAAGTCTTCTACTAAGAAGAACACCGAAAACAAGGACAACACTTTTGGACTCCTCCATGGCGGATGTTGCAGATGTGGATGCTGTGTCATTGCTTGAATTCCCCATCTTTTAGTAAGTGGTTAATATTTGCTATTGAAATTTTCCGCAAATAGGTTTAGTTGCTAAAATTGCTGCAAAACCCTTTATACCTATATGGTTTATATTAGGAACTCAAATATATACTACTCTACTAAGCACCAAATCTGTAAAACATGGTAGTTGCTCTAGATATTATTTCGATTAGTACCATCTGCCTCTTATTGAATGGAATATTGTAGTTATGTATCCTTATGATGTTGTTTTATGTGGCCAACGTTTCAAGAAATACACTTTTTTCATGATATTAGGTATATTCTAGTTTATACTAGTAGCTTTATTTGGTTAATGAGTATTTTCTTAAATGGATTGTTGTACAAAACTTTGTTAGTAATTTTTCAAAGAATCATGATGCACCAGTTTTGAGTCCATGTGGTTTTCAATTTTGCATTCTCCGTTCGAGGCAACCAATTCAAAATATCACTTCCAATTTGGACCTATCGCTATGGAAAGTAACAGACATTGTGATCATTATACCTTCCATGATATTTTTGAATACCTAAACTCAGGAACCACAGAGCCTTTGTTGCCTTCTTCAGAATGAGCATGGATTAACGATAACCTGATGGAACAACCAAACCAAGAATAATATATTTCAGTGATCGAAACTAGGGAATGGAACCATACTTCATTCGTAATTTAGCAACATTCTCTATAAACTTATTTATGTGAAAAGAAGCTGTCATAAAGTATAAATGAGAAACTTCCGACCATAATTCTACTTCAAGCCTTTTCTTATTATTATCCCTTAATATTAATACAATCAAATGACTGCTGAATCTAACTCTTCTGCTAACTCTTCTGCTAACTCTTCTGCTAACTCTTCTGCTAAGATGAGTTATAAAAACAAAAATAACTGCTTTGGAATCCTTCGTGGTGGATGCGGTGGTGGCTGCAGTGGTGGATGTTGTGTTACTCAAATTGCTGCAAAACTTTGATATTTTATATGGTTTATTCTCATGCTTCAAATATACACGACTATATTACTCATACATTCTGTAAAATTAAAGTCGACAATAATAATCTGATAACTCAAAAATAGTGGAGCCAGTAATGAGAACGTCATTTTAAAACAAAGATCTTCAAAATGCTTATGTATACTGAGAAATTAGATGTCTAGAAGATAAACTATGGAAGATAATCCTCATAAAGTTGCCTTAAAAACATGAAACTATAAGTAAATTTTGTTTTGTAGAAGCAATGAATTCATCGCTTCCGTAATTACTCAAATTACTATTATCATGACTTTGTTAATGATAATACCATGATATGAACTTCAAATAAAATATTGTTGTAAATCTTAGCAAATTCTAATTTGTCACTAAAGTTGGTGTAAGGTTGAGATAGGTGGTATTAATGTGTTCGAGAAACTGTAAAGAGTTTTAATGATGCCTTCGTTAAATTTTTTGGTTCATATGAAGATTTGGTATTGCGTAGAAGGGGCAAAAGTGCTTTACAACTGAAATATCCTTCTTATCATCCATAAAGGCAACTTCCAAGAGAATACTGTATATATTTTGCAGCGTCATACTAAAACCTACTACTCTAAAGGCAACTTTTGTTGTTGAATGATTTTATCCAATTGAAGTATACTGATGACACCTAATAAAGATAAATTTTAAATTACGCTGTGTTAAATATGCTGTGTTTTCAAACTATTAAGTTCGAAGCTTCGCATAAGCAAGCTAACCGATTTGTACCATTGCCTAGTTGGGTTTACTTAGTTCATGCATGTTCCATCTAATCTATTCCCTAAACGATCACACACGCAAATTACGATCATTGCCGACATGCATCTACAACTCAATATGTATGAAGATGTCATTTATGGATACTGGCTCAATAGATGAAGTTTATCTTTCTTACTACAGCCGTGCCTAGATAAGGTACACGCTGATTTTCCAGTTTGGAACTAACTTATCCAAATTTCATTGAACTATTCCAGCCGAATACACAAAGTTTGATTTTTGAACGATGCGATATTTTAAGAAGCTCAGCTTCCAAGAATAGAAAAGCATCTCGTTACATTTCATAGCTGGTTTTTATGTCTTCATTATCACTAAACACGGATTCAACTAAAAATGGCAGCTCAGTCTAACTTTTCTGTTAAGTCTTCTGCTAAGAAGAACACTGAAAACCAGGACATCTGTCTCGATCTACTCTTATGTGGTGGCTGCGGTGGTGGCTGTGGTGGTGGATGTTGTGTTATTGCTTAATTTCTCGATTAAGAATAGTATTTGATTTTGAAGTTCAACTTGTGTGCAGCCAATTCAAGAGACGCTTCTTGTTAAATTTGTACACAGTCATAATCTATACGTTTTCGTCAAATAAACACTGAAATGGTACTAAACTTTCCTGTAGGCGCAAAATATTACTTACGGAATGCTTTAATTGTGGGGTAACTTGAATGCTAATACAATTTATTGTATACTCTTATAATTATATGATGATATGTATACTCTATAGTACGTGAAGTTTATAATCTAAGCCATTTATAGCATTATACTTTTATTGTCTATAATTACTTATGTATTCCATTTGTATAATTTACCAACTACTTGGTGTACCTTTTTTGAAAGCAATTATTTTTATACCATGCAAATGAACCGCCACTTCGCGATAACCGAATTCGAACTATCCCAATTTGGACTATTTGGCAGATTGACTCAAATGGTCCACTCTTTTGTCGTCAACCCATCTTCCAAGAAAATTCAAATGCATCGAAGCATAAAGTATGGGATAATCCTGGCCCTCTTCGGAAGTATATTGGTTTCCAGTAATGCTAACCCCATCGAACAGTCCAATAAGGTATATTAATGTTGAAACAAGCTCAGACTTTAAGGAGTTTGAATGTCGGATGAAGACTATCAATGACCATGAAACCAAACCCATTCATTGTATTGTAATTACTCAATTTGATAATTCGAAGAAGTATAAAAAGTTAGGCATCTCTTCCCAATGTTAGTATAATTCTTCTCTTAATTATCACGAAACACTAATAGAACTAACAATGGCTGCTCAAACTAACACTTCTAACACTTCTGCTAAGAACTCTGAAAACAAGGACAACTGTCTCGGTCTCCTCCTCGGTAAAGGTGGTTGTGGCGGTGGCTGCGGTTGTTGCGTTATTGTATGAAGAAGTATTTGAAGTGCTAATCGTATCTTACATACATAACCTCAGGTTAGTTTTACGTAGCTAATATATACAATACATGCAATTATTCTATTATAAATGTAATCCAAAATTCACATTTGTCTCCTTTACCGTTATTCTTTTAGTGCAACTTCGCTTAGTTAGTGGTCTCAAATTCAGATTTCTCCTTATCCTTTTCACTAGTAAAATCTTCAGTTCCAGCTGAGCTGAAAGTGTTATCGTCTTCATTATCGTTAACTTCGTCTCCTTCGTCCTCATTCATATCTAAACAAATCCAGTTTGGCCATGCAATCTCCTGTCGTAAAAGGCTACGGATTTGATCAACAAGAAACTTTTCAACTTTCCCAACATTTCTCAACACATTAGTTTCCATTTCTCCAATCTCACTTTCAATTCGAACGTTTTTGATTATATCTATTCTTTCTCGATTATTAGCAGCATTCACATAATCGACTATGGTCCCTCCCATTGCTATAGACCCAGTACGCAGCAATAAGGGAAAGTAGTCATTATCCGCGTCACAAACATCACAAAGAAATGCAAAACAAACTGAATTTTTCAAATATGCAATAACTGCAAGCGAATGTATTTCCAACTCTGTTACTCTTAACTTAATTGGAAGAGTAATAAACTTAGGTGAAGGGAAATTTAAAAGTAAGTTAACGCTAAATTCTATCTCAAAATCACCTTCATAATTGAATTCAACAAGGATTTGAATATCACTTTCATCTCTTCCATTTGTCTTATCATTTAAAGCTATTTTTTGCTTGCTTACTGAACTCTGTAGTAAAGTATTCTGATGGAATAAACTCAATGTTGGGGTTTCAGTTCCATGATGGGGGGTACCTAGACCAATCATGTTCTGAGGAAGATTATGGATGTAATTCATACTATTGCTATTACTAGACAGTAGCAAACTGGGAACATCTGTCAAATTCCCAGAAGGTAACGTAGGTGTTGGACTAGAAATTTCAGTGCTATCAGTTGCACTTCTCAAAGCTTCGGAATCTCTCTCTATCTGTTGGGATATGAAATTATCTTCATAGAACTCTTCTTGTTCATTATCTTCGTCATAATCATCATCATCGTCATCATCATTTTCTAATATCCCAGAGTCCAATGATTCGTTTGTTTCGGATGGTTCTTTGGAGCTTTTGACTTCGTCAGAGTGTTCGCCATTATGCTCACTTGGTTCATCTGCTTCATAGAAGTCGTTGAAAGGGTCTCCAATATGTCGTATGGTGATCTGAGGAGGTATTGACCCTAATGATACTCTGGTTACTGATAAATTGTCTATGAATGATGGGGATGATATTGTTTTCATATGATCATCAAGAAATACCCGAAGTGACTCTGCTATTACAGATTCATCTGATATCTTTCTCCAATCGATATCAATTGACATTAGTTAGTATTTCCTTGTAATTATAATTATTATTCTTATCACGTTCCCCATTTCTCTATGTCATTAATCCATTTTGAGTTTCGAAACAACAATCCTATAGTTTTGGTAGCGCGGATATGTGGGTAGATGTACTACAAAGGTATGACAGTCCTAAAGAAACGCAATTAAAGCCAGAAACAGTTCGGTGCAATATAAATTGTGTAATAGTTGAACATTGGGTCCAAATATCGGATTATTTCCTCTATGTATTTTTGTAAAATTCAAGTATTCATTAAGAAAACCGTTACAACGA